CTTGCTATGGAGCCCAGGCTGTCCTGGCACTCACAGCGATCCTCCTGCCTGCGGGACAGTGGGTCCCTCTCTTCGGGGGTCCCCAGTGACTGAGTACCACAGGGCCAAGTGTCAGAGGGCAGAGGAACTGGAGTGGGAGGCTCAGCGGCGGGCCTGGGGTGGAGACCTTTCCTGGATAGACAAAGGGTGAACGGGGACACTAGGGACAGCGGAGGGGACCAGACCAGTGAGGCAGGCAGGTGGCAGAGGCCCCAGGGCAGCAGCCAGCAACAGGTCACTGTGTCCAGGGTGGCAGAGCTGCCTCTGGGTGACAGGGCTTGGGCTGAGCTGGGCTGGGCACGTCAGCTGCTGCCACCTGGGGCCCCCAGGGAGCTGGGCACCTCCCCTCTTGGTGGTGACCAGCTTCCTGGTCTTCCTGTAGTGATCTGGGGTGCCCCTGGGCCCCTGGCTCCCTGGCCCCGAGCTGCAGGTCTGTGTCCCACTGACTCCATCCTTGGCAGCATCCTTGGGAGGCTGAGGCAGGAGGATTCCTGTGAGTTCAGGGACATCCTGGACTACACAGTGAGACCTTGTCCCCAAAAGCAAAACAAATCAAGGGAGTCAGAGATCTCCAAGGAAGAAAGATCCCCCCCATCTCCATCAGGCTCCTCAGGGACGGGGGCTGCCACACCCTTACCACCGTGGTCAGAGGTCAGCCCAGCCCATGTGGGTGGGTGTGGGGGCGGTGGGAATCCAGCCAGGCGCCCAGCCATTGCTCCCCAGGGTAACTGGCTGTACAACACTGTGGGGGCCGCTGGGGTGGCACCCCATGGCACAGGGCGCCCCGGAATGCAGCAGGACAGGCCCCAGGGCCCTGAGTCAGGACCCGAGGGCGCCAGGCCAGGAGGGCAGGGCACCAGCCTGGCCCAGGGGTCTGAGGACTGGGGCACCAAGACATTGTGTCCTCACCTCTGCTGCCCAGGCTGGCTCTCAGGGACTCCCCAAGTCTCGCCCAAAGCCTCCCTGAGCCCCACTTTCCCTTTCCTCCTCCTCCTCACTCAATGCAAGCCAGGTGGCACTCCCTGCCTGCCCCACCTGACCACCACGGCCCCCCATGACCTGCACTGTCTTCCGTGTGGGAGGGTTCAGGCCACCTCTCCTGACACCCTGAGACACTCCTGCCTGGCTCCCAGACCCTCTGCACCCCAGGATATGTCTTGGATGGGGGGGGGGGTCAGCAGCAGATCACCAAAGGGCCCCGTTTTTTGTTTTTGCCTTTGAGGTCCTAGGAGTTGAACCCCACAGGAGCCACCGGGCTCTCTGCCCAGCCTTTTATCTGGAGATGGGATCTGTTCAGGCCAGGCTTGAACTCGAGATCCTCCTGCCTCAGCCTCCCAGAGTGCTGGGATGCTGGGCATCCTCTCTTATGCTTGCAGCTAGGAGTCTAGGAGTGCCAGTAAGTCAGGACCAACTGCCGGGGGCTGTGGCCAGGCCATGGGGACACCACGGTCCCTGGCCTTTGTCCACTGTCTTTTTTTTTTTTCCTTCCTGGGAAGGACCCAGGGCCACACACACCAGACAAGCCCAGCCCCATGGCTCATCCACCTGACCCCCACTGTGCCCAGTGTCTCCTCCTCAGGCTAGGGCAGGATTAAGACAACCCCTTGTCCCCCACATCCCAGGGGGCCCCAGGTCCAAACCCAACTCCTCCCAGAAGCCAGGGAAAGAATCAGAGCTTAAGTCCTAGGCTCCAGCTGGGGGCTGACTGTGGGGAGCCTGGGCATCCCAGCCCCAGGCCCCCTCCACAGGAGCCCCACGCAGTGACGCACACTTGTCATCCCAGCACTCAGGGAGGCTGAGACAGGAGCATCTCGAGTTCAAGCCTGGCCTGAACAACGTGGCGGTTTAGCCAGACGCTGTCTCAAAATTAAAAAGGGCTGAGGCCTAGCGTAAAGTGTCAGCCTTGATCCAGTGTCAGCCACATGAGCGTGTGCACACACACACACACACACACAATCACAGGCACACGGAATGGAGAGCAGCCCCACTCTGGGCAGCCCCCACCCTGCAGGCCTCAGCTCCTAAACGGGAAGATGATTTCCAGGGACCCACTGGCCGCGCCCCTCCCCCTCCTGCCAGGCCTCTGAACAGGACCGGGAAGCAGGTGGACTGAGGGGAGCTGTTCCCAGCCCAGGGGACCTCAAAGGAACCGGCTTCCAGATAAAGGAGAAGGGAAGTCGTAAATCCAGCGCTGCCGCCCCGCCTGAGCCACCAGGGCCGGGTCCCTTCTAAGTCACCTCTGCGGCTGGCCGCTGTCCCTTCCTCCCGCTCTGCCCCCCCTTCCTGTCCTCCCCCAGGAATGGGGTCCAGCCCGGCCGGGCCACCACCGGGGGTGCACAGTAGGTGTGGCCAGGGCCGCAGGTGGGGAGGCTCCAGGCCCCGGAGGAAAACAAAGACCGCAGTCAGGCGGTGCGGGCGGCTGCCCTGCCGTGGGCCGCCCTCCGGGGGCCCTGGCGCTGGCCGAGGGTGGCCTGACTCTGTGCCAGGGCCCTGCGGGGCGCACCCTGGCCTCGGGGCTGGGCAGAGGTGATGGTAAGTGGGGGCCCATGGGCTGTTCCGCCCGCCTGCCTGCCTGCCCGTGACTCAGCCCAGAGCTGGGCCTCCCCAGGGAGGACAATGGGGACTTGTGGGTGCGACAAGGAGGAGGGGGGACCTGGCAGGTTTGTGCCCCGGCCAGGAGAGACCTCAGAGCCTCGGCCTCCGCCGCGTGTCGGAGTCCAGGGCTCGGGCACCAGCACCCGAGGGCCAGAGCAGCTTGTGAGGAGCCCCACGTGGGAGGAGCCCCCGAAGCCCACACTTGCCTGGAAAGACAGGGACTGGACAGGTCACTAGCGCACCAGCACCCAGCTACCTGGTACACTGCTGGCACTCAATAATGGCCCCCTCAAGATGGTTTCTTTTCCTCTCTGGGTACAACTAAATGGGGACCCCAGCTGGGCGTGGTGGCGCACACCTGTCATCCCAGCACTTGGGAGGCTGAGGCAGGAGGATGCTGCGAGGTCAAGGCCAGCCCGGGCTATGTAGTAAAGGTCAGCCTGGACTACATAATGAGACCCTGTGTCAAATCAACTAGCCTAGGAACACCGGCCTAGACCTGGGCTCCGACTGACCTGGGAATGGGGAGGTCAGGATGGACCGAGGTCCACAGTGGCCTCCGAGCCAGCCTGGCCAGGCGCCCTCAGGGGCAGGGAAGGGCTGGGGGCGGGGTGTGTGGGGATACTGGAGCTGCTCCAGGGATCCTGGAGCTGGAGACTCAGCCTCCTCTCCGGAAAGACAGCCTGGCACCCGCCACCTGCCAGGGCTGCACCCAAGTGTGCTGATGGGGAAACTGAGGCTGGCAGTGGCAAGGACCTGCCAAAGGTCCCGGGTGGGGGAAGAGCAAGGGACTGGCACCTGGGCGCCCTGGACCCAGACCCCTGTCCCGGATGTGAGCCCAGTGTGGCTGTGGGGGAGGGGCTAGCGGCTTAACTAGGGACTCTCTTCCCCTACACTGTGGCATCCCTTGTTTGCTTTTCTTATTTTTCAAGGCCTTTGCGCCGAGCTGCATCCGGAGCCTCTGCCGCTATCTTTGTTTTTGGTCTTTCGAAAACAGGGTCTCCCTATGCAGTTCAGGCTGGACTAGAACTCACTTCATAGCCCAGGCTGTCTTCAAACTTGCAGCGACCCTCCTGCCTCAGCCTCCCAGACTGCTGGGATGACAGGCGTGTGCGTTTACAGACGTAACAGTCGCTTTTACTTCAGCCTGGCTCCCTGGGCTTGGAGAAGTTCGAGGCTTCAGACATGGTGGGAAAATCAGGGCAGAGGGGTCAGCAGAAGCAAAGACCCCAGGGGCAGGAATCAGGGCAGAGGGGTCAGCAGAAGCAAAGAGCCCAGGGGCAGGAATCAGTCTAACAAAGTTCTGGTACAATATGAAGGGAACAGGGGTGGTGACAGACACCTGTGATACCAGCACTTGGGAAGTTGAGGCAGGAAAATCGCCACAAATTCAGGGCCAGCCTGAATTACATAGCAAGAGCAGCCTAATCAATCAACCAATCAAGGGAGCGTGATTTCTCTGGCGGGCCCCACGAGCCTCGGAACTTTTGTGTTCTCACTCGTTATTCATCTGATTCTGTTGAGATCTCTGGTTCTGAAAGGCTGGAGAGCCCTTTGGCACGAGAGGAACGTTTGTCCAAAACGGATACAGAGACTACTGAGAATGAGAAAGCTCCTGCTGGGTCTGGGTTCTGTCCAAATCTAGGTCCAAACTCCATTACCCACACAAGGAAACGGAGAAACAGATAGGAAAAGACTCTAAGGGCTCCATGCAGGACTCTGACCCTGAAATGAAATCAGCCTCAGTTTCTCCGTCAACTCAATGGGACTAATGTTGCCTCTTGGCTTCGAACACCCATTCATAAAGCACAGCAGGGCTGGCCCTAGAAACTTAAATGCAACCAAGACTACAAAATCGCTCGGGCGGCTCCACCAACCTAAGAATAAATCCCCAACACCTACTCTACCGCTTCTCTAGGCCTCTAGTTCTGAAGGTCCCGCCTCCGATATGGGGCGGGAATGGAGTGGGGCGGGGCGTCATTACGAATGGCTGCAAACCCCGCCAATCGAATTTTTGCCTCCTCTTATTGGCCAGCGCCTCTCTCACTTCTGTTTCAATAGCACGCTCTTTTCCTCGTGCGTCATGGACGCTGCGCTGTTTATGTGCGCTTCCGCGTAGAAAGACAGTCCCTGCCGCTCTCCCATTTCTTCGCCGATAGATCTCCGCTGAGTGGGCGCACCCGTAGATTCTCGGCGCCTCAAGACTGAAAAGTACTCTACCCGGGGCTCGGGAGCCGGAGGCGTGAGTCCGAGCCTCTCAGGGCCTCGCGGACGTGGCGGAGGGATCCGCGACGCACGGCCGGGCGGGGCACGGAGGCGGTGCAGACTGATGGAGGCGGGGCCTGCGCGGGGCGGGGCCTTGCGGGCGGCGCGGGGCGGGGGGCGGAACATGTCTCCCGCCGCAGGAAGATGAGGCAGCGGCGGCGGTCGCGGGCGTAGCGGGCCGGAGCGGAGCCGGACCCGTCGCGGGCGGCGGGCACCGCGGGGAACCGCACGCCGCTGCCCCAGCACCCCGGCCGGCCGTGTTCAGAGTGGACAACGCGACGGCGGGGTAGGGGGGGGCCTGGCCACGAGCGCCGCCGCCCACGCGCGACCCTCGGGGACCCGGCCGCGACGCCCCTTTGTACGGGGGGGCCCCGTTCATGCCGCCGCCTCCCGCGCGCCGCGTGCCGGGCCGCACCGAGCAGGTAACGCACGGGGCCAGGGCCGGGGCGGGGACCGCGCCCTCGACCCCCCGCGCTTTGTGCGAAGTTGACCCCGGGCCCGCAAGGAGGAGCCGGGGCGGGCGGGCGCGGGGCGCGGGGCGCGGACGCGGGCGGCATTGTTCTCCAACTTTGCGCGCCGGAGGGGGGCGCCGACGTGGAGGGGCCCGCGCGCCCCCCGCCGCCCGCACTCGGGAAACTTTGCGCGGCGCGGGGGGCGCGCGCGAGGTCGCCCAACTTTTGCAGCGGGGGGTGGGATCCCCAGCGCCCTAGTGGGAGTCGAGGGTGTCCCCGGGGCGCCCCCTCCCCAGGGAGGAGCTCGGCCGGGGCTGGAGTTTGGAGCGGGAGCGAGGGAGGAGGAGAGGCCTTTTGTCTACGCGGGGAAGGCGCCGCTGCTGCCGCGCGCTCCGCAGGCGCGGGGTACAAGGCCGGGCCGGAGGAACCGGCGGGGAGCCGGGGGACCCCGGGCGGGGTCATCTGCTCCGCGTGAATGCGGGGCGCGGCGGCGTGGGGCCGAGGACACCGCGGGGGGCACGGCAAGCTTCAAAGGGCTCCCTGGACGCACCGGCTGCTGGGGAAAGAGGGGGGGTCTCCCCCAATTAAAGACACCTCAGGTTGGACCCGTAAAGTGGTTTCAGACCTGACTCAAGTTTGTTATCTCCTCCAAAGTTTTCATAATCCCCCAGAAATCTTTCAAAGACCATGCACCATTATGTTTTAACCCTCCCCTAGTCAGCCTGAAAATCGGTTTCAGCTACCCCACAAAAAAGTGCGGTTTCATACAACTCAGAAAAAAAAGTCAGTTTCACACGCCCTGCGAAAAGGAAGAAAAGAAAAAGTAGCAAGGTCGGAGGGGGAGTTGCACCGGGGCGTCTGTTTCACACCCTGGTGTTGGAATTGGCGAACGGGGCTTCCGATGCTTCTGAAGTTGGGCTCCCTCGCCCTCGGAACCCCCTCCCCTCCCCCAGCCGCTGCGGTTTCTCGGGCCGCCCCCGCCTGGGGAAGCCTGGAAAAGCTTTTCGGGAGGGAGGCCTCGCTTTTCTCCCTTTGCTGGGGTGGGATAGAGTTTGGCAGGTGGCTGTCCCCCTTCCCTGCTCTAGGATGGAGCGCCTCCGCCTCGACCTCCAGGGGAACCCCTGGACCCCCCACTCCTCCCAGGGGCGGGAAGAGGAGAGGAATGTTTTTCAAAGTTGTATAAAAATAATTCCCGGATATACCATGACAATAAAACAACCTCGCTTTTTTTTTTTTTTTTTTTTTTCCTGAACTCAGTCGGATATTTGGGGGGTGGGCAGGAGGAGGAGGGGCGGAAGACAGAGGGAAGTTTTTGCCGGGGAGGGGGGCAGCCAAGGCCTCTCCCCGCTCTTCTCAGTGAAGCCTGCCCTGGCAAGGGGGCTTTGCAACCCTTGGACCTGTGGATTTCTTTGACTTGGGATTTGGGGGTGTGGGCCTTCAGAGTGCTGTGACACACACCTGTTGGGGGTCCACCATATTTCCCTCAGGGCAGGCTCCGCGGCCAGCAGTCCCCTGGGAGTGGGTGGCTTTCTGGTCAGTTGGAACCCAGAGGTTGTGGGCCCCAGCTCGATGGTCGTTGTGAGCCAGGGTGGGGGAGCTGGTGTTTATATCTTAGAACTCCAACCTGGGCACCCCACCTTCCCTGTATCCTCCCAGGTCAGGAGGGGGCCTGGTTTGGGGAAGAGCCCCCAGGCCCCCACTTTTCCCAGACCCTCTGCCTCCCGCCTCCAGCCTTGTCCACTGGGGCCACATTCCTCAAATCCTTTTTTTTTTTTTTTTTTGTCTTTTTCCTTTTTATCGGTACCAGGGATCGAACTCACGACTGCCTGCTTGCAAGGCAGGTACTTATGCCGCTGAGCTCAATCCCCAGCCCCCTCAAATCCCTTTTTTCTCCCTGTTTTTGTAAGTGTGTCCCTGCCACATTACTGCATGTCCCCATGTGTGCCCTGTCCCTGTCACCATACAGGGCTGTGTCTAGGCCTGGGGGCCACCTTGGTTCCTGCCAGAGAATGAGTCAGCCCCAGAGGATGGCGGCCGTGGGCACTGACAAGGAGCTGAGTGACCTCCTGGACTTCAGCATGGTGAGCCCCCCCTTCATTCGTTCTCTCTCTCTCTCTCTCTCTCTCTGTCTGTCTGTCTGTCTGTCTGTCTTTCACTGTTTCCCCTTTGCCTCAGATGTCTTTGGTGTTAGGTATACACAACCATCGCTTTTGGCATAATTCCTCCTGTTGGTGAGGTAGTTTGATTCCTTTTATTTTTTTCCCATTTCCCTCTGGTTCCTTCGTTTTTTCTGTGTGTAATTTTTGGTACTGAGGATCAGACCTACGGCCTTCACACTCCACTGAATTCCCAGTTTTTGTTTATTTTGAGACAGGGCTCCCTGAGTTTGGTTAGGCTGGGCTGAAACTTGGGATCCTCCTGCCTCAGCCTCCCAGAGCCCTGGGATGACAGGTGTGCATCATCAGGCCTGTCTTTTTTACTTTTTTTTTTTTATTCTGGTTTGCGCATTCTAGGAAAGCAGGCCCCACTGTGCTACATGCCCCCCCAGCCTGCTGAGCAGGTTTTTAAGGGGAAAGCAGTGTCTTTCAGAAGCACCCCGTGGGGCTGGCAAGTCCTCAGCTTTGGGGATGGGAGGTCCCAGGGTAGGGTTGGGGGAGCTGGGCCATTTCTGTGGGAGTGTTCAAGAGCACAGTTTTGCTCGGCCGCAGAATGCGTCCTGGGACTTTACAGATGGGGAGATGGAGGCCTAGAAAAAGAGGAGCTACGCCCCGCTCTTCCAAGGGCCAAACCCCTGCCTGGCTGTGTGGACTCTGGCACCCCGACCCGCAGAACAAGTGCAGCTGGGGTCCCTCGGTGAGGGGCAGTGCGCCCTGCACTCTGGGCAGGGGTTGGAGGAGATGGGGTGATCCCGTGTGCCACGTGTGCTGGCAGCTGGGAGCTCAGATGGTAGGGGCCCTAGCCTGGAGACTGGCAGGCTGGGGGACGCTGGGCTGCCCCCTCCGTGATAGCCCCTGTCCCGCGTAGACATGGCTACCGTGTGTGCTGGCTCTCGGGAAGCTGAGACCCTGGAGCCCCCATGGGTGCCGGGCAGCTGGGGACTTGTGGATTCCCAGGCCCCTCAGTTTACCTGCCTGAGCCTTGGGGCCCTGGCCGTGGGATCCGTCCCTGAGAAACCCGAGAAGTGCAGTTTCCCTTCTGACTCAGACCGCCGATCTCTTCCATCCCATCCATGTGCCCTGGCCCAGCCGCTGGGGTCTGGGGCCCGGGCCACTTCCTGCCTGAGCAGGGCTGCCGCAGCCTGAGGCCCCCACCGAAACCCCACGAGCAGCACGGCGGCCAGCTCCGCACTCCGGAAGGGCCGCGCTGATATTTTTGAAGCCCCATTTTATTTTTGCCTCCCCGGCTGAGTAACCTGGGCACTGTTGGGGTGTTTTTTTTGTTAAACTGACAGTCACAGTCTACTGGGCCGGAACGAACCAGTTTAGGGGGCCGAGGAGTTCATCCTGCAGCTCCCACTGTCCCTCCCGGTCTGCCCAGAGGATCCTCTGCCATCCCAGACCCTGCCTGGGCCAGAGCTGGCAGCTCACTGCACCCAGGGGAAACTGAGGCCAGCACTTCCATGTGCCCTGCTCTGGGCTGTTACAAGGAGGAACCTTCCTGGCCAGGTCAGGGAGTAGGGGATGCCCCCCCTTTCTGCTCAGGTCCCCATCTGCCTGTCCTCTGCCCCCTGCCCCAGGGACAGTGGCCTGAGTTCCTTCATGGGATTGGTCCTTTGGTCTGAGGCGGCAGGATGGGAGAGGGGCCACGGAGGTTCAGGGCAGCCCCGGCAACTGAGTGAGACCTTGTCTCAAAATAGGAATAAAGGGCTGGGGGTTTAGCTCAGTGGCTTAAGCACCAGCCTGGCAGGTGTGAGATGTGAGTTCAATCCCTGGTACCAAAAATAAATAAGGAATAAAACCCCAAAAGCTGGGAGTGTCACGCAGCGTGGAGGCCTTAGGTTCCATTCCCACTGCCACCAAAGCTGGGCAGGGCCCACAGGTCATGGCCCAGCACCCCCGCCCCACCCCTACCCTCACCCTGCAACAAATGCCAGGTCAGCAGAGTGTCTGCCACCGTGGAGGACTCGGGGACCCATCCGCTTTCCTGAGGGCTCTGGGGGCTTCAGTTCGGACCCTCCCCAAAGCTGGCCCGAGGGTCTGCAGTGGGAGAGCAGGACTGGGGGACCTGGGCAGCTCCCACCTGACCCATGCACACTATCGGGTGCACGAGAGGGGACCACAGAACCAGCCTGGGGACCCAGAGCGGGCTTGTCCTCCCCTCCTGGAGAGGGTGGCACCCACCTCTGGGGCTTCCTGAGTCCTAGGGGAGGACATTGGGCCTGTCCTGTGTCTCAGGCAGCCCTCGCCCAAGCTGGCCCAGTGACCGCTGGGGCCCTGAGCACCTTGAGCCTCTGAAACCATCCCTGGGCCAGGCCGCCAGGTTTGTTTTTTCCTTGGTGTAAGGGTTTGTTGATGTGGGGACTTTCCGCTTAATGCCACTCTAAGCTGTTAATCTTCAGGGACTTAGCGCCCCAGGACGTGTGAGCCAGAGGGAGGGGGCAGGTGGCTGGTGCCAGGCCCACATCCTTAGCCACCAGGCGGGGTACCGCCCTCCTGGGTGCCGGGCTCCATCCCCAGCCCGCTGCCTTCAGTCTGGGGTCCCCGTATGTGTGACACACAGCCCGCCTCTGAGCTGGTGGGGTGCAGCTTGCATGCCAAAGCCCGCCCAGGACAGCTGACCTGTAACCATCTTCCTTGGGCCCCAGGGTCCCTGTCTGTACCCATCTTTGGACTTGGCACCTGCTCTCCTAAGCTGGGAAAGAAGAGGGTGGCCGCCTAGTGCCCCCCCCCCCCAATGGCCATGGAGAACCTCTGCACCTTCTTTTTTTCTCCCTGGATTTGGACTCAGGGCCTTGGGGCTGAGCTATACCCCTCACCCGATTTATTTTGGAGACAGAGTGTTGCTAAACTGTGCATATTGGGCTGAAACTCATAACCTTCCTGCCTCAGCTTCCCAGAGTGCTTGGGGTGACAGGTGTGTGCCACTGTGGCTGTCTCCCGCAGTCTCTTTGTTGTTGTTTTGAGACAGGGTCTCACGTGCATCCAGGCTTCCTGTAAACTCAGTGTCACCCAGTCTGGCATCAGTGCTGCCTCGGCCTCCAGAGTGCTGGGATGACAGGCATGGATGGCTGAGGCCACACTTGGTAGCTGTGGGTGGCTGGGGTGGACACACGGATCGTGTCCTAGAACCGTGGTGGCGTCCCTGGCTGGAGGATTTCCGGCATGTCAGTACCCCATTAGGGAAAGGCAGTCTGGGAGCCCAGGTAGAGTCTCAGCTGGGGTGTGCCCTGCCGTCCCCTCCGCCCCTGCTCACTGCTGTCCTGCTCTGTCCCCGCAGATGTTCCCGCTGCCTGTGGCTAACGGGAAGGGCCGGCCCACCTCCCTGGCTGGAGCCCAGTTTGGAGGTTCAGGTAGGACCGAGGGCCCTGGGCATCACGGTGTGCTGTGGAGGGGCTGGGCTCACAGGAGGTGGCCTGGTAGATGAGCCCCGCCGACGCAGTGTCTCCTCGTTCCGGTCTGGCCAGAGTAGCTTTCCTCTCAGAAGCCCTGCGGTTCCTGGCTTCCCTGAGACTCTGCCTGCCCCCCAATACTGGCAGTGGAACCCAGGGCCCTTGCACTGAGTTACAACTGCCTCCCGCGCCTGTTTTTTTTTTTGTTTGTTTGTTTTTTTTGTTTTTTTAATTTTAAGACAGGGTCTCACTAAGTTGCCAGGTCTAGGCTCAAACTTGCTACCCTCCTGCCTCAGCCTCCCAGGAGTACTGGGGTGACAGGGATGCATCACCGTGCCTCGCTTCCCTGGCTATTTAATTTTGTTTGCTTTTCCACTTTTTTGCACAGTAGTTTAGGCTGGCCCTGAACTGGTGTTGCTTCTCCTGCCTCAGCCTCCGGAATGCGGACATCCTGGCTGTCTTTTGTCAATGAGTGTGTAAGGTGCTTGTCCTGTGCAGGGCCCAGCCTGTGGGTGACCAGCCATCCCATTCCCACAGTTGAGGGGGCTTCCTGAGGCCCGGAGCTTGGAGCCCTGAAACAGGAAGCTTGCTGGGTGGACGCAGCATGTCAGTGAGCCCAGCTGCTGACCGGCAGTGGGCAGGGCTGAGGGCCAGAGAGCTGGTGACGGGATGGCAGGACTCACTCGTGCTGGGGAACAGGGGCTGCAGGCTGCTCAGGGCGGGCCTGGGGCAGGTCAAGGGAGCGGGCAGAGGCTGGCAGTTCCTGTGTGTGCGAGGGCAGGGTCCCCAGGCAGGGGAGCATGAGCGGGCCCGGGGCAGCCCGAGCCCGCAGGAGGGAGCCGCTGGCCTGGGAGGTGGGGAGCAGAGGGTGGGAAGCAGGCATCGGGGTGCAGGTGGAGGGGCGGGGACAGGTGTGTCCTGAGGCCTCAGTCCAGTCTCAGGCACTTTGGCCCCTTTGGGGCCTGAGCAGCTTCCTGGGGCTCGGCCTTCCCATCTCCAGGATGGGCTGGGAACCCCGACTGAGACTCCTGGGCTCACTGGAGGCCTCTGGTGGGAGGGCAGGTTTCCTGAGAGTGTAGAGGGGTCTTGTGCATTTGTACCCCCACCAGAGGGCTGTGGCAGTGCCAGCCCTTGCTGGCCTTCCGCTCTGGCTGAGGAAGTGGCCTCATGCTGGCCAGGCGCTCCCCAGGACATGGAAATCCCCGAGGCCCCTGCACCCCGGAAGTGGCCCTCGGGACAGAGGGACGATGCTTCCTGGTGAGGGCAGAGGGTCAGCTGGGGGCTTGGGGCTGCGCGCTGTCCTCCTCGTCCCCCGGCTGACTGCAGCTATCCCCGCTCCTCCCCTCTGGGCCTCCCACCAGTCACCAGCGGCCAGAGCCATAGGGTGGATGCTCAGGACGCCCTGGGAACCCTGCTGCCCGGCTCCCACTCAGCCTCTCCCAGATGCCTGTCGTGGCGTGGTCAGGGGCCCTGTGGACACATGTGGGCTGACCCGGTGGCTCCTGGCCTCGACCCTGTGGTGCAGCAGACCTGAGAGTCCAGGGACTCCCCTCCCGCCCCCGCTCCCCAATTCACCCTGTAGGCGACAGGAAACTTGGAGCCTTAAGACCTGAACTGAGCAGCACCCTCTCACCACTGTTCCCTGCCGGGTGACCCAAGTCACCTCGTCTAAAGGGGGTGTGGGTCCGGTCCCCAGGCTGAGCCCCGGTCCCCTTTCTGCCCTCAAGGAGCAAAGATTCCAAGTGGGGAGCGCTTGGGAGGGCGGGGCCTGGGGGTGGCCATTGTCCTCCGGGAGGTCCCTGGGCCGGTCCATTCCTGCAGCCGTGGTGCTCTGGTGAGCCTTCCCTCAGGGCGACATCTCCCCTCACCTCACTGCCCAGTCCACAGTGATGTCGAGGTCTCCGTACCCCGCCCAGCCCCGTGCAGGTGCCAGCAGGCAGGGCCGTGGCCCCTCACCCCACACCGCCACTGTCCCCTCCCTTGTCCATGCCGTCCGATCTGTCCTCCGTCTGCCACGTGGGTGGACTCAGGCCGGGGGGACACAGCTCAGTGGCACAGCGTCTGCCTGGCAACTCGAGGTCATGAGCTTGGTTCCCAGTGCCAGCAAAAAGACGGCACGTGTCCCCAGATCGCGCAGCCGACGCTCAGGGTGTGTCCCAGGAGAACCCAGGTCGAGTGCTGACTCAGTGCTGTGTTCCTTCCTGTTTGCTTTGCATTACTGCATATTGAAAATGACCTATGGGCTGATGGGTTGATTTTTGTGTGTGTGTCTAATATTGGGGTGGAGCCCAGGGGCCCTGCTCCACCCAGCTATCCCCTCAGCCCTTTGTACTTCTTATTTCCAGGCAGAGTTTTGCTCAGGTGCCTACACAGGGCTCAGATTGGAGATCCTCCTGCCTCAGCCTCCCGCACTGCTGGAGTGGCAGCCAGCAGGCATCCCTGTGACCAGCAGTTGGCTCCCTTTTGTTGTGGTGTGATCAGCTGTTTAACAACCATGAAATAGAGACCAGCAGGTCCACCGTGCGTCATGGAGTGTGTGCGCCTTCCGAGCAGGGGGTCTTGGCAGGAGGCTGAGGCAGGAGGGTTGCAAGTTCCAGCCAAACCCAAGCAATTTAGCAAAAACCAGTCTCAGAAGCAAAAGCAGGGGCCAGGGGTTTAGCTCAGTGGCTCGAGCGCTTGCCTCGAGCTTGCCTGGTAAGCACAAGGTCATGAGTTCGATCCTTGGTACCAAAAAAAAGCAAAAGCAGAACAACGTGAGTCAGCATTTCTCAGGCTGTGCCCGTCTCACGCCAGCCTCGTGAGTGACACAGGTGTGCGTGTCCCTGTCACGCTGGCAAGCTGACAGTTGTGCCTGTTGGTGGACTGGCACCCTTGGCAGGGGCATTCAGCTCTGTTCCTGGAGCTCTGTGGGTTTTGGTTCTTGTTTGCAGACAGAGACCTCAAACATGCAGTCCTCCTGCCTCAGCCTCCTCTGCAGCCGGGGTTACACGCGGGTGGCGTGGTGCGCAGCTCGTCTTGTTTGTCTTTTTGTCCTGGGGTCCTGGGGACGGGACCTGGGGCCGGTGTGTGTAGGGCCAGTGCTTCCCACTCAGCCCTCAGAGTCCTGCCGGGTGCCCAGTCTCGTGGTTTGTGGGTGTTGTGGTGGCTGCAGAGGTGTCTTTTGGCATTGATGTGGTGCCCAGTCAGGGCCTTCTGTCTACCTTGGGTGGCATCACAGTCCCCTGCATCCAGCCCCTGTGATTCTGAGGTGACTCTGGGACCCCTTCCTGGGTCCCCTGGCTTGCTGGCAGCTCTGCCAGGCCTTTCGCAAGCCCGGTGCGGGCTGTGGATGGCAGGTCAGCTTTCTGTCTGTTACCTCAGGCGGGCCAGCCGCGGACACAGCTGACACCCTGCACTCCCGGGTCCTGCAGACACCGCCTCCCGAGGACCTCTGTCGCCCCCTCTAGCATTTTCTTGTTTTGGTACCAGAAAGCAAACTCAAGAGCTCACACTTGGTGGCATGTGCTGTGCCACTACGCCATGTCCCCAGCCTCTGGCATTTTCTTAAGGTGCCAGCAGAACCTGAGCTCAAGCCTGGCGTGGCGGTGTGTACTGTCATCTTAGTTACTCAGGAGGCCGAGGCAGGAGGGTTGCAGGTTTGGGACCAACCTGAGCCAGCTTAGCAAGGTCCTGCTACAGAGAATGAGACAGAACTCATTCCTTTTAGCCACATTTGAGAACGCAGACGCGAACTCCTAGTCCGGGGAGGCTGGGCTGGGCGTCCGTGCCCTCCGTCCCTTTGCCCTTGGGGGCGGCCACCTGCGTTATCTGTTCTATTGATTTTCCTTGCCAGGACGCAGCCTGATTGGGGAACCGATATTTTTCCATTGACTGCCTGCCCTCCCTCTTCTGCTTTGATCTTAACCGCTCCTCCTCCTCCTCAGGTTTTTTTTCCATCCCCGATCCAGACTGAAATTGAAGACCTGGTTTTTTTTACTCTGTTCTCTTTTATTTAGTAAGTAGGGTGCCGAGGGTGACAAATTTTCCTCTTGAGTCCCAGTGGCCGGACCCCCTGGGTGTAGTGTGTGGTCTCCGTCTATGGTAGCTACTTAGGTAATTTAAAAATCTCTTTTCCCTGGAGTTGTTTTATTGGACATTTATGAATTCCACATTGCAGGCGGAGAGTTGGTTTCTTTGTTTGGTTTATTTTTTGAGACAGCTCAGGCTGGCCTTTCATGCAGCTCAGGCTGGCCTTGCACCCACTACGGGGCCCAGGCTGGCCTCCAGCTCACAGCGATCCTCCTGCCTCAGCCTCCCAGATAGCAGGGAAGGCAGCCATCTGCCTCGGGGCCTGGCGCTGCTCAGTGTTTCAGGAGGCATCATGGTGTGTGGTGGTGGCGTCGGCAGTGGTTGTAATCACTGCTGATTGGTCCCAGGATCCCCAGGGACACCAATGACTATGGGCGCCCCTGACCCCTGTGTAAAATGGCCTGGCATTTGTGTTGGAGCTGCCCCTTCACCCACAGCCCGTGAGTCCTCCTGGGGACCCCTTGGCCCTCGCCCGTGCGGCACTGGGTACACAGCTGCTGTGTGGATGCTACAGATGGCCCACTGAGGCGATTGTGGTCCCGGGTACTTGGGAGACTGAGGCAGAAGATCGAAGCTCCCAAGACCAAAGCCAGCCTGGGCAATTTTAGTGACCTTGGTTGGGGGTGTACTGGGGATCAAACGCATGACCTGGTGCTTGCTTGGCAGGCACTTGTGCTGCTGAGCTAAACCCCAGCTGTGACCTTGGTTGTTTTTTTTTGTTTGTTTTTTGTTTTTGAGGCAAGGACACACTGTGTAGATCAAGCTGATTTTTAACTATGTAGCCCACGCCGGCCTCAAGCTTGCAGTGATCCTCCTGCCTCAGCTTCCCTAGTGCTGGGATGGCAGGCCTGCACTGAGATGCCCAGCCCTGTCTCAACTTTTTAAAAAAGGGCCAGGGATGCAGCTCTGTAGTACAGACAGGGCCGGCTCAGGTGTCGGAGGGAGGAGGGAGTGGGGTGAGGGTCAGGTCTTCTGTTAAGAGCTTGGGGAGCCGTGGGGGGCTGCAGAGGGGAGGGCGCTTCAGGCTTCTGTGGGCAGCATCAGCGGGACCTGGCTGGAGGGCCAGTAGCTGTCAGAAGTTTGAGACTGGGTGTCCAGGTGGAAAGGACAGGGTGGGGCTGGAGGTGGCCGAGCGCAGTCCTGCTCCTCCATAGGGCACCGCAGCCTCCATGCCGAGGCTGCTGTCTCCCGACGGGCCCTACTGTTCATTTCATTGCGTGGTGGGGACATCTGCACAGTGACTCAGTTCCACCATTGTCTCAACTGCATGGGTCGCGGCCAGGAGCGCTGTCTCCCCTTCACTGTGCTGGGGTGGAACCCGGGTCATCACCCTGATTTGCGTCCTGTCCCCTTTTTGCTTTCTAAGTTTTGCCTTTGAGATGTGGTCCTGCTGATGCGCTGAGTGGCCCTGGCTAGGTTTGAACCGGTGCCGGTCCTCCTGCCTCAGCCTCTTAGGCCTACCGGGATGTCAGGTGTACCCCAGAAACCTGACAGGTGCACCCTGAACTGGTGGTTGCTGAGGGCTCTTTTAGGAAGGGGACATTGGCTGAGCTGGCTGGGATCACAGGAGGAGGCGACCCCGAGGGACACAGGGGAGCCTCCAGCTGCTGCAGCTAGTTCTCGTAGCCAGCTGGGCATGTGGGCAGCTCTATCCCCCTAGAACAGGGACCTGAGTCCTCGGGGTGAGCCAGGCCTCGGGTCCCCACACGAGGGCGGCTCTCTGAGCTGCCATCTTCACTTTCCCTGCACTTACCGGTACCCAGCCCGATGAGCTAGTCTGTCAGGGCACAGGACAGGTGGCCTGGTGAATGCTCATGGTGGGTTGGTTTTTAAAAAGTGTGCTCAATCAATGCGGGTTTAGTGTCTGAACTAGTGGGTGGGGGAGGGTCTCTCATTCTGTCCTTTTCAGAAGGGGGACAGGCTGGCCCAGGATCCTGTCAAAGGGCGTCTTAGGCCCTCTCAGAGGGGCAGCTCCTCCCGTGGCTGACCTGGGGGCTCCAGGCCCGGCCCGAGCCTCTGCCTTGCTCCAGGGTGTCCAAGGGGGCTGTGGCCAGCGGAGGGGGCGGGTCAGGAGTCTAAAGGGACACAAGAGTCACCCAGCCCATATGCCCCTGCCTCCCCAGGAACCTGAGAGGGGGTCTGGGGTCATGAGGCGCAGGTACCCCCAAACTGGATGCCAGAGGGCTGGTGGGTCCGGCTCCTGAGGGTCCCTGCTCTCAGGCAGGCTCCTAGTCCCCACCCGAAATCAGGCTGGAAATTTTGATTTGGAAACAGAAATCTAAAGGAGAGGTGAATATTCACTAGGCCTGGAGATTAATATGCATAATCATGCAAATCAGCCAGCAGTTAAACACTGGGTCTTCTGGGAGGATGACTAACTGGAGGGCTGGGGTGGTAGGTGTGAGGGGTGGGCAGTGAGGGAGCTTGGGGCAGTCGCCCGTCCTGTGAGGTCTGTTTACTGAGGGGCCTCTGGGTGCACTTGGGGGCCGCCGTGCTCCTGCCCTGCAGAGAACAGCACCCTCCGCCCCAAAAGGAGGGGGTGAGGGGGGGCGAGTGAGACAGCGGGCCTTGGGGGCTTTGGGGGCCCAGCCGTTGCCTGCGCTGCTGTGCCTGTTCCCCGAGATAAGGCCCCGCCCGCCCTGCCCTGCTCCTTGGGTCGACCTTGTCCCCTGGGGCGGGGTACAGCCACCCTGGGGCCTGCTTCTCTTTCCTTCCAGCTGTCTAGCGGGGTGGCCCTGTACTTCTGAAGACAACAGTGGGTTGGTGGGGGGAACAACACACCCTGCTTTCTCGTGACTGGAGTTCATTGTTCGTTCCCCATCCTTTGAAGCTCTTTTGAGCCTTTCTCGAAAGATCAACACAGCGTGCCTGAAAGACATGCCCCATCCCTGTGTGATCAGGGTCAGACCTGAGCGAGAATCCCAGTATGGGAGTAGGGCTGTCCGCAGGGTGGTCACAGTGGGTGGGACTTTGACAGGTGGATAAGAGTTGCCCTTAAATTCAGCTGGAGGGCAAGTTACTATGCCGCAGGCCTGCAGATATGATCTGGGATGTCTGGGACCCCGGTGTGGTACCAGCTGGCTCGGTCTTGCTGGGCTAGGGCTGCACAGGGCTTCAGGTGGCTCTCATGGTTCCTTTCGCCCTGCAGGTCTCGAGGACCGCCCCAGCTCAGGATCCTGGGGCCCCAGCGAGCAGAACAATTCCTCTTTCGACCCAAGCCGGGTGAGGAGTGGGCTCCCCTTCCTAGGAGGGGGTAGGAAGGTCGAGGAACCGTGGCCTGGGCCTGGCACTCACACCCCGCCGTCTCCCCAGTCCTACGGCGAAGGCACCCACTTCAGTGATTCGCACGGTGGCCTCTCAGCGTCGGCATTCCTGGGATCCGGGCTCGGAGGTGAGTGTGGCCCAGCTGTAGCAGGGTGCCGAGGTGCTGGCCATCTTTTGGGTGCCAGATACTTAGTCTTCCTGTCTGTGTGGGCCTGGTGAGGGCCCCGGCAGCCCAGGTGGCGGAGCTTCTAGTGGGTCAGCTCCTTGCCAAGTCAGCACTTGGCTCTGTCCACTTCCGAGCCTCAGTTTCCCCGCCTGTGGGATGGGATCCCCCGAATTTCCTAGTCCCCAGCATTACCACCCCACTTACCTACCCACAGAGTCACACAGCAGGTCACAGTGGCCCCGCTGAGGCTGATGGGAAGGGCCGCAGCCTGCACCTGCGTCCTCCTGCCAGGCCCCAAAGTGTGTCCTGGCGACACAGCCAAGGCCAAGAACCCTGAATGCACCACTGGGTTTAGCCACCGATGCTGGCCACGGACTATGTGTCAGTGGGGAAACTGAGGCCTGGGGGATCACTGGGGTAGCCTAAGCCTGACCAGCATCATGGCCCGAGTGCAAAGCGTTGCAGCGGGGAGCTTGGCCCTGCCCACCTGCCCTGGGTCAGCAGGGCCAGGAGAGGTGGCAGCAGCCGATTCCAGCCGTGTTGTTCTGGGCCTCTGGCGCTTTCAGAATAGCGATCCTTGGGGTTGGCCATGTGTTTTTAAACAGTCTTCTTTTTGAGGCAGAATCCTGTTAAATTGCCCAGGCTGGGCTGGGCTGAAGCTCTTCCCAGTTCCCCCTTTCCTTTCCCTGCTCTGGGGTGCAGCGGGCTCCCAGGTGAGCCGCGCCGTGGGCCGTTGCGCGTCTTCAGCTGAGCACTGCGTGCGCCTCGGATCGCACTTCAGGGTCCGGGCTATAAGTGGGGGGCCTGATTGTCCCGTGTGCCCCGTATGTTCCTGGCCGTAACCCTTCGTCTGAGGCCCAGCTGGCGAACACTTCTGTCCATAGCTGGGCAGTGTCCTCCCTCTGGTGGTGTTCTCTCTGGCCGTGTGGTAAGGTGCGGCCCTGTCGCTGACTTCGTGACGGCTCCTGCGCCGTTGGGGTCTGCTCTGCGGCCTTTGCCTACGCCAGTGTCTTCAGGAGTGCTGCCCGACCTGTCTGCCAGCAGAGCCAACGTTTCTGTTTAATACTGAGGTCTTCGATCCAGCTCCTGTTTAGTTCAGTGCACGGTGAAAGATAGGGGTCTGACTTTATTTTGTTTTATTGGTGCCAGGGATTGAACTCATGACCTTGCACTTGCCAGGCAGGGACCTGTGCCACTGCGCTAAACCCCCGGCCAGGGCCTAATGTTAACCTTGGGCCTGTGGAGACCCAGGTTTTCCCAGAGCCGTTCAGCTTTCTTCCAATGAACCTGTTCGGCACCTTTGTCAAAGAGAAGGCGGCAGAGTGTGTCTACATCTTCTGATCTGTTCCATTGAACCTTAGGTTGGGTTTAAACTTTCGATCCTCCTGCCTCAGCTTCCCAGCATGCGGGGCCCGGCTAAGAGCTCTAGTGTTTGTTCAAACGACAGGGTCTGCCGTCCAGCGCTCCACCCACGACAGGGCTTGTTTACCATCCAATTTTCCTTAAGCTTAATGTTACTGTTTTTTCTTTTAAATTTAAAAAATCTTGAGGTTTATGTATTTACTTTTTTCTTTTTCTTTTTGAGACTCACTGTACAGTTCGGGCTGGCCTTGAGCTCGCTTTGTAGCCCAAGCTGGTCTCGGACTCTCAACTATCCTCCTGCCTCAGCCTCCCAGAGCTGAGATGACAGATGTGCACCACCACGCCCAGCCTGTGCATTTTCTTTGGAGACAGGCCCTCACTGTGTAGTTCAGGCTGCCCCTGAACTACTCACAGCAAAGTCCAGGCTGCCCTTGAATTTGCAGCAGTCCTCCTGCCTCAGCCTCCCCCGGGTCTTGAGACTACGGGCCTGCACCACTCTGCCCTGTCCTAGTCCTAAGGAGGCTGATGGCTGAGGTACCAAGCAACCTAAGCACCTGTGCTGGATCCCAGCGTCCTGCAGTGACAGGGGTCTGTCCACACAGATGTCCCCCACAGCCACACACCTTGCCTGCTCCTCCTGCCCAGTGGTTGGAGGCACTACACAGGTGCCCGTGCTTACACGGGTGTGGGTCAGGTCACGGAGTGACTGCTGCCCTGGGAGTTGGGGTGCCGCGTCCCTCACCCAGGCCCTGGGCTGGGAGCGAGCTTGTGGGACAGGGGCTTGCGCACCCGGCCCCTGTGGGCACAGCGCAGGCTTCTAGGGTTCCGCTAGGGACTCGGGCCCCATCTCTGAGGCAGGAAGCAGACCAGGCGAGGGCAGGGCATGTTTCTGGGGTGCCCAGGCTTGCAGACAGTGCTGTGTCCAGCTGATCCCAATGACCGAGGGATGCCGGGGTCCCTGCCGCTCCAGGTGGCGGGAGGCTCCCGAGCAGGCAGGGCCGCGTGGCATCCATCCCTGTCTCCCATGTGTCGTGCGTGCCTGTTGCGCGGGCCCCTCTAGGTCTGCTTAGTGTCCTCTTCCTTCCCTCTAGGCAAGGGCAGCGAGCGGGGCGCGTACCCCACCTTCGGGAGAGAAGCAGGGCCCGGCCTGACGCAGGTGAGTGTGCTGCTAGCCCACGGGCACTCTACCCCACTTCCTATACCCCAGGATTGAACCCGGGGCCTGCTTGGAGACCTGTCCTGAGCCCTTCATATCTGCATTATGAGATGGGGTCTGAGTTGCCCCGGCCAGACTGGGCTGTGCCACCCCCCTGCCTCAGCCTCAGCGCTGGCCACTGCCAGGCTGGGCCGTTTCTGCCGTCCTTATGTAGACGACGGCGTGGCTTGAGCTCCATAGTGCTATGGATCCCAGAACAGGGCTGGCTTTGTGGAAGCTACGTCCCAGGCAGGCAGAAGGGACACCTTCGTCCAGTCACCTTGAGAAACGCCCAAGCACCCTGAGCTCTGCGGGCGGGGGGGTTATAAGCCAGTGGGTCAGCCGGCGCCCCATGACCTGTCCTCCCCCAGGCTGGCTTCCTGCCAGGAGAGCTGGCCCTGAGCAGCCCCGGGCCGCTGTCCCCCTCAGGCGTCAAGGGCAGCTCATCATATTACCCTGCCTTCCCCAGCAACCCCCGACGAAGGGCCGCGGACGGTGGCCTGGGTGAGTGGGGATCCTGGATGAGTGGGGCCAGGGCTGTGAGTCTTCCTGGTAGCCAAAGACACAGGGTGGGGTGGCCGCCCACATTGCCTTGTGGTCCTGGCTGGTCCCAGGCGGGAGGGACGGGAGCAGATACCACTCAACCTCGTGGTCCCCAGTGCCCCAACCTGTTGCTCCCGGGAGATCCTGGGTTGGGCACCTGGGAGCGGCTTTGCTGTCAGTGGCCCAGACACCGGCCCTAGCTCTGTGTCCCCGAACCCTGAGACTGGGCCAGCAGCACTGTCATATGTGGGGTCCCTGTCAGGGCCTGGCAGCCTCTTTGTGCCACTGAGGGGCTCTGCACCCTGGGCAGTTATAGCTGCGAGGTCCCCGAGGGAAAGTGAGGGACCCTGGATGGGTGCGGTCCAGCCTCATGACATCAGGCACTCACTGCCCTGCTGTGCCTGGCCCCGAGTGCTGGGGAGGGGGCTGCTGACGCCAGCTCAGGGTCACCAGTGTGCTGGGACCTCATGGACTGGCAGGGCCAGGGGTGACGTTGGGTGACTGCAGACCTGTCCCTGGGCCCCATTGGGAGGCTCCAGGCGTTCAGTAGTTGTGCCGCATGGCAGGTATGAGAGTTCCCGAGGGTAGCGCAGGGACCGCAGTGACCTTACCTCTTCTTCCTTCCACAGACTCGCAGCCCAAGAAGGGCCGCAAGGTCCCGCCCGGCCTTCCTTCCTCGGTGAGTGGGGGCCTGGGGACACCTGCACCGCACCCTCAGGGCCGGGCTGAGCCTCCCTGTGGAGGGCGCCCACCCAGGGCCCGACCCGGCCTTAGCTTGGGCCCGGCCTCCTCCTCACTGTGGCCACTCTGGATGGGGCCACGGGGCTCACAGGCCAGGTGTCCTGAGGACACCGCGGTGCGACCCCTCTGCCTCTGGCTAGAGCACTGTCCCCACCTTCCGCTGGGTCAGGTCAGGGTGGCGCCTGGGCTGATTTAGGACTCACCTTGTCATGACCCCAGCCGTCTCCCTGCCGCCCTCAGCTCTGCCGAGGCAGCCCATCTGGTGTAAAACCGTCTTCCAGCCTGGACTCCAGGTGGCGGCAGCCCCTCCAAGTTGGCCCTGACCAGGGGTGCCCTCTGACCCACCTTGGGCCAGCCACAGTCAGGCATTACTTCCGGGCTCTGCCTGAGACCCCAAGTCTGTGACTGGGGCTTGAGGCCAGGGGAGGATCTGAGCCAGGACAGTAAGGGAGAGCTGAGGGTATTGGAGCTGGGACTTTGATGGGTTTATAGCAGTTTGCCGGATGAAGGAAGAACAAGCCATTGTAGGTGGAAACCAGTATCAGAAGCCACAGATGCAGGAGGCTGGAACTGAAGGACGGGAGGCAGGAAGAAACGGGTGGAAAAGTCGGAGAGGGACACGGAAGCCAGCAGCACCTCTGTCTCGGGCGGGGGCTGGGGCAGGAAGGGCTGTAGACTGTCACTTGGTGGGGGCGGGGACATGGCGGGCACAGGGCTGGCTGTGGCCCCGCCTGAGAGCACCCCTGCCCACCTGCAGGTGTACCCCCCCAGCTCAGGTGATGACTACGGCAGGGATGCTGCCTACCCCTCTGATAAGACCCCTGGCAGCAGCTACCCCAGCCCCTTCTACATGGCGGACGGCAGCCTGCACCCCTCAGCAGAGCTCTGGAGCACCCCCGGCCAGGCAGGCTTCGGGCCCATGCTGGGCGGCGCCTCCTCCCCGCTGTCCCTAGCCCCCAGCTCGAGCAGCTCCGTGGGTGGCAGTGCATTTGGTGGCCTCCAGCAACCTGAGCGCATGGTAGGCTGGGTGGGGGCAGCTGGGGGGTTCTCGCTTCTGCTGCGTGATCCCCACTTCCTGACCAATCCCTGCCTGCACAGGGCTACCAGCTGCACGGGGCTGAGGGGAACGGTGCACTCCCCACTGTGACCACCTTCTCGGGTCCTGGAGCCGCCTACAGCAGTGTCCCCAGCCACACACCACCTGTCACTGGGGCCGACAGCCTCCTAGGTACGGACAGACGGATGGAGGGCTGGAGGAGGTGCTGGGCATGCACTGGGCCTCCCTGCTGTCACCTGAGGACCCCAACAGTCCCCAGTGCCTGGTTCCAGCAGCCACCAGAACTGGGCAGGCACCCCTCCCTGGTGCCGGCCCGGGCTGCTGTGTCCAGGCTGGGTCCCAACAGTGATCCTGCACGCAGGCAGCTCACCTCTGTCCACCCACAGGCTCCCGTGGGACCTCAGCCGGCAGCTCCGGGGATGCCCTTGGGAAGGCGCTGGCCTCGGTGAGGCAGGGTCCCGGGGGCTGCAGGGGGCTGTGACCCCTTGTACACTGGCCCTAACTACCACCCTGTGCCGCCCCCGTGCAGATCTACAGCCCGGACCACTCCAGCAGTAACTTCTCACCCAGCCCCTCTACCCCCACGGGCTCCCCACATGGCCTGACTGGTAAGTGGGCACCCGGGTCCTGTGCGGTGAGCTCAGGCCCTCCTGGGCCATGTGGGCAGGCTCTGGGGGAAGGCCGCCTGGGCTGTTCTCATCTGGCAGATCCCTGTGTCTGGGTTAAGAATGACCCTGGGGAGCCGGGCGTGGTGGCTCACGCCTGTCATCCCAGCACTTGTGAGGCTGAGGCAGGAGGATCGCTACGAGTTCCAGACCAGCCTGGGCTAGAGTGAGCTCAAGGCCAGCCTGAACTGCATAGAGACCCTGTTTCAAAAAAAGAAAAGAATGACCCTGGACACAAGCAGGGGTGTGGCCCACACCTATCCCCCAGCACTGAGCTGAGTCTGGAGGGTCCAGATCCCGTGCAGCTCTTGTAAACCCCTCCCTCCCTGCCTCTGTGCCCGCACCCCCTCCGCTCAGCCCCTCCTGCTTCCTCCAGGGACCTCACAGTGGCCTCGAGCAGGAGCCCCCGGTGCCTTATCGCCCAGCTACGACGGGGGACTCCATGGCCTGGTGAGCTGCTCTGCCCGATGGAGCCTGGGGGGTCCGAGGTGTCTGCCGCGCTCAGGAGGCCACCCTTTGGGCCCCATGACAGCAGAGTTGCCATGGGACAGGTGGCCTTTGACGGGATGACTAGAAAAGGTGGGGTACGCTTGCCATCTCAGCTCCCTGGACACTGAGGCAGGAGGACCCCGAGTTCAGGCGAGCGGCCATCCTGGCCCAGTTGAGGGGGAGCCATGCCAAGGAAGCTGGAAACCTTCGGCAGCCAGAGGTTGCCAGCTGTGTGCAGGGGGGCTGTGCGTGTGTGTGCGCCTGCATGAGGCCTTGGGCCCGGGCCTCACTGCCCGTCGTGCACCTGCAGAGCAAGATGGAGGACCACCTGGATGAGGCCATCCACGTGCTCCGCAGCCACGCCGTGGGCACCGCTGGCGACGTGCACAGCCTGCTGCCCAGCCACGGCGCTCTGGCCTCCAGCTTCGCCAGTCCCATGCCAGTGGGCGGGCGCCACACAGGCCTGGTGAGTGTTGGGGCCGAGGGGGCCGGAGGCTGGGCCACACCCGGCTCCGCCACCTCACAGCCCCCGCCCCTGCTCCCACAGGTTGGGAGCAGCCACCCTGAGGATGGGCTCTCGGGCGGTGCTGGCCTCCTGCACAGTCACGCGGCCATCCCCAGCCAGCCTGGGACCTTACCCGACCTCACTCGGCCGCCGGAGTCCTACAGCGGTGAGTCCCACGCCGCCAGCTTCCGCCCTCATGGAGCCTGCATGCTTGGAGCTACAGCAGGGGAGACTGAGGCACAGGAGCACAGCAGGGCGGGAAGGGCCAGCTCACCAGGGGAGCTGAGGCGAGGAACTGTAACTGTGTTCCCTTTTGGGGGTGCCAGTGACACAGATGGCAGTGTTCGGGGCGCAAGCAGACAGCAGGCCTGGCGTTCACCTCTTGAGCTCCCCGGGCTGTGCCTGTGCGCTCATCCTCTGCATGACGTGGCTCCGTGTGCTGGCACTGAGTGGGCACTGGGAAGTGAAAGGGGTAGGGGCTGGGCATGGCCGTGCCTTGTCATCCCCACACACTGCAAGGCTGAGGCTCGAGTGCCAGGTTTGAGCCAGCCTGGGCATTTAAGTGACTAAGCGAAGTTCTGTGTCAAAATAAAAAGGGCTGGGGGTACAGCTCAGTGTAAGGCCCTGTTGAAATGAGGGCAGGGGGGCAGGCTGCTTAGCTTTGGTGCTGTCTGGGTAACAAGGGAATGTTCGGCACAGCCTGGGAGGGGGTGAGAATGGACAGGTAGCAAGGGAAGAGTCCCAAGCAGTGAGCATGGCCTGTGCAAAGGCCCCGGGGCAGGACAGGCTGGTGTGCTAGGGACCTAGATAGCTGGAGCAGTGGGTGCAGTGGACGTGGAGAGGGGCTGTGCACTACAGGCGGGTCCTGCAGGGCTATGCAGGCTGCAGGGAGGTCACCAGCTTTGGCCCTGAAGGAGAGGAGAGCCTTGGAGGCTGCAGGTGGAAAAGCTGCCTCCTGGGTGCCCTCCAGCAGCTGTCTTGAATGCATGGGGATTGCTTGGAGACGTGCAGCTTCCAGCATGGAGGCTTAGAGGTCAGAGGCGCTGCCCACATCCCTGCAGTGTCCTGAGCAACTCAGCCCCAAATGCCAGCAGTAACAAAGAGTCTCGGGCCTTAGTCTGTACTCACGATGCCCCTGGCCCCTGCTTTGCCCCCTGCTGCTTGTCTATTGCAACCTGGGCTGGGCCCACGGCTGGCACATTGCAGACTGTGTCTGAGGGCTGGATTCAGTGTGGCCGAGTCTGCGGCCATACGCTTCCTACTTCGAGGGTGCTGTAAGCAATCGGGGCCTCCAGGGGCATGGGTGCACTGCCCTCGGCTTCCCTGGGCTCTGTGCTGGTGTGTGACCCCGGCCACCTGCAGGGTGTGCTCTGGGCGCAGGGGAAGGGGCCCTGAGCTGCACCTGAAGTGGCCAGGCCACTTCTGAGCCAGCTGTGGGCTTTGAAGCAGTTGTCCGCCGTGCCCTGCTTTGCGTTTCTCCGGTGTCTGGATGTGCCCAGGGTCTCTGCTCTCCGCGCAGCTTCCTTGGGGTGCCCCCCTCCGCCGCCCTGGGTTTTCTGTGAATCTGCTCTTGCACCCGTGTGAAGTCCTTTGCATATTCTCCATGTGAATCCCGGCCCAGGCTGGGCCACATACTGAATCCTACAGCATGGCTGGGGATTTAGCTCAGTGGCACAAGCGCCAGCCTGGCGAGCCCGAGGCCATGAGTTTGACCCCCCGGACCCCGGTACCAAAAAAAAAAAGAAAATGAATTTAAGGCTAGCTCCAACATACAATGAGACGCTGTCAACAAAACAAAACAAAAAAACCCATAAGCTCCGGGCTGTAGCTGAGTGCGGCGGTCCGGGTTCCGGTCGGCGGAGTACCGATGCCGCCAGGGTCTTACCAGGCCGGGCCGGGCGCTGTTCGCGGCGAGGAGTAGGCGGCGGCCCCTGACCCAGCGCTCCTTGCAGGCCTGGGCCGGGCGGGCGCCGTGGTGGGCGCGGGCGAGATCAAGCGGGAGGAGAAGGAGGACGAGGAGAACGCGGCTGCCGCCGCAGACCCAGCCGAGGAGGACAAGAAGGAGCTGAAGGCGCCGCGCGCGCGCACCAGGTGCCAGCCCCCCGCGCCCCCGCCTGCGCCCCGCACCCCCAGCCACCGCCCCGCCTCACTGTCTCCCTTGGCCCCCGGCCCCCCTCCCCCGTAGCCCAGACGAGGACGAGGACGACCTTCTCCCCCCAGAGCAGAAGGCCGAGAGGGAGAAGGAGCGCCGGGTGGCCAATAATGCCCGCGAGCGGCTGCGGGTGCGGGACATCAATGAGGCCTTTAAGGAGCTGGGGCGCATGTGCCAGCTGCACCTCAACAGCGAGAAGCCCCAGACCAAGCTGCTCATCCTGCACCAGGCCGTGTCGGTCATCCTGAGCCTCGAGCAGCAAGTGCGAGGTCAGTGGGCGCCGCTGGCGGCGTCCGCACCCCTGTTCTGCTGCCTCCCTGCTTCCCAGCCACCCCGTGACTGGCCCCGCCCACGGACGGACCGCACCCTGCCCACTGACTGGCCACGCCTCCTTGCGGGGCGGGGCTGCTGTGTTGACCACACCCCTAAAGCCCTCATGTTGGACTTTCCTGAAGTGACTCCTCCCAGTGACGGCTGCCTCTTTCTCCATGCGCATGCGCGCACAGGCGCATGGTCACTAGTGACAGTCCTGACCCGTGCCCCTACCACCCCTATCGTCCTCCCACCTGAGGACCGACTATTTCCTCCCTCACCACTGACGGTCAACCCTTCTCCCTTCCTGGCCTCAGGGATCCTTCCACTTGGCTTGCCTCACCTGCATCCCTGGACCCAGGTCCCTGCCCCCTGCTCCTGCTTCTTGGGTACTAGTGTTCCCAAGATCCCAGAGCGGCAAACTGCTGTCTGAGCTTCCTGGTCTGCGCTCCTTACTCAGTGTTCCCTGCAAGCGGGGGTTTTTGTTTCGTTCCGGGTTTTATCATTTTGCGGTGACAGGTTGGGACTCCGGCCTCGCGCATGCGCCCGGGTCTTCCCCCACCCCCCACCCCCGTACAGGGCCAGGTGGGGATGGACAGTGAGGCCCCGCCCTGGACTGGCTGCCCCTCCCTGCTGGCCACTGCTTTTTTAATCCGCTCCTGCGCGCCCCTTAACCTTTCTCTCCCACAGCCACTGCCACCCTGGCTTGGAGGTGACCGCGTCGCCTGTGCGGCACGTGTGTCCTGCCGCGTCCCCGCGCCTCCTCTCTGCTCTCTTCCTGTCGCTCCCTGCGCCGCCGCCTCCGCCTGCACGGCGGTCCCCCACCTCGCACTTGCTGCCAGGCTCCTCGGGGCCCCTCCCCCAGGTCCCCAGGCCTGGGGGGAAGGACAGCACCCGCACAGCCGGCCTCGGGGTCTCAGTTTGGTCTGCGCGCTTGTCCTGGGCTCCAGCCGTCCCGAGAGTAGGCTGGGCACACGGAGCGTGGGGTCGGTGGCCCTCGGCGCTGGGCGCCAGCTCTGCCCAGGGGGTAACCAAGGCAGGGGAACGAAACACTGGGGACTGTAAAACCCTGCGGCCGAGGTAGGGCCTGTGTCCCCGGGCAGGGAAGGACTGCACCTTGTTGCTGTTCCCCAAAGGGCAGGTCCAGCACCACGTGCTCTGTGGCCCCCTGGCTCTTGCAGGGGACGCCCTTAAGGCCCGGACAGTGAGGGTCCTGGATGTGAAGGGAGCCTCGCTCCCACCCAGGGCCCGGGGAGCGGAAGAACTCTCCCTGGCTAACCATCCCAGGCCGCCGGACCCGGGTTCAGAGACCCAGCTGCTTTCAGCAGGGCAGGTCATCTTGTACTGTCACCCGCACGCTCTGTCCCTCAGGGGTGCTCTGGAGAGGGAAGGTCGTCGCATAGGCGGGGCGCAGGTCCCCATGAGGTCACATCCTCCCTTCCCGGGGCGGGGAGCAGGCAGGCCGGGTCTGTCTCCCGAGCAGATGCCATCCCGCGGGTCTGGGTTCCCTGACCTCTGCGGGCCACGTCCAGAGCAAGTGTACGGTGGTCACCACGGGTCACAGTGCCATAACCACCAGCACCCACCGCGCCCCATGCTGCCACCATCTGTCTCTCACAGAGCCGCACACCAAATACCAGTTGCCACCCACACCCAGCGTCTCTCATAGTGCTGCACCCAACACTAGCTCTTGCCCACCCTGCCACCCACCCTGGTGTCACCCACGTCCGTGGACACCCTTCCATACCCCGCCCCGCCTGTCACTAACGGAGGCCCGGTGCTGTGACCCAGCAGTACGGAAGAGGTGCTGTCCTTGGAGGAGAAGGACCTGAGGGACCGGGAGAGGCGCATGGCCAATAACGCGCGGGAGCGGGTGCGCGTGCGCGACATAAACGAGGCCTTCCGGGAGCTGGGGCGCATGTGCCAGCTGCACCTCAAGTCCGACAAGGCGCAGACCAAGCTGCTGATCCTGCAGCAGGCTGTGCAGGTCATCCTGGGCCTGGAGCAGCAGGTGCGAGGTAGGGTCCCCGGCCAGCGCGGGCGGACGCCCCCATCCCGCGGCCCCAGGCTCTGCGCCAGCCCAGCAGCCGCGGGACCCGTGGACCAGAGCGGCCCCGCCGGCCCCTGCCCTCCTTGCGTGCCGCCCCTGGCGGGCTCCTTCCAGGGACCCAGCCCCACGCCACTCTCCCTTCCCCCCAGAGCGCAACCTGAACCCCAAAGCAGCCTGCCTGAAGCGACGAGAAGAGGAGAAGGTTTCGGGTGTGGTCGGGGACCCCCAAATGGTGCTTCCGGCTGCCCATCCGGGCCTCAACGACACCCACAATCCTGCCGGGCACATGTGACAGGGACGCAACGAGGGACCAGTCTCGCTCCAGGACCCCTGTGCTCGGATGTCGGCGGAAGGGTCCGCACAGAGGGCTGCCCGGCACTGACCAGCCCCCGAGGCGCCCGGAGACCGGCCTGAAGGGGACCGAGGGGTCCAGGCGACCTGACTCACCTCCACCAGCACTAGCCACTGGCCCTCGGAGCGTGACCTGCGTCTTGGCCCCGGGGACCAGGCTGGAAGGAGTGTTTTTCCTTTTTTTTTTTTTTTTTTGAAGGGGGGGGTGTTATAAAACCAGACCAGAAACCAACAAACATACCCTTTGTCAGAAGAAAATGCCTTAAGTATATAAAGAGGAGGACTCGATACATCACCCCGGAGGAGGGTGACCCTGCAAAGCTGGCATCTTTGAAAGCCGCCAGCAAATCGTGCCTAAGCGTATTTTTTTTAAGAAGAATAAAAAGAACATTAGTTACGAGGGTTTTTTTCTAATGTAGAAGAGAAAAAATTAGCAAAGATGTTGCCTTCGGTCTTTTTTTTTTTTAAGCTTTCTTTTGCATATGTTTTATAAGCAACAAACTTTTTGTATGAAAGTCTCGTGTCTCTTGCTGTTTCTAGAAGTCAGCGTGCATTTCATGGTCAGCCAGATTATTAAAAGTATTCAAAAGATCCAATGTCGGCCTCAGGCCCTCCTCCCGACGCTCGGTGCCCTGGAAGCTGCGCCAACAGCCCGGTGGCCGCGTCCCCTCCTGTGGGCCGAAGTGGCAGGGCTTTGCCCTCTTCCTTGTAGGCAGTGATGGCTGGGATTTCCCTGGGAGGCCCTCCCCAGCTTGTCCCTTTCTCAGGGATGGCACCCTCAAACGTTTCTGAACCCCTGACTTGGAAACAGGTCAAAGCCCCAACATCCCCGCAAAGCACCTGTCCCTCCTGGTCTCCCGCCCCAGGATACCGAACTAGTTCCCCCGTGAGCCTAGCATGGTGCCACAGCTCTGGCTCAAACTTGGGGCATGCATGGAGGAGCAGTGGCTCAAGAGACCAATGCAGGACACTGCCCCACCCACTTTGGAGGCTGAAGCAGGAGGATCCCCATGTCCAAAACTCAGCAGTGGAAATAGAACCCTGTCTGGGAGACAGGGTCCACTCCTGGAATGCCGCCTGGGACTGGGGATGGAGTGAGATGGACACTGCAGGGGGGCTGGGTCCTCTGCCCCAGGGCTGCAGAGCTCAGAAGTCTGCACTGTTGCCAGCCTCTGAGGTTCCCTGCTCTCTGCTGGAGCCTAAGTCTGGGCACGCTGCTCTGTACCAAACCACCCATGGCTCCCTTCCGCGGAGGGCGTCGCCTTCCTACTCCCAAGAAGTCTGCTAGGAACTGCTGCAAAACCACACCTCTGCTAACCCAGGGCACAGGTGCTGCTCGGGACCTGGGGTCTCCTGTATGCAGGAATCACAGCTGGGCTCGGGCTTGGCCTCCCCTTTCAGGAGTGGGATCATTCCTTGCTACTCAAAGTCAATGGTGCTGCTGCCAGGGGCAGATGGGGCCACGGGGCACCCTGGCCCTCCCCAACTCCTCATGTCTGAAGTAATGCTGGAAGCCAAGCCTGGGGATGCACGTGTCATTCACACACTCAGGCTGAGGCAGGGACAATGAAAGTTGGAGCTCAGGTAGCCGGGCGTGGTGGCCCAGCCTGTCATCCCAGCACTCGGGAGGCTGAGGCGGGAGGATTATTGGGAGTTTGAGACCAGCCTGGGCTACAAAGTGGGCTCAAGGGCAGCCTGAACTGCATGGGGAGACCTTGTCTCAAAAAGCCAAAATTGGAGTCCAGCCTGGAAAATTCAGTCATTTTAACGAAATCCTGTTTGAAAGAGGAAGAAGGAAAAAGGGCTGAGGATGTAGCTTAGTGTGAAGGCTCTGGACCCAACTCCTGTTAATGAATGAAATAACATAAGTGCTAGAAAATAATTCTCTTCCCTCAGTGACTCATAGCCACGTAGACAGAACATGATTGGTAGAAAGTGTTGTAGTTGCAAACAAAAAAATGAGATAGGGTTGCTGGGCGTGGTGCCACACACACACACAGCAGCATTGTGCAAAAGCACAAGCAACAGGGTCAGGGGGCTTCAGGAACTGCTGGATCCAGCCAGGGCCTTAAGCCTGTCCCCATCTCTCTTCTCCCTCCAGGAGACTTTTTCTCTCTTTTTTTTTTTTTTTTTTTTGTCTTTTCCCTTTTTATCAGTACCAGGGATCGAACTCACAACTGCCTGCTTGCAAGGCAGGTGCTTATGCCGCTGAGCTAAATCCCCAGCCCCTCTTTCTCTTCTTTATAGCCTTCGTGACACTTTCTGCATCCTGCTTTTAAAATTTCCACCAAGAGTTATCCCAAAGCCCCAACACCTCAGGACACCTAGAAAGATCTAGGGACAACATCCAGCATAGTAGCAGTAAGCAACCTTGGTACCCACACTGCTGCCTGTACACTGGGCATTGGCTAGGGACCACGCAGGTGGGACCCAGCTGACCCTGGAGCCCTGTAGAAGAGCTGTCACCACTGGAAAAGCAAACCTACTTCGCTATCCCTTACCACCAGGCCTACTTGTGATGCTACCCAAATCCTCTAGATAAAGACCCCACCTTCCACCTTTTATCTCCCATCCCCATATTGGGGGCTGAATTTAGGCCCTTTGCACTAGGCTACATTCCTAGCCTTTTTTTAATTTTTAAAAATATTTTGTTTGTTTTTGGAGACAGTTTTGCTATACAGTTCAGGCTGGCTTTGAACTGACTTTGTAGCCCAGGTAGACCTTGAATTCACAGCAATCCTCTTGCCTCAGCCTCCTGAGCGGTGAGTTTATGCGTGTGCCACCACATCTAGTTTCTAAATTTTGAGACAAGGTTTTGCCGACTTGCCCAGGCTGAGTTCTAACTGGTGACCTCCTACCTCTGCTTCTCACGCGAGTGCTGAGATGACAGGCACTCGCTGTGACCTTCAGCCCCGGAGGGCTGCCTGAGGGCGGTCCACTGGCTGGAAATGAAAATGCACACTGGTAGGCAGGCAGCTAGCCATCTGGAAGCTGGTCGCTCTTTTCAGCGCACACCTGCCGTGCGCGAGAGCTGAGGCTGGCAGCCGGGGCTTTACTGAGCTACATGACAAGCTCAGGAGATGGGAGGAGGCTTGGATGGACCAAGACGTGCCCCGCGCAGTAAGAGGAAGCCGCGATTTGAATTCCCAGGGATTTGGCAGGCGCGGGGCTCCCGAGAGGCCTGTCTCCCTCTGCTGCCGGCTGAGGGAATCGCCGGCGCTCTCTTACGAAAATGTGCAGATTTATATGACCGGGCCTTCAAGCACTCAGGGATGAGCTGACTGAGGCACCGCCGCTTGCCTACAATCCCGCGGCGAGTTCGTGATAAACCACGCCGCCTACCCTACACACACAAGTGGCTTCAAATTCCAGCCCTTGCCTTCCGCGTGATTCGGGACAAGTGCCTTCCCCATTTGCCTGCGTTCTCTTCGCTGAAGATAACGCTGGCATTAAGTGCTGAGATGACAGGCGGCGGCCACCGCAGCCAGCTAGACTGTCACCTTCCCATGCACGCTGCCCGGACGCCCAGCGGCTAAGCAACCCCGGAAGGCCGCCTGCACCCCCTGGGTGGCAAATGACTACAGTACAAAGTCACAGCTCAGTTGTTCTGGGTCATCCTGAGTTAGCTGCAGGCGACAGCGCAGGCGGGAGCACTCTGACACGCAGAAGAGACCCCAGCCTCCGCAACACGTGTTCGCCCCATCCACCCACCAACAACTCAACCACTAACGAGTTCCGGCCACGCCCGGAAATGACCGTCCATGCTTCCGGAACTGCGCGCGCAGCCGTCCGGCGGGAGCCGCGCAGGGCCTTTGATGCGCATGCGTGCGGCGTCTGCGCTTGCGCAGTGCGGCCGGGGCTCCGGACAGGGTGACCCCGGTTCGCGGACGGAGGTGCGATGTTGACCAGGTTCCTGGGCCCTCGCTACCAGCAGCTGGCTAAGAACTGGTGAGGACGCCGCCCGCAGCCCCATCCCCGCGCCGCCTCGGACGCCGGTCCGGGGTCCCCTCTTGGGCCCGCTGACGGAGGAAGACACAGGCGAACGCTCCGTTCCAATGCGCGCAGAGGTGGCGGACTCGAGGGTAGACCTGGCTCCCTCGCCCAGTGCCTTGGCCTCCGAGCCTCAGTTTCCCCATCAAGGCCCCGGCTCTCCCGGCACCTGAAACAACAAGCCCGACACCAGTTTGCACTGTTTTATGTTTAGTTTGAGACAAGGTCTCGCTGAGTTTTTGCAATCCTCTTGCCTCAGTCTCCTAGAGCACAGGGATTACAGATGTGTTCCACCACATCTGGTTGATTGTTCTGTTTTAATTTGCTTGAGACAGGATCTTGTGCTGTAATTCAAACTGGCCTTGAATTCACTGTGTAGTCCAGGCTGGCCTCAAACTCGTGACAATCCTCCTGCCTCAGTCTTCCTAGTGCTGGGAGGATAGGTGTGTGCTCCCACGCTGGGCATTAAATTGTCTTTAACAAGGTGCATGAAACCGATTCCCTTTTGGGAGCCAGGGTCAGATGCATGTGACCCTTCGTGGGAGCCAGGATGGGAGTGACCTCAGAGATCACCTACTGACCACACAGTATGCTAAGAAACCGGTGCTTATCCTGGAAGGGCAGTCGTGTCTGGCCAGTGGAGCTGGTCGGTGACCTTTGAGTTAGGCATTCCCAGAGAGCCGGCTGCAAGAGCCCAGAATCCCTGCCAGAGGAGATCTGGCTTTGGGGGGCCAGGAAGCAGGTCTTTGCAGGAGGCAGTGTGTGCTTGTGTCTGGGAACATGGAGGTGGGGTTTTGTTGGGTGGTCAGAGTGGCCTTTATTTGTGTCCTTCCTTGATACCTACTGGAGTCAGGGGAAGGCCAGTCGCCTTGGCATGTTCATGTAAAAGCAAATGATAAGTAACTGTTGCCTGATGGGCAAAGATGCCACTGTGTTGCCATGGCAGCAACCACGAGAGACTTGCGGGGGCCATAAGGGGTGAGCAGAGATCTCGCCTGTGCACAAGAGTTGCTGCAGCGAGGTGGCTGGGTCAGAGGTGATGCATCCCTTGTCACTCAGGGAGAAGTTTCTGACGTGCAGGCTTGCTTTGCTATGAGCCAGGGAGGTGGAGGCTGAGGCTGAGGATTGCCTCCCTGGGCACAGGGCAGCAGCTTCAAACAGGAATGCTTGCTGATGCTGTAGTGCACACGTATAATCCCAGCTATTGGGGAGGCTGAGGCTGGAGGATTGCAAATTCGAGGGCAGAACAGCCTGGTCAATTTAAGGAGATCCTGTCTCAAAATAGACCTGGGGATATAGCTGGTGTGAAGCCCCTGGCTCCTTAGTATTTTTTAAAGAGTTAAAAAGGCAGGGGGTGTCATTCAGTGGGTTCCACCCCCAGTTGTTCTTTTTTTTTTTTTTTTTTTTTTTTTTTTTTGTCTTTTTCTTCTTTATCGGTACTCACGACCACCTGTTTGCAAGGCAGGTGCTTATGCCGCTGAGCTAAATCCCCAGCCCCTCCACCCCCAGTTCTTAAGCAGAACCCCCAAAAGCAAGCAGATCAGGGTGGCGGGGCCTAGTGACCTACATGTGTTCAAAGCCCCCCAAGGCCGGGCAGCTTGGGTTAGAGGAGATGGTCACCCTCCCTGTTTCTATCCTGTATGTCCCTTGGCATTGGGCAGGGGCCAGGCCCACGTTGGTGTCTGACAGCTCAGGGTCAGGGCCTCGCAGGTGTGAGGACAGCACAGGGTCCTGGAATAATTGTCCGAGCAGGCCTGACTGTCACTGTCCTCCCAGGCTCCCGACAGCCAGCATGTGGGGCGCCGTGGGTGCCGTGGGGCTGGTGTGGGCCACCGACTGGCGGTTGATCCTGGACTGGGTACCATACATCAACGGCAAGTTTAAGAAGGATTAGCTGGCCGCCACTCTTGGACCCCTCGGTGAGTCTCGACGGGCTGGAGGCCCTGGGCCCAGTCTGGTGGCCTCAGTGGGGCCAGTGGTGGTGGCTGGAGGGAGAAGAGCAGGGGTCTGCAGGGTACAGGGATGGCTCACCCTGGGGAGTCTGGAAAGAGGTTGAACTCAGAGCCCGGCACCATGTGCACACCCGTCATCCTGGTTACTTGGGAGGCTGAGGCAGGAGAATCCCAAGTTGGAGCCCAGTTCAAGTCCTGCTCCATTTAGAAAAGATAAAAGGGCTGGGGTTATAAGTCAGTGGTGAGTGTTTGGTAACATCTGCAAGGCCCAGGGTAAAAGGTGGCACTCGGACACCTTCTGTTGTCCCCAAAGAGCTAGGTGCAAGGATGGGATGTGACTGGGCACCCCCAGAGTCCTAGAGCTAAGCAGTGCTTGCAGCCCTGTCTGGCAGGACCAGGATGCCCATTGTATAGCAGGGTAAGTCGAGCTGACCCTCGGCTGCTGGGCATTAGGGAAGACCCCAGGCTCCCCTCCAACCGTGTCCTAAGCTCATCACACTCGTGGAATTCCTGGATGGACCCCACTTCCATCCTGTCTAACAGAGGGGGACCTCAGCCCCATGCCCCTCATTTGAGGCCAGGCCACCGTCTGGCTCCTGGCCATCCACCTCTGCCCCCGCTGGCCAGTGCCCCTCTCTGTGGCTGTGGGCCCTGGCTGCTTGTGCGGGGACCCTCTGCTTACCCTGCCTTGTCCCCTCCCCAGGTGTCCAGTGGTATGAGGTCCCCCCACTGCGTGCAGAGAACCCCAAGGATGGACGCCACAAAAGCCCACGGCGCAGCCTGGGATGCTTTCTCATATTGAACAGTTTGGAGATTTTAATGCGCGGAGCATTAAACCTCACTTGCAAACCTGCCTGGATCTCCTTGATTGTGAAGCTTCAGCTTCCCTAGTGCTGCCAGCGAGGTTTGGGTGACCCCAGGCTCCCTTCAGCTTCCACAAGTTTGCAAACCAGGAGGGTTTTTCCACTGGCTGGCACAAATTGATTAAGGGTTTGAAATACTAACAGATGGGCCCGGTATGGTGGCGCACGCCTATCATCCTAGCACTGTGGGAGGCTGAGGCAGGGGGATCACAGGTTCTAGCCCAGCCTGGGCAACTGAGACTTTAGTGAAGCACTTAGGATGTAGATCAGCTGGGGTCACATCTGCAGTGGCACAGGCACAGGCAGATGGCAGGATGGCTGCAGCGTGTTCACCCACTTCTGAGTGACCGTGAGCCCACGTCTGCAGCCATGTTGCAGAGCAGATGGTCACCGTGTGAAGTTTCCCCTGGTCAGGGATTCGGAGGGAAGTGGCTGGTTTCAGCTCCAGGTCTCTCCGGAGGTGGTGTGGAGGGGACCGGTGGCTGTGCAGGGGCCCTGAGCCTCCTTGGGGAGGCACTGACCTCCCCACAGAGAGAGAAGAAGCCGAAGTGCTTTTATGGCCCAAGCCCGGAAGTCTCGTGACGTCATTTCCTTCCCATCGAAGTCCAGCCCACACTCAAAAGAGGAGGTCTGGGGTCTTTTTTCCTTTTGTAGTGCTGGGGATGGAACTCAGGGCCTCTCGCAGGCGAAAGCACACCCGGCCTTAGATACTTCGCAGTGTGGGTAGTGGAGCCCCAGCTGGCCAGGAGCCCCCCCCTGTGAACTGCACGTGTTCGCACGTGTCCTGGGGGCAGGGGTTCTTTTTGGTATTGAGGACTGAACCCAGGGCCTTTGCACTGATCTGTATCCTCAGCACCTGCCTGGCAAGTGTGAGGTCACGAGTTCAATTCCCAGTACCAAAAAAAAATTTTTTTTAAGACAGGCTCTTCCTAAGTCTGTAAATTGTTCAGGCTGGGTTTGAATTCCTGCTGCCTGGGCCTCAGCCTCTGGGAGTGCCGGACAGATGTGTACCATCACACGCAGCTTGCATTTATTTTTTATTGTGTAGTTCAGGCTAACCTGGCATTCACAGTGACCTTCCTGCTTCAGCCTCCCAAAGTAGTACAGGCACAGACTGCCACACCCAGCCTGGAAGGTGGCCAAACTGATCCAGAGCCTCAAAACCATCTGGGTGCTTAACGTAGAAGAGAATCAAACAAGCACTGGTGAGGACACGGGCGAAGAGCCCTGTGGCACTGGGGATAGGAGTGTTAGATGGTGACCGATCTTCAGGTGGCAGATGGTTACGCACAAGAGTTACCAAAGAATCCAGCAGTGTCAGGACCCTCCAGACCCCAAAGCTGACCCTAAGGCTGTGCTGCTCAAGGGTCGGAGCCGGGCACACCCTGCAGGTCGCACTCCTAGGACGGCCCAGTGTGGTCAGAACCACAAAGACAGACAGGAGGACAGTGGTGCCGGGCAGGGGAGCGGACAGAGCAGAAGGTCCTAGAGGTGAGTGGACCAAACGGCATGCGTGGCCAAGGGCGGTGCTTAAGTGCACACGCCACAACTGTGCAGTGAAAACCCCGCAGCTGAGCCCCTCTGCAGGCTCCCACAGCTCCAGCAGGGAGGGCCTTGCCGGCTGTTTCTGCACATAGACAGTCCTACACAGGAAGCACAGAGCTTGCTGTGTGACCCCTAAAATCCACAAGAACCCAGTGGCACTAGTGAGCCCAGCAGGTGGTGGGGTCAGAGGTCCCTTTCTATTTAGCCACAGCCTGGGCAGCCAGAGCTGCCCTCTCTCCACCAGTCTCCCACTCAGTAACTGGTCCATAGTCACAGCCACCGTTACCACCATTCTCCAGGGTGTAAACCATCTCTTCCATTATGTTGCTCTAATTGTCCTGTTTGGCCACCGGAGCCCCTTCCAGTGGGACCCGGCACCTGACTGAGGCACACCTCCATCATCTTTTAGAATTAATGTAAATTTCACATAACAGCCAGGTGTGGTCACGCATGGGGTCATCCCAGTATTCTGGGAGGCTGAGTCAGGAGGATCACAAATTTAATTGGTAGGGGCTGGGGATTTAGCTCAGTGGCACAAGCGCCTGCCTTGGAAGCAGGCAGTCGTGAGTTCAATCCCTGGTACTGATAAAAAGACAAAAAAAAAAAAAAAAAAAAACGTCTGATAAACAAATTTAATCGGTAGCTCAGTGTGAAGGCCTTGGGTTTTTTGTTTGTTTTTTGAAACAGGATCTCACTATTCAGGCTGGCCTTGAGCTCACTTTGAGGTCCAGGCTGGTCGTGAACTCTCAAAAATCCTCCTGCCTCAGCCTCCTAAATGCTGGGATTGCAGGCGTGCACCACCACACCCGACAGGCCCTGGGTTTAATCCCCAGTTCCCGTCCCCCCCAACTTCCCTTTCAGATAAGACAGATCCACGGCTCATCTCACCAAATTCCATGCCCTGCCCATCATTCACTGAGCAACCTCCTGCACCTGCTTATCTACTTCCAGCTTCTGGTGTCCAGAGTCTGGGGGTCAGCAGAATGGTGCCCCTCAAATGGCCCTTGCCCTGGTCCCCAGAACCTGGGGATGGCTCACCTTCCAGGGACCCAAAGGATTCTGCAGTCGGGATTAAGGACTCTGAGGCTGGGGATGATCTGGATTAGTGCTGAATCGAATGTGCAGATGGTCACTGGTTTAGACCGCACTCTCAGCACCAGGCCCACAGGCCAGAACAACATGGACTCAGGCTAACAGTTCCAGGGCACCACCGCGTGAAACCAGGTTTATCTGCTCAGTCATCAAAGGAGAGGGTTTTAGCTGGCTGCACAGGGAAATCCCCTCTGCTCCAAGCAGTCCAGGCAAAAGGAACTTTGAAATGACCGTCGTTTCTGCTTTCTCAAACCTTCTGCTGTGTACAAAGTCAGATTCTCTGTTCACCCCAAGGGACACCTTTTCTATCTGACAGAGGAGGTGATTGTAGCACGTAAAAACCAATTAAGATTTCACACCAAATGTGTTGTAATTTCGTCTTTGGCCCGTGGGGGGGAGGGGGGTGTCGGGCGCAGGGCTTCTTAAACCTGGGGACCACTGGGGTAGTGCTTCATGCTTGCCTGTTATCCCAGCACCCTGGGAGGCTGAGGCAGGAAAATCACAAATTAAGTCTAAATTAAGTGACTAAAAGTCACTTAGCAAAGACACTTGTCTCAGAATTAAAAGATAAGCCAGGCATGGTGGTGCACACGTGTAAACCTTGCACTCTGAAAGCTAAGGCAGGAGGATCCCTGCAAATTGCAGGCCAACCTGAGTTACAAAGTAGTTCGAGGGCAGCCTGAACTGCATGAGATCATATCTCCGAAAGACAAAAGTAAACAGTAACCCCACCCTGGGGCTGGAGGATCCACACCAAAGGCAGGCAATCTTGATTTTTTTTTTTTTTTTTTTTGTATTGGGGGTTGAAACCCAAGGCTTTGGCACCTAAGTACATTCTAGATCTTTTCATATTTTGAAACAGTTTCGCTAAATTGCCCATCCTGGGCTCAGACTTGGCGATCCTTCTGCCTCAGCCTCACAGCGTGGTGCTGGGCTGACAAGCGCACCCCAAGCCTGGCCGGATTCCAGGACTGAGATAGCAGCGCAGTGCTTGCCTAACGTGCGCGGTCACCTGGGTTGGATCTTCAGCGGCCTAAATAAAATTTTAAAAAATGTGTTGGTTAGGACTTAGGGCATGGCGGGCGGTGGCTGCCCACAGCCCACGGGGCTGGGATCCCAGGGGACAGGGCAATCGAGGTCTTGGCGCGGGACTGGGACCCCAGTGTCCTGTGGAAGAAGTGCCAAGCCAGGCACGTGGCGCAAGGATTCAAAAGCCAGGCGCACTCGCGGCAAGGACACCGGTCGCCGAAGGAGCCCTCAACCGGTGTGAGGAGACCTGGCAAGGAGCTGGGAGAGCCGCAGCAGCTGCTTCGCGGGCCACACTGTGCGGAGAGGACTCGGAAGCCCCGGCTGAGGAAGCCGGGTCCAGCCTGGCCAGCACGTGAAGGAGCAGAGCGCACGCGCACCCAGCCTGGGGGCCCCGCCCTCTTGGAACGCGGTGATTGGCGTTCCCGCCACTAGGGCGGGTCCTGCGCGCATGCGGGGGAGAGTCTTAAGCCGCGGCTGCGCAGATGGGGCCCCGCGCGGGCGGGTGGGCGGAGCGGCCCCCCGAGCGGGGGCTGGCGAGCGCGGGGAGGGGGCCGAGAGGGCGGCAAAGCCGGCGCGCGCCTGGCTGGGGGCGGAGGGCGGGGGTCCGAGGGCCGGAACAGCCGCGGTAAGTGGCGGTGACGGAGGCAGCTGAAGCGGCGGCGGTGGCAAGCGGGGGTCGCAGCGGCGGCGGCGGGCCCAGACCCGGGCCGAGGAGCCGGGCGCGATGGAGCGGAAGAGGTGGGAGTGCCCGGCGCTCCCGCAGGGCTGGGAGAGGGAAGAAGTGCCCAGAAGGTCGGGGCTGTCGGCCGGCCACAGGGATGTCTTTTACTATAGGTGAATGAGCGCGCCGGCCGCGCAGGGCCCCAACGGGTGCCTCCCAGCGGCCTCTGCGGTGGCCTGGGCGCCCCTGTCCCGGGCTGCGGCCTGGGCCGTGCGTCGTGCGTGCGAGTGTGCGTGGTGCGTGCGAGCGTGCCTGCCCTGCGCGCGGCGACTCAGTGCGCGTGCGCCGCGCATGGCACGCATCCGCAGCCCTGGTGCTGGCTGCTGCGGAGGTCTTTGTCCCGGCGCCCGCAAGGAACGCTCGCGCTGGGCTAGGGGCGCTCGGCTGCGGCCAGACGCTGCTGGGAGGCAGGGGTGGGGGCTGGACTCTCCCTTTGGTGTCCCAGTGGGGAACTTCCCGGATTGTGCGGGGTTTGGGGCGGGTGGCCAAGCTAGCGTTCGGGGGAGCAAGGCTCATTGCGGGGGACCGCAGAGGTCGACCTTAAAATGTGAACACCCAGGCCCATTACAGTCGTGGGAACGGGCTTATCAGGGTGTATTTTAAGGGACACCTCCTTCGTGGGTATGTTCCAACGACTCTGTCCCCTCGTTGGTCACCTGCCTCTAGACTGTCAGAGCCCCGTGAACATTAGCCTTTGCGTTGATGCTGTTGAGGCTTTCAGAGTCCGCCTTACCCCAAATTGGCTGGTCTTGGCTTAGGAAGAATGGCAAGGCGGAACAAAGAGTTGCCGGCTCGCGCGTCCCAGCCCAGACAGCCAGCCACCTGCTGTTTGTCACCCCACCTCCTTGTCAAAGTCCTCCCCCTCCCCATTGGTGCTGGCTATGGAACCCAGGGACTTTACGCTGGCCTCTGAGTGCCATCCTCAAGCCCTGAAGGTTCTTTTGATTCTGAGCCGGCTTCTCATTGCTTCATTGTGAGGGCACCTGCCCAGGGCTCGGGGTGCAGCCGAGACTGGGGGAGAAGGCGTGGGTCTGCGCACCGCTGTGGTCTTGGTTATTTGTTGTCCCGGTTTGGGGCGATAGAGTGAGAGCGGCTTCCTTTTGAAGTGTGGCTTGTCCAGCAGGCTCAGGTTTTGGTTAAGACAAACCCAGGAGCAGCGAGGGGAAGCAGTACTGATTGTCCCTAAAGCTGTGTTGGCCTGGATCCTGTCGGGTCCTTCGGTGAAGAGTGAGGCTGGAAGCACTTTGCCTTGAGGACACGCTGCTTTCCCTTCACTGCCCTGTGCCTCCCTCCCGGCGCTTCGGAAAGCTGACAGCTGACAGCTGGAGGCGCTGCCTTCCAGGCTGGAGTCTCAGAACCAGCCTCATCCTGGCTTCAGTCTTCCTTGTGGACCTGAGTCCTTTCTGTCACTCTGTCTATCCTTTATCAGTTTTCTTGTTTTGTGTTTTTGAGACAAGGTCTGTGTGGTTTATGTAGTTTAGGCTGGCCTTGAACTCACTGTGTAGCCCGAACTGGCCTTGAGCTCGAGGTGATCCTCCTGCTGCAGCCTCTTAATGATGGGATGTCTCACATGCACCCCCATGCCTGGCTTTTGTTTAATTAACAAGTCCCTCTACAGTGCTATATGCTGAGCTCAAGGCCAGCCTGAGCTGTGGGCACTGCTGGCACCGTGGCCGTTCAGTGGGTATTGAGAGTGTCCCTCTCCTGGAGACAGCAGCTGTCTCCCTGTGCATGGAGGGTGCTAGGATGGGGGACAATAACAGGGTGTCTGGCAAAGGAGATCTGGGAGTGCCCCTCTGGGGAGGTGACTTTGGAGCAGCAAGGAGCTGTCTGGGCAGTGGTACCTGCCTGTGCAGATATCCCGGGGAGGCTGAGGCTGCAGCCCAGAAGCAGAGTCAAGACCCAGATGGCTAAGGATCTGAGCTGTCATCCGCTCCTTGTCCCCACCTGCCCTGGACCTTCTCTCTCGGCTGTCAGGGCCCCCGGGGGGCTGGCAGTGGGAAAAATGCACCTGCAGCCCCACCCCCATAGGAGGAACCAGCTAGTCCCAAAGTGTCCTAGAGGTGGAGGCCTAGGATTCCTTATCAGGGCTTTGAATTCTGGGTGTCTGCATTCCTCAGGAGGTAGGAGAACTCCGGCTACAGCTAGTTGTATTAAATGTTACGTTTTTCACTCAATAAAATATGAGGGGGATCTTTTTGTGACAATACACCTTCATAACCCTTTTCAAAAGTTCAGATATGACCAGACATGAAGGAGTGGCACAACCCTTCAGTCCCAGCACCTAGGGGCTGAGGTAAGGGGATCACCACAAATTCGAGGCCAGCCTGGGCTATACAGTGAGTTCCAGGCCGGGCTGGACGACATAGTGAGAACATGTCTTGCAAACAAAACTGATATAATTAACGTTTCATAAATCATCCTTTTTTTGCGACCAACACGGTGGTTTTTCGTACATTCACACACCGTTATCGTTTTTTTGTTGTTGTTGTTGTTGTTTTTGTCTTTTTCCTTTTTATCGGTACCAGGGATTGAACTCACGACTGCTTGCTTGCAAGGCAGGCGCTTATGCTGTTGAGCTAAATCCCCAGGCCCCTCACCATTATCTTTTTCAGATGATCTCATCACCCCAAAACCCCTGTTGCTATGACCTGTCGCCCCCTGGCTCCCCCTGCTCCTTTTATCCAGCCACCATTAAAGTGTCTGGCAGTTAAGTTTGTTTTTTGTTCTTTTGAGGCAGGTTCTCACTGTGTAGCCCAGGCTGGGCTCATATGTGAAGCCATCCCGCGTCAGCCTCTGGAGTGCGGGATTACAGCTGTGCACACCAGCCCAGCTGGCATTTTTTAAAAAGACATTTTTACTGCTACATGTTCACTCACTTGACGTATACTGAACCGTGGTTTTTAGCATATTCTTGAATTATGAGATCTTTATTTACTCTTTGAGGCAGGGTCTCAACTATGTAGCTCAGGCTGACCTTGAGCTCAGCATGGAGCCCAGGCTGGTCTGGAATTTTCAGTGATCCTCCTGCCTCGGCCTCCTGAGTGCTGGAATGACAGGCGTGCACCACCTCACCCACGGTAGATTCTGTTTTAGAATATTCTTAAGTCCAGAAAGAAAACCTAGAGCCTTTTGTTTTTTTGAGTTGCCCAGGTGGGGGTCAAGACTGATCCCCACTCTCTCAGCTTGCTGGAGTACTAGGATGACAGGAAAGTGCCACTAAGCCAGCATCCCTGGCCCTTTACATCTCCTGTGTCCCCTCGGCTAAGCAAGTTTCGTGAGTGTGTGTGTGTGTGTGTGTGTGTGTGTGGCCTGTCTGTGTGTCTGTCTGACTGTGGACTGTGACAGGAGGGAAAGCCCTGCTGGCGAGTGTTCCAAGGTGTCCCTCCTCGTGCCTGTGTTGGGAGCCAAGTCAGGGCCTCTAGGTCCTTCCGGCACCCTGGGGGTGTGGCTGCCGTGTGCATGGGTGGTTTTGGTGTGCTAGATTGAGCCAGCATCTTCACACCGAGCTCCCCCAGCTGCTGTTGCTGCTGCTGCTTTTCTTCAATGTGACACTGCGGACGCGCACTCTGTAGGAGACATTTGGGAGCCAGGGTCTGTTTTCTCAGGCCTGTACTGAAATGTAAGCGAAGTCACAACCCAGGTTTGTGCACTGCGGAGCAGACCCCACCCTGTCCCACCTTGGTCACTGTGACCATCCAAAGAAGCATTTTTTTGATCCACAGGTCTGCATAACCCGGAAAAATATCCCCTCGGGCTCCCTACAGTCCCCTGGAGCAGCTGCACATCCCCCTGTTGTCACCTCACATGGGGCCAAAGCAGCCAAAGGTGTCAAAGGGTTTGGCTCAGTGGTGTCCAGGTCCGCAAGGACTCACCCCCCCCCAAGCACTTCGGGCCCTGACCCAGAGAGGCACCTGCCATTCGATTAATCCCTGGGGCCCTCAGTGTCCACCTCTGCAGCACTGGTGACAACCCCGATGGCCAGGCAGGAGTGGCAGTTCTTCCCCTAAAAATGCTGCCTAGGTTTTGGCACCTCCTGGATCCCCAGGGGTCAGTGGCACAGTTTGGCAGCCAGAGCTGTGTGGTGAGGAAGGCCATGGCCGGCTGTCCGCAGCTGCCTGCACCTGCGAGCCCATTTTTTATTTTGAGGCAGGGTCTTGCTAAGTTGCCCAAGCTGTGCTGGAGCTAGAAATTCTTCTGCCTCAGCCTTTCAGAGTGCAGAGATTACGCGTGTGCATTGTCACCCCCAGCTGATGGGCTCAGCACTGACATCAGTCTGGAGCCTGAAAGGGCGGAGGACTCTTCCAGAGCTCCCTCTGCCTTCGCAGCCTGGGCGCCAGCGCGGCAATGCACACCTGTGGTCCTCGGCACAGGAAAAACTTAGATTGTGGAGTAGCTTGTTTTGCGAGTGTTTCGCAAGACAGCAAACATTTCTAACAAACTTTAACTCGATAAAGGACCTACGTTTTGCAGTGCGAGTAGCACCTGATACCGAGAGTCACATGATCACAACTGAGCCCAAGGTCCGAGTTCCTGCCTTCCCACCCAGGTGCCACAGGTGGCGCGCACACACATGCACACGCTGCAGGACCGCAGGCCGTCGTCTATGCCCCGGTGCTCAGTCTTAGGTTTCGATGGTCTGCGGAAATTAGTGATTGTTTGAGAAAGTTAGAAGGGCCCACAGCTCACACAGGCGTGTGCTTTATTCCTTCAGAGCACCTATGGAGAGTCCTTGGAGTTTAGCAGCCAGGTGCGCTGGCTCTCACCTGTCATCCTGGCACGCAGGAGGATCGCTGTGAATTCAAAGCCAGCCTAGGGTACCTAGCCAGACCCTGTCTCAAAACCCAGGGGTTTTTCTTTGGAAAAGAGTAAGCTCAGGAATACTTTGCTTCCTGCAGATATAGACCTTTTGCTGCCTTATTTCCAGTTACATTAATAGGCCAGAGTTTATTAACCGTGCACTGCGGCCAGCGGGACATACGGTGCCCTCGTGCAGAAAGGCTGGGAAGGCCGTGAGGTGGCAGCGGCGGTGGAATTAAGGAAATCAAGAAAAAGTATGAACGAGCTGTGTGAGGGCTCATGCTGCCAGACACCAAGTCTGCTTGAGGCGTCCTAGAAGAAAGAAAGAAGGGGTTCCCCAATAGCAAAGCAGCAGCCATGTGCCCCAGAGGTGGAGGAAGTCACCCGTAGTTTGAATAAATGAGCAAAGAGCAGGTGACACCGTGACAGAGGGTGTGCGACTGTGAGGAGGCTGCCGGGTGCACAGGGCGCAGCAGGAGGGACGGCGGGCTTCTAGGCTTGCAGGATTTGTTTCCCTGGCATTGGGGGAGGGGGAGTGGCTTCCACACTGTGGGAGGCACTGGGAGGCCGCGCGTTTGGACACTGAGGTAGCTGAGGCGTTTGCTCCTGAGCTTGAGAAGCTCCCACTTCGTAAGTTTTACCTCCCAGAGCAAGGGATGGCTTTTTTGTTTGTTTGTTTTTGTTTCTTTTTTGGCACTGGGGATCGAACTCACCACCTTGCACTTGCCAAATAGGCGCTGTGCTGCTGAGCTAAATCCCCCAACTCCTGGCCCTGGAGCAAGTTTTTAACTGTGACGAGAGGGGCTTTTAGGAATAAGATGCCAAAGAGGACCCAGAGTACAGGAGGAGACACCAAAGCGCCTGGTCACCAGCCTGCGGAAGACCGTCTCGCCCTCATTTTATGCTACCGAAAGCGGGGATTTCAAAGCCAGGCCCCTGCCCAGGAATCCTCCCAAGAACCCACCGAGCATCTTGGATGCCAGGTGCAGCCGAGCCAGTTGAGCAGCACGCCACTGAGCCCTTGCGGGTTATAGATGATGCTCCTGCTCATGCCCCAGGCTTGCGGGATGACTTACTGGAGGACGTGAGTTCAGTGGGGTCGGGTTCCCCACCACCACCACCACCACACTGCCCTGGCCTCCAACCTGTGGAGCAGCGGGTCATTGGAAGCGTACAGAGCTTCACCCCAAAGTGCTATGTAGCCCTGCTTCGAGGAGGCCAGAAGAACAAACCTTATCCTCTGAGAGTTCTGGAAAAATCCTCACTGCACTGCACCACGAACTGCCTCGAAATCATCAGCAAAGCCTGGCGTGGGGGTCTCCAAGAGAACCCTCAGTTTCGCTTAGAGAAAATCATGGCCCGCTTGGGTATGACAGAGAGAGGCTTCTGATGGAGGAGACCTCAGGAGCTGGTGGAGGAGGGATCCCAGCACCAAGGGAGGCCAGGCAAGCATTACAAGTTGGATGCCAACCTGAACTGCACAGTGAGACCCTGTCTCAGAAAGACAGAAAAACTAAAACAACAGACTCACAAGATGTGGGAGATTTGATAGAGCTGGGCGTAGTGGCAAACACCTAGCACTCGGAGGCTGAGGCAGGAGGATCGCTGTGAGTTTGAGACCAGCCTGGGCTACAAAGTGAGCTCAAGGCCAGCCTGGACTGCATAGCCAGACCCTGTCTCAAAAAGACAAAAAAGATTTGGGAGATTCAGAAAATGTGGAAAACTGCAAAATTTTATAGAAATACCTGAATAAGGCTAGCAGTGTGAGCGAGGAATCTGTCGAATGCTAATCCAGTGTCGCATTTCCAGGAAACCCTTAAGAGGAGGTATAAGCAAGTGTCGCTGGCTAGGTAGGTCCCTTGTTAAGGCTGTACAGAAAGAGAAGGATTCCCGGGGCCGGATGTAGCTCAGCAGTACAGGTCTTGACTTTGGTTCCAGTACCGAAAATAAAGATCCCACTGAGCCAGTGGACAGCAGCGGTTCCCTTAGTGACGGTGGAAGTCACCTGCCTGTCTCTCCTCCTCACACCAGCCGGAAAGGTTCTCAGAGTAAGCGCCAGGGGGTTGGGGATCGCAGCTGCGTGGCACAGGGCCTGTGAGTTAGATACCTGGGACCCCCCCCCCAAAAAAAAGGCTCAGGTCAGTTAGTTGATTTTCCTTTATATTTTGTATTTTCTTATTTTACAGTATTGGTTTACAACATTTACTACTGTGTTACTTAGTTTTACAGTATTACCGTACTGCAATCATTTTACGAGTGTTTTTGGTTGTGGAAGGAATCGTCTGAGTTTTCATTGTTTCTTGTGGGTTAGCTTGTTTTGATACACCAGCGTTTCTGGATTACAAGCATCTTTCCACAAACCAAGGCAGTACTGAACTTGGGAGGCTGAGGCAGGAGGAGCCCTGCCTGTGCAAATGAGTCAAGACCTCCTCTCGGGGCTGTAGAACACTTGCTTAGCACCTGCGAGACCCCGGGCTCCATCCCCAGCACCACACCCCCCCCCACAAAAGCACCCCCACCAGCATGTTGCATTGTAGCACGCCTGTCCAGGTTCCCCCAAGCCTCGTACCCAGGTCTGCCCCAGCCAGGGTGTGAGGCGAGCACAGGGGCCAGCTGCCTGTGCCTAGCAGTGAGGCGCTTGGGGTCCTGGGCTCCCGAGTCCCTGCTAACTACCTACAGTGACATCACTGGGATGGTGCCGTGCGCCCCAGGGGAGGCCCGGCCTGGGGCTCCTGTCCGCGGGGTTCCCGCTGTGTGGCCTTGGGCGCGTGCTCGCAGCCTCTGCTGTCCTGGCTGTGCGGTGGCTGTGCGGTACGGGGCCAGGTTCGGGGAGGAGCGGAATCACCGGGCACACAGGGCGCCCACCCCCGTACCCGACCCACTGCCCCCTTGGCGGGGTCCCCAAGCTCTGGGGCGGGGAGTCGCGGGACGTGGGCGCCCCGCTGAGCCCCGCACCGACCCGCCTGCGCCCGCAGCCCCAGCGGGAAGAAGTTTCGCAGCAAGCCGCAGCTGGCGCGCTACCTGGGCGGCTCCATGGACCTGAGCACCTTCGACTTCCGCACCGGCAAGATGCTGATGAGCAAGATGAACAAGAGCCGCCAGCGCGTGCGCTACGACTCCTCCAACCAGGTCAAGGTGAGCGCTGACGTCGGCGGGGCCCGCCCAGGCGCGGCGGAGGCGGGCAGGTGGGCGGGGGTCCGCTCCCACCGGCGGCCATGGCGCGCACGCGGCCCCCGGGCCTCCCCGCGCCGCTGCTCTGCCCGCCCGGACCCCCAGCCGCGCCCTGCCCCACGCCCCACCCCGGCCCTCTGCTGGGGACCCCCGGCGCCCCGGCCCGCCGCAGCGCCTTGTTCCCGCAGGGCAAGCCCGACCTCAACACGGCGCTCCCGGTGCGGCAGACGGCGTCCATCTTCAAGCAGCCGGTCACCAAGATCACCAACCACCCCAGCAACAAGGTCAAGAGCGACCCGCAGAAGGCGGTGGACCAGCCGCGGCAGGTGAGTGCCCGCCCCGATCTTGAGGCTGTGCCTGGCTCAGCCACTCTGGGTGACTGATGGTCCCTGATATAAGTGCGAGGTGAAGCCCCCCCCCATCTGGAGCGGATGGTGGGGTTTGCAGACAGGTAGTTTAAATAAGGTGCAGCACTCGGAAGGCTGAGGCAGGAGGATCGCCACCAGCATAAGGCCAGCCTAGACGACATACAGAGACTCAGATATTCGGGGTTTGGGGGAATAAAAGTGGGTGCAGTGGGCCATGAGCCTGGCTCCCTACCCAGTATGCAGGAGATACTGGGTCCTGCTTTCAGCTCTGCCAAAAAAGAAAGTGTGGTGCACAGATGAATGGAACTCTGAGGGTCTCCAGGTGCGGTGGGTGCTGGGGCAGTGCCCGCCTCCCCACTGTGGGATGGGGGGAGGCGCTGCACAGTGGCCTGGAAGACCCCCGGTACCCTTGTCTGGCCGCAGCTGTTCTGGGAGAAGAAGCTAAGTGGACTGAGCGCCTTCGACATCGCAGAGGAGTTGGTCAGAACCATGGACCTGCCCAAGGGGCTGCAGGGTGAGTGTCCCCGTGGGCTTCTGCCCGGGGCGGAACCCGGAGGCCCCTAGGTGGAGTCACATGGCATATACTTGACCTTGGAGCAGAGAGCCCGAGGCGTGGGGCAGGTCTGGAGACCTTGAGGCTGGAGGAAGGGCCAGGCCCGGGCAGGGCTCAGTGTGGCTCCTGCCCGCCCGCTAGGGTGTTTGGTTTTGTTGCGGCCCAAATCCCTAGAGCTCCCCCAGAGCCCGGCTCCTGGCTTCCCTGTTGTGTAGCTAGGCTGGCGCCAAGCCCAGGCCCACAGGGAGAGGCAGGTCCCGGGAGCTGAGGCGGCCCCTGCCCGCAGGCGTGGGCCCCGGCTGCACCGACGAGACGCTGCTCTCCGCCATCGCCAGCGCGCTGCACACCAGCACCATGCCCATCACGGGCCAGCTCTCGGCCGCGGTGGAGAAGAACCCCGGCGTGTGGCTGAACACCACGCAGCCCCTGTGCAAGGCCTTCATGGTGACCGACGAGGACATCAGGTAGCCTGAGCTGTGGAAACGGACCCCGTAGGGCACGTGGGGCTGGGCTGGCCGCCAGGTACCTGGTCAGAAGACTCGGGGAGGTGTCCCATGGCCGCAGCAGGGGTCCAGCCTGCGGGCTCACGTGGTAGCCGGGATGTGGCCGTTGGCTGAAGTGCTCGGGAACGCACTGCCTGGCAGTGGCCCTCACAGCCATGGGCAGCCGGCGGGAGCCCTGGCTGGCCGGGCAGGAGGCTTGGCTCGGGAGACATGGGCGGATGTGGTGGGCCAGGTCTGCACCCGGGTCCCTCAGATGTCCCTGTGTCCCCAGGAAGCAGGAGGAGCTGGTACAGCAGGTACGGAAGCGGCTGGAGGAGGCGCTGATGGCCGACATGCTGGCGCATGTGGAGGAGCTGGCCCGTGACGAGGCACCCCCAGATAAGGCCTGCGCCGATGAGGACGACGAGGACGAGGAGGAGGAGGAGGACGAGGAGCCTGAGCCAGACCCGGAGCTGGAGCACGTCTAGAGCAGGTGCCGCGAGGACGGAGCCTGCCGGAGCATCTGCACTGTCCCCGCCTGGGGCTCACGGGGTCCCCTCTGCTCCTCTGCAGGTGCCTGCCCACCCCGCTCCGCCCCTGCACCTGGCCCTGTGCAGGGCGGCGAGGACTCAGCCGGGCTCCCCATCCGGGTGCCCTCCAGCCTCGGGGTGTGGCCGAGGTCACCGCCCCATGGACCTGGGCCTGTGGCATGTCCACCTCGGGCCAGCGGGACAGGAGGCCCTGCCACATAGGACTCGGGCCGAGGCGAGCAGGACAACGCCCATGGGCTCGCCCAATCCCCCATGCTGTGAGGCCGGCCCTGCCAAGCTGCCACGAACTGGAGAACATTCTGGAAACAGTAACCCAGCCCTGCGTCAAGGAACGCAGTCCCCAGCTAGCAGGCCAGCCCCTCGGGACCCCATTGCCACAGCCCCACAGAGGGCAGAGGTGGTGGCCCCCAAAAGGCACCTATGCCATGGACCCTGGAAGCGGATTTCTTTGAATAAACGGATGCCATGAGTGCGGCTGGCCCCTGGCATCACTGACCTTGGCACCCACGCCTCAGTCTCCCCCTGGACTTTGCAGCCTGCTCCACAATGCCAGGCGTCAGTCTCCCCTCTGGAGCCTCCAGTGTGCCCCTGGGTGGCAGCCCTGTCCTGGCCCACCTCTTGTCCCTGTGCCCAGGGACAGTACATCAGAGAACGCTGGGCCCTGGTGCTCAGCCTTCACTGCCACTGTCACCAGCAACAGACACAGGCCGGCCTTACCCCACACCCCCGACCCAGGGTGCTGGGCGTCCACCTCACTGCGCCTGGGTTCCTGCAGGATGGTTTGAGGACCCTTGCTGTGGCCCCAAGGAAGGCCTGAGTTCGGCCAGGCCCTCAGCCAGGTCACCCAGCCCCAGGCTCCGGGCTGCAGGACCCCACGTGATGGCACAAGGCGCCCTGGACTGCAGCGTGAGTGCCCGGCCAGCCCAGAATGTGGAGTAGGAGCCGGTACAGGGTGCGCGGAGGTGCAGGCCACCCTGCTGAGGGCGCCCTTGGGATGCAGTGCTCACACCAGTTCCAGACTGCAGCTCCAGGCTCGAAGGGCACTCCTGGCCACTCGCACGCCCCCTGCCCCACTGCCAAGCCCAGGGAAGGGGCCAGGCTGGCCACCACCCTGCTGTCCCCCCACCTGCCAGGCTTGGGGCTCCTGGACCCCTCTCATGACTGCCTACCCTGTGCCACAAGAGGCCCTGGGGTGTCACCTTGTCCTCAGAAGGTCCCTGTAGCCCTGAAACAAGGCTGACACCTCCCATCCCTTGCCAGGCAAGGGCCCAGTGGGCCTCAGTGACACCCTGGGAACACAGTGGGCTTGGCACAGGGACAAAGCCCTGGCTGGGATGGGCTCCAGCAGGCACAGAGGCCCCACGCCACACCTGCCCTGCCGGCTGGGACCCCAGGCACCCTCAGCCCTGCTGCAGCCAGTCCTGATGGCTCAGGGCAGTGACTACACCCCAGTTTCCCCTGCACCCCCCCCCATCCTCGGGGCTAAGACACAGGGAGACACTGGAGCACCCCTTCCCCTCAGCTGAGACTCCCAGCACCCCCGTCTCTGGGTCCAGCTTTACCTGCACCTACCCCCGACAAGTGGGAGCAGCTCCCCCGCCCCATGCCCTGTACCCCAGGTCCCCCAGGAGGGGCCTGCTTGTATCTTCTGCCTGATTTACTGTAGACATGGGATGCAGGCAGAGCTCCTCTGGAGTGTCACTCAGCCAGGGACCCTCAGGCTTTGGGTAGAGGGGTGGATAATCACCCCGGAAGACCCTGGTTAACATGGTCAAGATTCAAGGGGCTCCTCCCAGGCACAGTGACACATGCCTATAATTTCAGCCAGGGAGGCTGAGGCTGAGGCAGGAGGATCCTAAGTTTGATAATAAGCTGAGGGGCCAGGAGTATAGCTCAGTGGCACATCATCTGACTGGCAAGTTCAAGGTCATGAGTTAGATTCCTGGTATCAAAAAATTTAAAAAAATCCAAAAAAATTAAAACTCGTCAACTTAACAATTTACTAAGACCCTCAGGGGGAAAAAAGCCATCCCTGCTGTGGAATACTACTCAGCCAGGAAAACGAGCAAGGTTGTGTCACCACAGTGTGATGGATTTTGAGGACTCAGTGCTCAGTGAGACACGCCACACATAGGGAACACAGCGTGGGCTCCATGGATAGGAAACGTGCAGGACCGGGAGTGGACTTGGAGCCGCGAGGCTGGGGAGCAGAGGAGCGGGGCTTCCTTCTGGTGTGATAAAGATGGCCTAGCACTGATAGGGTGACTGCTTTGACTTTTTAAATTGTTTTATTGCAGGACCAGAGGGAAGTCAGGGCTGCCCATGCTGGCTGCCCACACACCCCTGGCCCGCACCACCCTGACAGTGGTGATGGCTGCACGGGTCTTGAGTGTCCTGCCCTGGCCAGGCACCAAGGTGCACACCTGCAATTGCAGCAGGGCCGGGGAGGCTGAGGCAGGAGGATCCCAAATTGGAGCACAGTCTCAGCAATTTAGCAAGACCAAGTCTCAAAAAAGGGCTGGCACTGTAGCTCAGTGGGAAGCGACAGTCTGGGTCCAGTCTCAGCTCTAAAAAGGAAGGGGGAGGAAGGGAAAAAGGACCCAGACCGTGGGAAAGTAAAAAGGGAAGGGGAGGAGAGAAAAGACAGAACAGCCTGGGAGCGGCCCCCAGGTGCCTGCCCCAAGCCAGCCAGCCTGGGTTCTGGAAGGAAAAGAAAAACCACTCACCACCACCGTGGCTACGACATCGGGGTAATTTTGAACCAAAAAAAGCAAGGGGGAGCCAGGTGTGGTGGCGCACGCCTGTCATCCCAGCACTCGGGAGGCTGAGGCAGGAGGATCATCGCGAGTTCGAAACCAGCCTGGGCTACAAAGCGAGCTCAAGGCCAGCCTGAACTGCACAGTAAGACCCCATCTCAAAAAAAAAAAAAAAAGTGTTGGGGGGAGCCAGGTGTGTGGTACACACCTGTAATTCTAGGATTTGCGAGGCTGAGGCAGGAGGACCTCCATGGGGCCTGAGGACAACCTGGGTTGGGAGTTCAAGGGCAGCCTTGACCCTATCACAAAAGATAAAAAGGTAATTTTTTATGTAAATGAGTCATTTACCCATGAACACAAGATATCGGGACAGAAAATCTGGGCTGGTGGCTAGTGGCACAGTTTGGAGGGAGGTGGAGCCCCCAGGAGGCCAAACGGAAGAGCAGCCCGGGTGCCCAGCAAGGGTGCCAGGGGGCCTTCGGGAAGGGGCGCGGCTATTCCCAGCGCAGGGGCCTCGGCTTTTGGGTCCAGTTCCGGTGGACGCAGTGGCAGGGACGCAGACTGATCTAGGCTGGATGCTGGAGGGGAGGGGCCTTCAGTCATCCCCAAGCCTCCTGGCCCAGGGGAAAGGCATGAGAAAGAATTCCAGATGCACTGGCCATGGTGGCTCATGGCTAGACCCAGGCACTCCAGGAGCCAGAGGCAGGAGGACCACAAGTTCAAGCCCGGCCTGGGCAACTTAGCAGTTCAGCGATACCCTGTCTCCGAATAAAAAGGGCCTGGACGAAGCTCAGTGTGAAGACGCTGAGTTTAATCCCCAGTACTGAAAAGAAGAAAATAAAAAGACCCAAGAGGCAAATGAGGCTGGATGTCCCTTGGGAGGCAATGTCAGGAAGGACATTTTGGGATGGGCCGGGCCCTGGGCAGAGAAACCAACCCAGGGACATATGAGGACCTTGTGACCATTACTCCTGGGGAGTCAGCTTGACTGGGGGTAAGAAACCCCTAGCAGAAATTGGCCGGCTGGGCATGGTGGCTCACCCCTGTCATCCCAGCACTCGGGAGGCTGAGGCAGGAGGACTGTTGGGAGTTTGAGAGCAGCCTGGGCTACACAGTGAGCTCAAGACCAGCCTGAAATGCATAGTGTCCCTGAACCTCTGTCTGGGGCTGGTTCCCTTCTCTGTTTCCGGGCTGCCCTATACTGAACCCTCTAACCTCTACCACACCCCTGGAGCTACCAACTATGGACTCAGTCCCCCAAGAACCAGGAGCCACACGGAAGTCTTATCCAATAAGCTGTCTAGATGCGACATCCCAGCCCGCAGAGAACTGGCCCGATATCACCTGGGCGGGACTCCTGGCAGTAATGGACAGCCCAGCTGTGGCTGACAGGCCAGAGGGAACGGAGGCTGGGGCTCCAGCAGGCCTGAGTCTGGCAGAGTAGATGGTAAGGGAATGCCACCGCCTCTGCGGCCCAACCTGAGCTGGTCTGAGTTTGCTCAGCCAGCCAGGGTGGGGTACGCCCTGCTCCATACCTGCAAAGGGCTCTGCGGGGGTAGTGGTACCCAGAGCTGCTGGGGCAAGTGGCTCTGGGGTGGACCCCAGGTCCCTTCCTGTGCACCCCAGAAGAGGGTAGGAAGCTGCCCACCCCAAGAAGCTTCACCCTGAAGCTGCACTGGGTTCTAGGTACACGGAGACCCCCCCAGCTCCCAAGTATGGGCTCAGGGGAAGAAGCCCTCACTGTACTTGTTTCTGGTACCCGGAATTCTAGTACTCAGGACCTTGTGCTTACCAGGCAAACGCTTGTGCCGCTGAGCTACATCCCCAAGCCCTGGACCCTGTTCGGGGTTTTGTTTTTTGTTTTTTGTTTTTTTTGTCTTTTTCGTTTTTATCGGTACCAGGGATCGAACCCACGACTGCCTGCTTGCAAGGCAGGCGCTTATGCCTCTGAGCTAAATCCCCAGCCCCATCGGTTGTTTTTTGAGACAAGGCCTTGTTCTGTCATTAACCTGTGGCAACCCTTCTGCCTCAGCCTCCTGAGTGTTGGGTTGACAGATGTGCCCACCATGCTCTGCTTGGGGGACCTCATTTTAAAGTCCAGCAAAATCACATTATCCGAGCAGAGGGACTCCAGGCCCAGTGCGCTCACAGAAGGGGGGTCCCTGGTGTAGGAAGGCCAGGGCAGGGTGGGGGACCCCAAACTCGGAGAGGGAGTCCCTGACACAGGAAGGCAGGGTCAGAGTGGAGACAGGGGCTGGCCTGGGCATCCCCAGGTCCGAGGAGCCTGAAGGGGGGAGGCCCCGGAGGCAAGGGCTGGGGGAGCGGGCACGATCGCGAGGGTGCTTGGGCCTGCAGGACTTTGGGGTCAGACTCCCTCTCCCACCCGCCTCAGGCCCTACTTTGAAGTTGGATGGGGGTTCCGCCATCAGGCTCTTTAATTGTCGCCAGGTGTCCCCGCCCCTCGCTATACTCACTGGCGCTGGGGTCCCTGGCAGCAAGGAATGGGGGAGGGGCTAACCTCGGAAGCCCCGCGCCATCGCGGTCGCTGTTCGCACAGAGGAACCGCGAGTCCAGGGCGCGAAAAGGGGCCTCCTCCGCCGGAGGATGTAGGGACACGTTCAGGGGCGCTCGGGCAGGGGGTCCCTAGGTCCCAGGGCGCACACACTGGGGATAGAGAGTCCCAATCCCAGCCTCCACGCAGCAGCCACTCGCGCCGCTCTCGCACGTGCAAATGCGCCGGGTCCGCGCCCACGGCGGGGTGGGGAGTGGCCACGTGACCCAGGCCCCGCCCCGGGCCGCCCCGCGCCTGCGCACTGCGGGCGCCCATTGTTGGCGGCGCTGACGTCGCGGGGCGGGGCCGGGGCGGGGCCGGCGGCCCGGGAGGCAGGCGGGCGGCAGGGCGGCGGGAGGGCACGAGCGTCCCGCGCCGCCGCCGCCCCCTCGGCCACCAGGAGTCGCCGCAGCCGCGGAGCAGCAGAGTAGCGGCCGCCCCCGGCCCGCCCGGCCCGAGCAGCCCCGCGCCGCCCCCGCCTGCCCCGCCCCGCCGCTGGATGCCGGCGGCCGGCGGCCGAGCTCGCAGAGGCGGAGGGCGGCGCGGGCCCGAGCGCTAGCGCCGGCCATGCCCGGCTCCCCCGGCCGCTCCGATGGCGGCGGCGGGGGCGCGGGCGGCGAGTCGGGGGCGGCGGCGGCGGCCACCGGCGGAGACCCTGCCACGCGCGCCCTGGGCCCGGGCGCCGAGGAGGCCGCGCCCCGGCCGTCGCCCGAGCCCGACGACGCGACCGCCGCGCTGCGCCTGGCGCTGGATCAGCTGTCGGCGCTCGGGCTCGGGCGCGCGGGGGCCCCGGGCCCCGACGGCCCGGACGGCGGGGAGCCTGAGCCCACGCCCCCCGACGGGCCCGAGGCGCCGCCGCAGCGCGTGGAGCCGGACGGGAGCCCCCCCGCGCCCCCGGCGCCGCCCGCGCCCGACGTGTTCGCCGGCTTCGCGCCGCACCCCGCCGCCCTGGGCGCCCCGGCGCTTCTCGCCGAGCCGCTGAGCGTGATCGGCAGCCGCAAGAAGAGCGTGAACATGACCGAGTGCGTGCCGGTGCCCAGCTCCGAGCACGTCGCCGAGATCGTGGGGCGCCAGGGTGAGTGGCCGCCGTCGGGGAGGGCGGGGCGCGCGCTCCGGGCCCCTCGCACCCCGCGACTGGGGCGCCCGGGCTGCCCCCGGTGCTAGCCGCGGCGGGACTCCGCGCGCGGGACCCCGGCCACGCCTCGCGTGGGCCCGGTTAGGCGGCCGCCTTTGTCCGGCCGCGGGAGAAAGTTGCGCGCCGCCCGCGCTCCGCCCCGCGAGCGCCGCCCGCCGTCGCCTTTGTCTGCGCCGAGGCTCCGGTTGTCCGGGTCCCCGTGGGGTTAGCGAGGACGCCCCAGAGAGGGAGCTGAACCTGGGGCACTGGCTGGGCGGCGGGCGCTCCACCCCCACAACAGGCATGGGCGGGGCGAGCTCAAGTTCGGGGGTGGCTTCGGGAGGGCGTCTGCGGGCTGAGGATCGAAGTCTGGGTTCGGGGAACACAAAGAGGGCGGGCGACAGTGCGCTGGTTCGTGGTCCCCATGGGTGGGGGGCACCCCGTGCCGTGCCCCAGCCAGGGGTCTGGGGCTGGTGGAAGCGATCCCTGCCGAAGCTGCTTTGGGGCGCACCCCTTGTCTCTCCATGACAACCGGCCCCAGGCTGACCCGGGGCGCGGGGGTCCCCGGCAGCGGCATTGTCAGAGTAGCCCCCGTGGCCCGCCCCATTGTTCTCTTTGTTAGAGAGCCAGGCTGAGATTCGTAGGGTGACATCAGGCTGGCCGATGCTCATTGGCCCTGGAGCTGCTGGGCGGGCGAGTGGGTGGTGGGCAATGCCCATCCCAGCACACACCCACCGCCCCGTTCACCCTGCAGCTCGCCCCGCGAGCCCCAACTTTCTTCTGCCCTCACCCCCGCCCCTCCCTGCCCCATCTCCGCTGACCACCTGTGATCTACAGGGCTCTAAAACTTGGGGTGGAGCCCGGGCAGGGCGGGAGGTGGAGCTGCAGAGACTCGGCTGGGGGAGGGGACCGGTCTCTGGACCCTCAGGAGCCTCGGAAGGAAGTACGTGGGGTATTGGAACCACCGCAAGGTCGCCTGTCACCCTGGAGGCAGGCAGGGATGCAGGTCTCACTGACACCCAGCTCCAGGTGGGTGGGGCAGTTGGCCAGCCCAGCCCTTGCTCTGCCAGTCCCTCATTTGTCCACGCAGGGGTCACAGGGAAGGCTGGCATCCTGCTGGCCTGGGAATGCACCCTGAGCAGCTGAAGTTGGCCCTCTTGACCCTGGTTCAGACAGCTCTCTCCCTCCACCACCCTCTTGCCGGCTTTCGGTTGGGTCCCCACCAGAGTGAAGCACAGGACAGCGGGCTGGGGGGCTGTGTACTGAAGCCGTGGGACCAGAGGCGCAGACCAAAGCTTGGGGTCTTTTCCCCAAAGTCCCCAGACCCAGGCTGTGGGTAGAAGAGTGGGTGGAGAGTGGGTTCCTTGGTTCCCTGAGTCCTGAGACCTGCAGCCCCCTGAGGTAGTGACAGGGGTCAGGGTGAGGGCCTGTGGCCTCCACTGAGTGTGGTCCCCTGGGTGTGTCTTTGCCACCACTTGGTTGGGTGACCAGCTGGAGTCTCCCAGGCCCCAGTGGCGCCATGATCCTGAGCAAGTGGCAGCCACTCTGAGGTGTGACAGCGTTTCCCTCTGGGTTGTTTTGAGGACACTCAAGATGCTGGCTTCAACCCCGGCTCCATGCATGGTACAGGGTGTTTGCTCCCGGGAGGGTAGGGGACATGCAGTTGTTCCCTCCCCCTCCAGCTGTGCACCCTAGCCCTGCTGCCGCCTTTCCTGTTCCTGGAGCCAGGAGTTCACCGGGGCCGCTTTCCCTTACACCCGTGGTTCTCCACCCAAGCGGCCTGGGGTGCTGCAGCCCCCATGAGTGCTCTCAAGCCAGGGAGGCCCATAGGTGCTGTGGCTGGGAACCTTCGCCCCTTCACCCTCTTGCTGGGTGTTTGGATTTTGGCTCAAGTGATGGAGCCGTGGCCAGTGCTCACTACCGCGTCTGTGTCTAGGTCTTTACTTTTTTGTTTGCTTCTTTGTTTTGGTTTTGATTTTTTGAGACAGGGTCTTGTGGCGTCATCCAGGTTGGCCTTGAGCTTTCCCCCATTCCCCAGCCCTCCTTCCCCTCATTGCCACCTCCAGGGGGTCCTAGGAGCTCAAAGGGTGACCTTGAGCTCCTTCCTCAGTTTATTTTATATTATTATTTGCCTTTTTTTGAGACAGGGTCTCGCTATGCAGTCCAGGCTGGCCTTGAGCTCCCTTTGTAGCCCAGGCTGGTCTCGAACTCCTGGTGATCCTCCTGCCTCAGCCTCCTGAGTGCTGGGATCACAGTGTGCACCATTCACTCTTGCCTATCTGGCAGGGCTGTTGCAGACTCACTTATGGAGCCCTGGTTACGTGGGCCAGGTGTCATCCTGGGACCCTAGACCCAGAAGTCCAAGCTGGGCTGACTTGGGGCTCACAGCTCAGCCCCCTCCCCAGTGCCCCCACCCCCCTTTGTCACCTCATTCAATTCAGGGGGTGGGAGGATCCCATGTCAGGACACCCCACCCTGGCAGCTTCTGCTGGCTGCTGGGCAGGTCATGGAGTGAGTGCTGGGGGGTTGGGTAACAGATGTCAGCTCCATCCAACACTGGAACCTCAAAACTGGGGAGGACTAGGGATATGGCGGGAACAGCCAGCTCCCCGAGAGGGCAGGAAGGTGCCACCTTGCTAAGACATGGGAGACTGTCAACCCAGCCCTGCTCAGAGCCCTCATTGAGAGGGTTCCTGGGGTGTCTGCCCTGCCTCTGTCGCCTACTGACCCTGTGCTGAGCCCTTGGGAGCATCCCGTCTTCCTGGTCCATGCTCCGTGACCTCTCCTCTGTCAAAAGTGCTGGTCAGTGAAGCTGGCTGTGGTGGTGCACATCTGTAATCCCAGCACTCTGGGAGGCTGAGGCAGGAGGATGAAAATTTTGAGCCCAACATGGGGAACTCAGCAACTTGGTGAGATCTTGTCTCAAAATGAAAAATAAACAAAAGAGCTGGGGTGTGGCTCTGGAGGCCCTGGGTTCTGGCGCCACTACTGCAGGGAAAATGCCCCTGCTGCTCTGTTTTCTGCCTCTGGAGACACCTGCGACATGTCAGCCTCTCACCCACTCTGCCCCGTGGGCGCAGAGCCCAGGTGCCGTTGGTGTTCGGTCCTCGGTCCCGAGGCCACGTGGATTCCTGGCGCAGCTCTGCCTGGGGATTGGGGACCAGGGTGGGCAGAGGCATGGGGCCCTTCCTACAGATCTGGCATCTTTGAGGGTCCCTGGCTCTGTCAGTCTGTCTGTCTGTCTTCTCCCACCCCACTTGGTGGTAGTGTGGGCTGAATCCAGGGTGCTCCTACATTTTCAGTCCTCTTTTAATTTTTTCTTTTATTTTATTATTTAATTTTTTACTTGATGGAGTCTGGCTAAATTGTCCAGGCTGGGCTCAAACTTCTGATCCTCCTGCCTCTGCCTCCCAGAGCACAGGAATGACAGTCCTGGGCCACCACACCAGCTAGATGGCCCCATTTGTGTGTCCTCACCCTGAGGAGTGGGGAAGCCACCCCGGGCGCCTGTCTTACCCGGGCACTGGTGGCATTCAAGAGGGCGCCGGCGCCTGTCTGACTTTCCCAAGACCTCAGCATTTACTCCTGTCACATCCGAGTCACTGCCTGCTTGGAACCCGGGGAGTCGGGGACCACATCCATGTCCTCTGACCGTAGTGGTCACGTCCTGAAGTTCCAGCTGGATGTGAATTGTGGGGCACCCACCCAGGGGCCCCGAGGCTTTGCTGTTCCTTGGGGTCCGGACAGTAAACTGAGACTCCGGGTAGGAGGAGAAGCAGCTGGGGTCTCTGGGCTGGGGGGCCCACTGGCCTGCAGCGGTCGTCCTGTCCCGGGCAGGGGGTCAGCGTGTCCCCCACCTTCCCCCCACAGGCTGCAAGATCAAAGCCCTGCGCGCCAAGACCAACACCTACATCAAGACGCCGGTGCGCGGGGAGGAGCCCGTGTTCATCGTGACGGGCCGCAAGGAGGACGTGGAGATGGCCAAGCGCGAGATCCTGTCCGCGGCCGAGCACTTTTCCCTTATCCGGGCCTCGCGGGGCAAGGCCGGGGGGCTGCCGGGCTCGGCCCCAGGCCCACCTAACCTGCCAGGCCAGACCACCATCCAGGTGCGCGTGCCCTACCGCGTGGTGGGGCTGGTGGTGGGGCCCAAGGGCGCCACCATCAAGCGCATCCAGCAGCGGACACACACGTACATCGTGACACCCGGGCGTGACAAGGAGCCCGTGTTCGCGGTGACCGGGATGCCCGAGAACGTGGACCGGGCGCGCGAGGAAATCGAGGCGCACATCACCCTGCGCACCGGCGCCTTCGCCGACTCGGGCCCCGACAGCGACTTCCACGCCAACGGCACCGACGTCTGCCTGGACCTGCTGGGCGCGGCCGCCGGACTCTGGGCCAAGGCCCCGCACCCGGGGCGCCGGCCACCCACCGCCTCGGCCGGTGCCAGCCTCCGCGGGGACAGCGCCCTGGGCGCCCCTGACTTCTTCGCCAGCAGCCGCGCCGGGCCCCCAGGGCCGGACCCGGGCCCCGCCAGCCCCTACGGCAGCACCGGCAACGGGGCCTTCACGTTTGGCGGGGACAGCACGGGGACACCGGCACCCGAGGACTGCGACTTCGGCTTCGACTTCCTGGCCCTGGACCTCTCCGTGCCCACCGCGGCCACCATCTGGGCGCCGTTCGAGCGCGCGGCGCCCCCGCTGCCCACCTTCGGCGGCGCGGTCAATGGGACTCCGGGGACGGCCGCGGGCGCCGCGCGCCGGGGCAGCGGGACGGCCACCCCGCGCCACTCGCCCACGCTGCCCGAGCCCGGCCCGGGCCCCGGCCTGGGCCTGGAGCTGCCCCTGGCCCGCAGGGCCGCCCCGGACCCGGCGGGCGCGCTGCCCTGGCGGCCCCCGCACGGCGCGCTGCCGCCCTTCCCCAGCGGCGCCGGCTTCCCCGCCGCCCCCGCGCTGGACACCGGCGCCCCCGACGGCACCCGCAAGGCCCCGGCCGCGGCCACCGCCTCCGCCTCCGCCTCCGCGCCCGCGGCCCCCGGGCCGCCCGCCGCCCTGGCGCGCGAGTGCGTGGTCTGCGCCGACGGCGAGGCCATGGCCGCGCTGGTGCCCTGCGGCCACAACCTCTTCTGCATGGACTGCGCCGTGCGCATCTGCGGCCGCAGCCAGCCCGAGTGCCCCGCCTGCCGCACGCCGGCCACGCAGGCCATCCATATCTTTTCCTAAGGCGGGGGGCGGGGGGGCAGCGGGCTGCGGGGTCACCGGGCCACCCGGGCCAGCAGAGTCGCAAAGGCTTTAACTCCGCAGCCAGGCGTGGGTATGGCCAGCCAGGAGCCGGGCGGCGACACCTGCGTTCCCGACCCATGACAGTGTTGAGCGAACAGATGACCGAGAGAGGGGGTCTCCTGCACTTTGTACTTGGGGCACCCCCGCCCCAGGGCGACCTGCAAAACGAGTAAAAAACAGAAAAAAAGTTTTTACAACTTTCCTGTCTTCCCTTTGTATGTGGCGGTTTTAGGTTTGGCAGTGTGTTCCTGGGGTCCCCAACGACCCGGACGGGCAAGTTTGGAAAGAGGATGGCATTTTTAACTTTTTTGGGGTTCACGGTTCTCGTTTTGTACACAGCCACCCGGCAGTCGCCACTGGGGGCGGGGGCGGGGTCATGGTCTCCGGCTCATTTTCTCCCTAATTATGGGGTCCCCCCCTCATTGTTTGGGTTCTTTTTTTAAGAAAATTTTTTTAAACCAGTTTTTTTTTTTTTTTTTTTTTTGGTTTTGTTTTTTTAAAAACATTTACTTTTTACCTCTTGTGTATATGTAGGGAATTTATAGGGAAATGTGTACTTTATGGAATAAATTTTAAGAACTAAAATATATTTTATTTTAAATAAAAGTAACGGACCTTTAATCTTCCACAGCTAAATTACTGATTATATATTTGCTGAGCTGATTTAAGGGTTAAAAAAATTGTATCAAGAGTTTTATTTTTTGACTTCAAAGCCTTCTTAATAAAGTCTTTTTACTACACGACAGCCCTCGGTGTCCCTGTGGGGTGGGGTGGGTGGCACTGGCTCGTTCCAGAGGAGGGGCCAGGGATGAGGGGTGCAGTGAGCACCCCGTTTTTCCCGGGGCCTGGGTACCCCTCACCCCAGTGGGCGTCCATCCCTAGGACAGCTGTGGCTCCCACAGTGGGAATGGAGGCCAGTTGTCCCAGGAGGAGTCTGCCCAGGCTCATGGTAGGTGTCACAGCCACTCCACTGCAGATGGGGAAACTGAGGCCTGGGACCCCCCCCCCTTCCAGATCGTCCCAAGGACAAGCCACAGCTCTACAGAGCCAGAGCTGCTAATCCCTGGGCGGGGGTGGGGGAAGATTCCAGGGTGGACACTGGCCCTCAGCCGCTGCTGCTGATTGCAAAGGACCAGGAGGACCAGGCCAGCCCGTGGGACAGGGCGTCTGGTGGCTCTAGGGGCTGGGCAGGCACCCACAGCCTGTGGAGAGGTCTGGGGAGCTGCCGAGGGCGGACCGGACACCACGCCACAGGAAGGACAAGTAGCCCGGGGCTGGAACCCAGCGCTGCCGGGGCCCTGGCCTGGCTCCATCTCCATCCAGGCTGGAGCTCTGGGGCACTTGGGGCTGCAGGGGTCAAATGGTGTCACCTGGAAGCCTGTAACTGGCCTAGGCCTTGAGCCTTGGGGATGATGTGGGGCTTACTGTGCGTCCGAGGACACTGGTGCTGGAGCCCACACCCTGCTCCAACTTGGAATTTGTAGCCTCTGTGTCCTGGGGAGTCCCCGGGAGGCAACCAGGGCTGGGCGCTATCAGCGAGAGACCCTGGATCCACCTGTGCCTGAAGGAGGATCTTCCTGGCTTTCCCACCAGGAGACCCAGCCACCACTGCTCTGTCCTCTGAAGCCCGGAAAGCTGAGGTAAGTGACCCGGATGTGTTTTCTAGAAGGGCTGGGCAGCAAACGCTAAGTGAGAGGCTGGTGCCACTGGCCTCTCTGGGTCTGGGCACAGCCAGGGGAGAAGGCTGAGGTCCGTCCTGAGGCCTCCACCCCGAGTCTCATCACCACTGACCCTTGTGGCCCAGGCACAGGGCACGTTGGTGACCCCAGTCCAGTGCCTGTGGGAACCTCCATTCTGATCCCATCAGTGGGAACCTGGCGTCTTAGGTGTGGGCTCCAGGAAGGGGGACACCACCTTGCCACCCGTGCAGGTCAGGGTCCCTCGAGACGGCAGCCCCTTGTCAGTGGCCCCAACTGCACCCAGCCACCCCCCTCCGCCTCAGCCTCCACACCCAGCACAGGGCTCGGCCTCGGGGAGGCTCGGGGGGCCACAGCAGCTGGGCGTAGAGCATGATACATGGGGCGCAGCGAACAGCAGAGCCCCCGGCCTCCGTCATGGCCCGCAGACGCCAGTGCTCCAGGTGGACGGGTGGTGGGTGGACGGACAGACAGATGGAGGGCAGATGGGTGGGTGGATGGGCAGATGGGTGTATGGACAGACGGGTGGGTGGGCAGATGGGCAGATGGATGGGAGGATGGACAGAGATGGACAGGTACGTGGATGGATGGATGGATGGACAAATGAAAGGCTGGACAGATGGGGGGATGGGTGAGGGGATGGGCAGGTGGGCACATGGCTGGTGGCAGGGTGGGTACACAGATGACACAGAGCCCGAGAGATGGGTTATGGCTGTTGATGAAAGTTCCTGCTTCGACCCCGCACACCTCACCACCCAACAACCACATCAGCCCCAGCTGACCTCGGGCCAACAGAATCTGAATCGGAGCCGACATCTTCACGTGGGGCTGGGCACTATCCTGCCGGCTCTTTCTAGAATCTTCTAGAACGTTCCAGCCCAGCAGCGCCCAACAAAACACAGGGATGGGCTGTGCCAACCACAGGCACCTCAGGCACACACAAGGGTCCAGCCCTCGGTGGGGACAGAACAACTGGGAAACTGAAATTTTTATTTTATTGAGCTTTAATTGAATTGTAAATAGCCAGAGAGAGAGAGAGACAGAGAGATAGAGAGACTGTTCTTGCTGTGCAGACTCCAAAAGACTTTTAAAGCAACTTGTAGTGGAGAGAATTTGAAAAGGAAGCCCATGCATGGTGACCCAGGCCTGTAATTCCAGCACACAGGAGGCTGAGGCAGGAGAACCACTGTGAGCTCAAGACCAGCCTGAACTGCATTAAAAAAAAAGAGAGCCTGCGTTAAAAAAAACAAACAACAACAACAACAACAACAAAAAAACCAACAGTGAAGTCAGGTGTTGTGACACATTTCTGTCATCACAGCACTGAGGGAGGCTGAGGCAGGAGGATCTCAAGTTGGAGCCCAACCAGGACAATTTATTGAGAAGCCCTGTCTCAAAATAGCAATACCAAGGGCCGGCTGGGGATGGCGCTCAGCCGGAAAGGTCCCTGGGTTCAGTCCCTGTGTGTTCCCAGAATTGCATGGAATATTCTTACTTTGTTATTCCTCTGAAATTCAAATGTAATGGGCCGTTGTATGTACCCTCTTCGATTTTTTGTGGAGCTGAGATTGAACCCAGATCTCACCAGGTTGCTCAGGCTGCTCTGGAGCTGGGGATCCTCCTGCTTCAGCCTCCTGAGCTGCTCAGATGACGGGCGTGTGGCCTCGCAGGCGCTCTGAGCGCTCAGAGTGACGTTTCTCCGGGAAGGGAGGTGGCCCAGGTTCCCGGGAACAGTTCGAGGTCACAGCGGTGGTTTGGGGGGACACATCAGGATCGCTCTTCCTGGTGCTTATCGGTACTGAGTGCCCCCGTTCTCCCAGCCCGCCCGGAGACCTAGAGGCCCCGCCACAGGGACAGCCGTGCTCTGTCGCCCCGGTGTGGCCAGAGCCGCGTATGACGCCCTGGGTGGAGCCGAGTGTGGGGGGTGATGGTGGTTTCATTGTGGAAAATGGAAACTGACATCCCTTTGCCCCCTCACACGAGGGACCATGCGCCTCCCCACAAGGGCACAAGGGGATCCCTCCTCCCCTTTCCCCTCCTTGGATGACTCTCGCCCAGCAGCTCAGTGCTGGAGGTACACAACAGCTGCTCTACAAGTACTTGGTGTTTAGTTTTGTTCCATTTTTGTTCTGAGATGGGGTCTTGCTATATCGTTCACTCTAGCTTCGAACTCATGATGTAGCCCAGGCTGGCCTTAACTCACTGTGATCCTCCTGCCTCAGCCTCCTAAGCGCTAGGATTCAGATGTGCACCACCGTCCCCAGTTCAGTGTTTGTTGATTGAATGACTCACTGGCATGACAAAGAACCAGGGCTCTTGGTTTTCCCAAAGCAGGTCAGGCTTCTCCCTGGCTGGGCCTGGTGCCTCACACCACACCCCACTCTGTGACAAGTGGGCCACCAACTCTAAGGGCAGAAAGGACCCCAGCTTCCAGGTTTTTGGAATTCACACCTTTGTCTCCTGAGTGGTGGGGAACATTTTGCCCCCTCCTGCAGCTGAGGATGCACAGTGAGCCACTAGAAAGCCGTGTGTGGTGTGCAATCCTGTCTCCTCACCACTCTGGGAGGCTGAGGCAGGAGGGTCCCAGCTTCAAACCCAGCCTGGGCTACGTAGTGAGATCCTGTCTCAAAAATAATAAGGGGCTGGGGATGTAGCTTAGTGCAAAGGCCCTGGGTACCACACACACATCAAAACCATCACCGTGGTGAATAAGAATGCAGCGATATTGATTCATATGGGAACAGACACAAGCTGTTCATAAGAGGGGAAACTGAGGACTTGGGGGCCCATAGCCGCTCTATTATCTACTGAGTTGTATAAATTTAAAAAAAAAAATTTTTTTTGAGACAGAGTCTCCCTGTGTAGCCTGGGCTGGCCTCAACTCTCTGGGATCCTCCTGCCTCAGCCTCCCAGAATGCTTGTGTGCTGGGCATGGGCTTTCATACCTGGTTTTCTTAATACATTTTTAAAGTTAAAAATATTTGAAAGTAAAAACCAAAATGACAGATGGAACATGGGCCACAGCACCCACATTGTGGCTACGATTAACTGGATCTGGTTTTCTGTGCTGAGAGCAGTTTTTCCTCGACTCCCGCAGGCCTCACTGGGGCGTGGGTGGCCTGGGTTTTACCACAGGCTGGACTGCACCCACCGTCTCTGAAGTTCTCTTTTTCTTTGTAGGGCTGGGGATGGAACCCAGGGCCTCACACGAGCTAGGCAGGCACTCATCTCTGAGCGCCAACCTCCGCCTTTGAATTTTTAAATATTTATTTACCAGGAACTGAACTCACGACCTTGCGCTTTCCAGGCGGGGGCTGCACTGCCGCCGGCTGTCTCCCCAGCCCTGGTTTTATTCTTTGAGACAGGGCCTCTCTAAGTTGCTCAGGCTGGACTCTGGAACAGGCGATTCTCCTGCCTCAGCCTCCCAAGTAGCCGAGCTCACCTCGATCTCGAGGCCACCACGATCAGCTGGGGTTTTTTAGTTTTGCCCATCGTGGGTGCCCTGGGAGCGGCTGGGCGTGGACTGACATGTGGGGGGCCCTGCAAAGGCTCGAGGTGGGGCCAGCTTGGCCTGTTGGAGGCGCGCCAGGTACCCCGGGACTCCCCGGGGACACGTCTGGGAAGCCTAGTGCATTCACTTGGCCTACACAGCTACCTCGACCTCCGCAGCGAAGCCCTTCTGCGCTCAGGGCCGGGCCACAGCCCCCTGCCCAGCTATTTAAGAGCGTGAGGCAGGAGGATCCCGAATGCAAGCCCGGCCTGTGCAGAAAAATAAAAAATAAAAAGGGTGGGGTGGGGCCGGTAGGGGGCGCCCGCCCAGCACCCGTGAGGGGCTGCCAATGGAGGGCCTCAGGCCGGCTCTGGGAGCGCAGTTCTGTCTTTTTTTTCTGTTACTTGGGTCAGTTGCAGGGACCCGGGCGCTGGGCACTCTGGGGGGGCCCGAGCGGCCTCTCCACCTCTGCCCAGACGCTGCCCGGCGCTTATCCCAGGGCATCCTCGGGGGAGGCTCAGTCCCCTCAGTGGGACCCCCCTCCATTAAGGGGAACCCCTCAGTCCCTCAACCCGCATTTTAGCCCGGAACTGCCCTGGTCCAACCTTTGCACGGAGCTCTATCACCGGTCCTATTTAGTTATTGATTTATTCGGTACCAGGAATTGAACTCAGGACCTTTCACTGCTGAGTTATATCCCTGGCCCCACCCTTTTTATCTTTAAATTTTTAAAAAAATTTTTCTTGGGGGTTTTTAAGGCAGGGTCCTACTATGCAGCCCAGGCTGGCCTTGAGCTCACAGCGATCCTCCTGTCTCAGCCTCCTGAGTGCTGGGATGACAGGCATGCGCCACCATACCCTGCAAACGCGTCTTTCTGAACCCTTCGGACTCTGAAGCTGATCCGTTGTATTAGGCTCATAAAGCTTAGGACAGAAAAGTGTTTCCAGCATTTGGAATAAATGACCATGGTACCAGCATACAATGAGGTCCTCTCCACACTGGGGTGTCACTTGGCCAGGACAGGAGTGAGGCTGTGATCCTGGCCACAGCATGGAGGGCCCTCGAGGACACCGTGCTTAGTGAGAGATGCCAGACACAGAGGACACAGGGCGTGGGCTTCATGGACAGGAGTGCCCAGGACAGGGGACTCAGAGACAAAGTGGCCCTGGGGGTGCGGGGCTGGGAGGGGAGGCTGACTGCTGATGGGATTTGATGTTTGCAGAATGTGATAAAATAGGAAACCATCGCAGCACAGCAGGAGGCTGAGGCCAGGAGGATTGCAAATTGCAGCCCAGCATGGGCAAAACCTAGTAACTTAGTGAGGCCCTGTCCCCAAAATAAGTGCAGGGGCCTTAGCTTCCAACCCTGCGTACAGGAAAAAACCCTAAAAGCCCTGATGGGGGTGGGGAGCCACGGATTTCCTGTTGGCAGCCTCAGTCTCCTTAGCCTTTCTTGTCACCTGTGTGCCCCCCACTTCCCCACACTTGACCACACCCCAAAAGGCAGGGTCAGGTATATTTTCTGGATCCTTAACTCAGGTTATCCCCCCAAGTTTTGTTTCTTTGAGACAGTCTCACTATGGGGTTCAGGCTGGCCGTGAATTCCGGTGACCTTCCTGCCTCAGCCTCCCCAAGCATGGAGCCTGCTTAGGCTCCTCCAACTCTACCCCTAAAAGGGGCAGAAGGCAGATTCCAGAGCCAGGCTGTCTGTAACGGGGAAGGCAAGGAGCCCTGGCCAGGCTTCCATGGGAGCTGTCAGGGCCTGAAAGACCACGGGAAACGGGAATTCTGAGACGCGATGTGTGCAGCAGAGCGCTGATTTATTTTATTTGAGATTTTCACACTTAAGTAAGAGCTGCCCCATGCTGGTGCCATCAGAGAGGAGGGTTCACCTCTACCCAGCACTTCCGAGTAGTTCACAGCTGCACGCGGTGACACACACGCCTGATTCCAGGTCCTCAGGAGGCCAAGGCAGGAAGCTTGCAAGCTGGAACCCAGCCCGGGTTGATTTAACAAGACCCTGTCTCCAAAGTCAAAAGTCTTTTTTAGGAAGCGCGGGGGTGCTGGTCCACGGGGAGCACCTGCCCAGCATGCAGGAGAGCACCGAGACCAGCACCGCAAGGATCAAAAGCAAAACCCAGAAGCCAAAGGGAGGGTGTGGGGAGGAGCAGGCCCTCGGGGTGCTGCCCCGAGCTGGGGTCTGGGGCAACCCTGGGAGCAGGCCAGGAGGTGGACAGAGGCTGTGGGAGGGAGGGCAGAGGGCTCGAGCTGCGGGGAACAGAGTCCCCTCAGTTTCCTGGGTCTCCTCCAGCTCGGCCTCCTGAGGAGCCCCTGGCACACCCAGAGGGTCTCGGCGAGGACAGGAAACCAAAGCCTGGGCTGGGCCAGGTCCCTACCCTCAGGGCCGGAGTCCAGGCACTGCGGAAACCTCCTGATGGCAGCCTCTACTTCCAGCCGTGGGCTCCCCTCAGGGTCTGGGGGGACAGAGCAATCTGGAGGGTCCATAGGCCTGGGTTCCCACCAAGATGACTCCTTCAACCAGCTCCTCTGGACTCCTGCACCCCACCTTCTAATTTTTTCTTTTGAGACAGGGTCTCACTGAATTGCATAGGCTGGGGGCCAGGGATTTATTTAGCTCAGTAGCTTAAGCGCCTGCCTGGCAAGCCCAAGGTTGTGAGTTTAGTCCCTGGTATCCCCCACCAGCAAAACCTACATAGACTGGGCTTGAACTTGTGATCCTCCTGCCTCAGCCTCCAGCCAGGAAATCTTTTTATTTTTATTTATTTTTTTGAGACAGAGTCTTGCTGCATAGTCCAGACTGGCCCTGACCACACTGTGTAGCCCAGTCTAGACTTGAACTTGCAGTGATCCTCCCGCCTCAGCCTCCTGAGTGGTAGGATCACAGGTGCGTGCCACCGCACACCCGCACATGGGGGACTTTAGAGGGTCTCTGTCCTCCCTTCACTCTCCCCACTGGTCCACTCCATAGGGTCTGGTTCCAGCCTCTCTGCTCCTGGGCCTGAGTTCTCTTTGGGGGTGAAGGGACCTGAAGGGGAACAGGTTTTTGGGACAGAGCCAGGGCCTCCTGCAGAGGGGAGGCACCCACCCCCCAGCCCCCCACTGCCAGTGCGGGGTGCACTACTTACGGGGAAGCCGGCATTCAGCGAGCAGCAGCCGGCCCACCTTCCGGAGGAGGCCATCCAGAGACGGGGGGACTGCAAAGTTGGGGGGACTGTGGCAGGAATGGGGTGGCAGGCGCTCTGGGGTGAAGCCCTTCCGAAAGAGATATTTGGGGTCGGCCCCTGCTCTGTGGGACCAGCTCCCCATCATCTGCTCTGCTGGACAGAAGGGGACCCAGGCCGCAGGCAGGCTAGGGCAGCCCACCTGGGTGAAGAAGGCGTCCTGGAGCAGCTGGTCCAGGGTGGGCCGTTCGGCCGGGTTGGGCGCCAGCAGGCGGGCAATGAGCTGGCGCGCGCTGGGCGACAGGTGGGCGGGCTCCGGGTAGCGGGCGGCACGGATGTTCTGGTACAGCTCGGAGAGGGGCGTCTCCGGGAAAGGGGGGCTGCCGGTGAGCGCCGTGTACCTGGGCAGCCGCGGGTGGCGGCGAAGTGCAGTGGGCATGCCAGGTTTGCTCGCCTTTCCCGCCCCGCCCGCCCGCAGGGCTCCCAGCCGCCCTCCTGCTGGCCGCACCTGGCCGCAGCACCTGGCCGCAGCACCTGGCCGCCCATCTGTGCCGCCCACCTGCGTCCGCCCAGGTGTGGCTGAGACACATGCTGAATGTTTGGATTTTCAAAATGGGTCACAGTAAAGGCCCTGTGGCCGTGAATCCTCCTCCAAATTCTCTCCCCCACGTCTGGCACCCTTAGCCCGTCACTGGCCGCTTTCTGAAGCAGCTCTGGAGAGCTCTTTCCTGAGTGTCTTCAGTTTTGTTGTCCTGGCTGCCTCTGTGTCCGAATGGATAAAAAACGTTTTCCCTTCCTGGTTATTTGGGCTTTGAGAGATGACCACAAGTCTCATGGCGCAGAATCCTGTGAGTAAGGGGATGGAGGCGGGGTCCTGTTTTTAGGAGCTGCCTTTCCACTGGATGGCGCTCCGCAGCGGAGTTCACCAGTTTTTGATCACACCTCTTATAAAGCAATAAGTCACAGATCCAGAGTCCCTATGGTGCAAGCGATCATTATGTATATTTAAGATGTACCAATAAGCTTACTTAATAATAATTTGTATTTTATTTTTATTTTTTGGTGTCAAGAATCAAAGGTGAGAATTTTTTTAAAAGATACTCAGTTGCCAGGGATGTAGCTCAGTGGTATAATCACCTGCCCGGCAAGTGCAAGATCGTGAGTTCAATTCCTGGTAGCAAAATAAATAAGTAAAAATTTAAAAAATAGGCCGGTGTGGTGGCGCATGCCTGTAATTCCAACACTTCGAGGCTGAGGCAGGAGGATCACTGAGAGTTTGAGACCAGCCGGGGCTACACAGTGAGCTCAAGGTCAGCCTGAACCGCATAGTGAGACCCTGTCTCAAAAAGACCAAAATAATAATAATAAATAAATTAAATAAAATAAAAAATATAAAAAATAATAAGACAAAAACAATTTAACAGACCCTCAGGAAAGAGGACTCCAGAGCTGCTGCAGAAAGCTGCCAGGGCCAGGGCTTATACACGCTGGAAGTGAGGATTTAATGGGAGTTCATAACCAGCTGTCTTTTCCTGTGACGCCTTTTAAACATTTAAATATGAACTGCACATTCCGGTCCCCACATGTCCTGCTCATCCCTGCCCATAACAGCTGTGTGTCTCCAGCTGCCGGCGCCTCCACACACCCGCCCCATCCGGGCTTCCCTGTGGGGGCTCCTGCCCCTACTGCCCCTGCCCTGAGTGCCAGGACTCCACTCACAGGGCACAGCCCAGGGCCCAGATGTCAGACTGGCACGTGTGCCCGTGCCGGGACACCACCTCCGGGGCCAGGAAGTTTGGGGTTCCGCAGAGTACCCTGGGAGGGAAAGAGTGAAGGTGTGGGAAAGCGCGGCCTTCGTCCCAAACCTGGCCCCCCCAGAGGGACCCCCAGAGCTCCACTCACCTGTGGCAGCGGCCCCCTGGCCCTACCCTGGCGGCCAGGCCCAGGTCTCCGATCTTCACCTCCATGTTGCTGTTTAGGAAGAAGTTACCTGTGGATGGGGGGGGCAGAGGGTGAGGAGGGTGGGACAGGCCTCCAGCTCCCTCGGGACCCCTCCCCTCCCCTCCCCCCCCCCGCCCCTGTCCTCCCCTCCCCCTCCAACTCACTGAGCTTCAGGTCCCGGTGCACAATGCGCTGCTGGTGCAGGTAGCGCAGGCCGCTGACCACGCCCCGCAGGTAATAGCGCACCTCGGGCTCCGTCAAGGTCTGCCTGGCTTTGAGCACGTGGGCCAGCGACTGCAGGTGGCACAGAGGAGAACCAGACCCCACAGGGACGGGCGAGAGCAGAGCCAGCCCAGGGGACCCAAGGGACCCACCCAAGGAGACAAGGTAAGAGCCAGTTGGCAGAAGTGGCACGGCTGGCTGTGGGTGGGGACCGGCGGGCTCGGGTGGGAATAGATACATTTCAGTGCAAAAAGCAAGTTCAAGGGGTCTCAGCTGGAGCAGCACAGTCCCACTGGGAAGCAGCAGGAGGGTCTCAGGTTAGCTGGGGAAGTTCAGGGAAGCCAGGTGCGGTGCCACACTGTGTCACCCCAGCACTCTGGGAAGCTGAGACAGGAGGATTGTAGGTCTGAGCCTAGCCTAGGCAACTTAGCAATTTAGTAATTTAGCAACACTGTCTCAGAATAAAAACTGCAGAGGACCTGAGGATGTAGCTCAGTGCAGAGGCCAGGGGTTCAACCCCCAGAACCACAAAAAAAAGAAAAAAAAAACGTTCAGAGGAGCCTGGTGGCCGCAGGTGACATGCTCTGACGCTGGGCAAGGGAGATGGGACTGGACCTGTGCCCCCATGCGCACCTGGCGGCCGCAGTACTCCAGCACCATGTACACGTGGTCGCGGTCGGCGAAGTGACCGTGGAGGGCCACGATGTTGCGGTGGCGGAGGCCGCTGTGCAGGGCGATCTCACGCTCCACCTGTGGGCACCGGCCACGCGTGGGGACACCAGGGAACCCGCAGGTGCAGACCCCCTTCTCCCCCAAGCTGCTCCCATGCACCGCACCCACCGCAGGGTGGGGACCAGGGCCTGGCCCTACCTTCCCCGAGGGGCGCAAACGCCCCACTCCGCCCCCGCCGCGCGGCACCACCTTGAGCGCAAACACGACGCTGGTGGACAGGTCGGTGAGCTTGTAGCAGCGGCTGAAGGCGCCCTGTGGAGACGATGGGAACACGCGGGTGTGCAGACGCGGGGCCTCGGGTGTGCAAGCCAGGGTGTGCACAGGGCCTGCCTCTTCACACCCATGTGGATGCACAAGCATGCACGGCTCACACTGGGAGACATACACCACACACACGACCTGACCGACAGACCACGGCACCGGGACACACGGCCTGTGGACCTCACAGCACTGGGCCGGGACACACACTGCCAGCCAGGGACTCGGCACACAGCCGCGCACACACGGGACACATCTGGACACAAATCATAAAAATACACACAACACCCAGGCACCAACAATGGACACACGGCCCAAGACAACACTCAGAAATGTGACCCGTAGACTCTCAGATACACAGCACAGGGCAGCACTGACCAGGACACACCCAACTCACTCCACGGGTGCCCGGTTACACAGCCCACGGTGGGAGCTCGAAAACCTCCCAGGGACACGGGACAGGCAGGGAGACCTCGCCAGGCCCAGAGGCAGGAGCATAGGGATCGGTGCAGGAGCTGGACACAGAATACCACGGGACACAGGGGGATCTGGACACAGGACACACCCCGGGCCATGTGTGTTCCAGACAAACGACCAGCACAGGACACAGAGCTGAAGTGGACACACGCGTGACAGGCACACACAGCGGGAGGGACCCACGAAAAAACGCGGGGCGCGTGTCACGCGCGCACACACACACACACACGCAGAGATCGCGCCCCACACATGGCTTCCCGCCACCCACCCGCGGACGCCCAGCCATGCAAACGCTGCGCTGGACTCCAAACTCTCAGGAACGCGCGACGTGCGCAGGGACGAAGCCAAGCGCACTGGCGCGCCACACTCGGCGCGGGTCACTGCGCGCACCCCCGGCCCCACCGCGCTCCGCCCCGGCCGGGACCCCTTGGGCCCTCCCGGCCCCTCTCGGGGGACTCCATCGGGGTGGGAGGACCCCACCTGGCCGATGAGCTTCCCGCGCCGGTAGACGCGCCCCGAGCCGGGGTCGCGCAGGAAGGCGGCCACCAGCTGGCGACTCCGGCTCTGGCGCCTGGCCGCGGGCTCCATCTGCGCTGCGCTCTGGGTCCCGCGCAGCAGCCGGGGTGCTTCTTATTGGTGTGGGGGGCGGAGGGAGGCGGAGAGAGGCGGAGCCCGGGCGCTCCAGGGACAGGAACGCGGGGAACAAGAATCTGGCGCGCAGGACGCCCTGGCCACAAGGTCTGGCAGTCGCAGACTGATAGTCCGGCGCCAGGGCACGCACACAAGGCCCGCGAGGTCGTTAAGTGCTGCACTCGGGGAGCTCACCGCGCCCATTCCACGGAGCAGGAAACTGAGGCTGGCGTCCTTGATTGGTTCTCTCCGAAGACCTCCCAGGGGACAGGGATACGTGTGGGGCACTCGTGGGGCTCTTCCCAGAGTAGGCCTAGGGATCAGAAAGTAACCGTGGATCCTCTCTGCCCCTGAGCCCTTAGCTTTCCTTGATTCCTTGGGGCCCTGAGGCGCCGTGGCAGGATGCAGCTGGAGAGAAGCCCAGAACTGCTCTGCTGTGGCCGGCAGAGCATGGAATGAGGGCTCACGCGGAAAACACCCAAGCAGGTCTGGGGTTGCGGGGACCCCAGGGGTCGGCGCGATGAAGAGTGCGGAGTCGGCAGTGATGGCACACACGTCACCCCATACCCTGGGAGGCCGAGGCAGGAGGATGGCAGTTTCTAGTCTCACCTGAACAACTTAGCAAGACTTCTCTCAGAGCTAAAATCACACCTTAAGAGGGGCTAGGGATGCAGCTCAGTGCCAAGGCCCTGGGTTCAGGCCCTAGCACTGCCAGAGGAACACAAAAGGGGACAGAAGAATGCACTGTGCGGGTGTAACCTGTGCCCCCGGGGGGGGGCAGGGTGATGTCCTTGCCTGAGTGACAGAGCGCTGGACCCCTTCCCCACCCCGTCCCATCCCCATTACAGGTGAGGCCCAGGGACCCCTGGATGGGACCCGGGCGGCCACTTCTGGACAGCTCAGGTTTAATCCCCGACTGTTACATAACACCGTGCGTGGGGAGGGGCTAGCAGGGCTCCTGTGGCAGGAATCAGGCCTTGGAATTTTCCAGAGACAGATTTCAGGGCCCAGCACCTGTGGCTCCAGGAGACACTGTTGTTGGGGTCACGCATCCACTTGGTGTGTCAGAGCAGGGCATTGGGGGTGTCAGGGATCCCCAGGCACAGTGCATTTGATGGAGCAAGATTGAGGTTCCTCCTCCTAGCTCAGTATGATGGCACAGGTCTATAGTCCTAACCCCAGCACTTAGGAGGCTGAGGCAGGAGGATCACCACAAGTTTGAGGCCGGCCCTGGCTACATAGAGAGTTCAAGGCTACCCTGAATTACACAGCAAGACCCTGTTTCAAGATTAAAAAACTAAAAGGGGAGGCATGAATTGGATCCCTGGTTCCAAAAAAGAAAGAAAATCAGTTTCACCTGTGCACTGCCCTCCCCTGTGGTGGCTGAGGTACTTATTAAGCGCCTACTGCATGCAGGCTCCTTTCAATCATTTGTGAAATGCCACGGTTTACACAAGGTATCTCAAGGAGATGGTGAAGATTCAGCCAAGTTGGGGCTCAGGGAAGTTGTGGGGGGCACCACCAGGTAGTCAGGCCCTTTCCAGACAGCAGCTGGCCCCTGAGTTTGCGTTATTCTTAGCCCCAAGTGACAAAGAGAAAGAACCAGGCTCAGAGGCCCTGTGAGCTCCTGGTCACCAGGCAGGACTGTCCGTGGCCAAACCCTGCTTGGGCCCTGGGTGAGGTGGCCTCGGATTCCTGTCCCTGCCATATGGTCCCCCTAGCTCCCTCCCAGGCAGCCCCAGGGAGTGTTGCCGGGCCTGGCCCTGGAGCTGGGCAGGTGGCCGAGAAGCATGGGGGTGATGGGACAGAAACCAGCAATCCTGGCTGGCAGTCCTGCAGCCGACTGTCAGCTGACACTGCACACAACCGGCTCCCCTGTCCCCTGGCCGCCCGCTGGGCTTCTCTGGCCCAGCCTCTGCCTCGCAGCGGGCCTCTGGGTGGCAGCCCCACCCCTGTGATCGGGGACCCTGGTCTCTTTGGCCAGCTGCCCATGGTCCTGTGCTCGCTGCCCGCTGCAGCCCGGCCAGGCCTTCAGGGTGCAGCTGGGGGTGGGTCCCCCAGGGAACCTTACTGAAGGCCTCCCGCAGGTCTCAGGAGCCGGGGGTGTCTGCTGCGGGCCCAGGGTACAGTACAGGTCCCAGGACGGCTCACAGGCAGGGGCCGCGGGGCAGGCTCGGGATGCAAATCTCTTCTCCCTTCAAGGAAAGAAGAAAATGGAACTGGAGGGCTGGACATGGGGTCCGGGAGAAGGTGTCCCGCAGACGGGCTCCCCAATGACCCCGGAAATGAAGCTCAGGCTGCCTGCACCTCCAAAAGAAAGAGGGGGTCACAGTGGGCACCACAGAGGGGAAACAGGCTGTTCAATTCTCTTCCTTTCTCTCTTTGCATTTTTATTTTTTTATTTTGAGCCAGGGTCTTGCTTAGACACTGAGTTGCCCAGGTTGCCCAGGCTCAGACTTACAATCCTCCTGCCTCAGCTTGCCCAGTAACTGGGGTAACAGGTGTGCACCGCCACCCCCAGATCATTTTCGTTTCTTGAAATCCATACTTGAGAATGAAGTAGACTTTATAACCAGTGAGCAACAGAGACCTTTACGTTATTGGCTGCTTTACGGCAGCCAAAAGTATAAACCCTGAGCAGGAAGAGCCCTGTGAGTTCGAGGCCAGCCTGGGCTACAAAGTGAGCTCAAGGGGCTGGGGATTTAGCTCAGCGGCATAAGCACCTGCCTTGCAAGCAGGCGGTCCTGAGTTCAATCCCCAGTACCGATAAAAAATAAAAATTAAAAAAAAAAAAGTTTAAAAAAAAAACAAAGTGAGCTCAAGGCCAGCCTGAACTGCAGAGCGAGACCCTGCCTCAAAAAGATGGACAGAGGGACACAGCAAGGTCATCCCCCGCCAGGACATCACTGAGTCAGGAGGCTGTGATCCTCCTCACTGCATGGAAGGACCTGGAGGACTCTGTGCTCAGTGGGAGACGCCAGACACAGAGGACACGGCTTGGGCTCCACACACAGGAAACGCCCAGGACGGGCGGCTCTGGAGACAGGAAGTGGAATTGGGTGCCGGGCTGGGAGGGGACGGGTGACTGCTGAGGGGCCTGATGGGGATGCTCTGGAAGTGGCCGGTGGTGATGGCTGCACAGCCATGTGAATCCTTTCCCTCTCTGCATCACCATGGAGCTCAGCTGGCCCCCCACTAGCAGCAATCCTCCTGCCTCAGCCTCCTGGGTGCTGAGATTACAGATATGCACCACCACGCGTGATCACTAAGACCCCAGTCTTACAGAAGGAGAAACTGAGGCAGATGGATGTGCTGGGTCCAGGGGTGCTGTTTGTAAAGGGTCAGGCTGGGCCTGAGGTGGGAGACTGTCTGACCCTACCTGTTCCCACTACTGCCCTGGGCCTGTGTGAGCCCAGGTTCCCCGGAACCTCCCTTCTCTCGCTGACCTGAGATGACTCCCCAGACTCAGCAGATTTCTGGGAAGCAGTGCCTGGAAGCTTGGCTCAAAATACCTGCGGCAGGTGGAGGCGGCTGCTGAGCCAGCGGGTACCGGGTCCCCCGAGGCCCGGAGGCTCACGGGGCCAGCATGGGGTCCCAGCACCTGCCTCCTCTCACAAGGCACCAGGACGGTGGCGTCAGCGACAGCTCCCCGGTCGGCACTGGTCTCCTGGCCTTTAGCAAGCACTCGTGATGCCCCAGGGCCAGGACTCGTGAGCCTCAACTGCCACCACTGTCCCCACGGAACAGCACCCCAGGAGCTGAGGAGCCCCAGCCCAGGGGCAGAGGGAACCCACCCTGGGACTGGCGGCCAGGTCCTCTGAGCTCCGGGGCCGAAGCTGCCCCTGCAGCTCAGCTTCTCAGCACCCTGGGTGCCAGCCCCTGTGAAAGTTTCGTCTTCTCCCATCCTCCCCATCTTGCGGCCAAGTCATCCAGTCCTCCTGAAAGCCCTCCTGTTCCCTAGCTGGCATGGTGACACACCTGTCAGAGCTCAGTCCTCCAGGAGGCCAAGGCAGGAGGCTTGCAAGTTGAAACTCAGGCCGGGGAATTTAACAATTGAACCACACAACTATCTCAGAATTTTTAAAGTAAGGCAGTGCAAAGGCCCTGGGTTCAATTTCCCGGGGGGAGGGGGGGAGCGGTGTCCTTCCGGTTCCCTTTCTGATACTGGGACTCCCCTTCTTCACTTCCTCTGGCCAACCTCATCCAGGCAGCTCACTAATTTAGCACCCACTGCAGGGATGTGGGTGCTGAGAGTGGGTTTGGAGAACAGGGTAGGGACTGGTGACCATCCGGCTCCTTGAAGCCCAACCCATCCTGAGATAACCATGCAGGCTGACCATGCTGTCACATCCCCCTGGGGGGGGACAGAGTGTGGCCCTCATGGCCTCCAGCCCACTCTTTCCTTTCCCACCCTGACTGCTGCAGCCTACTCCAAGCTGCTTCTACCTCAGGGTCTTTGCATGTGCTATCCTTCTTCTCAGAGTCCTCCTCGCCCCTGAGTACTTGCCTGCTGCTCCTGGTCACTTATTTTTATTATTATTTTTTTTTTAATTTTTGATCGGTACCAGGGATTGAACTCACGACCGCCTGCTTGCAAGACAGGTGCTTATGCCACTGAGCTAAATCCCCAGCTCCTCCTGGTCACTTATGAGGAATCAAGCAGACAGGAATCACTTTATTCCAGAGGCCACCCACGATGCCCTAGCTCTGTCTGACCTGTGTCTGTTTATGTCACAGTCCCATAAAATTTTGATTTTTTTCAAAATGATGTGCTGGTTTTTTGTCCTACTAGACTAGGAGGAGCTCTCTCTACTCTCTGTCACTATTGTGTCCCCAGCAGTCAAGCCTGAGCTGCCCAAGTCCCTGCTGACACAGCAGGCACCCTCACGGCCCGGTACCACCTTGACGACGTGGCCCCTGCAGGCACAGCTCCAGTGGGAGGATTCCTCTCCTGTGTCCTCTTTCCCCTTGGACCAGCACTGATCTCAGGTCAGGGACATTGACCAATTGTAGCAGCATCCGGGGGCTGCGTGGGCACCGGAACAATGCATCTTTCATTTGTGTGAGTCCTTTTAGTAATTACGACAGAAGGGACTCAGTGTAGTAGGGATCCTGAGTCAGGAAAGGACATCGGGTTTAAAAAACTGAAAAACCGTTGAAACCCAAACAAAACGTGGACTGAATAGTAACAAACAGCAACAATAACGACTACGGGTACTATTATCGCAGTGCTGGAGATGGAACCCAGGACCTTTGCAGTGACCTACACACCCAGCCCTTTTCAAAGGTTGCTAAGCAGAAAAAAAAAGAAAAGAAAAAAAAAGAAAAGAAAGAAAGAAGCCAAGGATTTTTTTTTAAGACAGGCTTTCATTGGGCCACCTGGGTCACGTGTTTATCTCCCAGCCTCCGACTGTGGCTGGGAGAGAGTTTTTGATTGGCTCCCCGGGGATCATTTGTTACACTGGAAAGGGCAGGCCACGCCCACTGACCACCCGGGACCTGACAGACCCTTAGGATTCAGCCTGGGGGGGCGGGTTTGTGGGGCAGCATTGGAGGCCTGAGGCAGACGGAGCGGGAGGAGCCGTCTCCGTGGCGAATTCTGGGTTTCCACGGGGTGGCCCTGGAGGTGGTGGATCCTCATTCCCGGGCTGCCCATGCTGTAAAATGGGGACCTAGTGGCCAAACCCAAAGGATTATGGGAGACAGTGGAGAGTTGCCGGCACAGATGCCACTGAGGGACCCCAGAGCTTTAAAAAATGTAACTAATTAACTAATTAATTTTCTGTGGTACCAAGGATGGAACCCGGGGCCTTCCCGCTGAGCTGCGTCTGCTCTCCTCCAGCCCTTCTGATTCATTTCTCTTCGTTTTCACACCAGGTCTCTGAGTGGCCTAAATGGCTATCAAACTTGCAACCCTCCTGCCTCAGCCTCCCTCACTGCTGAGCTTAGGGGTGTGTGTCACCGCGCCCGACTAAATTTAATTTACTGTTAAGCATGGCTTTACTGGGGCTCAGTGAGGAGCGCTTGCCTAAAAGGCACCAGGCCTGGGTTCATCCCCCACACAGCAAAAACTAAAAGCACAAACAGAAACACAAAGGAACATTAGTTTAAAAAATTTATGTGAAGGGACTGGGGATTTAGCTCAGCCGCATAAGCACCTGCCTTGCAAGCACGGTCATGAGATCGATCCCCGGTACCGATAAAAAAAAAAATTATGTGAGCAAAACTGAAGAATTGCACACCTACAGTGCATGCTGTGTGACGAGTGTGGACAGCCACCAAGTCTGTGTGGTGCCATAACCTGTCCACCAAAACCCAAACCTGTGTCTCTTTGGTTTTGTTGACTTGTGGTAAGCATTTTTACCATGGCCAGGCATGGTGGCGCACTCCTGTAATCCCAGCTGTGGGAAGGCTGAGGCAGGAGGATCGCTGTGAACACGGGGCCAGCCTGAGCGACACAACGCCAGCTCTTTTTTTGGTCAAACTCACAGCAATGCTCCTGCCTCAGCCTCCCGAGTGCTGCAATCAGAGGCACTGCTCACCGCACCCGGCTAGGTGAGCTGTTCGGAAGCCCCAGGCCCTGAGACGCAGAGGCAGCTCGAACCAGGCTGAATAACGGGCTGGGAGCTGAGCCAGGTCACACATCCCCTGCTCCCTCCTGGATGGCGGAGCTGGGGCAGGGTGAGGCTCAGAGTGAGGGCCCTGGCCTGGCTGAGCCCTGGGCTGGGGGGCTGGGGTGCTGGAGAAGGCGGGGTGCAACCACCCCTCCACTGCATCAGGTGTGCTTGCTGACCCTCGGCCTTCCCTTCCCACGGGACTGGGGTCCCCACTGGGAGGACCAGCCCTGGGAGGACCAGAGCACAGCTCACCCTGCACGAGCTAGGCCCCTACACGGGGTGCTGCGCCCCCTGCACACAGTGCTGCTGGAAGGACAGTACTTGTTCTTAGTTGTTCTGGTTGATGGGGGTACTGAGTCACCAGGCAACCGAGGGCAACAAGCTCTAGCTTGCGCAACCGATGCCAGACAGAACTGTGGCAGACAACACCTTCTCATCCAGACGTGTCCGGAACCGATTCTGCGCGCTGCAGAGCTGCTGGATTTCGGGTGTGATCCTGCAACTCCCAGGTGCTGGGCAGCTACCCTGCACCCCATGGGGCCTGCTGTGTGCCTTCCCGGCAGGCAGGGAGCAGGGGCCTAGGCCTGCAGGACTGGGGTGCATCTGGGGGAGACGGGACGGTCCACCTGACAGAGTTCACGTCTCAGTTATTCCCGAAGCTCCTGGGCGCCAAGCCGCAGGCCTGCACCCAGTTGATGCCCTATAAAGGGTCCCTACCTTGGCTGTCCGCAGGTCCTCTCCTCCCTGTCCCACCCCACCTGCCCCCGCGGTGGCGTTTGCCAAGGCCCAGGCAGAAGACCCCCCCAGACCGCCCCCGGGCTGGTTTAGGCCCCGCCCTGCCCCCACCTCCAGCCCCAGGCCCTCCCCCCCACCCGGCGCGGACTCCAGCCTCCCAGGCTCTGTCCGTGCGCCTTTCCTGTCCCAGGCTGCCCTTCTCTTTGACCTTTGTGACAGTCACCTCCACAGCGAGCGCCTCCTTGCCCCTTGCCCTGAGCAGGGAGGGCGGTGAGACACTACTAAATCCCTAAGCTGCCCAGGCTGGCTTGCATCTGGGATTGTCCTGCATCAGCCTCCCAGACTGCTGGGATGACAAGCGCGTGCCACCAAGCTGGGCTCAAGCTGGTCATCTGGAAACCGAGGGCAGGGAGGCGGAGCCTCGGGGGCTGGAGAAGCCCACCCCTGCGTGCCGCGTCTTCCAGGGGTCGCCTAAGGGCCGCCAGAAGCGGGTGGGTGCACCAGAGCGCCGACCCAGTCCCTCAGTGGGTGGGGGGCGGGGCTCAGACCTGGGCCCGGGACAGGGTGGGGTGGGGGAGGCTTAGGGTCGGGGTTCCCAGTCACTGTGCGTCGGTGCAAATCGCTGAAGCGCAGTGGGAAGATTCACTGTAGAGACCCCCGCCGACCCCATTGCGCAGATGGGGAAACTGAGGTCAGAGAAGGTGGGGGCCGCGAGGCGAGGACTTCGGGGACCTGGTCCGGCGGGCAGGCGGCTGGGCAGGGCGGGCGTAGGCGGGGTGGGGCGCGTCCCAGTGACAGCAGCGCCCGGGAATGCGGCTGGGAGGGTCTCTCCGCCCCCCACCCCTGTGCGCCGCCAGTGCGGGGCGCAGCCGCTCCCCAGGGCTCGGGGGGCCCTGCTGGGGGGCGGGGCGCGGGCCAGGGCGGGAAGCCTTGGGATCCTGGGGCGCCAGACCCGCGGCTGTGGCCTCCCGTCCGGGACAGCCCCGCGGGCAGGGGCTGCCGGAAGATCTGGACGAGGACCCCAGGGGCGCCCCCCCCCCCCCGACCTGGGCTCCGGGGACGCGCAGACCCGGGGCGTGGCGACCTGGGTCGCGCACATTCCCGGGCCCTGAGCTCCGCGCTCGGAATAGCAGCCCGGGGTGGCGGGTGGCGGCGCCCAGTCCCAAGGTCACCGGCACCCACGGGCGGGGACACCGCGCGGGGGCGCACGGGGGCCGCTCCGCTCCCCAGAGCGCTCCGCGCCCGCCGCTTCCGCTCGCTGGGGCGCCCAGAGCCCGCTGCCGGTAAGTCCCGCTTCCATCCGCCCCGCGGGCGACACGGGAGCCACCCCCAGCGTAGGAGTGAACTCCGTGCTCCGCCTTTCCGGGGGAAACTGAGGCCCGAGGGTAACTTGCCCTGAGCTAGCTCTGTCAGTCACAGGGTGCAGCCGGCATGGGGTGGGATCTCCTTGTCCACTGGGGAGCAAGTTTCTTTCTTGAAGTGCCAAGGACTGAACCCAGGGCCTTTGCACTGAGCGACATCCCCTCCCGTTTTGGGACAGGGTCTCCCTGAGTCACTAAATTGCCAGGCTGGGCTGAACCGTGGGATCCTCCTGACTCAGCCTCCCCGAGTGCTAGGATGCCAGGTGTGCCCACCATGACCAGCCTGGGGAGACCAGGCCTTCAGAGCAGTGGGAAGGGAAGTTCCCCATTTTCCACCACCCAGACCCCCCCACACCCCAGCACTTGGCGGCCTTTGGGGATTTGCTGTGAAGGTCACGCTCCCCCTCCCCCCCCCCCCCAGCTTAGGGCTCAGTTCAGGATTCAGTCCTCTTCCTGCTTCCTGGAGCCCAGAGGGGTGGAGATGCCGTGGTCACACAGCTGTGGTCACAGAGGGAGATTCCAGGCCTATTCCTGGACTGGCTCTGAGGGCCACCTCGGGGCCCAGGGTGCAGAGATCGGAATGTTAGGGCCAGATGGGCTGAGAGCTGGGGAAACTGAGGCTCAGAGGATGGGCTGTGTGTCCTCTTGGAGCCCAGGCCTGGAAGGGGCCAGAGAGGACTGTGTGTGACCTTGCTGCCTGTCAGGTCACAGGCAATGACCAGGAGGGCGGCATGCGTGGTGGCAAGTGACATCTTGCCCCTCCTGACAGACGGGGAACTGAGTCCCACTCCTGTATGGCCCCCCTCCCCTTTCCCCTGCAGCCCCCCTGGCTCTGCGCCACTCCCCTCGGATGAGGCCAGACGGCGCCAGTTGGATCCCAGCCAGGTCACCCCTCCCTGCTGCGCCCTGACTGGGGGGCTCCCTAGTGCTGGGAGGGTCTGGGAACTGAGAAGTCGGGATGCAGCTGAAGGGTCCCCCGGCTCCTGACCCGGCCCCCATGGCCACACCATCTGCAGGGTCTCATAGAATCATGGACTGAGCCTGGCTGGCCCTAGCAGCAGATGGGGAAACTGAGGCCTGGGAAAGTGGAGTGGCGGGCCTCTGGCTACACAGGAAGGTGGAAGCCATGACGACCTGGGAAGTGGTGAGGGGTCCTCAACCCTGGAGCCCCAAATAATCTCTCAATCACCAGACCCAGACATTTATTGAGCACCTACTATGTGCACCATATGCTAATGAGCAACCAGTAGCAATAACACATAGAAATGTGCGTGTGTGCGTGTGCCTGTGTGTATGTGTGTGTGCTGGCCCGGGGGATTGAACCTCACCCCAAACTACATCCCCAGCCCTTTTAATTAATTAATTAATTTATTTATGGATTTGAGACAGACTCTCCCTAAATCACTCAACTGCTTAGGCTAGACTCAAATTCATGACCCCCTGCCTCAGGCTCCCAGCGTGCTGGGATTACAGACCCGCACCAGCAGGCCTGCTTTAGAGGAGGTCTGGAGTGCCCTGGAGACCCGCCCTGATCGAACCATTCCTGAAATCTTCCCGGTGTGTGGAGTCCCAGGATTACTTCTGTGCCCCCGCCCCCCCACAGAGACCAGAAGGGCTCAGAGAGCTTGGATTCATCCCACGCCAAAGTCGCAGAGCCAGCTAGGGCAGCGATGGGGCTCAGCCCCTGTCCTGCGGGTGCCCGCTGCCTGGGCCTCCTCTGCTCCCCCAGACCCCGGCCCCTGCAGAATCTCCTGCTCTTGCTAGGGACCCTGCTGAGCTGCGGCTTGGGGGGCAGTGCTCAGGTAAGAGGGCCGGAGGGACTGCGAGGCGGCCGGCGGTGCAGCGTCCTCAGCTGCCCTCCAGGCTGACCCGACCCTGTCTCCCCAAGTAGGGTCCTGGAGAGTGGACGCCATGGGGGTCCTGGACCCTCTGCTCCAGCTCTTGCGGTCGGGGCGTCTCAGTGCGCAGCCGCCGCTGCATCCGGTGAGGGGGGGTTGGATGAGGAGGGGATGTGGGCGGGGCCAAACTGGCAGTCCGGACCTCCCTCCGGCCACGCCCAGTTCTGGCCACGCCTCCCGACCGCCCACACAGGCCGTGCCCTTTAATCCCGAGGATCCAGCTGGAATGCGGGTGGGGCTGTGGGGGCAGGGTGGACGGGATAGCGCAGGGAGGGAGTCCCTGGGTGTTCCGACCACACTCAGGTTGCCCACTTCCGGCCAGGTTTCCAGGGGAAGAACCATGCTCAGGGGACAGCCACGAATACCGCGTCTGCCAGCTGCCCGTAAGCTCTGACCCCGTCCATGAGTCTGCCCTGAAGCTCCTTGTCCTGCCTGAGGCCCCAAACGTGGGCAGCACACATGATGGGCAATGATGTCTGGGGTTCATTCATTGTCTCTGCCCTCAGGACTGCTCACCAGGAGCCGTGCCCTTCCGAGACCTTCAATGTGCCCTCTACAATGGCCGCCCTGTCCTGGGCACCCAGGAAACCTACCAATGGGTACCCTTCCATGGGGGTGAGTAGTGATCCAGATATACAGAACGCAACCCATTTCCTATGGAGAGAAGAACAGGACTTGGAAGATGTCACAGAGGAAGGGCATTAATGCCAGGGCTTTGACGGATATGTAAGAGTTTTGAAGTACCACATAAAGCAGTGGCAAAAGGAAGCAGGGTCCATTCTGCACAGGATAAAACCACAGGCTGATTGACTGTCTGTAGAGGGCCATGGTGCTCAAACTTATGCGAGTAACGGGAAATGTTGCTGCACTGAGCCGAAAATAGTGAGTTATATAATAACTGTGTGCCCGGGGCAGCACGCCTCCAGAGTTTAGGAAGACAGGCAGCCTCAGTCACCACGGCACTGTGAAGACACGCAGATAAAAACCTGAAGTGGTAAAAAAAAAAAAAAAAAGCCCTCTGTCAGCTTTGTGGGCTGGTTTGCTTGGTTTCTTTCTCCTAGTGGTAACTGCATCCCCACAGAGGCCCCCCTGAGGGCCAGCTTGGCTCTGTTCCAGGCAGGGTCTGCCGGCCAGACTGTGCAGGGATCCAGGGGGCCAGGACAGAGCTCAGGGATGTTTGCTTATAGTATGATCCGCTGATGCAGCCGAAGGGGAAACTGAGGCCCAGGGGACTCCATATTGGACATTTTTTTTTTGAGACACTATCTCATTATTAGTTTAACTGACCTTGAACTCAGTGTAATCCAGGCTGGACTCCAATTCGCGGACCCTCCTAAGTGCCAGGATCGTAGGCTGCATGCACCACCTTGCCCGGCTCCTACTGGACACTTTTTTTTTTTTTGGTACCAGGAATTGAACTCAGGCCTTGCACTTGCAAGGCAAGCGCTGTGCCGCTGAGCTGTATCCCCGGCCTATACCGGACACTTTTTATGGGGCCAGGAGCCGAGTGAGTTCAGCCTGGTACTGCAAACCCTGGCACTCAGTGGTTCTAGGAAATCATGAGTGCTTAAAGCCAGGGCTCTGGAAGACTGAGGCAGGAAGATTGCAAGTGTGAGCCCGGTCTGGACAACGCAGTGATTTAGCAAGGCCTTGTCTCAAAATAAAAATGAAGGGTCAGGACCAGAAATAAGTGCAAAACTCCTGAGTTTCATCCTCGGTACTGCAGGGAGGGAGACAAAGAAAATAAGACTACCTCAGTGAGTGTTTAGAATGCATGCAAGAAGGAAGGAAGGGGCGTGGGTCCTCATAGCAAGCATCAGCTTTGATGTCAGGCGCTGGCTCAATGCCAGGGCCCATCTAGCCGCAGGGATGGCCACCCCACTCACACACTGCAGGATGGGCTGAGCTCTCACCGAGGGCCCCAGCACTGTCTCTCCCTGTGCGTAGCGCCCAACCAGTGCGACCTCAACTGCCTGGCCGATGGGCAAGCCTTCTACCACAGCTTTGGCCGCGTACTGGACGGTACGCCCTGCAGCCCGGGAGCCCAGGGCCTCTGTGTGGCTGGCCGCTGCTTGGTGAGAACTTGCCAGGCCCCGCCCCTCTCAGGCCCTCCCCTAGCCCCAGGCTCCGCCCCTCCCAGGTCCCGCCTCGCCCATCCTCCTACAGCCGAGACCCAGGGCCCCTCCCCATTGTTTATTTCAGACCCGTCCCTCCGCCCAGGTTTGGGTTCCACCTCTTCTTAATCTCCACCCCAGTCACTTCCCTCCAGAGCCAGCTCTTTTTTTTTTTTTTTGTCTTTTTCCTTTTTATCGGTACCGGGGATCGAACTCTCGACTGCCTGCTTGCAAGGCAGGCGCTTATGCCGCTGAGCTAAATCCCCAGCCCCTAGAGCCAGCTCTTAATTCTCAGGCCCCGTCCCTGGGTCGCCATCACTTATTTCCAGCTGCCTCTCTGAGCCACACTAGCCCTCACGGGTCCCATCCCTGCTAGGCTGCGCCCAGCCTTCTCCCTCCAGGGCCCGCCCCGGCCGGGCCCCGCCCCTCTATCAGGCCCCGCCCATAGGCCGAGGCCACGCCTCCACAGGTCACCAACACACGAACACATACAGGCTCCTTCCTTGGTTGCTCCCTTTAACTCTCGCCCCCATCCCTAGGTCCTTACTTCAGACCCAACCTGTACCTTTAGGCTCCGCCCCTCTGAGATGCACCCCATCCTCCTTCCTCCAGGGCGTAACCTTTTACTCAGACCTGCCTTCAGGCCACGCCTCTCAAGCACCACCCTACTTAGGCTCCACCCCCTGGCTCCCTCCCGGGCCTTTTCCTCCAGGCCCCGCCCCCTAAGCTCCGCCCCAAGTCCCCCTACTCCAGTCCTACCGCCTCTTGCTTCCAGGCCCCGCCCTTTTGCCAGCCCGTGTCCCTCCCCGATCCGTAACTTCGCGCGTATCCATCACTCCTGTAGAGCGCTGGCTGTGACGGCGTGCTGGGCTCCGGCGCCCTCGAGGACCGCTGTGGCCGCTGCGGCGGCACCAACGACACATGTCTCTTCGTGCAGCGCGTGTTCCGTGACGCTGGTGACCACCCTCCCCGTCCTCCCTGCACGCATTTCTGGAACCGGGTCTTTAACTAACCGTAGACTCGGAGGCGAACCCCCATTCTGATTGGGCCATCTGCGGCCCAACCTCTCTAGCCCTTCATTCTGATTGGCCACTGGCAGATTGTCCCACCCTCCCCAAAACATGGGTTTTAACGCTTTCCTGTTGCACTTTCCAAACACTCTCGGAGCGATTTATTTTGTTTTGCTTTCCCCCACTGGGCACCAACACACTGATGGATTCCCTCCCCGCAGCATTTTATTTAATCCTCAAGTCACCACTCATGCACCCCCCGCCGGCACCCCAATACCTTCCTATCCTCCCGCCTAGGTGCCTTTGCTGGGTACTGGAACGTGACCCTGATTCCCGTGGGCGCCAGACACATTCGCGTGGTGCAGCGGAGCCGGAACCACCTGGGTACCAAGGGTCAGAGGGTGGAGGCGCCAGGCCAGCAGGAGTCCCACACTTCACAGCTGGGGAGCCTGAGGCGGGTGGGGAGCCTGCTCCAGGAGGGCAGTGGGCCGGCTCCGGGATCCCGGCTGAGCTTTCCTTTGCAGCGCTGATGGGCGGTGACGGGCGCTACGTGCTCAATGGGAACTGGGCGGTGAGCCCTCCGGGCACCTACGAGGCTGCAGGCACCCAAGTGGTCTACACCCGCGCCGCGGGGCTGGAGGAGACGCTGCAGGCGGCCGGGCCCACCACACGAGACCTACTCCTGCAGGTGTGCGCGGCTTCCGAGAGAGAGAGAGAGAGAGAGAGAGAGAGAGAGAGAGAGAGAGGCTGCAGGGGAGGCTGCAGGGGAGGCCGCAGGGGAGGCGGGGGCGGGGCAGACCCTGCTGCCCTGTAGCTCCCGTCCCCCTCCCCCCAGGTCCTCCTGCGGGAGCCCAACCCCGGCGTGCAGTTTGAGTTCTGGCTTCCTCGCGAGCGCTACGCCCCCTTCCAGGCGCAGGCGCAGGTCCTGGGCTGGGCCCTGCGGCAGCCGCAACCCCGGGAGGTGGAGCCTCTGCCGGCTCAGTCCCTTGAAGCCTCCGCGGCCCGCAGCCCGACCCGGGCCCCAGGTAAGGCAAACACGCCAGGATGGGGCGGGCGATGGCGAGGCCTGTGCCCCTCACAACACTGCCCCCCACAGAGCCCTGCCCACCCTGTCCTGACACCCGTGGTCGCGCCCACCGGTTGCTACACTACTGCGGAAGCGACTTTGGTGAGAACCAGCCCTAGGGCCGTTTGGGGGGAGGCGGAGAGACAGGGTCCCCCTAATATAGTTAGGGCCAGCCTTAAACTCACTGTGTAGTCTGACTGGCCTCAAACTGGCAGTGATCCTCCTGCCTCAGCCTTCCAAATGCTGGGATGACAGGTGCCCACCCTGACACCCGCTCCCAGAGCTTTCTTAGGTCCCACTGGGGCCTTGTTTTTCTCTTTCGGCAATGGCCGGTATGGGTAGGCACAGGCGGGGGTCTCCAGCGACCTCAGCGCCCACCCCACCTCCAGTGTTTCAGGCCCGAGTGCTCGGCAGCCACCGCCAGGCCCAGGAGATCCGCTATGAGGTGCGAATTCTGCTCATTTATAAGAACCGCTCGCCACTGCGCACGCGCGAGTATGTGTGGGCTGCCGGGCCCTGCCCCTGCCCACCTCTGGCTCCACATCGTGAGTACCTGCTGGCAGTCCGGCGCCTCGTCAGCCCTGATGGCACCCAGGACCGGCTGCTGCTGCCCCACGCTGGCTATGCCCGGCCCTGGAGCCCTGCAGAAGACAGCCGGGCCCGTCTGGTTGCCAGGCGCTGCCCTGTCTGAGTTCCTGGGAGAGGCACCTACCCTGCAAGACACACCTCACTGGGCTCAAACAGCGTATTTCTTCTCTCATCCTGGTGTCCAGGAAGCTCAAAAGTATCTCCCACTTGCAACTATGTGATTCCCTGTCCCACCATGGGCACCTCTGCATATAGTCGGATCCACTGTCAGGAGCAGGCAGGAGCAGGCAGGCACTGCTGAGGACACATAGAGACAGAGCAGATGCTGACGTGTATTTCCCCTCTCACCCTGGCTACCAGGAGGCTCATGGTTGTTTTCCACTCAGAAATTCTGTGTCTGCTTTCATTCATCTCACATTGCATTCACATGGTTAACAATACTGTCACAAAGAAGCATGTCCCAGAGGGACACATGCCTGGTGGAATATTGCAATGAGTCAGTTTCCCCTCTTTCCCTGGGTACCAGGAAGCTCCTCTGTGTTTACCTCCCTGACTCTATCTGTGCTCATCCTCAGTTTTTGTCACTCACAACCCACCCCCGTGTATTTAGAGACACTCACCAACAGGTATGTAACTTTGAAGAAATGCATAATTAGGCCCTATCAACTACTGATTTCCCCTTTTGCCTTGGTTACTAGGAAGCTCAAACCTCACACTGGTTGAGTTTCAGTTAACAGATTGCTGCCCATAACTGTTGTTATTCCTATTTAATTAATCTTTACAAGCACAAAAACAAAAAGAAAACAAGCCAGGTATGTTGGCACATGCCTGTCATTGCACCACTTGGGAGGCTGAGGCAGGAGGATCATCACGCATTCAAGGTCATAGTGAGTTCAAATCCAGCCTCAACTGCATAGTAAGACCCTGTCTGAAAACACCAAGCCAAAAGAATCTGAGTACCCAGTCACATACTCAGCCAGACTCGGGGACAATCTGGTAGAATCACATGGCCGTGGTCCTGAAGCCCCACTTACCCCCAGCATCTCTGGCTCTCTGGCAAGGGGTGAACAATTGAGGGCTGCAGAGTGGGCCCTGCCCCTCCCACCGCGCGTCCCCAGCTGCACCCACGGGCCGGCTCACTGGCCTGGACCGAGATTTATTGAGCAACTAGTGTATGACAAGGACCAGCCACTCAGTGGTCCCTGGAATGACCCTGGCAGGCCTAGCCTGGGGGTGGGGGAAGCCATGATCGCTTCCTGACTTTCTGTAATGGTCCTCGGTGACCTGTCCGCGCGGGAAAGCCCAGGACCCCCACACCTCCAGCAAGGTGAAGGTGGGGTGGGGAATGTGCAGGGATCGGGCGCCCCCTGGCGGTGATAGGGGTCGATGCACCCGGCCAACATCAGGATCCCCCTGGGGGCCTCTCTGGCGTACGCTGTTGTTCCCCCTTTTCTGGTACCCAAGACAGTGCCCTCTGCCCTGTGCCAGGTAGAGGGGGATGCGACGGGAGAGTCCACATGACACTTGGAGGGTCGCGTGTGGGGTCTGCTCTGGCTTGGACCCTGCATGGTGACTAGATGTCCATGACAGAGTAGAGTGCAGGGGCCACCCACACAGCCATCCCCACGCCAGGTGTGTGGGGACAAATGTCCCCAGGCCACATGGGTGGGGATTGCTGTACAGCCCTCAGGGCTGCTCCAGTAGCATTGGCTGGAATGGAGCCCAGGGCCACCCCCATGCCGGGCACATGCCACCCGAGCCCTCCCTTGGTGTTTATTTTGAGGCAGGATCACACTAAGCCACTGTGGTGCCCAGGTTGGGCTCCGACTTGGGATCCTCCCGCCTCAGCCTCCTGGGTGCTGGGATTACAGGTGTGTGCCACCATGCCTGGCTTGGAAATGTTAATTCTCTACGGACAGCACATGCCCTGTCACCTGCCTGGGGCTGACCCTCAGCCCTGACCTCCCACCCAAGCCCCAGGAAGCCGAGCCAGGGTGGACCCCAGGGCCCCAGCAGCGGGCCACAGCCAGCCTCTGGGCTGAGGGGCCCAGCAGGCAGGCAGGCCACAGGTGCTAAGGCTGGTGCATGTGCTGGCAGAAAGGTTGGAGCCAGTCCCAGTGGTACCCGTCTGTCAACCCAGGGCTCTGGGAGGCTGAGGCAGGAGGATCTCAACTTGGAGCCCAACTTGGGCAACTTAGACTCTGCCCCAAATAAAAACAAACAAAAACAATCCAAGCCACCTGGGATGTAGGGGCAGAGCCAGGCCTGCTTACCCAGGGAGTGGGTACTGAGGGTGGCACTGGGGTCACTCACACTAGGCAGGCACTCACTCCTGAGCATGTCTAAATTTAGGATCCTCTTGCCTCAGCCTCCTACACAGCGGGAATCACAAGCCAATGCCACACACAAGCCTTAGGGCAAAGGTGAGGGGTGCATGCGAGCCAGCTTGCCCTCCTCTCCCAGGGACCATGGCAGAAGCCTCCTCTACAACTGCTGGGCCAGGCAGCAACAGCTGGAGAGGCCAAGGACCCTGGGTGGGGCTCATTAGTGGTTACCCACAAGTCTTCCACACCCTCTGATAACACCTACTTCCTGGGTGAAAGCCCAAGTTCTCCCCAGCCCCCGAAGGGCACCGCCAGGACTCCCAGGACTCTGGCCTCCCTCCCAGTTCCTCCTCCCAGCTGCCTGCCCAATTCCCCAGACTAAGTCCTGCCCCAGGGCCTTTGAACTTTCAGTCCCTGGCTCTGCAGACCCAGACCCCAACTCCCAGCAGGTTCCCTGCTCCTCCGTGCTATTTCTGTACCCCTGACCTATTTATCACCTCAACTTTCCCCTCCCCAGCTGTGAGCCCGTGGCCAGGCCTGCAATCCCACTCAGGAGTAGGCTGAAGCAGGAGGAATTCAAATTTGAGGGCAGCCTGGGGAGCTTGGCAAGAACTTGTCTCAAAATAAAATTGTATTTTTAAAAGGGTTTGGATGGCTAGGTGTGGCGGCACACTCAGCAGTCCCAGCAGGGAAGCTGAGGCGGGAGGATCGCTGCAAGCTCCAGGCCAGCCTGGGCTACATAGCGAGTTTCAGGGCAGCCTGAACTGTCTCAGAAACAAAACAAAACAAGAAAAGCCAGGAAGCTGGGATGTAGCCTCAAACAAAGCAAAACCAAAAGCAAGTCGCAGCGTGCAGGAGACCCCGCCAGTGACCGCTGACAGCGTTGCAATGTTAGGGGGACCGGCGAGACTTGAGGGCTCCCGGCGGCAGACTCTGTTCAGACCCAGACCCAATTCGCACCACGGGGGCGTGGCCTGAATTAGATCCGCCCTCTACACTACCGGAGCGGAGCCTTAAGCCCCGCCCACAATGGACCACGGCCCCAGGCCACCTCTGGTAGAAGAGGTCTCAAGTGTCGCTGGCTTTGCTACGACCCCTACTGTGGCATCCTGATCTTTCCAGCTCCATCTCCGTTCCCTGCCAGAGTTTTCTGGGGTCCCCTTAAGGGCTCTCAAACTCCAGTGCTGTAGTTCTGTTCTACCTTCTGGGGGCCTCAGTGAGCTGAAAGGGATGGTCTCTTTTCCCTTTTCTGCAAGAGTTTTTTTTTTTTTTCCTTTTCTTTGTTTTGGTGAGGGGATGAACTCACAGCCTCGGGCTTACCAGGCAGGCGCTCGGGCCACTGAGCTAAATCCCCAGCCCTCTGCAAGACTTTGTTTTTTAAAAGAAAGGGGTTTGAGCCAGGCATGCTGACACACACCTGTCACCCAAGTACTCTGCCGGGCTGGAGATGCCACGCCCCAGGGGGTCGGGCGTGTCTCTCCACTCTCGCATTTCCAAAATAAAGGTTACTTATATTTTATACTTCTTATCTTTTCAGCCGCCGCCATCCTCCTCATCTTTCTCCCCTCTACAGTTCTATCAAAAAACAAGGCCTGGAGCGTGTCTGACCCCAAGGCCAGCAGAGGAGGGGGACTTGAGGGGGAGCGTCCTGCTTTGCCCTGGCCGGATGACTGCTCTCCGGGCCTCTGTTTCCCACTCTGGGAAGCCAAGCCAGGCTGGATGCTCACAGCCAGCACAGATGACTCGTGGGTCTGGGCGGCTGTTTTATTGTACATTCAACTGGCCCGGTGTTGCAGGGGGCCTGGGGGGCCAGAAGAAGAGAGGGCTCTAGCAGGCCAAGTGCTCCAGCAGCCAGCAGTGCCGTGGGCACCTCAGCCGAGGTCTGTAGCACGGCCAGCCGTAGGTGACCTCGGTGGGGAACTCGGACGGGGAGTCCAGGGAGGACTCTGAGGGGCTGGGGTCATTTGGCTCAGGCCCTGAGGAGCTGTCGGCTGGCTGCGTGGCCCCTGCCTCCTGGGGCTGACTGCTGGTTCCGGCGCCAGGGTTGCTGAGTTCACTGCGGGGCTGGGCCTGGCTGGGGGCACCACCAGGAGGCTGGGTGGGTGCAGGCTCCAGGATGGAGGTGGCTGGGGAAGAGGGCCTTGGAGGGGAATCAGACACCCCAGGGATTTTCCCAGCTTGGCTAGAGTGCCTGGCCTGGTTAGAGTTCCTGGCTTGGTTAGAGTTCCTGGCTTGGTTAGAGTTCCCGGCTTGGTTAGAGTTCCCAGCCTGGTTAGAGTTCCCGGCTTGGTTAGAGTTCCTGGCCTGGTTAGAGTTCCCGGCCTGGTTAGAGTTCCTGGCTTGGTTAGAGTTCCCGGCCTGGTTAGAGTTCCCGGCCTGGTTAGGCTGCCTGGCCTGGTTAGGCTGCCTGGCCAGGTAAGGGTACCTGGCCAGGTTAGGGTGCTTAGTCTGGTTAGTGTTGCCTGGCCCCCGAGCTGGGCCCTGGGCCTTCCTGGGCGGCTGGCGGCCCATGGCAGAGCGGGAAGCCAGCTGGCCCCGGAATGCCGGGCCTGGCCTGGTCAGAGACTTGGCTTGGCCTAAGGCTACATGGGACTCGGGCTTGACCAGGTTGGAGTGGCTGGGCTGGGCCCTTGTGGGGGAGGTGGTGGAGTCCTCCGCTGCAGACAGCTGGGAGCTGGTGGTGCGCCCCTTCTCACCAGCTGGGGTGTCTATGCTAGAGCTGGAGGTCATCTTCACTTGTTCTTCTGTGGGGGACTCAGGCTTGGAGGAGCTGTAGAGAGAGGGCAGGTGGCAGTGTGAGGCCGGTGGTCGCCGGAGCAGCTCTGGGACCCTGAGCAGCTGCGGAACGGGGTTTGAGCCACTGGGGCCGAGCACGGGTCAGCAGCAGGTGGGGTGGCATGAAGGACAGGGATCACCGTGCACATGAATGATTGCACACGTGTGCACATGTGCACGCTCACAGGGCATCCACACACATGGTGTCACATTTACACATACAAACAATCACATGCATACACATTCACACCTGTGCACGCACACCCTCAACCAGGCAACCCGACGTGTGCACTGCGCTCACACATGTATGCACACACACACAAACATGCTCACCTATGCAGTGCTCACACACAGGCACACATGGACATTACACACGGAGAACCACACCGAACAAGCACACATGCCCATTAGCGCACACATGCTGGAGTGTGCACCTGAAACACTCAGCACACAAGCGTGCACCTGACACACTCAGCACACAAGCGTGCAGGACCATGGCACTCAGAAAACACCCACTTGCAGGGAACAGACACACTGGCTAACACGTGAGCACCGCACACACGCGTGTGCACGCACCCAGCCCCAACCTCCCCCGTGTTTCGGACTACATACGGTCGCCTTCCAGGGCAGGGGGGACTTCAGTCACCACTGCCGGGGTGACGAGTGCCTGGCCGCGGGCCAGGGCCCTTAGCACTGGATCCCGAGAGCATGGGGGAAGAGAGGCGACAGTGAGAGGGAGACCGAGGGGGGCCACCGTGCCAGAGAAAGAGGGGTGACACTCAGCAGGGAAGTCAGGGGACAGAGGCGGGGACAGACAGAGAGACAGACAGCCGGGCGCCCTGCAGCACGCACCGTCCCTGGTGATTCCGGCTGCCGCGTCCAGGACCTGACCGCTGAGCCGACTCACGGCGCTGTCCACGGCCGCGTGGTGCTTTAGGAAGAGGGGACGCACGACCCGCCGGTACAGCAGCAGCGCCCCGTTCCAGGGCCCGGGGCTCATGCAGAACAACAGGAAGGCGCACTGCGGGGCGGGGCGCGGTCACCCCCGGGCCTCTCAGCCCCCCCCCAGTCCCCACCCGGCCGGCCCCGCCCACCTTCCCCGCGTAGTAGAAAGGGAACCAGGACAGGAGGAGGTCGCTGAAAAACTCCACTAGCCCGAACAGCGCGTAAACCACCCAGTAGGTCAGCCACACGGTGTCGTCTTCTTTGTTTGGGCTCTCGATAGCTTTGATTCTACGGGGGTGGGTATGGGGTGCACAGCAGGCTCAGGGACCATCTGGGCCCTGGTCCCCCAAGAGACCCCCTCCCCCATGGGGTAGATGGGGCGCACTCACGAAGCATATGCGGGGTATACAAATCCGATAAGATTGCAGAGGAGAGATGCCCCGTAGCCGAACAGAAGATACAGGGTTAGCACACTGACGGCTCCTGCAGGAGGAAGGGGCGCTGGGAAGGGGCCTGGCAACCCCTTGCTTGACGCAGTCGGCAACCTCAGCCTCCTTCCTGGAGCCTCCATGACACCTCTGGGAAGGGTGAGTTGCCCGGCCCTTTTCCCCTGTCTCTCGCCAGCGCCTCTGGCAGCTCATCTCCCACAGGGGCCTGTGAGGCTCCCCCAGGACTAGTGGAGACCTTGGCTTTCAGAGTTGGAGTGGGTACAAAGGACCTGTATGATAGTTTGTTGAATGAATAAGTGATAATCTGCAACCTATGCAGGGCCATGGAACAAAAGGCCACTGTTTGAATCTAAGGGATGGAGACAATGTAAAAGCCAATGGGTCATTAAGATTTGAGGACAGCAACAGTGTGTTCAGGTGTCAGCTGCACTCAGGGTCTCTCCCCTCAGCACTGCCAGCATTGGAGGCCAGTTCGCCTGGGTGGCAGAGTCCTGGGTACTGCAGAATCCATGGCTTCTGCCCAATTTGTGCCAGGCACACTCCCGATTATGACAACCACAAATGTCCCAAACAGCTAGGTGTGGTGACACATTGCTGTCACCCCAGCACTCTGGAAGGCTGAGGCAGGAAAATCTCAAGTTCATACCTAGCCTGGGCAATTTAGTGAGAACCTGTTTCAAAATATAGAAAATAAAAGGGCTTACAGTATAGCTCAGTGCAAAGGATCTGGGTTCGATTCCCAGTATTGAGGGGAAAAACAGCCCCAAACATCATCAAATATGGAATACAGCTCCTCTGTATTTTTTTTTTTTTTGTCTTTTTCATTTTTATCGGTACCAGGGATCGAACTTACGACTGCCTGCTTGCAAGGCAGGAGCTAAATCCCCAGCCCCTCGGCTACTCTGTATGAAAGGGAGGCATCAAAGCCTAGCATCTGGAGGGCTAAGACTCCCTAAGACTAAGAGGGCTGCTGGCTGTCACCCACAACTTGATAATGAAGCTGTCTCTGCAAGGAGCCTCAGTTTCCCCATCTATAAAGGTTCCTTAGTAGCTGTGTGTTATAGGACCTGTTCTAGTGTCTGGCCACTAGAACACGCCAGGCAATGCAGGTTCAGAACAAGAGGGTGTGGGGGGGCAGGAGCTCAGCCCCCATCTTGCACTAGACTCTGAACCAAGGGTAGGAAGTACTCCATCGAGGGCCTGCTTGTTTGGGGTTCAAGGCCCCCCATCTCATCCCACAGTGACCACAGACTCAGGGGTGGCACTTGTGGGTTGTTCGTTGTTCCAGGCCATGTGGGAAATCTTTGAACTTGGACAGCCCTCCCCGCTCCCCAGAGACTGTTATCTGCAAGGGAGATTTGGAAGCCACTTCTGGACCAAAGGGCAGAGCCCAGGTCACCCCGCCTTCCATCCACCTGGGGGCCTGAGCTCAGACGGAAGCAGCCCCGGGGGGGCCACCCAGCACTCCAGCACTTTATTCTCTGATTTGTGTCCTCTGTTCCCTGGGGGGAAGGCCAGGGCTTTGGCACAGTGGGGCAGGTGTGACCCAAGGGTCCCTGTATCAGCAGAACGAGAGATGGCTGGGTTGCCCCTTTGCTGGGATTGATGGTGAAGGAGGGGGAGGACTTAACCCCTCAATCCCTTTTAAACCTGCAGCCTCAGCAGAAGGTGATGACCTTGGACACAGGGGATACCACCCACAGACACCAGGAACAGATGGGATCGGGCGGGGACAAGGGGACACTTCAGACACCCGGGCAGCTTCCCACCCTGGCTCCCCATGCCTCAGTTTCTCCCCCTACGAACACCCTCCCCAGCCTCCCCAGCTGGCCCCTCCTAGTCACCTTTCTCCTGCTGCTCTGTGAATTAAATTCCCCACCCCCAGGTCCCAGCCGCGTGGAAAGTCAGGGCAGAGGTCGGGGGACTGTGGCCGGGGCGGGCACAGACTTTGGGCGATTCTTGGCTGGCTGGGAAATGGGGTGAAGGTGCATAAGGCAGAAACGGGCCATAGGTGTTCAGGGCACCTGGCAGGGGCCTCCTTGCAGAGCCCGTGCCCAGCTGTGTGGGCTCTTATGATCCGTTCACGGGGGTGGGGTGGGGGCTTCCTGGAAAGGCAGGGGACCTCCGCAGTGCAAAAATCAGACGGCTTTCGAGGGAGGCCTACACTACGTTGCCTAGAGAGTTTGAGAACCGAGCAGGGCCGCTCAGGTTCTTCTGTCACCGGGGAGGAAAAGACCCAAAATGGGATGACAATGAGGGCTCTGGGTTCTCCCTCCAGGGCCCCGTGCAGCTGTCAAACAGAGGGTGCTGGGGAGGGGAGCCAGGCGGGGGGTGGGAGGGTGTCCTTCCCCCCAGCCTCTCCTCGCTGCGAGCTGGGGTCCACGCTAGCACTGGGATCGTCCGTCCCCTGTGCCCTGTCCCCCGGGACTCGCTGGACAACTGGAAGAACCGGACTTGGGCCTGGCTGGCACCCAGGGTGATCACAGAGCAGACAAGGGACGGCGGGGACCAAGGCTGCAGCCCGGGGTGGCCCTCGATCGAGGTCGCACCGCGAGGGTGTGCGGGCGACCCCGGGCCCGGGTGCGGGACCCCTCCCGGATGGGTCGGGCCTCTCGGCGGGCAGTGGGGGCGGGCACCCGCCCGGTCTGGAGCCCTGGACGCAGCCCGGGAGAAGCGCCAGGTCCGCGAGCCCCGTGCTCGGGCACCGGCGAGCCCGTGGGTGCAAGGGGGCGAGCGCCCCGACGGCTCACCCGCGGCCAGATACCGCTTCTCGACTCCGGTCCTGGCTTCGAGCGCTCCGAGAGCTTCGGTGGCAAAGTTCCTCTGTTCTAGAAAGTGCTCGAAGCGCCGGCGCAGGCTGTCCATGGCCTCGCCTGCCCCGGGACTGGCTCCTCGCGGTCCCCAGCTGCCCCGCGCCCCGGCCCCGCCGCGCACGCGAGCTCGAGCCACTGGGCCCGCCGCCCGGCTCAGCCCCGGGGCCACCGGGCTCCGCCCCCGACTTGGGTTCCGCCTCCGACCCCCCGCTATGGCCAGTGGGAGGGCAGGGAGGGCACAGGAGGTGGGACCTGCCCCGTTTCCCCCGCCGCATTGCCCTCTTGCCGCCCACTGCCGCCTAGGCGGGGTGGTGGCTGGAAGGGGGCGGGGGCGCGGCAGGCGAGGGCACCTATTGGTTGAGAGAGAGTGAGACGTAGCTGATTGGAGGGGTGGTGTCAGGGTTGGTCATTATTGGCTGCGCTCTTGAGGGAGGGGTGGAGCTGGATGAGGGGAGGAGCGTCCTGAGGAGGGCGGTGCTTGTTCTTCTAAAGCCCCCTCCTCCACAAAAGCCATAATTGATTGGAAGAAAGGAAAGAAGGGGCGGGGCAGATCATAAAGGAGGCCGGGCTGAGTTGGAGGGGCGGGGACAAGGCGGGGCAAAACGGAGGGGGCGGGACTTACCCAAAGGAACAATTCTGGTTGGAGTTGATTCTTGGAGGAGGGGTGGGGCAACAGAGTGGGCGGGACCAAATGAAGGGTGGAGGGGCGCCCTAATAATGCGACGTACCCGTTCCTCTGAGCCAGGTTTGGGTTTGTACAAATGGAGAGATTGAGGTTCCAGAGAGTTTAGGTCTGTGGGCCTGAGTTCCCCCCTCGGCTTCTCTTGGGTCTTTCCGCCCCTCGTGGAGTAAAAGACCCGCCAGCCTCCCTAGAGTGGAAGCCCTCCAGGTTGCTATGGCGCCCGGGCGACTCGGCGGTTTGGCTGGCGGGAGGGGCTCCCTCAGGGCCCGCCCCCGCCTGTATGCGGCCCGCCCCGACTAAGCTCCGGTGGATCCTGGTCGTGACTCTGGGCCTGGACCTCGTCTGCCCTCTGGCTGAGGGCTGGACGTATGCCCGGGTCCCCGTCTATGTCAGCAGCTGGGCAGTGCGGGTGACCCAGGGTAGCCGGGAGGCCGAGCGCCTGGCACGCAAATTCGGCTTCGTCAACCTGGGCCAGGTGGGTGGCACTCGGGTGGATGATGGGAAGTGAGGGGACAGATGACCCTTGACCCTGATAGGTAGGACGCGGATCCCACTGCCCTCCTAAATATCAGGAAGCCAAGCCCACCTGGGCATGGTGGGCACGCCTACTACCTCAGTACTCAGAGAGGCTGAGGCAGGAAGATCTCAAGTTCCAGCCCAGTTTAGGCCACTTAGAGACTCAGTATGACTGTCTTTTAAAAAAAAAAGAGCCCTGGGGATGTAGCTCACAGCAAAGGGCCTGAGGTCCTGGGACTCCCAGGTTTGACCTGAAGCCCCACCAACCTGGTAGGAGGAGGGTCCAAGCAAGAGGGCATTGGTCTATCCTGAGGGTGGGGGGAGGCACATGGGGAGCCGGCCCCACCGCCCTGGCCGCCTCCCTGTCTTCCCAGATCTTCCCTGATGGACAGTATTTCCACCTGCGGCACCGGGGCGTGGCCCAGCTGTCCCTGAACCCTCACTGGGGCCACCGCCTGCGTCTGAAGAAAAACCCAAAGGTGAGCCTGTCCAGGTCATAGGGTGCAGGAGAGGCATGGGTTCAATTTACCCCTCGGGAAAATGGCCCTACGGTGTAGGAGGTGTGAACCTATCTACTGTGTTAGTGGCTGACATTTTGACAAGGATCCAGGTTCTCCATGCTCAGAGCTGAGGACCAAAAAAGGCAGGACAGATCAGATGTGGAGAACAGAGAGAGACAGGTATCCCCTGTACCACCCAGGAGACTGCCAGGATCTCCAAGATGGAGCAGAGGACATGGGCTCCTTTGGGGGTGGGAGATAAAGGTGGTAAGGAGGAAGCAGGAAAAATGTCCAAGGAAGAGTGGTCCAGGCTGACAGAACAGCATGTGCAAAGGTCCTGGAGTTGAGATGAATTCACTCATTCTTGAAACTTCAAGGTGGTCACCAGCTGTATTTAAGTGACCAAGAGAGAAGCTGATGGGGGCTGAACATTCAGGGCCTTGTGGGCTGTCGTCTAGAAGATGGAAAGCCAGGGAGGAGGAAAGCCAGGTGACCTTTGGAGAGAGGTGTCTTGGATGGGAAAGAGGAAGAAGCAGCTGTTTTGGCAGCTGATGTGGGAGGGATAGAAGGATCTAGAGTGGGGAGGGAGGAAGCAGGAGGATTGCTGAGAGTTTGAGGCCAGCCTAGACTACATAGTGAGCTCAAGGCAGCCTGAGCTACATAGTGAGATCCTGTCTAAAAAAAAAAAAAAAAAGCTCTAGCAAATCCAGGGTCCCCCGATGAGAGGCCCTTGGGGCTCCCCTCTCGCCCCGGGGGACAGTGCAGCTCTGTATCCCTCTCAGGTGCGGTGGTTTGAGCAGCAGACCGTGCGGCGGCGGGTGAAGCGATCCCTGGAGGTGCCCACAGATCCCTGGTTCTCAAAGCAGTGGTACATGGTGAGCGGCCAGGCTGGGGCAGGCAAGCACTTGAGGCGGCCACCACCTCACTGACGCTGGCACCCACTGCTTGGCGCAGAACAATGAGCTGCAGCCGGACCTGAACATCCTGCAGTCCTGGGACCGGGGCCTGACCGGCCAGGGTGTGGTGATCTCCATCCTGGACGACGGCATAGAGAGGGACCACCCAGACCTCGAGGCCAACTACGTGAGGCCTCGGGCAGTGGGGTAGGGGCTGTGCCTGGTCTCCCACCCCTGAACACCTCCCACCGTGCTCCTGTCCCGCCCGTCCCCAGGACCCCCTGGCCAGCTACGACTTCAATGACTATGACCCGGACCCCCAGCCTCGCTACACGCCCAGCAATGAGAACCGGTGAGCCTTGGGCTGTGGGGTGCGAGGGGAGTGCCCCAGTGTCCCCCGGAGATCAGGTGGGGGCTGTGACAGACAGGTGCCTCCTTCGGCCTGGCACCAGGCACGGGACACGCTGTGCTGGGGAGGTGGCAGCCATGGCCAACAACAATTTCTGCGGGGCAGGAGTGGCCTTCAATGCCCGGATCGGAGGTACTTGGGTCCCCCAGTGTCCTTCAGGGGACAGGGCCTGAGGTCACAGGGTGGAGGGTGACACTGCTACAGCTGAGAGGTGGGGCAGGGGAGGGGAGGGGAGGAAGGCTCTGGTGTCTGTCCCCTCCTTGGGGGCCCGGGACAAGGCCCCTGGGGAGAGGGCAGTGCGGGCCGGTGCCCAGGGAGGCCGGACGCCACCACGCAGGTGTGCGCATGCTGGACGGCACCATCACGGATGTGATCGAGGCCCAGTCGCTGAGCCTGCAGCCCCAGCACATCCACATCTACAGCGCCAGCTGGGGCCCAGAGGACGATGGCCGCACAGTGGACGGCCCGGGTCCCCTCACCCACGAGGCCTTCCGGCTGGGCGTGATCCAGGTAAACAAGCGCCCTGGGGGCCGCACAGGGGGCCAGGCGGCCAGGCCTGGCATGTGCCTGCGACCCACACCCTCTTCCGCCCTCTACCCCCAGGGCCGCGGCGGACTGGGCACCCTCTTCATCTGGGCCTCTGGCAACGGCGGCCTGCACTATGACAACTGCAACTGTGACGGCTACACCAACAGCATCTACACGCTGTCGGTGGGCAGCGCCACCCGCCAGGGCCACGTGCCCTGGTACAGCGAGGCCTGCGCCTCCATCCTCACCACCACCTTCAGCAGCGGCCTGGCCACCGACCCGCAGATCGTGAGTGCCACTTTGGCTTGGTACCGGCATGGAACCCGGGGCTTGCACAGCACACACACATGCACGCACGCACGCACGTTTATTTTTAAATTGTAAAACAGGGTCTCTGAAGTGCTAAATTCCCAAGTTCAAATTTGAGATCCTCCTGCCTTAGCCTTCCAGAGTACTGAGATTCCAAGAATGCGCCACATTAGCCAGGTGTGGTGGCTCACGCCTGTCATCCCAGCACTCGGGAGGCTGAGGCAGGAGGATGCTTGCAAGTTTAATACCAGCCTGGGCTCCAGAGTGAGCCCAAGGCCAACCTGAACTGCAAAGCAAGACCCTGTCTCAAAATAACAAAAGAACAAAAACTAAACAAGACTGCATTACTGTGCCCAGCTCTTAGTACTTTCTCAGCTTAGTCTTTGGTGCTTTTTGGACTCAGTGGGTAGTGCTGTGGCACCTCTGGTCATGAATTTCATTCTTTTTGTGTTTCTGGTTGCAAACTGAACTGGAGAAGAATGAGATCAAATTTCCCCATAAAGTCAACATTGAATCCTAATTGTGGGATTTGATTCCGCTTGTATCCAATTCTTTTTTTTTTTTTTTTTTTTTTTTGGTCTTTTTCGTTTTTATTGGTACCAGGGATCAAACTCACGACTGCCTGCTTGCAAGGCAGGCGCTTATGCCGCTGAGCTCAATCCCCAGCCCCATCCAATTCTGTTTGCAACCAGAAACATGAAAAGAATGTAAGTGCGCGGAGACACCACTGTGTTTTTCAAATTCAGTCCTTGATAAACTTTTGCACTTTAGTTCTTGGGAACTAAAGTGTACTGTGGGAATTGGTAGTGTTTTCTGTTTTGTTTTCATTTTGTTTTTGAGACAGGATCTCGCTACTTAGTGCACACTGGTCTTGTGCAAACTCATGGTGATCCTCCTGCCTCAGCCTCCCAAGTGCCGGGGTGACAGGCGTGCGCCATGCCCAGCTTCCTTGTACTTCTGAACTTGGTGTACAGTACTTTTTGAATCTAGTCTTTCATATATTGCTTGAACTCAGTCTTCAGTACTTTTCTTTTTTTAAAAAATATTTTTTGGGGCTAGGGATTTAGCTCAGTGGCATAAGTGCCTGCCTGGCAAGCCTGAGGTCGTGAGTTTGATCCCTGATACCGCAAAAAAAAAAAAAAAAAAAAAAAAAAAAAAAATATATATATATATATATATATATAATTTTTTTGTAGTACTCTTTAAGTTTAGTCTTTAGTCTTTTTATTTTTTGTTCCTATGTTTTTGAGGCAGGGTCTCACTGTACAGTTCAAACTGGCCCTAAACTCACTGTGTAGCCCAGGGCAGCCTGGAGTTTGCAGTGATCCTCCTGCCTCAGCCTCCCAAGTGCTGGGATCAATGACCCGTGCCACCATGCCCAGTTCCTGAGTACATTTTGAACTCGATACGTGGCACTTTCTGACCAAGGGCCGAGTCCCATGATACCAGGCCCCATCCCAGCCCTCTGTCCCCAGGTCACCACAGACCTACACCACCAGTGCACCGACAAGCACACAGGGACCTCAGCCTCGGCCCCCCTGGCTGCGGGCATGATTGCCCTGGCTCTGGAAGCCAAGTAGGTGCCGGCGGGGGTCCGGGTCCCCAGCCTCACCCTCAGGTTGCACCCTGTGGGGCTGGGAATCATGGCCGTGCCGCCCCGCCTCCAGCCCACTCCTGACCTGGAGGGACACTCAGCACCTCGTGGTCCGAGCCTCCAAGCCGGCGTACTTGCAGGCTGAGGACTGGAAGCCCAACGGCGTGGGGCGCCAAGGTGCGGTGGGGCCGGGCAGGGGTCTGGGGCAGCAGGGCTGCAGGGCCTGTGACGGCTGCCCCTCCACTCCACGCAGTGAGCCACCACTACGGCTATGGGCTGCTGGACTCTGCGCTGCTGGTGGACCTGGCCCGCACCTGGCTGCCCACGGAGCCCCAGAGGAAATGCGTTGAGGAGATTGTGCTGGACCCGCTGTAAGGGGACCCCCTCGCCAGATTCCCCCATCTGTACCCCCAGGGGTGGATTTCCCAGGGAAGGCAGGCCGCTGGCCTCAGTGTCCCGGTCCACCAAGAGAGAGGGTGGGCTGCATAACCGGTGAACCCAGACCCCACCAGCCAACAGGGGGCGCCCTCACCGCCCCCAGCCCCATCATGCCCCGGATGCGCGTGGAGAAGAACGCATCGGCCTGCGCCGGCAGCCACCACCACATCCGCTCCCTGGAGCACGTGCAGGTGCAGCTCACGCTGGCCTACAGCCGCCGCGGGGACCTGGAGATCTCCCTCACCAGCCCCATGGGCACCCGCTCCACACTGGTGGCCATAAGGTGTGCGGTGCGGGCGGGGACCCTGCGGCTCTGCGCCTGACCGTCCGCCCGGCCCGCTGGCACCTGAGGTCCCCTTTTTCCCCTCTCTGCTGCCCCCTCCCTCCAGACCTCTGGACAACAGTAGTCAGGGCTACAGTGACTGGACCTTCATGTCCACCCACTTCTGGGACGAGAACCCGCAGGGCTTGTGGGCCCTGGGCCTCTGGAACCGGGGCTATTACAACACAGGTACGGGCGGACCGGCTCAGGGGCTCCTCTGCTGCCTCTGGGCCATAGCAGCCCCAGGGGCAGCCCAGAGCCCAGCTGCTGGCAACCAGTGGGTGGCAGCTGGCGGCCTGGATCCATGCAATCCGGGGTGTGGTGGGCGCCCCCAGGAATAGCGTCCAGCTGCCATGGCCTTTCCCTCTCCCGTGACCCCGGCCCAGGGACGCTGTACCGCTGCACATTGCTGCTCTACGGGACAGCAGAGGACATGACAGCGCGGCCTCAAAGCCCCCAGGTGACCGGCAGTGCGCGTGCGCGGCGGGACACACAGGGGCTGTGTCAGGGTGAGTGGCCCGCAGTGGTGGTGGGGGCCGGCAGTGTGTGCGCATGCGCGTGTGTGTGCGTGGCCCCTGGAGGGCTGCAGGGACCCGCCTGGGGCTGAGCCTCAGCCTCACTCTCTCCCTGCACGTCCTTCCCTCCTCCCGTGTCTCTTGTGCAGAATGTGACAGTCCCACTTTTTCCCTGGGCCACCTCTGCCTCTTCGGATGTGGACCAGGACACTGAGGCCACAGCCAATGGACGGTGATCGTGGGCCCAGCTCCCCCCACCACACACACCCCAGCTGCCCGCCGCTCTGGGTGCCCCCAAGCTGCATGCGGGATGAACCCCGGGGCTGCTGCTCAGCCTGGGCCCAGGGTGAAGGTGACACTGCTGTTCCCATCCATTGCCCACTGGGACCTGCCCTGAAGACCCCAGCAAGCCGACGGGAACTCGGAGTGTGGGCGCCCAGCCCCGAAGGAGAGAGAGTCTCTTTCACTTCGGGGGGTCAGTTGAGGGTTGGATGGACAGAGGTCAGCTCGTGACCCCGCCCCTCCCCCACCCCAGCGTCTGTCCAGTCCTGGGCACCACATCCAACCTCCTAGTTTGCAAATAAAGGTTGAAAAGAAGGTGTCAGGCCTGCCATTTGTCGTGGAGCGGGGCAGGTCCCAGGCCCGCGGGCGAGGCCGAGTGTAGGGGGGATGTCAGGCCTAAAGAACCTGGAGAGCCATAAAGGAAGAGAGCCCAGGGTTTGGGGTGACTGTGGGGAATCACATGCTGCTGATTCAGTGTCTAGTTCTGCAACTGCGCCGGCCCCAGCTCAAGGCCGTGTTTTGAATGTCTGAAACTAGGTGGTAGTGATGTTTGGACAGCGCTGGACCCGCACAAATAAAAGCACAGAACTACTTGATTGATGAGTGAGTGATTGATTTTGGTATCAGGAATCGAACTCATGACCTCTTGCTGGCCCCAGAGGTTTTTTTTTTTTTTTTGAGCGAAGGTCTCTCTGTGCAGTTCAGGCTGGCCTGGAGCACACTGTGCAGCCCAGCCTGGTCTCTAACTCCCAAAGATCCTCCTGCCTCAGCCTCCCGAGTGCTGGGATTACAGGCCTGGGCCACCACACCCGGCCTGGGAGGTGCTTTTAAAACGCAGGACTCTTGGTCAGGTCTGGCAGGCAGGATGAGACATGCACCTCGCTGGTGATCAGGACATCGGGCACTGACTAAGCACCCATCCAGGGGGCTCGCCAGGGACAGTGATGCATTCAGCACAGCCATGGTGGTTGGCGCCTTGTCACCCTTTGGCACAAACCCAAGCCTCACGCACTTTGTTACCCATCCAGAGGGACTTGGTCTCGAACTGCGGCTCAGCCCTCGTCCTTGCAGCTCCACTGTCCAGGACCCCAGGGAATGTAACAGGCAAAAGGCTGAAAACCCTCGGGTCCAGTCGCGGCTCCTTTAAGAAGGGGCGGGACCTCGCGGTGAGCCGCGGGGGGCGGAGACCTGGCGAAGACCGGAAAGTGCCGGCACGTTTCCGGGCTCTGCCGCCGGAAGCGGAAGTGGTGGCGCTGCCTTAGGGTGGCTGGTACCAATCCAGGTAGGGAACAGTTAGCGGCAGTGGTTTTTATGGGGACACTGAGGCCCACGTCTAGCCAGACTCTGAAACCCTAAGCCAGAGGAGCGCTTCGCGGGGCGGCCGGGTGGGCTCTCCTGGAGGCGAGGCCGTGGCGGGTGCGTTCGAGTTCGGGCTGAAGAGGTGGAAGCCCTACCGCTCCCTTTCTCTGTCCCCAGAGATGGGCTCCAAGGCCAAGAAGCGGGTGGTGCTGCCCACCCGCCCCGCGCCCCCTACGGTGGAGCAGATCCTGGAGGACGTGAGGGGGGCATCGGCCCATGACCCAGTCTTCACCGCGTTGGCCCCGGAAGGTATCACAGGGGAAACCGTGAAACTGGGAATGGGTTGGAGCCGGGCGCCTGGGCAGGGTCTTCATCCGTTCTAAGCCTCCCTTTTCTCATCTGTAAAGTGAGGATCCCATTTTAGGGGTCCTCTAAACTGGGTTCATAGGTTACAGCCTACAGCCGTGTCCCTACCTGATTTTTGGAGCCCGTTTGTTTCGTGGGTTTTGTTTTTTTTTTTTTTTTAAGACAGGATCTTGCTATGTAGCCCAGGCTGGCTTCAAACTAGTGGCGATCCTCCTGCCTCAGCCTCCCGACTGCTGGGAGTGCAGATCTGCACTGCCACGCTGGGTCTGAGCTTGTTTTGTTTTGTTTTGTTTTTCAGGTTTTTTGAGATAGGACCTTGCTCCACAGTTCAGCCTGGTCTTGAACTCATTATGTAATACAGGCTGATCGGGAATTCACTGAGATGCTCCTGTCTCAGCCTCCCGAACACAGGGATTACAGGGGTGCGCCTCCACCCCCTGCTGAATGTGTGTTTGTACAAAACCCAGTTTTCACACTTTTAAGTGGGCGTGAGAATAATGCAGGGCACATGAAAACATACAAAGTGTACGTTTCAGGGTTCATCAGTAAAAGTACGGCCCTTCGCTGGTTTGCAGAGGCGGGGATCCGCTTCCTGGGTGCAGTAGAGGAGGCAGGGTCTGTCGCCGGCACTCAGGCGGCTTAAGGTGGGAGGATCACAAGTTGGAACCCGGCCTGGGCAACTTGCTTATCGAGACTCCTTCTGAGATTTAAGAGGGATGTAGCTGAGTGTGAGGGCCCAGCACACTGGCACACTTGCTCTCTCTCCCTTCTCCTCCCCTGCCCTCCCCCTCCCTTCCCCTGCCCTCCTCCTCCCCTCCCTCTCCCCCTCTCCCTTTCCCAGTCTCTCTCCCCCTCTCCCCTTCTCCCCCACAATTGCTGGTGGCTGGTGTATGTCATGTGTTGTGGGCAGGACCGCAGAGGTGGACATTTACATCTAGAAAGTTCATCCCTGCAGCAAGACTCCATAAGCATAGACTCTGAGCTGAGTGACACGGGGCACCTGAGGCCTCCATTTGAGAATTGTGGCCTGGCCCCTGCTGAGGGTGGGTTTGGGGTGCAGATGGCCTGCGCTGGACCCCAGGTACATCTCTTATGGGTCCTGTGCGCCCTTCCCTAAGAAGGCCATGCCAGGGGATTTTTAACCGAGCACTGGGGTGCCCCAGGCTGCCCCGGATGTGGGGCTGCCCAGGGGACCATGATGTGTCTCCTTGGGACCCCAAGCCCTGTGTTTTTCCAGTCCTGTGACTCCAGCTGGTGCCCTCTGCTGATGTGGGGGTAACCAGGAAGTGGGGCTCCACACCTGCCCCCAGTGCTGGCCTGCAGTATGGGGAGCTCACAGGCACTGGGATCTGGGGTCTGGCCTGTGACGCTGCTGTGTTCTGTCCCAAGATCCCCCAGCAGCCCCCAGGAACCCTGAGGACCCTGAGGCTGAGTGGGAGCGGCTGTACCAGCAGGGCCAGGCCTATGTGGCCACCAATCAGCAGCTGCAGCAGGCGGGGGACCAGCTGAGGCAGAAGTGCCAGGACCTGCGCCACGCCGGTGAGGAGCTGGAGCGGGACGTCAGCCAAGTGACACAGGCTGCGCTGCCGGGGACCTCGGCCACCTCGGGCTGACGGGGAGCCTTGCATCTCCACCTTGGAAGCTCCAGGTCCTCACGTCCTCCTGTGACACTGCCGGCTCCTGGCCCCACAGGCCTCCAGGGAGATGCCACATGGGCTCCCAGCTCTGCAGCACTTGGTGTCCCCTCGGTGAGGGGTGAGCTGGAGCCTTCAGGCCCCCCCTTTCCTGCAGGCAGCTGCAGGCTGGCAGGGCTTTTTGCGTAAACAAGTGGGATTCAGGCCTTGGCGATCCGGACAGCCAGTGCCTTCCTGACTCGGTCCTGCCAGGGGCAGGGACAGGATGACCACCTCACCCAGGGCCCCAAGCCCAGGGCCTGCTGTCCTTTCCTGTCCAGACCCAGCTCCCAAGAGACCAGCCTTCGTTTCTGGGACCTTAAAAATGTTTGTCAGGAAGGTGTAACAGCACACACCTGTCATCCCAGCACTCAGCAGGCTGAGGCAGGAGGAACTCCAGAAAGTCTCAAAACACAATTTTAGAAATAGGTGTTTGACTGAAATGGGGGTATTGTTTAAGCCTGTGAGAACCACCTTGAACTAAAAGCTGGATCCTGGGGGATCCAGCCTTAAACCTTCAAGGGCTTGCCCTGGTTTCCTACCCCAGAGCTTTGCTGCCATCTGGGGAGCTGCCCCTTAGCACCTCACTCTGCCTGTGTCCCTGGGCTAGCCTGTGCTCTCTGACATGCGGCCACCTCAGGTCCACTGTGTCGGTTTTGATCTCAGCAGATGGGCTTGTGTGGGACCCAGGGCCCCCAGCACGTACTTCCTGAGAGTTGGCGGCTGGGGCTGGCAGCCCCCCCCCCCAGGAGCCACAGGCCATCCTGGGTACCTTGGCTTCCCACCTGTCCTCACCCTAACTTGAAATCGGGCCCAGGAATAAAGCTTAGTGGCCTGGTGCCTGCCTGGCTAGTGTGAGGTTATGTGTTCCATTCCTGGTACAAAAAAAAAAAAAAAAAAAACCCGGGCAGGGCGATGCACGCCTGTCATCCCGGTACTCAGGAGGCTGAGGCAGGAGGATCCTTGTGAGCTCAAGGCCAGCCTGGACTGCACAGTGAGACCCTGTCTCAAAGAGTCAAGAAAAAAGAAAGGAGCAGCTGAGGCAGCGTTGACAGCTCGCTTTATTAAAGGTGCACAGGAAGCCAGATGCCTGGGCCGCACAGGTGCTTAGGGAGTGGGGTGGGTGCGCAGGGCCCTAACTATTTACACATCCGGTTAACACTGAGGAATCCTAGACAGAGATGGGTTGGTGGCTGGAAGAGCTGACAGACCGGGCAGGAACCAGGTGCAGGGGCCATAGCCCGTGTGACAGTTGGGTGGGGGGTGGGAGATGAGGTATGGGGCGGGGCCTTCTGCCCCAAGCCAGTGCCCAAGCGGGGCAGCATCTGTCAGCCTGAGGCTTGGGTCCTTGGTCTGCCTGGGCTGGTGCTGGCGGGGGTCAGGATCACCCGTAAGTCCTAAGGCTGGTGACCACTGGCTCAGCCCCGGGTCGAGTGGCCACACTGCCAGCTCCAGCCCTGAGTCCTGCCTGAGCCAGACGGCAAGCGTGGCTGCTGGAGGTGGCCGTGAAGCCACAGCCCCTTACATCACAGCTGGGGAGAGGGGAGGGTCACCCCAGTGAGCAGCACCGGGGGCCTCCCTCATCACAACAGGCTCCCCTCACCCAAGAGGTAGCTCTGGGAGTTCTCCCCGCGGCCCCCACATGGGGAAACTGAGGCACAAGGCGGCAGAGTACTGCCCAGGGTCTCATAGTGCATGGTCAGGTGAGCCACACTGGCCCGGGCCCTGCAGTCAGTAGGGTGGCGTCCACTGCCCGCCAACAGGCGCTGGGGGTGCAGCTGATCCAAGGTGAGTGTGGGCCAGTGGGCAGGCACCCAGCTGCCGAGTCTGTGTCCTGAGGTCACTGCAGATCCAGGCCTCTTTCCTTGCCGGTTGTCCCCGGCCAGCTCTGCCCCCCAAGTGCCCAGGCAACCCCGCGTGGAAGGAGAGAGTCCTGACTGGTTGGAGCCTCCTGGCCACCGTCCCTTGGCATGGTCGCCCAGCCCCAAGGATGCCTGTTTCAGACAGCAGCAGGGCAGGGTCAGTAGGACGCAGCCTCACCTCTCTCTGGGCTGGGGGCTCCCATCTCTGTGGGTCCTGGGACTGCAGAGCTAGGGCCCCAGGGAGGGGCCTAGAGTTGCCAGGGTAATTGCTTGTGGCGGCAGGTGCCACAGGGGTGAGAAAGGTTCTCTCCGGGGAAGCTCTGCCCCATTTCCCCAAGGAGGGACCTCGTGCCCAGGTCCCCATTCAGTGTCCACCACCTCACCTGGCACAACCCTCCCCCTCCAACCTGGTCCCGGGCGGGCCAGGGCTGCCCCTACCCAGGTCCTCCCTTCAGGCTGGCCTGGGGTTAGGGTTCAGGTGATGGGAGGGGCACGACCAACAGTGAGAGCAGCCTTTGGTGGGGATGATCCCCTAGAGACCAGCCACCACCTTACAGCCCAGGCCTTGGGATCCCAGCCCCTCAGGCTGGGCTTGAATTCCCCATGTAACCCAGGCTGGCAATCCTACCTCAGCCTCCCTGCTGCTGGGATGACAGGCGTGCGCCATCACACCAGCTCCTCCTACCCCAGTGTTCCACCCACCACAGTGGGGACAGTGGGTCGGACCGCGCCACCTGGCCCTGAACCCCCACCCCCGTCCCTGGGGCTTTCCCTGTAAGATGGAAAGGGTCTTACACTGGTCACTGTCCGCATCTGCCTGACCCCGACTTCGCCCACGGGACAAGTAACCTGGGGGTGCCCTTCCCGGGGAGGGTGGTATAGGCCCGGGCTCTCTGAAGAGCCTCCTTCCCTGGGGCGCAGCCCCTCCCCGCATCCCCCGCCTCCGCAGCTGGAGCCCGGAGGAGAAACAAAGCGCCTACGCCGACATTACCGCATTACCACGCCTAATTAGAGGCCGCCTCCCGCCCGCGGGCGCACGCGGTCGGCCCAGCTGGCAGGCGCAGCGCGCCGAACCCCCCAGCTGTCCTCCCCGCGCCTGAGCGCTGCGAGGGCTGCCCAGGCAGGGCAGGTGCTGACCAGAGGTGTCACCTCCCTCCGGATGCGCCCAGGTCAGCTGGGGCTGGTCCCCGCCCGAGCATCAGTGGATGGTCTCTGCGAGGAGAGGGGGCCGGGCCGAGGCACCTTTGGGTGCTCGGTGCTGGCGTCTCCCGAGCCCCGCGGTGGAGAAGCATTGACTTAGCCTCCCTGGGGCCAGGCTGATGGCACCCGGGGCAGGTGCCCGAGGGCCGGGCCTGCTGCAGCCTCTACGGGAAGGGCCCGCCGGGCAGCCGGGCCGGGCCTGGAGAGGGGCTACGGGGGGGCCGAGCTAGGCCGCTACTCCAGGAGGTGGGCCGGGGATGGGGCCGAGGCCGGCGCCTTCTCCGCCGCGGCAGAATCGCTGGTGGCCGCCGGCGCCGCCATGGGGCTGGGCACGTAGTTGAAGGGGGGGACGCGGGCGGCGCGGCTAGGGGATCCGTGCCGGCTGGCGGGGAAGCCCCCCACAGCGACGCCCAGGGCCTCGTGCACGAAGGGGGGGACGGCGGGGGCCTTGGTGGGGGCGGGGCCGTCGACGTCGCTGCCCAGGGGCGGGGCGGGGCCCCCGGGGGCCGGGGCGGGGGCCGCGGGCAGTGCGCGCGCCTCCTGGCTCGGGGAGGTGCTGGAGTTGGTCTTGGGCGCCGCCACCTCCTCCGTCTGCACCACGGCGTCGCTGGTCTTGCGCTGCGGACCTCCGGCCGGGCCTTCGTCGGGCGAGGGGCCCCGCAGCGGCAGGGCGGTGGCGGGCAGCGTGCTGCGCAGGATGTGCGGGACGTCCTCGTCGCGGATGCGCCGCCACGTGGTGCCGGGGGCCGCCACCCTGGGCAGCGGCCTGGCCTCGCCGTCGCTGCTGCGGCGAGCGGCGTCCGCGGGGACCCGGGCGGCGGCGGCGGCGGCCGTCCCCTCGGGCCTGCGGGCCACGCTGATGTGCGGCAGCGACGCGTAGCGCTTGACCGCTTCGGGCCGCGGCGCGGGCGCGCGCACGGGCAGGCGCGAGGGGCTCTCGGAGCTGGTGCGGCGGGGCGCGCGCGGGCCGGGCCCGGGACGCGACGTCGCCGGGCTCCGCTGTGGGGCGGGGGGCTGCTGGCGGGGCGCTCGCAGCTCGTCACAGCGCGAGGAGCAGAGGAAGACCGCGGGGAGGGCGGGCCGGCCGCGGCGTGAAGAGGCGCCCGGGGTGGTGGAGGCCGCGGCCTCAATGGAGGACAGCTCGGAGCGCCGGCGACGCAGCAAGCCCCCAGGGGACTCTTTGATAAAGGTCAGTTGTCGCCGGAAACCCGAGCGGTCGGAAGACTCGCTGCAGCTGGAGCGCGCCGAGGCCACGCGCACCAGGCCCAGGCGGTTCCCATGAACCCCGGGTCCCCCGTCGGGCCCCGTCCGGCCCCTGGGGACCGATTCTGGGGCACCCCTCGCCAGCGGCGGTGGCCCCCGCCTGGCAGGTCTTTGCATGAACGGGATGCGCACTGGCGACTTCTGTGTCTTGTGCTGCTTGGCCAGGAGAGCCCGAGCTGGCGTCTTGGGTACGGGGGAGTTCCCGGGGCCAGGGAGGGGTCCTGCGGTTGGGGTGGCCAGAGGGGACTTCCTGGGCAGGGGCTGGGAGGCAGGCGAGGTCTGGGAGGAGCTCGAGGATGGGGTCTTGGCGAGGCGGGCGGGAGGCGTGGCGCTCCTCGGGGGGTGGCTCAGGGTCGCCAGCTCTGAGATCTTGCCTGGTCTGTGTAAGCTGCGTGACCTCTGCTGTCCGGGGCTAGGAGTTTTGGCTGAGGTGTCTGGCTGTGGGGTCCCGGAAGCCCCCATTTTCTTATGTGTGGCACGGGGACCCGAGGTGCCTTTGGGCTGGGTCCGTGGCGTGGGGTTGGGCACGTAAATCACTGTGCGTCCCCGGAGCACTGCCGGCTCCCCGGATCTAGTCTTCTGCGTGCCCCGAGGTTTCTCTGGGCCTCCAGGTGAGCGGGTGCTCCCACTGCTCTTGGCTGGGGCTGGACACCGTTTCTCTGACCGATGAGTACCTCCTGCTTCAGCCCCTGTCCCGGCCTGTCGCCCCTTCCTGTGCTTGGATGACTGCAGCGGGGACCCCATGGACAGCCCAGACACTAAGGACAGGAGGGAGTCGGACTCTGATGAGGCCTCTACGTTGGCTGCAGCTGCTGCTTGGTGCAGCCATGTGACGATGGAGTTGGCACCTTCCTGGATGGCCTGCCATTCCACACTGTCCAGGTCAGAGGCCGGGTCGCAGCCCACCACGGGCTCCGCGCACTCTTGGGGCTCCTGCGCAGGCCGAGGGTCAGACCGGGCAGTTCGGGGCTTGCGTCGCCTCGAGCCCAAGGCCTGGGGCCGGCGCCTGGGCATGGCTGAGCCTATGCACCTCCGCAGCAGCTCCTCCTCCGTGCGTGGGCTTGGGGAGCTTTCCCGGCCACTGCCAGGGCCCAGATCCTTGGTGACCACTGGCTCACGGCCTCGAGTGCTGCAGGGGGCTGGCCGCTCAGAGGGCTCTGGCTCGCTGAGGGAGCTGGCTGAGGAGCTCAGGGAGTAGCAGGGTGGAGTCTCGTCCACAATCAGCCTGGGTGGGGCCCTGGCAGGTGGCACAGCCTTGGACAGGGTCTGGGTCTCCTTCGGGCCCTCGGGTCTTTCCCGCTTCTGGGCACGAGGAATTGCAGATGCCCGCCGTGGGGGTGGCACCTTGCTGGCTAGTGGCTCCTCCTCGGAGTCGTAGAAACAGTACACCGCCTCCTCAGTGGGCGTGGTGAGGCACAGGGACTGCAGACCCCCGTCCCCACGTGAGCGCCCCACTTGAGGGCCCTCCCTGTCGGGGCGAGTGCCCGGAGACTGGCTGAGGGGCAGCTCCAGGCCGGCCCTGCTCCTGCCACCTCCCCGGGTCTGTTCCACGCTCCTGCTAGCGCCCCCTGCCTTGGGCCAGTGTCCCGATGCCTGTCTGGATGGAGCTGCCTGTCCCCTTGGCCTCTGCCTGTCTGCCAGCGCTCGGGGCGGGTCCCGGGGGGGTCCCTGCAGTGTCTCATCACTCAACGAGGCTGCGCTGGAGAAGTTGACCGGCGTGCCCTCGGCAGAGTCGGTGCCAGAGTCATCGTCTTGGGCCGGGGCAGGCACCAGCATGTAGACCGGTACTGGCAGGGCACGGCGGCCAGACACCAGTGCCGAGGCCACTTTGCGAAGTCGGGCGGGCACGGTGGTTCCCAGACACTCACGCAGCAGCTCCAGTTCCTGGTCACCGGAGGAGCAGGTGCGAGAGCTGGATGGCTTGGGGCCCTCCAGGCGGCCACCAGCCTCATCCCCCCGGCGGTGTCCTCCTCCACCTCCACCTCCCTCTCGCTCTGGGCAGGCAGGCGGCTGCAGCCGCAGCTCAACATCCTGCTGCACGTATAGCTCATGCAGAGCCAGGGCACTGAGGCTGGAGGCGCAGGAGAAGTTCTCGTCTGGCTTCTCCACAGTGAATCGCACGCTGCCCGCGTCCAGTTCGGAAGGTGGCTGGCAGCGCTCACGGCAGTCTGCAATGTCCAGAAAGCGCTTGACGTAGCTCTCCCACTGCAGGCTGAACTGGCTGGTCTCTGGCTGGCCCTGTGGCGCTGGCGGTGTCTTGCTGCGGCTGGGCGGCATTGTCTGCCCAGGGCTGTCAGGCAGCTCGCTGGGGCTGACGGTGCCGCTGCCCAGCCCGCTGCATGGGTCGCTGGGGATGGAGCTGGCGATGGACGGGCTCTCGAAGCTGCCCAGAGAGCTCACCGAGCTGCAGCGGCTCAGAACAAGTGGTGTCTCCTGCACGCAGTTCTCTGAGGAGCTGGACGGTGTGGCATCCTCCACCCCCAGCCCCCGCCCATGTCCCCGGCGGGGTGCAGGGATGGCCACGGGCAGCGAGGTGGACCCAGACGCCCGCCAACCCCCATCCAGCTCTGCCTCCCCAGGACCGGTCTCCTCTAGCCCATCTAGAGAAGAGTCACTGTCATCCAGATTACCACCCTCACTGGGGCCAGCATGGCCAGCAGAGGATAGTGAGGACAGAGAGCTGCAGCGAGAGAGGGACAGTGGCCCATCCTGCACCGCCAGTTTCTGTAAGACCTTGCTGACCGCAGGCAACGGAGTGCCACCTGCCAGCTTCTCGGGCACCTTGCTGAGGTTGTCCGCCGGCATCCACGCCTGCTTCCGGGCCCCAGGCCCAGTGAGTGGCCGTGCCCCTGTACCCCCCTCTAGCAGGGGCACGTGCTGGTAGGTGGGTGACAGCTTGATGGTGCGCACCCCTGCGTCAGCAGTAGCTGCAGGGTCACGTGAGGGCGGCTTGGCCTGCCCACCGCGCAGGTCAAGGTCTAGCCGGCTGGGCCTTATCTGCCCACGAAGCGGGTCCTCTCGATGCTCGGCCAGCACAGCCAGTGGGCAGGGCTGCATGTGCTCCCGTGGGCAGTAGCCGTCGCTGGTGCTACCGCTGTTGAGGCTGTCGTTGGAGAGGCTGGCGTGTGCGGCTTTGAGACGCAGCAGCGGATGGGCCCGGCCGCCACCCTCCCTCCGTGTACCCTCGGAGCCCCGGCAGGGTGAGCAGGACTGAGCGCGGCCCTCCCTGGGCGCCTCCTGCCCAGGGTCCCCAGAACTGAGGCTGAAGCTGTCTTCGGACGAGGTGTGCAGAGCGGAGATGTCCTCCACCAGCCGGTCAATGCGAGCAACCGCCAGCGCCAGCTTGGCTTTGGCTTTGGCCGCCACGGCTGCGTCTCCCCCAGACTCCTTCTCAGCCTCCAGGGCACCATGGCGGGCAGGCTGGGAACGGGCCAGCGCCTGGCCCTGCAAGAAGGGGCTACCCAGGAACATGGACATCACAGCGGGACTGGCAGGCTCTGCGGTGGCGGCAGCAGCAGCCAGAGACGGTGCATCGTCGTCATCGAAGCAGCCCGAGTCGGAGGCGTAGTCCTGGGCCAGCCCGTCCAGGTGCCGCAGCGGGGGCAGCGGTTTCTTGGAGGTGGGCTCGGCCTCGGCCTCAGGCAGGCTCTGCTTCTCCAGGTGGCCCAGCGCCTGCGCCAGGTGCCGGGTGTCCAGCTCCGCCTCCAGCGCCCGCTGCTTACGCACATACAGGCTGGGCACGCAGGTGCCCGGGGAGATGGCCGTGGCCGCTGCCTGGTACTTGGCGGGCCGATGGGCCAGCAGGTTGCGCAGGGCAGCTGCGCTGCCCATCGCGATCATCTTGTGCTTGGAATGCACCAGATTACGCAGCATGCCCACTGCGCCCAGGTCCCACAGCAGCTCCTGGTCGCGAGGGCTGCGCGCAGACAGGTTCCAGAGGGTGCCGCAGGCGTTGCTCACGATGGTCAGGCTGTGCGACGTCAGGTGCTGCAGCAGGGTCTGCAGGCAGTTGTGGTCTCGAAGCACCTGCCTGAGGTGCAGGAGCGGTCAGGCCTGGCCAGGTCCCCAAAGCACCAACCACCTCCGCCCTACTGGGTCCGGCCCCCGCCATGGTCCTCTGAGCCACTCCCTGGCCACGCCCCCTAGTTGGCCACGCCTCCAGCCATTCCCAGACCTTCCCACCAAGCCGAGAGCTGTCAAAAAATCTCCATTGAATAGGGGCTGGGGATTTAGCTCAGTGGCATAAGCGTCTGCCTTGTAAGCAGGCAAGTTGTGAGTTTGATTCCTGGTACCAATAAAAAAAAACAAAACAAAAAAATCTCCAGTGAATGAACACAAAATCTCCAGTGAAGTGGGGTGTTATTTTGGTTTGGTTTGGTTTTTTTGGTGGTACGAGGGATTGAATTCAGGGCCTTGTGCGTGCCAGGAAAGCATTTTACCACTGAGCTATATCCCTAGCCCTCCAGCCAAGTTTGAATTTTATTTTTTTAGTTTAGTTTTGGTTTGGTTTGGTTTGATACTAGGAATTGAACTCATGATCTTGTGCTTGCCAGGCAGGCACAGTGCCACTGAGCTATATCCCCAACCTGAGGTTTGAATTTTAGAAAACAGAATTATTGGGCCCCAGGATTTAGCTCAGCAGCACAGCGCCTGCCTGGCAAGCACAAGGTCATGAGTTCAATTCCCGGTACCAAAAATAACAAGAAGGAAAGAAAATGGAATTTTTAATATGTATGTGCCGTGCACCTCATAAAATATGCTAAAACAAAGGCCTTTTGTAATGCATGGGGAGGCGCACCTATAGCCCCAGAACTTGGGAGGCCACAAGTTTGAGGCCAGCCCAGGCTACATAATGAAGTTAAAGACCAGTCGGAAGTACACAGCGAGATCCTGCCTGAAGAAACCAAAAAAACAGAGCTGGAGGTTTAGCTCAGAGGCACAATCACCGGCTGGGCAAGCTCAAGGCTGTGAGTTCAATGCCAGTAAAAAATAAATACATAGACACACACAAAAAGGGCCCTGGCTAAGCTTTGCCACCAGAGTTTAATCTCCCCTGCTAAAACACACGTACACTGTATCTAGTGTGAGTACTATATACTGAATATGTTTCTTAAGTAATTTTAGCACAAATTGATGAGATATTTGAGAAATCCTACACTAAAATGAATTTCTATGTTAATATTTAATAAGTAATTTGATATTTATATGAATGCTATTTAATCATACATTTGTACACTTTTTAAAATAACTTGTAATGTCTAAGTGCTTTGTTAGGTGCCTTTTATGTATCTATCTTCTTATTTATTTAGTCTTCTTGAGACAGGATCTCGCTAGGTAGCCCAAGCTGGCCTCAAACTTGCCATGATCTTCCTGCCTCAGCCTCTTGAGTGCTGGGATTGCAGGCATGTGCTACCATGCCCAGCATTTTGTATACCTTTTAATAAACCTTTTTCTCTTTTTCTTTTCAAGGTATGTTCCTACCATGTAGTCCAGTCTGGCCTGGAACTACCTGTGTAGCTCAGACTTGGCTGGAACATGTAAGCCTCCTGCCTCAGCCTCCTAATCAAGATTCCAAGTACACCTGACTAAATAACAATTTAGTATAAGTGTATCCTATGCGGTTTTTGAAATAACTCAAAATAAATTTTACTTCCATAAATCATAGGTATTATTTACTCTTTTTTTAAGACAGGGTCTAGTGTGTAATTCAAGCTGTAGCCTTGCCGGGCCTCAAAACAATGGTAATCTTTTTTTTTGTCTTTTTCCTTTTTTATCGGTACCAGGGATCGAACTCACAACTGCCTGCTTGCAAGGCAGGCGCTTATGCCGCTGAGCTAAATCCCCAGCCCCGACAAGGTATGTTTTATTGTTAAGTTTATTTAAGAAGTTTTTTTGTTCCTTTTGGTTTTGGGTTTTTTACTGTGACAACCCTCCTGCCTCAGCCTCCCCAGTGTTGGAATTACAAGCATGTGCTGCCATTCCTAAATTTAAGAAGCAGTTTTTTTTGGAGATGGGGACTCACACTGTCAATCAGGCTGGTCTTGAGCTATGTAGCTGAGGCCAGCCTCTGAATTTGCAGTGATCCTTCCAGCAGGCATCACCACGCCTGGCTTGGGCTGGAACTTTGAATCCTCCTGCCTCAGCCTCCCAGAGTGCCTGGGATGCCAGGTTTGTCAGCACACCTGGCTTCATGTAATGACTGTTCATTTAATAAGTGAGCATTTTGCTATAACAATAGCCCCGCCAAGTATTGGGGATACCATGAGACTGGAAAATTAGTTCCTGGGGACACTGGAGACCCTAATTCCCTGGAAGACCATGCTCAGCCCCGCTCTCCCTGTGCCGGTGCTGACCTGTAGTCCTCACGTGTGGCGATGAGGCTGGACACATTGCGCAGGATGCCGCCGCCACTCTCGATGACGGCCAGGGAGTTGCCCTGGCAGCGGTAGGTCAGGGTGCTCACCAGGAAGCCCAGCGCGCCGTCCACCTGGCAGATGGCCGCTTTGTTCTCCGTGCTGTGCGCCGACAGATTCCATAGGGCGCTGAGCACGCTCTTCAGGGTAGACTCCTGGGCACAGGGCGGTGGGGGTCAGTGCTGGGCGGGCTGCAATCCCCCCAATCCCCAGCCTTCCCCGGTGCCCACCTTGGTGGCCCGCAGGACGCACTGCATCAGGGCCGTCATACTGCCGACCTCCCTCAGCACCTTCTTGCTGTTGATGTCTGCCCTCCAGGACAGATTGCGCAGGATGCTGGACACCACCTGAGGGGTGATGGGGGGTGGGGCAATGATGTACTTAGGGTGGGCAGTGCCTTAAGTCGTTGCCAGGCTTGGGCTGGGTGGGCGTGGCTGGGTTATGGGGCGTGGCTAGGTTGAAAGGCCACTATTGGGTGTGGTGGGCATGGCTATGTTTAGGTGGGTGTGGAGACATGCGTGTGGGCGTGGCTACACGGAGGTAGGCCCTAACCAGGCTGAACCCACAGCCCTCCAGCTCTCCCTACCGCACTCCATCCACCCACATGACTAAAGGGACCCGGGCAGCTGGGCACAGTTGAGGGGAGGCCTCTGACCCTCGGGAGCTGGAGGGCTGTCTGCATCCTGCCCCACATACCTGGTGGAGCTCTTCACTCTCGGATGCTAGCTGGGCCACGATGGCCTCCATGCAGCCCCGGCGGGCACAGAGGGTGGCCTGCGGGGAGTGACAGGATAGTCATGCGCATGGCATGTGGGGCCAGCACATAAGGCAGACAAACCCTCCTCTTGCCAGATCCACATGCTAGAGTTCTAGTCTTGGGATCCCTCACTTGCTGCCACCTGGGTCACCCCGAAAGTCAGGGGAGAACACCAAAGCCAGCCCAACCCAGAGGTCCTGCTGTGTCAGGAAAGCTGTCTTCAGGCTGCTGCGGACTGGCCCAGAGGATGTTGGTCTGGTCAAGGAAGTCCAGCACAGTCCTGCCCTTCCCTGCCCTCTTTGGGCCTCAGTCTACCCACCTCTGGATTGGGAATGACTGTCCCCAATCTCAGCGCCCTTCTGAGATCGGGATGGAGTGGAAGGGAGCTAGCTCTCAGTCCCTGGGGCCCAGAACCTGCACCCACTGGCCCTGAGCACCTTGTTGGCCACGTCCCCGAAGGTGAGGTTGGTGAGGGTCATCCCTGCGTAGCGGCGCAGGGCGAGGTTCAGGGGGTCCCGGGTCATCTTGTGCATCTCGTAGTCCACCTGCAGCAGTTCTGCGACAGCTTGCAGGCCACCTGTGGGCCCCAGGAGGCTGCAGTGGGTGGGCAGCCCCACCCCCACCTGCCCTGTGGGCCACAGCTCTGCATCCCTCTGGGAGAACAGCCCGGCTCCCTGCCACCTCCTCACCCGCCTCCCCACGCCATCCGCAGCCCGGATGCCCGCTCGCTCCTGCTGCCAGGTCTTTGCCCGTGTTGTCACCTGCACCTGAATGCTCACTCCTGTCCTGCCTGGCAACAGCATCCCCTACCACTTCCTTGGGGGACCCCCGCCCCAAGACCATCTGACATTGAGCTGCATCTGCAGGGGACAGGAGCAGCAGAGAGTTGACTGCCATACCCACTATTATGTAACTCCTATGTAACTCACTATTATGAAACTCCTCTCCCCAGTGGGAGCAGTTTCTCACTTTACAAAAGAGTAAATGGACCCGGGGTAGCAGGCAACAGCTCCCCAGAGTGGAGCAAAACCTTGCATCTAAACCCAGAGCTGTTTCTCTGCTGGGTGAAGATGACAGGTACAGACTGATCATCCTTGGGGACAACAGTCACCATCTAGCGAAGTTAGCAACATGTATCAAAAGGTTCCGGGATGACAGAGCCAGGCCAGGTATGTGGCACAGACCCAAAACCCCAGGACCCCAGAAGCTGAGGCAGGAGGATTGCCTCAGGGCAGCCTAAACTACTTAATAAAGACCCTCTCTCAAAAAATAAAACAGGGGCTGGGGATTTAGCTCAGTGGCATAAGCGCCTGCCTTGCAAGCGGGCAGTCGTGAGTTCGATCCCTAGTACCGATAAAAAGGAAAAAGACAAAAAATAAAAAATAAAAATAAAACAACAATAACAAAAAACAATCTCCAAATGAGCCCGGCACAGTGGCATACATCTGTAAAGCCAACAGTCTGGGAGGCTGAGGCAGTAGGATCAGAAGTTTAAGTTCAGCCTAGGTAATTTAGCAAGACCAAGTCTCAAAAGATAAAAATAAGGACTGGGAAGGTGGCTCAGAGCCAGAGCCCTGGCTTCCATCCCAAGTACAAAAAAGACAAAAGAAAAAAGACCTAAAATGAGATGTGTCCACCCATGTGTACAAAAAATAAAAGGTTGATACAGCCAGGTGGTCCATGGCTGGACAGAAGGATGCACACAGCAAGGTCCATCCCCACACGGGACATTACTTGGCCAGAAGGAGGAGTGAGGCTCGATGCTCGCCACAGCACAGAGGGACCTTAAGGATGCTGAGCTCAGTGAGATGCCAGCTACAGAGGACTCACAGCGTAGGCTCCGCGGACAGGAAGTGCCCGGGACAATGGAACCCAGAGACAGGAAGTGGACTCCTGGGAGCCAGGGCTGTCGCGGGACAGAAGTCGGTGTTCCACGGGAGAGAGGTGCAGTTTAGAAAGATGAGAAAAGAGCTGGGCCCAGTGGTGCACAGCTGTCATCCCAGCACTTGGGAGGCTGAGGCAGGATGATCCTTGTGAATTTGAGACCAGCCTGGGCTACAAAGTGAGTTCGAGGCCAGCCTGAACTGCACAGCGAGACTCCGTCTCAAAAAGACAAGGACTGGGGATATAGCTCAGTAGTACAGTGCCTGCCAGGAAGCACGAGGTCATGAGTTTGACAAAAAAAAAAAAAAAAAAAAGTTTTTTTTGAGCCAGGCATGTGATCTGGAAGTTGAGGCAGGAGGATTGATGAGAGTTTGAGACCAACTTGGACTACACAGCAAGACCCTGTCTCGGGAAAAAAAAAATTGGGGTTGGGGATATAACTCAGTGGTATAAGCACCTGCCTGGCAAGCGCAAGGTCCTGAGTTCAATTCTTGGTACCAAAAAAAAATTTTTTTTGAACAGCCTAAATAGTTGATCATGCACTTTACAAACCCTCAATGTCTGTAGTACTAGGAATTAAAAGAAAGCTTCAAACCCCAGGTTATGCGGCACCGTGGTTTTTAGAGGGGAAGCGTCAGGAAAAGCCAATAAGCACATTCTTTTGCCAGAAAGAAGGGTGACATCAGTAACCACATTACTATCAAAACACTTGCGTACTATGGGCCTCTTTGGAGGACCTCAGGACCCTCCAGGGATCCTGTTCTGCGAACCGCTCTTTTACAATCTAAAAGGCAGGCCAACCCGAGATGCTCTCCTCCTGTGCCCTACGTCGGATCTTCTACCTGTGGCCTCCAGCACTCTCTGCCCCGAGCCGATGGACAGTTCCTGCCACAGGCAGCCCCGGGCAGGACGAGGCCCAGAACCTGGAGCTCAAAGGTGAGCGCCAAGAGGCCCTGCCCAACTCTCCAGGACACAGGAGGCCACGACAGGTGCCACGTGACACCTTGAGGCTCTGTCCCACTCTCGGCCTCGCTCCCCAGTCTCCGGTGAGCACACATGCGTGAGGAAGGCAGGAGAGGGCTCCCGGGAGGAGGCTGGGGACACTCACCCAGCTCATTCATGGCCCGGCGGTATTCCTCGTCAAAGGACAACTTCATCACGGCGCAGGTGGCCTGGCAGATCTGAGGCTCGATGGGGACAGGGGCTGTGGAGTGGGAGCCAGGTCAGAATCTCTGTCCCAGGGAAATATGCCAGGGTGACCCCAGAAGGTCACATCCCTGCCACGTCCGCCATGCTGGCCTGCAAGGATCCCATGAGCTACACAAGCCCTGGAGTTCCCGACCCTGGCAAAGCACTCTGGCTCCCTCTCAGCATGGCTCCGCTCTGCAACAAAGAGGCTGCACGCTCAAGAGGCCTGTGGGCAACGCCTCTCAGCCTTTGGCCTGTATGAGCTCTGCAGGCCGGGCGGGGTAGCACTCGCCTATCATCCCAGCACTCAGGAGGCTGATGCAGGAGGATCATCACCACTCTGAGGCCAGCATAGGCTACATAATAAGTTCAAGGCCAGCCTGAACCACATAGAAAGACTGTGTTTAAAAAAAAACAAAACAATACAAAAATATTTTCTGGGCTTTCAGGTGCAAACACAGGTGGTGGCTCTGGAGTTTTTATCACACTGGTATCTGGAATCCCCAAGGCTGCAGAGCAAGGGGTCCACGGGCAGCGCTAGTCGGGTTCTGACTGAAATGCTGCGCAGTCGCGGTGACCCAAACCCGGGTGACGGCGTCCACTGAGCCCACACTCACCGCCGCCCGCCTCGGGCCCGCCGTCGCGCACCTGCAGCCAGTCCCAGCAGGTCTCGCAGTAGGCGCGGATCTGCTCCAGCACGTGCAGCACGCGCATCTCCTTGCGTGCCAGGCCCTGATCGGGCTGTGAGAAGACGATGTTGTGCAGCGCGGCATTGGCCCGCATGCGCGCGTCCTTGGCCCCGGGGGCTCCCGGGTTCCCTGCACGACCCCCCGCCCCCGCCTCGGCTCCGTGAAGGATCTGTAAGAGCAGGGGTAGGCAGCCGGAGCGGCGCATGGCCACGCAGCTCTCCGGAGAGCTGGACATGGCCAGCAGCGTGCGCGCCGTGTCCTCCTGGTCACGCGTTGCCAGCATGGACAGCAGCCAGAAAACCACCTCCACCTGCGGGAAAGCGAGGAAGGGTTGGAGGGGGAATCCCGCCCCCTCACCTCCCTCCACTCCTGCGTGGCTCTGCTCCATGAGCGGGGTGGGACAGGGGAAGGAGTCAGTGGAAGCAGGGGTGCCCAGAGTGGGGGCACACTCCGGGAATCCTAGCATTCAGGTAGGCTGAGGCTGGAGGATCATAAATTTGAGCCCAGCCTGTTAAATGAATAAATAAAAGGTTGGGGGTGTAGCTCAGCGCAAAGGCCTTGGGTTCAATCCCTAGTACAGCCAATCAGTGAACAGGGAGAGTGCCTGTGAACAGGGATGCCAGGCCCCCTGGCCCCAGCCCCACTGCCTCCCCTCACTCACCTTGCTGTTGCCCGGTTGCGGGGTACCATCCTCGGGGTGCGTGGGAACCTCGACCTCAGGCTCCTCCTCCACTGGCACCGACTTCACGGCCAGTAGAGCCTGCGGGGAAAGTGGCAGGCCTGGGGGCTCGGTCTGAGAGCACCCCATCATTTGGATGTCCACTGCTCCCCTCTGACGGAGTGGGTGGGATCTGTGCAACCATTCCCGTACCCTTTGCCGGTCAGAGGCCCCTGCATTGTCTGGAGCCCATCACCACCCACTGGTACCTGGGGCTCAGTCTGCTGCACCCGGTCCTGCGCTTCCAAGAGCTCCTTGTCAATCTGCTCCAGGCGCGAAGCTCGGATCTGCGCGGGAGAAGCTCGCTGGGACTTGGCTGCAGTGCCTGACCACGCCACCGTTTTGACTCCGCCTTCTCCCGGATGTACCACGCCCCTAACTCTGTCTCCACATTCTTCCGGGTGTGTAACCCCGTCCGTGGCTCTAAATCCGCTGCCTTCTTCCTGGTAAGAAGCTGGGCTCTGACTGCACCTCCTGAGCCAGACTGGGCCCTCCCCAGAAATCTCCCCTAGAATGAGACCAGCGAGCCCCGCCCCACGCTAAACTGAAGCTCCGCCCCCAAGGAATCTCCGCTGATTCGCCCACCGGCTGATGGCCCCGCCTCAGCCACGCCCAGCGCCACACCTGCGCGCGCTGCACCATCTCATCCGAGGTGCCAAAGCGCTCCTCCATCAGCGAGCGGATGTGCTGGGCCTCGAATTCCAGCTGCTGCCGGATCAGGTCCATCTGCATGGAGAACTGCTGGGAAGGGCGGGCGGGCCGCGGTGAGGGGCGCCCGGGTCCTCCCCGGTGCCCCCTCCCTTCCCCTGGGCAGGACCAGGCAGCCCTGCGCGCTCACCGTCTCCACGTGCGGCAGTTCGTCCAGGCGCTTGGACAGGCCTTGCAACTGGGAGTAGTACCACAGCTTCTCCTTCTCCTCCTTCTCAATCTCGCTCAACAGGAAGCACCTGGGGGGACAGGCTAGCGGGGCGGCCTGGCGGGGGTGGGGGGGCGGGGAAGTGGGGGGGATTCCCTGCGCGTGCCGCATTGCCTGTCCGGTGCTTACTGGGTGTGCACCAAGATTTAACGCGTGCTGAGGTCTCGCCTTTGGTTCCCCCAACACTGGGGTAGGGGTGAGGGGTGGAATTAACTGGATGGGGCGCAGCAAATTACTTGAAAGAAAGTAATTCTTCTGTCAATTCTGGTCCTTGGAGAAAGGACCAGTGCTTCCTAGTCATCCAGTTTGTAGAGTAGGCTTCAGGCTAGGGGTGCAACAGATTCCCCCCTCCTTTCACTGTTCCTTTTTTCCCCCTCTAGTACTGGGGATTGAACCCAGGACTTCTGGATAAAGCTGTATCACCAGCCATTTTATTTTATTTTAAATTTTGATGAGTCTGACTCAATCCCCAGGTTGTCCAGGTTAGGCTGGAACTCTGGTCTGCCTCAGCCTCCTGCAGCGTTGGGATTACAGGTGTGCCCCATCCGGGTCCTGTTTCCGTTTTACAGAAGTTCCGGGAGGGGTTAGAGGACCTGATGGAGGTCACACAGCAGAACAGAGCCTGAACTCCAGGTTGCTCTGGAATCCTCCCTGACCTCACACAACCCGAGCCGAGCCAGACGCGGACCCTGCCTCTTGCCGCAGGCCAGAAATCTGCTGGCCCAGATTCTGCAATGTGTGTCCCTCTCTTTACAAAGACTGCCTTGAGCTTTTTCGGCGCTAGGCCAGATTCTGAGCCCTGGCATCGGACACAGCCCTGTCCCTAGCGACGCCAGGCTGCCGGGAACCCCCTGGGGACGCCTCCCAGGAGCCTTTGCCCCTGCCAGACGCCCCTCGCCCTTCTCCTTAGCAGAAGTCAGCCTAGGCCGGAGAGGGGTAGAAGGACCCACCGCAGGGGGTGTGGCCTGCCCGGTGGGCGGAGCCACCCGTCAGGGGTCAGGTCATTGGACGGGGACCTCTGGGGCGGAGCTAAGACCGGTCTCCAGGGTCTGTTTCCCACGCCCTCTCACCGCTCCCGGTCCAGTTCCTCTAGAAGCCGAATGGTCGCCCGGCTCAGCTCCCCAAAGCTGTCCTTGGAGGGCCCGGAGCCATGGCTTGGGCTTCCCTCGGGAGTCCGGGCAGTAGGCTCGGGGCCCAGGGCAGGTGGCTGGAACTTGAGGTTGTATAAACTAGTGATGTCCATCTGGAGAGCTGGGGGCCGAGAGAGTGGGGGTCAGCGCCCCGGCTTGTCCTCCAGCCCCCAGCCACCTGGGAAGCGGCCTCTCACCTTTCAGTTGCTCCAGCACCTCCGTCTGCCCCGAGGACACCAGCACGCGGGCCTCCTGCTCCAGCTTGCCCTGCAGGTGCTTCAGGACCTCCTGAGGGCCGGGAAGGACACAGAGCCATGGCCATTGCCTCCTCCCCGGGTCACCCCCCTGGGACGCCTTCCTGCCCTCCGCTGGGGTCCAGGGTCCCCTGTCCCCTGTTAATCACCCCACTTGTCCTCTATCACCGGCGCCACCCCCACCTTCATCCCGGAGGTCTCATTCTCCAGTTTGGACAGGTGGCTCGAGTTGTCCTGGAGCTCCTGCCTCAGGTGACTGTTCTCAGCCTTCAAGGCCTCCACCTGCCTCACCAGCTGCTCGTAGGAGGCCACCGAGCTCGTCATCTTCAGCTCCTGCAGCGCCTGGGGTCACAGGGGTAGAGCGTTCAGCCCAAGGCCTGGGAGGGTGCAGCTGGCAGCCAGGATCTCAGCTACGTGCCAGGCAGCAGCGCACAGCATCACGGCCATCCCTGGGCATTGCCCAGGGAATCCGAGAGGCAGACACGCATGGTGACAATTCAAGAGAAAGGCACAGGACCATCAGACCAGCGTTCAGATACAGAATCCCTGGCTGCGTGGTCGGTGTCTAGGAGGCCTGTCTCACCGCTGGCCTTCCGGTCACCTGTGTGACATCTAGGCGGACAGACAGATCTGAGACCCTTCCAGCCTAAATCAAGGCTAGACTGGTAGGCTGGGCCACCAGGCTCACAGCCACAGCCACAGCCACACACACAGAGGGCCACAGACAGACAAAGGCCTCCCCCAGAGGCTGATGGCCGGGAGAGGCCAGGTGGACAGATGACCAGCTAGCTTATGTGAAGATAAACACCGTGAAAATGGCCTCACAAAGCCATGGGCAGATACCACGGAGCCCCCTGTAATCTGGCAGTGCAAGACAGACCCGAGCCCACCGTGATCACCCCAAGGGGTGCACCTGGGTTCCTGCAGCCCCATGACCTGCTTCATCAGTGGTGGACACAGCAGCCTCCAGTCAGGCCTCGGCTTGTCACCCCCATCCTGGTGTCCCCGCCCCCAGCTCCCCGGTCCCTGCCAGCCCCAGCTGTGTTTTCTCACTAGGGTCCAGGCTCCTCTCTGCGTCCAGCTGGTGGACACCTCCTCTTCCCTCAGCTTGGCCCGCCGTCCAGTGTCGTGTCCCCCCACTGTTAGCCCCTTCCCTCTTTGTTCGCATCTGCACTCACCCCTCCCTCCGCCTTTGTCTGAGGCGCACCAATGGCAGCCAGCCCTTCCTCTGCCACCACTCTGGGAGCCCCCTCCCCAAATCAGCCCTGCCCCCCAGCCACGCTCTTCCGCTCCTGCTCCCTCTTACCCCAGATGCCCACCTCCCACCTCCCACCCTGCTGGCCCATCGCATTGGGGACTGGAGTGGGGGGCTCAGGCCGCCCCGACCTGCTCACCCTCTGCATTTTTTACGTCATGGCCCCATGTCCAGTGGACATCATTAGGCCGTTTCCGAGAGGAGAAACAGCCCTGGAAGGGAGCAGGCTCACACAGTGATGGATTAGGCATGACTGCAACCCAGACTGTCCCCGGAGGCACCCGGTGGGGCCACACAGCCTCAGGAGTGGGGCAAGAACCTCCTACTCCAGCCAGGGATGTAGCTCAGAGGCACAGCCCGAGCTGGCAAGCAGGAGGTGGTGAGTTCCATTCCTGGTACCAGGAAAAAAAGAACCTCTGGCTCTCCACATTGGTGGCCAGGCTGCCGGGTACACTGGCCAGGCAGGGGAGGCTGGCAGCCTGGCAGCCACGGCCTTCACCTCAATGCTAATCAAGCTGAGACTCAGCTGGGGTCACAGCTGTGGATCAGACCTGGAGTACGGGATCACACTGAGATTCACTTCCCTCAGGCATCCTGGCCAGGGTGGTGACCTCATGTTGGATGGTCACTCCTGTGTCCCCATTAAAGTGAGCCTGGCACCAAGGTTTCTCCTCGCTCCAGCCTGGCATCCCCATCTTGACATGGCCACCAGCTTCTGCTCCCACCCCAGGACCCCATCTTACCAGGTACTCTTGCCAGCCACTTTCTGGTCCCCTCACAAAGTCTACTCTCCTTGCACAGCCAGAAGGAGCCTTGAAAGCCACAAATCAGACCCTGGTGAGCTCAAACACCTCCCATGGCTCCTTAGTGCCCAAGGATAAGACCTGAGCCTCCAAACACAAGGACTGGCCAGGAAACTGGCCCCTGTCTTCCTCCAGGCCTCCCCATTTCCAGATTCCTCAGCCTACAATGCTTGTCCTGCCTTCCACCATCCCGCACCCTGTGACCTCCTCCAGGAAGCCCTCCTGTCTGTCCCTCAGCCCCAGCAGGCCTCTTGAGAGGTCACCAAAGGAAAAGTACCAATAACTTGAGGCAGGTAGGACTGAATTGGAGGTGCCGCCACCTTCACAGCTGTGGAAAGCCAGGCCCAAGGGGGGCTGTGTCCTTCCTCTAACCCAAACCCCCAGTAAAAGTGGTGCCCCAGGAGTCAGCAGGGCTCCCAAGACCCACAGTCTCTGCACCGAGCCGCCTGCCCGCCTGCCCGCCTGCCCGCCCTTCACCTCCTGGCTTCTGAGAGCTGCGGCAATGAAACTGGAGAGTGGGTGTGTGCGGGGCTAGCAGCAGTGACATACACCCACCTTTTTTCTGGGTTCAGTTTCCTTTCCAGCTCCCAGTCTGGGGTAACAGAGTCCACGCTGACAGATGAGGCAGAAAAAAAGGAGGGAGGCCCCGATGCTGCCCTTCACCCCGGGAACGCGCATCCACTTAATTTCAGCTGGGCTGACCGGGACAGGGTGGGGCACAGTGGGGTGGGGGACTGGGGCCTCCTCCCTCCAAGCAGCTTTGCGGATCCCGCCCGAAATCCCAGCCCTGGGTGGCCGCAGGTGCGGCCTCCAGGGCTTCGGGGTTTCGGTGGCGTGGGTGAGGGGCTCCGGTGTGGACAAAGCCCGATCCGGGCCTGGCCAGCCGGCACCGCCTCTCCTGGCACTGGGCGAGACCACCGAGAACGGGGGAGGATGCAGGATTCGGGATGCAGGCGCGGCGGCCAATGGCTGCGCAGGAAGATGGGCTGGTACCATGGCAACAGCCAATTGCGGTCCGGGGCGGGGACCAGCGGTAGCAGTGGGGCATCAGGCCTCAGCTCTAGCCTGGGGGACTTAGGGTGCCAGAGAAGGATGTGTGTGTGGGGGGGGGATAGGGTAGATGACGCCTTCCTAAGAAAAGGGGAATGCCCCGAGGGTCACGACCCCTTATCCTCCATCCCACTGCAGGGTAAAATGGCCTCTGAAACCTCCTGCAACTGGATTCGCACAATTCCAGTGAAACGCTACGTCTTGGATATTACATCAGAAGCCTTGCAGGAGTGGGGTGGGGGCAGAGACGGGTAGTAGCCCGGCCAAGTCTGCCCCTCCCCGTCCGGCCCAGCTTGAGCTGAGGGGTGTGCTGAGTGGCTGGGCCAGCACGCTGGGGGACCTCTGGGTGCCCCTCCTTTCTCCCGTCTGCTCACATCCTCACGTCTGACGCCGTCCGTCCCTCCTTGCGCCTCTCACTTCCTGTCTCTCAGTCTAGCTCCTTCTGCCTGCCCCTCCCCCACACTCTATCCACGGGGGGGGGGGGAAGGGTCCCAGACGGGTCTCCCCAGCTGTCCCTGGTCCCCAATGGGTCCTCAGAGAGCACTTGAGGGTTTAACTCCTGCAGCCCAGTTCCCCCCTGCTGCTGACACATGTCACAGCCTGGAACAGGAGGTCCCTGCGGGATGACACTGCCTGTGGCTTAACAGCAGGCGGTCAGAGAGAATCACTGACCACTGTCCTCTCCCCCTCACTTTCCCATCTGTAAAATGGGGATTGGGAAGCTCTGTGGAGCCCAGAGTGGGACCTATGCTCTTTCCTGTGGGGCTTGGAGCCCCCCACCAGTATCTATGCCAGCAATGAAAGGGCCTAAGGGGACCTAGGCCTCACCATCTGGGAGACCAGGGACCAGAGAGGCAAGGGCTTGGGGCCAAGATCAGAGAGAGCTCAGGAGGCAGAGTCTGTGGACCCTCAGGGTGGAGAAGTAGAGGGCACGGCAGGGCAGGCCACCAAGCAGGATGGAGGCTGGGCATGGTGTTGCACGCCCGGAATCCCAGCACTCTGGGAGGCTGAGGCAGAAGGATCATAACTTGGCGATTTAGCAAGACCCTGTCTCAACATACAAAACGGATGTGGCTGGAGCTAAGTGTGAAAACCTTTGGTTCAAGCCCTACAGCACGGTGGGTGGGGAGGTAGGCGAAAGAGGGCCCCCCTGGGGAGGCAGGGATGTGGAACCCCATCTCTGTGTGTGACCTTGGCCTTGCCTTAGTTTCCAGTTTCGTTGCATCCGCCCCTACCTCCCTCTCGTGGACTAAGTCCCGTTTCCTGTGTTTCCTGTGCTCTCTCAAGTGTCACTGCTCCCTGGGGCTCTCTCCCGCAGGGGAGTTTGAGGGCACAGTGTCCAATGGCCAATTCCACCCCGGTGCACAAGGGGAAACTGAGTCAGGACAAGGAAGAATATTTCTGGTATGTTTGGGTCCCTGGGGCTCCCTCTCCTTCCTCCGTGTGTTCCTGGAGGGCTGACGGTCCTAAAGCTGAGGGACCCTAAGGCAGGGTGCCCTTGGCCCTGCCTAGAACACCCGTGACATCACCCAATTCTTGGCATTGGATTCCAAGCCACAGTCAAGCTTGGGCATCACTGGACACTTCAGAAATTCGAGCACAGGAGAGGGAGTCCAGGCCCAGCTTCCAGGACCCAGCACGGCCCTTCCAGGACCCCTCCCTCTGCGCCCGCCTGCCCCCTGGATCCACCTCTGAGCTCCAGGGCTGGGGGTAACATGGGCTGTGCCCCCACTCCCCGACTGAGTCTGGGGCAGAGCAAGGCTCACAGACACCAGGTCAGGAAGCAAACGCAGGGATGCCGAGGGCTGGGTGACAGGGCAGAGCCCTGAGGGCGCGGAGGGGCCACCACTGCAGGGCACCACAGTGGCGGACCTCAGTTTCCCCAGCAGGGAGCAAGCAGCGCGGCCCGTCAGCACCATGGACAGCTCCCAGGTCCCCCGCCGCCGTGCTACCCATAGCTGCCCCTCCCCGCGCCCGAGCTCTGGGCTTGCACCAGGCCTGGTGACCTTGGGCTCTCGCTGCATCTCCAGCCTCAGTTTCCCTTTAATAGGGGTGTTATACTCTTGGACTCAGAAGGGGTCAGGCGAAGTGCTAGGGCTGGGTGGGGTCCACATAACAGGAATGTGTGCTTTGGGGAAGGGTGAAGCTGGCCCTAGGCAGGTGCCCAGATGGGGAAACTGAGGACGCCAGCGCTGCAGGGCGTAGCCCCACACCCCCACCCCGTGCAGGGCGGAACCTCCGCATCGCGCACCCCGCCGCAGTCTTCGTGCGCCTCGCTGCCCTCGCGTCGCGTCCCCACCGTAGGAAGCGCCTCCAGGGTCTCACGCCCCGGCAGAGGGCTGGGCCGGCCTAGTGCGCTTGCGCAGACCCGAGGGGTGGGGGTCGCAGCGACGCGGAGGAGGGGCTCTCAGCCCAACCCCGCCGACACCCCGCGGCGTTTTCCGTGGCAACCGTCTCCAAGGCTACCGAGCAAGACCCCCGACACTTGCAGTTTCAGTGCCCTGGGCTGTGCACCGCCTCCCCCCCCACCGCCGGGGCCACCATTCCCATGGCCTGGACCCCGACCCTGTCTGCCGCTCTTGGGGCCAGACCTTAATCCCCCCACACCAGGACACTCCCTACCTGGTCCCCGAAGAAGGCCGAGTGCAGCAGGCTCAGAAGCCCCAGGAGCCCCATGGAGCCGCGGCCGCCTTGGACAGCGCGCGCCCCGCCCCTCGGCTGTGGAGTGGGGGTGGGGGCCGCGGCCGGGGCACCCTGCGCATGCGCGGAGGCTGGGCGGGGAGGGGTCACTGAGAGGGGTCGGGGCGGGGCTCCCCTCGGAAAGGGGCGAAGGAATGGCCTGGGGGAAGTGGTGGGGTGTGGCATGAAGTCCAGAGAAAGCAAGAGCATTGGAGGCCATGAGTGCCGCAGCAAGGTGCAGGATTCCCAGAGGGCTGAGGGACGCAGGGTCAGCAAGGGGCGTGGAACAGGAGGCAGGGGTCTGGCAGCTCGGAAGGGCCCGAACGAGGCGCAGCCCTGGCGTGGTCTGCAGCACTCGCGGTCACCCATCCGGGCAGGAGCTTGGGTGTCTCCCGAATCCACAGGTGCACTGATTCATTAAGTCACTAAGAAAACATTTGGGGCGCACCCGCCTGTTTGCCATGCTCCAATGGCGGTGACACCGCTCGTAGGTTGTCACTTAGCACCTACCTGCTTAGCATGTACTAAGCACCTACTGAGTGCCCATACGAAGCGCGGTAAACTGGACAGCATGGGGGCCACTGAGAAGCCGAGCAGTAAAGGCCGGGTGGGGCAGTGGCGCCTGAGTGGACCTGTTGGTGTCTGGGGCGGAGCGACCAGGAAGGAGCCTGCACAGATCGCTAGGGCCCTGGGCTCTTTTTGGGTGGCCTCGAGATTGAACACAGGGCCTTCCTAACTTGCCCAGAACGGGGTGGAACTTGTGACCCTCCAGCCTCAGGATCCCAGAGCCGGGAATGGGGGAGTGCGGCAGCAGTGGGCGTGGCTTAACGCTCCACCAATGACGTATGCCGCAGCTCCACTGGAGGTCGACGGACGGGGCACAGCAGCGCCCTCTGCGGGGCTCGGGGAGAACAGGCCGTGGGAGCCAGATCAGGTAGAAAATGGAAAGGGGGCTTCAAGAAAGCAGAGAACTAGAAAGGATTGTGGGGACAGGGGCTGCACCAGAAGTGAGGGGCCGGGCCCAGGTAAAGGGTTCCAGGTCCCTGCGGGGCAGTGGGAGGTGGGGAGGGACCCTGGGACTGGGCACTCTGGACCAGCTGAGAGGACAAAGGATGAAAAATGTCCTTTCCAGCCCTTCTGCCTACCAAGATTCCCAGCCACCTATGAAGCTTGTTCATCCAAGTTAGTATTGAGCATGGCCTTTTGGTTTTGTGTCAGGAATCAAACTTAAGACCCTGAGCTTGGCAGGCAGGCGCTGTACCTCTGGGCTGCACTCTGGCCTGGTGATGGATCACTAGGAACAGCAGGGAATTTCTATCCTGTGCTGTCTCACACTGCAGGACCCAGACCAGGTGACAGCAAGGGACAGCCCGGGCCCAAGCCTGGGGAGGGCCGCGGACCTGAGGGAATGTCCACTAGGGTTCTGGGTGTCCAGAGGGGCAGCCTCAGGGGGGACTAGAGGCCTGGGCCTGTAGCCAGGAGGGGCCCCGCTCCTGGAATGGGGCTCCATGAAGCCGGACACAGTGCTCTGTACTGGGTGTGGATTCTCTTCCCTGGCTGTGAATGACTCCTTGTTATCAAACGCCACGGGGACAAGCAGTGAAGGCCTGAAAGGCTGTTTGTTACCCAGGAGCAGCTGGGGACACCCCCCCTCCCCCCGCACATTTGCAGTGCTTTGTGGGCAAGGCAGTGTCAGTCTGTCCATCGGATGTGGCCCAAAGAAGTGTGTGCTGTTTTGCTGCTCCCCAGGAGGGACCCTGGTCCACGTGGCCACCTGCTTTGGTTGGCTGTGTGAATGCTGCTCAGGTGGACACAGGACAGCCAGGACAATGGGAACACTGGGGAAACTGTTCCTGCTCTTCCACTGAGGCCCCAGCTCGGGCACCCCTGGCCAGGTCTAGAGACAGATGAGCGTGTCTGGGAGCTTTGCCTAAGCCTGCCCCCAACAACCCTCTCTGGGCAAGGTGACTCAAGGTCCCGGGCTCCCCAGAGCCAGCAGAGGGCCCAGCTACTCACCCTCCCGACTCACCTGCACCCAGGATAGGGCTGTGGGTGGTGAGAACAGTGTGGGGTCCACAGGGCAGCCAAGGCCTGTGATGAGGACACTGGCAGCCTGCAAGCTGCCCGAGCTCACGACCCAGTGTCCAACATGAGTTCCACGCAAGGTCCCTGCACCAGGCCCCTCTTGTCTGGGACCCACAGAAGGACAGGCCGCACACAGCAGGACTAGGGACAGAGGAGGCTTTATTGGCCAGGCGGCTACTTCAGGGGGATGAAGCGTGAGGAGTGGGTGGCCCCGATGCCAGGCCGGCCGTGCTTCACCGGCTTGTAGGTGATGGAGAACTCGCCCAGGTAGTGGCCGATCATCTCGGGCTGCAGAGATAACAGTAGGCTGGGTGAGGGGCTGTCCCCGACTGACCCTCCCACACGCGCCCTGACCACTTCCCTGACCACACGCACCTTGATCTCCACCTGGTTGAAGGTCTTGCCGTTGTAGACGCCCACCATGCTGCCCACCATCTCGGGCAGGATGATCATGTCGCGCAAGTGCGTCTTAACCACCTCGGGCTTCTCCATGGGCGGCGCCTCCTTCTTGGCCTTGCGCAGGCGCTTGAGCAGCGAGTGCTGCTTGCGCCGCAGTCCGCGGTTCAGCCGCCGCCGCTGCCGAGCACTGTAGAGCTGCATCAGCTGCTCGCTGCGGGGAGTTGGGGGACAGTGTGGGTGCCGAGGCCCCCAGCTCCCGGGGACACAGCCGAAGCCATACTGGACTGGCCACTGCCCCCTATAGGGCGCGACACAGGGACACACCAGCAGCACAGGGACAGCCAGGCTGGCCACTCAGGAACCTCCAGGAGGCCGTTCAGAGAGCACCAACCCCAGACTTGGGATCCTAAAGTCTCTCCAAGGCGGAAGCCTGCAAGTGGCTACCTCAGGCCAACGCTTCCAGAGGATTCAGGAAGTCAGGTTTGGGGACACCAGCACTCAGGAGGCTGAGGCAGGAGGATCGAAGCCTACACTACATGGTGAGTTTAAGGCCAGCCTCCAGGAGCTAGAGCCACACAACCACCTGTACTCACACGGGCCACCTCCTTTCCTGTTTTCATGGACACATCTGGGCTACTCACGCTCTCTGCACTCCCAAAAGGACAAAAGAGTCCCAAAATAAACAGGCGTCCACGTGAAACAAAAGCTCCGGGTCCCTAACGATTTCACCAGCACTAACCCTCACCCAACTCCCTTTTTTGCGGAGGCCACGACTACTTTTGCCCTTTAGTAAAAAGCCACACAAAATGCAAGTTACTTGCAGTGGGGTGCTTTACAGAAAATGCGAGCCAGGGACCAGGGATGTAATTCAGTGGCACGGAGCCTGCCTGGCAAACGCCAAGTCCCGTGTTCAGATTCCCCATTCAAAAAAACAAAAAAAAGCTGGGCATTGTGGTGCACGCCTGTCATCCCAGCACTCGGATCGTTGCAAGTTCGAGACCAGGCTGGGCTACAAAGTGAGCTCAAAGCCAGATCGAACTACATAGTAAGCAAGGAAGATCTCCAGTTTGAGCCCAGAGAGCATACTAAGACAGACGATCTCTAGTGGAGGGAGTGGGGACTCTGAAAAGGGGTAGGGGTGTAACTCAGTGCAAAGGGCCTGGGTTCAATTCCTGCCACTGCAAATAAACAAACCAGCCAGCCTGGCCCCACGGTGCTGCGCGGCCTGCCTCCTCCGGGGACCCCACTTCCTCCGCCGCCATCAGACCCCGCGCTCATCCCAGCCCAGACAGCGCCCACTTCTCGCACCGGGCCCCTTACTAGGACATGTCCAGTAGCTGGTCAAGGTCCACGCCGCGGTAGGTAAACTTGCGGAAGGTTCGCTTCTTCTTCTGCTCCACTTCCGCCTGCACAAGCGCGGGTCGGTGGTGAGTGGGAGCTGCAGACCCATCACGGGTAGCCCCACGGAAGCCCGTAGACACACTAACCCCAGGCCGCCCCGCGCAAGGACACGCGACTCCGGCTACGGGGATGCGGCTGGGACAGTTGGGTCCAGCAGGCCTTTCCCGTCCCCGGTGATCCCGAGAACCACCAGGCCCGCCCCATGGGCCCCATCTGCGGCCTCGGAGGTTTGAAGCGGACCGCTACGATTACAGGTCCCAGCGCCGGGCCACACAGAACGGCTGAAGCCCGGATGGAGCCGGATAGGCCTCCCTGAGAACCCCAGAAGCTCAGCACTCACCATCTTGCCAGGTCTTCGGAAAGGACCGCCCCTTCGCGCCTGCGCAGTTATCACGAGGCAGCCAAGGAGCACGGCCTCAACGAGGCGTGCACTTCCGCCTTCCTCTAGAAGACGCGCGCCCCCTGCTGCCCGGAGGGCAAAGCCCAGGCAGCGGGCCTCCAAACGGTCCGGCTGATCCTCGCGAAAACTGTCTTTGTCCCTGCTGCGTTGGAGCGTCAGGTGCACGCTCTGTAATCTACGCGATAGCACAGATCGAACGCTAGGGAGCACATAGCGTTCGTGAAAGGTGTGGTTCGAGGGTTTCGCACGCACTGAGAGGGGGATACTGAGATTCCGGGCCCGTGCCGCAAACTGTTAAATAAACTTAGAAACTGAGATAAGAGGTTGCTGGATTCAGAAGTCATCTATATCAACAGAATTAACCCGGTGCGCGGCGCTAGGGCCGGCTGCCGGGAGGCGAGGGAAAAGGATTGCTTGAGTCTGAGAGACTAACGGTGAGAACTGTATCCAGAAAAAAAATAATGATTTTGTCTTTGTGAGAGAGGGTCTCACCATGCAGTTCAGGCTGGCCTTGAACTCACAGAGATCCTCCTGCTTGAGCCTCCCATGCAGCACCCCACCCAGCTCGAAAGAGAGATTTGAATAGGTCTTTGTACACCCAAGTTCACAAGCGCCCCAAGCGGAAGCAAGCCAGCTGTCCATCAGTGGTTGGGCCCGCCCCCCACACACACCGGGACACCCCTTGGCCACCAGAGGGAGCCAGGCTGTGACACTCGCTTTAGTGGGAAGGGACCCTGAGGACCCCATACTCCATGAAGGAGGCAAATGGCACACAGCTTGGACTCCACGGGCAGGAAACGCTCAAGACAGGCGACGCCAGACAAGTGGACTCATGGGTGCGGGGATGGGAGTTTAGCGTTCCTTGGGGACAGACTTCGCATTTGGAGAACGGAAAAGCGCAGGTGGTGGTCGACATCCACGGCACGTGGGGCAGTTCTGATGGGTGACCTGAGGGTGGCGCACTTGGCTAGGGTGCTCAGGATTCTAAGGTCCACCACTGCCTGCAGAATGGAACTGAAGATGATCCCTCTGGCCCAATGGTGGCACTGTCAGTGGTCACGGAAGCAGAGGTCAGCAGCCCCACGGGGGGCTGTTCTGATTCAGGGTGCCTTAGTTTCCCCATTAGCCTGGGGAGAGGACCCCAGGAAAGCAGGCAGGATGTGGAACAGGGAGGCCCGAGTGGACGAGAGGCCTGGAGAGCACTCAGCATGAGCGGACAGTGCTGGTTCCTCCAGGGGCCTGGACCATCCTACAAGTGACTGCTGCTTCTGCAGTCACCATGGAGTGCAGGAGTTGCTGGCTGCATAACCCCAGCTCTCCTAAGTAGGGGGGCGAGGGAACAAAGGCACTGTTGGGCCAGCTTGGAGCGTGGGCTGTACCTCGGGTGTGGGTGACAACCCCAGTCATCCTACCCCAAGGCCCCAAGCCTTCCTGGCCCCCGTGTCCAGGGGCCGGCAGGTGCAGGCTGCTTACGCGCTGTCTGCCCTTGTGCAAGGCCACAGTCTTAAAGGCTGCTTTACTGTCCCATGCACCCAAGATCACAGGTGTCCACCATCCTGGCACTGCGTGACGTGAACCCAAGGCTGTGGACTGGGCTACGCCCCCAGCCCTTTTCTAAGTGACATGAGGTCTTAAGATGTAGCCCAGGCTGGCCTCAAACTTGCAGTGATCCTCCTGCCTCAGCCTCCTCGGTGCTCAGATGACAGTGTGTGCAACACCATGGTGGACTTTGGTTCTTGCTAAGGTGCCATGCCTAACCCAGCGAGCTTTTTTCTTTGCTGTGAACTCCAGGTTCGCCAGGTATGCTGTCGCACACTCATAATCCCAGCCAGCACTGAGGAGGCTGAGGCAGGAGGATCACTGTGATTTGCACTCCTCGTCTCAACAACCAAACCCAAAATCCTCCAGGCCAGCCCTGAGCGCCCCTTGCTTCCACCTAAGAGATGGCATTCAGGGTGTGCAACCAAGTCCGGCTGAGTCTTTCCCCTCTGGTGCTTTCAGAGTCTCACTGTGCAGCCCAGGCTGGCCTCAACTCAGTGGTCTTCCTGCCTCCGCCCCCAAGGTGCTAGGATTACGGGTTTGAGCACCGCACCCGGTCTTCCTTCCACAGCACAAGGCTCTGAAGACACCCTCCTGTCTGAACGCAAGGACACCATGCTAAATTAGGACACGGGCCTGAGAAGGGTGATGGTCCAAGAGCTAAGGGGCCCTCGAGGGCTTAGGCCAACCTCAAGTGCACCCCAAAGACAACTGGGGTGGAACTCAGCTGTCCCATGGTTCATTCCTGCAGAACTCCTGGTCCCCAGGCTGGGCGCCTCTGGCGTCCACGTCCTGCCCAGCATGTCACAGGATCACGAGAGAAAGAAGGACACCACGTGGGTCTCTAATCCAAACGCACTTGTCTTTATTCAAACCAGGGTCAAACTGGTCAATGGGAAGTGCCCCAACCACGTGCCTGAGGGAGGTGGCCTTCCAGCAAGGCCTCGCCCACTGCGCGGGGTCCATGCCACCTCAGCGTCAGCGCTGCTGCAGTGTGGGCCAGGTGGCCGGCAGGTGTCACCTGCCTCACAGATGCCACCAGGCAGCCGGCTGGCAAAAGCAAGGAGTAAACAAAAAACAAAAGCACTCAGTAGATTTCTTCTTCAGCTCCCAGAGTTTCTGGACCAACAAGTCCCAACCCCAAGCCAGGGGTGAGGGGATAAAAACGCCCCACCCCCACCAGTGCCAACCAAACCCCATTTTAAATTAAAAAATAAGCCAATATACATCGTAGAAAATTTCTCTTAAAAATCTCACAATTTGTAAAGGTATATTTTTTAACATAAAAGTTTACAATATACGGTAAAACAAAAGGCTCAGGAAAATAAATCTCAAAATCAAGGAAGGAAAAGAAAACCTGCAGTCTTGAATTAAAGCTGAAGACATTTTTAAACCCTGTTGTTGAACCAGTGACTTCTCTTTTATTGTGCTGATGGGTCAGAGAAAGAAACGCCCTAAAAACTGCGGCCCGGACACCCACAGCCGCCTTGCCTTGGCCTCCCCCCAGCTGAGTCGCGATTTCCCGACAGGTCTGATTGTCACAGTCCAGGTCCCGATGCTGCGCTCCGGCGCTGCACGGTGGGCGTCCTGGCGGTCCTAGCGTCGGTAGGGGTGGAAGCCTTGCACGTTGTGGTTCTGACCTCGTCCGAAGCCGCTGCCACCGGCGGGGGGACCCCCCGAGCCGGGAACGGAGGGGCCCCCGTAAGAGGGGGGCTGCTGGCTGGGGTCAGAGAAGCCCTGTCCAAAGCCACTCAAGTCCTGCCCGTAACCTGCTGGGGAGAGTGCGCATGAGTGCTGGGCCTTGGCAGCCTGCGCAGAGCCTGAGACCCTGGGGCGGGGGCTGCGGGGGACCCAGCCTGGTTGGTGCCACCACTGACACGAACCCTCTCGGGAGCACCCACATAGGGGAAGGGGGCTCCCCATGCTGAGTGGCCCAGGGCAGCTAGAAGGATGGGCCTAGGGGTGGGCTGGGGGCTAACAGGGCATGGAGGGCCTGCTGACCACGCAGTGCCACAGTTATGACACCGACCACACAGGCCCTCCGTCCCCGAACAGGACCCAGACACCCACGCTGACAGCCTCAGGCTGGGGACACTGCCAGGAAAGAGGGCAGCACATGGGGTGCTCAGGCCCTGTCCACCAGTCCCCTGGCAGAAACGGGCCCCTAGCCTGTGCCCTGGCCCAGCCCGGAAAATGCCCTGACTGGCAAAGTTAGCAAGGGGCAGGGTGAGCCCAAGGGGACCAGGCAGCCCCAGGAGGCAGAGGCAGACCCTATGGGGCACCCAGGGCTCAGCACAGGCCTTGGTGCTCTAGGAGGTTGAAGCAGGAAAACACACTGTGACACACTGACGGAGACCTTGTCTGAAAATAAAAATAAGCCAGGCGTGGTGGTGCACGCCTGTCATCCCAGGACTCGGGAGGCCGAGGCAGGAAGAGTCCTGTGAGCTGGAGGCCAGCCTGGGCTACAGAGTGAGCTCAAAACCAGGGTGGACTGTGCAGGGAGACCGTCTTGCCTCAAAAGCCCGTAAGTAGATGAATAAACGTTTAGAAGGCAGTAACAAGTAAGAAAGGACAGGGGACTTGTTCAGCTCAGGGCAGAGGCCCTGGGTTTCTCCAGTACCCCAGGGAAAAAGACCAGCTTCGCAAAGAAGGAGTCATGCCCAAGAAGCCGAGAACCAGCATAGCAGCGGCAGCGCCACCCTCTGCCCATGCCATGGGCACAGTCCTTCTGGCAGACGATAGGGGGTCTCTCCCGGGCCCCACCGCGCCCTGTCCCCAGTTCAGGGAGCTGGCGCTGTGCACTGGATGAGGCAGGCCCTGGGGCTGGGACCTGGGCAGGGCCAGAGACAGACAAGAAGAGATGGGGTCCTGACTTGGGCCCCCAGACCCCCCCAAGGCATGTGCAAGCCCCAGTCACATGGTGACGAGCTGCCCCCAGGGCCCCTGACGCCTGTCACCTAGCTAGGGCACGCTGCACCGCCTCCTACAGAGTGCAGCCTGTGCCACCCAGAGCACAACCCATGCCACCGAACACCCGCCAGAGGACAGCGGCGCCCACCCAGGTCCAGCACTCACCATACTGACTGTAGGGGAAGTCCGGCTGGGCGGTGGGGGGCTTGCTCAGGTCGGGGGCAGCCTGCGATGGGGGGGGCGGGAAGGCCAGAGGCGCCGCCCCAGGCGTGGCAGGTGGAGGGGGGACCCCAGGAGGGGCAAACTGATCCGGCGGAGGGGGTGGAGGCCCATAGCCAAAACCTGCAGACACAGGGGGGCAGGGCACGAGCTGCAGGCGCAGCCAGCAGGCCCAGCAGGGCTCCCCAGCCTGTGCCCGAGGTGCCGGCTGCAGTGCTGGGCTGCAGAGGCGGGGGATCTTGGGGCACTGTGTCCTCCTCGAACAGCAGCCCTCCCCGCCCCCAGTGCCACTGCAGCTACGGGAAGGGGGACCCTCAGCACCCCGTGAGATGCATGTATGGGGGGGGCTGGCAGCCTGAGGCCCTACACACAATGGGACACAGTGAGGGAGCCCTATTCCCCGCCAGCGCCAGGCTGCAGGCCTGAGGTGCCCGGTCCTGGCCCCTAGTGTCACTGGTGCTGACTACAGTGTGACCCAGGTGTGTGACACAGGCTTATGACAAAGGGCAGGCCGCATGACACCGGCACTGGCTCCAAGGTGCCCATGGTGACAGAATGGGGGTCTCCTGCTTCTTCACCTTTGAAATGGGCCCCAGAACCCTGGATGCTTGCATGCGGCCTGAGCTCCCATCCCCGCAGGACACTGCGATGCCAAGCAGGGGCACAGCACTGTGGGCGTGGCAGCTGGTTTACCCCGAGCATCCAATGGGCAAAGCACTCAGGAAAGCCAGCCAGGGCCGAGGTCCGCAGCGCCAGCTGCGGCACACACACCTACGATCTTGGGACTCAGGAGGGAGGCCGAGGCAGGAGCACTGGCCTTTTCACTGCTACAGTGAAACCTTACTTCCATCAAAAAGAGCCCAGGTCCCCTGTGCGGTTAAAAAATGAGGCCGGACATCCAGATCTGGTCTTGAGAGGACGTGGCCCAGGGAGCCCAGCCCTGGAGGCTGTGAACACCCGGGGTGTTAAGGGACACAGTAGGAGGCAACAGAAGCCATTCGCTCCGCCCCTATGGGGACATTCAGGTTGAGGACAGGGTGGCATAGGGACACGACAAGGCCATGTAACATCTCGACCTGGTGCGCGGTGTGTGCCCCGGCGTCCCGCAGCAGGCTGGGAGACTTACTGAACTGCGGCGGGGCGCCGTAGCCCTGTGGGAAGCCCTGAGGAGGGGGGAAGCCGCCGGGAGGTGTGGACACGATATAGGAGGCGAAGGGTGGCGGTGGCGGGGGGGCTCCTCTCCCCGCGGGGGGCGGTCCATAGCCACCTAGAACACAAGCAGGGAGAGGGGGTGGCAGGCGTGAGACACCACCAGCAGGGGAGGCGGCCTGTGCGCCCTCCTCCTCAGCACAGGAGGGAGGACGCCACCTCCAGGCCACCATGCACCACTGGCAGGGTCCCGACCGACCGCAGGCAGGGCCAGTGGAGCTTTGAGGACTGCAGCAGCCTCTCCTCCCCTTCTCTACAATCCAGGACTCACCAATTGCCTGTCCTGCTGGCACCCACATTCCTAGATGAAAAAACAGGAGAGAAGGATTGGTACCAGGCCCCCAGGACTGGGCACCAAGGAGTTGCAGCAGAGGTGGCAGCACTGGCCAGAGCCTGTCCTGGAGGGGACTCTGAGCCCTGCAGTGTGCCCTCTGTCCCGCAAGTCTTCGGGACAGCTCACACTTGGCAGACACTGTTCACTCACTGGGGACAAAGACGGCCTAGCTCCTAGGGGACCCCAACACCTCCCAAGCCCTAGGAATTGGGAACACAGGGCCAGGGAGGTAGGTCAGAGGCACAGTGACTGCCTGGCTACTGTATGATGCCGAGTTGGATTCCAGGTACAAAAGAAAAGCCTCGGGCACAGGGACAGGGTTCCCGGCCCCTGGGATGTCCGGGCGCAGAAACTTTTGCCAGGCTGCTGGGGCTGAGCAGCTGGGGACCCCTCCCCAGAACCCACACGCACATGCGTGCACATGTGTGCAGACACACAAGGACTTGTTGTTCAGACTCAAGCCCACCAGGGGCAATCCTGAGAAACCCGAAGGTCAGGCAGACCCCGTCCCCATGGGAGGTGCCCACGTGGCTCGAAGCAGCCCAGCAGGGCACACTCAGTGCAGTGGTGGGCAGCCCGCCTGGCAAAGCAAGCGTGAGCTCCACGCCCGCCAGGCCCTCACAGAGCCTTGGGCACGCCCACCACAGCTGGGCCAGCCGGCCACACTCGGCCTGAGTGCCTAGTCCAGCCCTGCAGTAGTGGAATCACTCAATCCCCAGGCTGCGCCCACCGCCCACCCGCCCACTCCCACTCCCACGGGCCTCACCTTGGGGGCCATAGCCCTGCTGCCACGTGGGTGGGGGCTGGCCTGCCCAGCCATTGGCGGCGCTGGGCACCACGCGGCTCCCCCACTGGCTGGCGCCCGGCTGCCCGGGCGCTTGGCTCTTGCTGTCCCGAGGCTCTGCCCGCTTAACCTCCACCTAGACAAACCGAGCGCAGGGTCAGGGGTGGCCGCGGCCGGCGCCCCCCCTGCAGACAGCCCTCGGTAACTTACGACTACACTTAGCAGCTTATGACTTAAGCCTAAGTACTTAACTATAAACCTTATTTAGGCCAGTACTTTTTTCTTAAAATTTTTTTTTTGCTCTTTAATTTTTTTCTTAAAAAATGTTTCTCAGGTACAACAGATACAAAGCTTAAGATACCCATGTCCCACTGCCGCGGGCGGCAGCGGAGCCAAGGACCCCGGAGGTCTGCGCTGCTCAGGGTCTCCCCACTACGGCAGCAGCGCCCTCCTGCAGCGGCCTCTCGGAGACGAGGGACGCAGGGACCAGCACCTCCCAGCTCAGCCCGCCTGGGCATCTGGAGCCCAAGGCCCTGCCCTTCACCGCATACCTGAGAAACACAGTTGGTTTAGACTTAAATTTATTTAAAATGTCTAATGGAAGATAAAGACTTACCTTCCCCAGGCTAACGCTTAAAGAATCTCAATTAACTCAAAGGAATGTCAGAGGGAATGGATGTGATAAGAGAATCTTACATTACATCTAACAAAAAAGTAAACAAACATGCAATAAAATGGACATTTAAATCAGTAAGCAATCTTCATACTGTGCTGGGGCGACCAGGCCCGCGCTCCCCTGCCAGCCAGCGGGGTTGCCCTGCCTGACCCACTCCCTCCAGGCGCGGGGCCACCTCGCCCTCTGCCTCCCTTCACACTGAGCAGGCTGCTGACAAAGGGACCCTCAGTTCCAGGGCTGCCTTGGCTGGAGGACTGTGCACCTTTCTTGTTTTTAGAATAAATGTTACTGAGGACAAGGAGACGAAGGCTCCACCTGGAGCTGGTCCGGGTCCGCACTGGGCTAAGAGGCACTGGGCATTCAGATTCGCGTAGGTGCTGCCTGTTCCAGAACAAACAGGAAGCCTGGCAGAGGTACAAAGTCCCCCACCTGCCCGACACCCCAAGGACACTGTATGATGGGAACAGAATCCTGTTAGCTCAGGGCAATGTGACAGCAGGACCAAGGGACTGGTTCAAAGGACTCAAATTAATGAGTCTTCACACGCGCTCCTTAGGGGAATCTGGTTCCTGCTTACACAGCAAAGCAGTCCTTGTAATCTCAAAGTAATTCCCTTACCCTTTCCCAGTACACAGGATGCAGCCACCTGGCATGGGAAGGGGGCTTTGTAAGCAGAAGCCCCCACTGAGGGTCCAGGGGTGACCAATGAAGGTCAGCTGGCGGGGGCAGGCTGGACTCCTGAGTTTCTCCCCCCAGGTCCCCTCAGCCAGGTCAGATCTGGCTGGGGGAGCCAGGGGAGGCGCCTGGGGACAGCATGGCTGCATACTACACAGCCCTGTCTGCATCCCACAGCGAAGCCACGCTTCCTCCAAATTTCTAGTGTCTCGGGACCCTGGGATACTGCAGGCAGCATCCTTTGAACTTAGCTCACAGCTGCCTGAGTCTTGCAATCTGCATGCTAATTTCAAGCTAAAGCTTCCAGCAATGTCAAGAAAGGTTTGTTTCCTGCTTGAGTCTTCAAAGGACACTAGGCCACCCACACGCAGGAAGGACCACACTCTTCACTACTAACCTCCAGTGAGGAGACTGCGGGCGCAGACCCTGGGGCAAGGGGTTGCAGTGTGGCTGCTGGAAATTTAAGGAGGACTGCACCGCCCAGGGCGCCAAGGGCGCTTCCAGAGCCAAGAGGCAGTCCTGCTCAGGTGGGGCCCTGAGCCTGGGCAGGGGATCCCTTTAGCTGACCCTCAGGAAGCCTGCCCTCAAGGGCCCCGCACTGTCCCTGCTCGGCTCTGTGGCAGCAACACAGTATGAAGATCAAACAACCAGAGGTCACTTGACTGCACGTGGTTAAGTACTATCGAGAGCATGTGGCTGGTCCCGGAGTTTCACAGTAAGTGACCCAATTCAGAAAACCAATCCTTCATGATGTTTTTCATTTCTCTAAGTTTTAAGAGGAGCCTCGGTGGCAGTGGCAGAGCCTCTACCGTCACATTACAAGGCGCCATTACACAAAGGGACTGGGCGGACATCTGAAGGAGTGGTCGTGGAAACCAAGCCTGAGGCAACACTGCGATCTCACTGGGGTACCCAATCCCGCCCAGGAGTGCCAGCCTTCGGGGTGCATGCCCCCCCCACCCTGCCCTGCGGAACCGGGTCCCACCTGGCTCAGCTGGAGCCGTGCGCACAGGGAGCTGAGCCGTCTGTCTGCTAAGGAAAGTTCCTTTCCAGTGAAATCCCTAAGTTGCCTAAGACTTGGTTTGATCTTAAGGTAAAATAAAACTACAACTACACACTTTTTTGCCCATGATGTCGTGAAAATGCATGTTGACAGCCTGGTCCACTGATTGTTCGTCCTCGAAAGTAATAAATCCAAAACCTAGCCAACGACGAAGAGTGAATCAAGGTAGCAGGGTGTTGTGACACAAAACAGGATGATGAACAGTATTAGGGACGGACCAAGGGATCGAGCCGGGGTTTCAGCTGAGCCTGTGTGCAGATGCTGAGCTCAGCAGGGGTCCTGGCTGGGCACCGTCCACTCAGTGGAGTGGCCAGGCTGTGCAGGCCATCTGCACCCCTACCCGAGCCACCGGGGCCTCTGCCAGGCCTGCAGTGGGCTTGGGAGCTGGGTCAGGGACACGTGTGGGAGCAGCCCGGGGACAGGTGTGTGGTGGGTGCAGCTCGGCTTCTCTGAAACCCCAGCTTCTCCCCCTTGGCTTGCATTTGCTTTGCAGCTAGTGCTGACAGCAGCCATATGTGGTCTAAGCACTAACCAGGTACAGGTCTACCAGTGAGCGCCTCGCTAAGCCTATCCAACGGCGTTGGGTAAGCCCGCGGAGTCCTAACGGAGTAACACACGTATGTCTATATGCGTACACATAATAGTAAATAGATAAACAGGTAAACACAAAGATACAGGCCACAACGGGTTCCAGCAGGTCAAATTCTGCTGTCAGCAGCAAGAGCAAGAGGCACCATGTCATTAAAAAAGAAAATTTTAAAGGAAAAAAAAATTTAGCATTTTCCAAACACAAGAAAGTGGCAGTATAAACGAAGTTTAGTTGGTCTGGGGTGACCGTGGCCACCCAGCTAACGGGGAGTGTCTCATCCTGCATGGGAGGTGGCCCGATGTGCAACAGTCCCTTCTGATGGCCCAGCTTGGGCACAAAGAAGCAGGCAGCGCAGGGCTGCCCAGGACCTTGGAAGAACGGATGATGAGGAAGAGCTGGGAGGAGCCGAGAGCAGGGCTGTCGGGGACGCCTGCGCTGCAGGGGCCACAGGGCACGCCACAAAGCATCACGCAGCAGAGGGCAGCACGATGCAGGCCACTGTGCACAGGACAGAGGCACGAGCTGGTGGCCACGGCCACAGGGAGGGAGCAGGGTTGGAGCAGGCGAGGGACCCCGGGAAGGAGCAACCTGTCCACAGGGCTCGTCAAGCTGATGAAACAGGGTGCTGGGGCTCCAACCAGCAGGGACCAGGTAGAATCTAGGGGCAGGAAAAGGATAGATGTGGGGAAGAGAGGGCGGCTCAGGAGTCTGAGGTGACAAAGATTCCCAGGGAAGGAACCAGGGCTCAAGCCTTCGGATCTGTTTCGTGCATACGCTGTATCTGAGCACGAGTGTGCACACGCACGGAGGTGGCACGGGACAGGAAGGAGGGAGAGTGGCACCGTGAAGGCGGAGCAATGGGAGCAGACAGAGGCCAGGAGGGAGGAGACCCGGGACCAGAGGAGTGAGAGTGAGCAGAGGCGGCAGGCTGGGGCGAGCGCGAGCTGGTCAGGGTGGGCTGCTGCAAGCGTGAGGCCTCACACACGACACGTTCCATGATGGAGACACCGGTGGGGTCCCAGGGACATGAACGCGTCCACTATCTTAGCCAACCAAGATGCAGGAAGAAAAGGGGGAAGGAGACAGGTCCATCTTAAAAGAGCCAGAGAAACCGAGAAGCGAGCTTGCTGTCCGGAAGGACCGTGATCTGCCCTCTGCTACCAGGCACCCTCTCCGGTCCTGAGGCTGAGGTCAGGGCCCACGGATCCGCGTGCCTGCCCTGAAACTCTCTACGGCAGCTCCTGCCACGCCACCACCAGCGTGGGCTCTGCGACCCTAGCTATATCCATCCCAGCCAGACGAGGACAGCTGGGAGAGCAGGCGGACAGCTGTGCCTGGCCACAGCGGGGCCAGGGGCACCCAAGAGCGGCCCTCGGCTTCCGCGCACCGAGGTTCCGCAAGATCGGAGGTGGTATGTGGAACACAACATAGGTGATGGCAGCATGTGAGAAGTTGGCATTTTCTCAACAGCAGGAGTGTCTGAAGCCACGGGTCTGGCTTGGTCCGGGAACAGTGCAAGAGGCGATGGGTCGTGGGGAAGGAGCCCGGGGCGGGCTGCCTAGAACGATCTGTCTGTCAAGAGGCAGCAGCGGGACAGAAACACACTGAAACTTCGTTTACACCCCACTGGAGCAAAGCCGCTCCCTCCTCTGACTGCGGGGCGGGCCTGTACCTGTGTGATATAATTTAGCACCTGGAGAAGAGAAATCTAAAAAGATATCGTTAATCACAAACAATTCAGAGAGAAAAAGCAAAACAGCTTACTTAACATTACTGTATTTTGCTATCAGACACTTAAGTACGTTACTAAGTACGTATGTCTATGTTAAATTAAGACTAAGACTTAACGGCTTAACCACACCAGTGAGAGTGCATTCCTTAACCAGAGCGAGAGGGTGGAGTTCAAATGGCAAACTATTCTCCAGCGTGCTGGCGTGCGCACACTGAGGGCCGAGGGCCGCCTCTGCTGACGGCAGCGGGGCGCACGAGGGCCACGAGGGCCACGGGACTCTGTGCCACCGCACACGGCTGGCTCAAAAGCAGCTGATGGCCCAAAAATGCGGGCAGCAACGAACAGCAGCAGCCACAAAAAAAGGGAAAGGAAGTGGGCCACGTCACTCTGGGTCCAAACCAGTGTGGATGCCCGGGGCGAGAGGCGCGGATGGTGCAGAGCCCAAAGGGGCGCCCCCCACCTTCCCTGTCCTCTGACCTAGAGAAAAACTAAACAAAACAAAGGGCGGGGAATGGGGAAAAACAGAGAGCGCAAAACGCGTGGGATGGAGTGAGGAGAGCCCAGGGTCCCAGCTGAGCCTGGCAGTGCAGCTGAGGGGCGAGCAGGACACCACATGGGCAAGGACGGGGACGGCACCAGGGGACAGAGCGCTCACTCTTCCCAGAGATGTGAAAAGAGGACCATGGAGGAACTCAGGTCTGGGTGTGGGCACTGTACAAGGCCAAAAACCATGTGACACCTGACCCGGAGAAGCAGAAGGCCGAGGGGCGGGCCGGGTGTGGGTGGCTTTTCTCCAATCGGACCTCACTGCGCAATGCCCTGCGGCCACATCCTACCGGGGTCTGGGGCGAGATAGTTTGCCATCTGAGGGGGAGGGGCACAGGTCAGGACAAACAAGATCTGTCGTTACCTCGAGGCCTCTGCTTTTCTGCATCATAGATCATGACCACTTCGGTGACCTGGAAGGAGAGGGTGGAGTGAGGCCCCAGCACTGCACGGGGACCAATGCCAAGGAGCCAGAGCTGAGTGACAATGCTGAGGACAGTGTGAGCCCGGGAGGTCCCAGGGCGATGCTGTCCTTACAGCTCTCCAGCCTGAAAAGAGGCAGGAGCCTGGTGCTCCCTGGGTGAGTGTAGTCATGGGGTCCAGCCTGCTGCCTGACCACAGGTTTGCTAAGGACCCTGCCTGCATGTCCCTGCAGGTGACAGGACCCAGAAGGCCCCAAAGGCACCCCTCTGCTCACACCCCAGAGGAAGGAGGCATGGCCTCTTTTCCCTGGCCCTCCCCACCTGTCTCCACCCAGGACCCCCTCTACCCAGTACACCCAACAGACACACTGAGCCCGAGCTGGCAACACAGCCCTCACAGGCCCGGGGAGACAAGTGTCTCCCTCTGGGACAGCATGTCACCTGCTCGTGTGCTTGCTGGCACCAAGTCCCAGTATGAGCTGAGCCAGGCTTTTCGCTGTCTACGCCACAGGGGCCTGAGCTGCTCTCTACGCCTCTGCCCATGCCAGAGGATCCTACCTTCTCCTGAAAACAGCTCCACGCTCAGCAGGAACCTGGCCAGGGCTGTAATGTGCCCAGAAGGAAACAGGCAGGCAGCACTAGGGGCCTGCTGGACAGGGGCCTCCCCTCCGGTATATGCTACTATACTGCTGGGTAGTATAGCAGCATATACCAGACCAAGCACGGCATCCATAGGGGCAGAGAAGAAAGCAGCCAACCCCTGCACACAGGTGGGTCAGGCTCAAGGACCTGACCCAGGACAGTCCCTCCAGTGACCAAGGGACAGCACAGTTCCAGGGGCACCGCCCACTGGTCCCAAAGCCAGGCCAAACCCTACACCTCGCCAGCATCACTCTGGCACTCACACTGCAAGCAGTTATAAGGCCCAGCTACAGGGCCACCTGCCCAACCCCTGCTTGCCGGCAAAGCCACAGAAACACTAGGGGAAAGCTGGGGTACAGGGTGCAGGGAACCCCAGAGTGCTCCCAGGGCCCAAGGACTTGTGCTGAGGCCCCCACCTCCAGGAGGCTGAGGGTGCAGGTGCTGTGACTGGTCACTGCCGCTGGCATGCAAACTCACCACTCCGAATTTCTTGAAGTACTCCCTGAGCTCGGTCTCTCCACAGTTGTGCGGAATCCCGCCGACAAAGATCTTGTTTGACTTACTGCTGTCGCTCCTGGGTCCTTTCTGCTATGCAAGGGAGAAGAAGGGGTCAGCGGGGAACGGTGCAACTGCAGCGCTTCTCACAGGCTGGGGGACAACTTCCCTGCCTCGGTATGAGTCAGCTAACGGGAAGCCCAACATGTTCCAGGAGCTGCCAGGTCCGAAACACTAGAGGACACTGAGCCGCTGCAGACTCGCCTCTCCGCAGCCTACGGCCGCACACCCACCCCTGCCTCAGCTGCCCTGAACCCCAACCACACACAGTGTCAAAGCCCGTGAACTGGAGACTGATGATGTGCCTGCAGTTCTGGCTACCAGGAAGGCTGAGGCAGGAGAGTCACTCAAGCTCAGCCTGGGCAGCACTGCAAGATCCCACAGTTCTGGCACATGAGGCTAAGGGTTTGAGAAGGGTAAGAAGAAAGCTGGCGTCTCTCACTGGCCTAGAGGAGCAGGTCCCAGAAAGACACTAGGAGCCGGTCACACAGCAGTCCTAAGAAAGTCCAGGCTCTTGGAAGAGGCTGGTGGGACATCTGTCATGCTCCACCTCCCTGATCCAGGTCCCAGCTGTCCCCTCGCTCCCTGCTCCTAACCACTCCTGTGTTTTCTATCCGAGGACCTGTGTCTTACATTATGTGGTCATGGCCACTACTTCGGTGATGGCTTTGCAGGTGCCTGTGTGGGTCAAGAGCCAACAGCTGACAGCTTACATCTGTAACATCTCTCTACTGGCAGGAAACTGAAGGGACTTAGCAAACAGCCAGGCGGTACATGGCCATAAGACAGAAATCCTGAGGAGGATTTTGAGGACCTGAGGGCCAGACATGTGATTCCTTACTGTAAGGAAGGTGAGTCCTGACTTTAACAGGGTACCAGCTAGTTAGGAGCGGCAGCTCTACAGAGATGGGCGTAAACACACAAGACATACTGGCAAAGTGTTAACCACGAACCTAGTGAGTATCTGACTATTTGCTGCATGAGTTGCCCAGTTTTTCTGTACTTGAAGTTTCTTATTTTTTGGTACTGGGGAGTGAACTCATGATCTCACACTTGCCATGCAGGTGCTTATGCCCCTGAGCTAAATTCCCAGCCCTGAAAAGTTTCTTATATGAAGCCAGAAAGCCAGGCGCAGCGGCAGATGCCTGTCATCCCTATTCTGGGAGGCCAAGGCAGGAAGCAGGAAGACTGAAAGTTCAGGCAGACCTGGGCAACGTAAGTGAGATTCTATCTCAAATTAAGCAGTGTTTTGGGGGCCAGGAATGTAGCTCACTGAAAAGGCCATGGGTTCCACCCCCACACAAACTGAACACTCTGCAAAAGCAAAGTGAAACTGCACCCAGGCTGCCCGGCCCGCCCAGAACTCGGTGCAGGGAGGCGGCAGCCCTCACCCATCCTTCCTTCGGCCGCGTCCGCTCCGGCTGCATCCCCCGGGGGGTGCATGGCTTCGGGTCGATCTGTAAAAGGTTCCAAATCAGCCTGGGTAAATGCCAGCTGTTTTCTCTAAAACATGCATCCCCAGCAGCAGCCGTCTGGACAGGACAGCAAGCTGCTCCCCACTGCGCTTTGTACCCCCACCTGGCCCCAGGGTCCATCTAACCCTTCCAGCCAACCCCCCACGGAAAGGGTCTCCAAGCTGACACCCGCGTTCAGCCACAAACTTGTGCTTAAGGGAAGCCAGGGCAGGGGATGCACTTACATTCCGGCCATCCAAGGTGTGTGGTCTGCTGGCCAGCACTGTCCCCACACAGTTCGGGTCTTTAAATTTGACAAACCCGAAGCCACGAGACTGGTTGGTGGTCTTATCCTTCATAATCACACAGTCCACAACTTCTCCATACTGGGAAAAGTAGCTGCGCAGAGTCTCTGCCCGGAGAGGGGAACACAAGCACAGACACACAGACACACAGCATGTTAAGCGCACACTCACTCGCTCTCTCCCAGCTTATCGCCCTCACCTGAAAAGGTCTGCAATGACCCTGTGTCAACGAGCTTAGCAACTACTGTAGATACGAGGAGGGGAGACGGGGGTGCACCCAAGGAGTCCCACAGAGACACACATGCCACTTCTGCGTGGATTAGGGAGGAGCTGGCCACCAGAACCATCCATGCAGGCGGCTCTGTAAACTCTACCTTGTGGGAGACAGGACGGCAGACAGGACGGCAAATAGGACAGCCTTCCTCAGCCACCCACAGCCTGGGACACAGATCTCACTACACACTGCCCTGCTGGGTTTCAGGAGCTCTGCTCTGCACAGGGGACAGCCCTGCCCCAGGCAGATAGCTGCACAGTATACATGACCGCTTCCCCAGCCCACAAGCTGCCAGACATAGCAAGGTATGGTGCTCCACCAGCCCAGGAGGGTCACCGAGAGAAGCCTCAGCCTCTAGCCCTGCCCCACCTACCTTGAGTTGTGCTCCAATCAAGACCGCCCACAAAGAGCTTCCTGCAAGTCACAGAAAACAGTGGGGATCAACTGGGCTGTCCCACAGAGGTGCCAAGTCCCACAGCCCAGAGGCTGCCCTCCCAGCACAGAAGCAATGCAGCAGACACACTGGGCTACAGGCCCTCTGCGGCACACGCAGCTCACAGGGATGGGACAGTGGCCTTGTCCATGCTGTTCACAGAGACAATGACTGGACTGCCAGGAGGATGACCTGGCCCAAGGCCTGCAACAGTGACCAGGGCTGACCACCTCCAACTGGGGCTCCTGCTCTCCTTTCCAGTCACTTGCCAGTGCTCTATGATCAGGAAGTCCAGCTTTGGGATCCTAAACCAAGCACAGGGCCACAGGCCTGCGATGCCAGCTACTCAGGTGGCCAAGACAAGAGGACTGCAAGTGCAAGGCCAGGGCTAGCAGGATGGCTCATTGGTAAAGTGCCTGCCCAGTGTGTAAAACGCCCTGGCTTTCACCCCTAGCACCACAAAGAAAAGAGGGTGACCACCCACAGTAAAACGGGAGACAGACCGCAGGACGCCCTCTCCATAGCTTGGAAAAGTGTAGGAAAGGGAATCCAGCTGCTGGCCCTGGGATCACGATGGCCTAGAGCCCAGCCTCCATGCCCGCATTCCGGCCCTAGGACAGTGCAGCTTTGCTGCCCCTCAGGAGCTGCTCAGACCAGGGCAGATCCAAGTGGTCATGCGCAATGCACTCTAGGCCTCAGTAGGGCCAAGCCCAGCAGAGACTACGTTTACCCTGTGCCGCCTGTGCCATCTACTGGGCAAAACTGAGACACACAACAGGACTTGGGGCTCATTCCCGCCCCCCCAAGGAACCTCCAATGTCATTGAGCCCTGTAGGAGGCAGCGCCGAGAGTGGCTGCATGCAGCTGTGACTTTCCAGTCCTACCTGCTTATCCTAAGGGATGGTCCCTCAGCTGAACACCAAGTCCACTACCATGCTCCCAAATGGACTGCCAGAGATTAGAGACACATCTGTCACACAGGAAGCCGTGGCCTGGCAGGAAACCCTAACTTCACCAGCAGCCACCGCACCACACTGGGGCCCCCGAGACAAAGGTCTGTCCCCTCCTAGTGCTCAGCACGAGGGAGCGGCCAGCCAGAACTCTGCCTGCTCTCCTGGGGGACCCCTGCTCCTGCCATAACACCTCACCGCCAGCCCTTTCAAGGTGCCTGCCCAGCAGGCTGGCAGAGCTCATTCCTACTCTCTCTCTACGGCAGGATAATTTCAACTTGGCATGAAAGAAAAATAATTTTCCCACCACCAGGAAGGCGCCCCTGCCACCTTCAAAGTGGGTAAGTGGCCCCTTCCCCCAGGGTCTGACAGAAGGCTCAGGAAGGCCAGGACCAGAGCTACTCGGGCTCCCAGGGACTGGTCTGCAGGTACGGCGTCAGGAGAAGCTGCCCAGCCCGCAGCAGTGGAGGCCGAGGGAGCACAGTGGCGGATATCGGGAGGTGAGGAGACACCAGCTAAAGCAGGGTGAGCCGGTCCTCCTCGATGGGACACACTAGCCTCCCAACAAACCCGAGGTGTGCGGGGCAGGGGTGCGGGCAGGCTGGGAGGCAGGAACCGGTCGGACCAGTCCAAGTTCCAGGCTTCAACTGCAAAACCCAGCAGGGAAGGGAGCCGCCGCAGGGGTTGGAGGAGAGTGGCTCCCCTTCTAGACGCCGCAGCGGCGCCAGGTTCAGTAGGGGCACTGCGCACAGCACAGGGTGCACGGCAGGGCACAGTCTCTCCAGCTGTGCCCAACACATCTGCAGGTGGCGATGGCAGGGCAACCCTGCAGGCGGCCTTGGTGGCACCCAGCCTGGGAATCCTTGTTCTCCCATGGTGACAGCTCTTCTGTAAGCTGCACTTTACCCTCCCGAGTTGGGAAAATTTCGTTACTCAGGAGCAGACAGAGTCCCAGCTTCTTCCCAAACACCTCTTCACTGGTAAGCTGAACCACCAAAAGCAGCCGTGTCCCTCTTCCCTGTCCCTCTTCCCGTCCTGAGGAGCAATGGCAGCCAAGGGCCTGTTTGAGAGGCTTCGCAGGCCGCTCCTGCCAGCGATGAGAACAGAAGGTTCTAGGTGTTGGGGGAGTTTCACCTCCTCGGCTGCAGGGTTCGGACACAAAGTCCCAACCTCGAGGCCCACGGCCTCAGCCCCACCAAGAACAAGAGAAGCCACAGGAGAGGCCCGCGGCCAACCACCGGGCCCCCAGCCTGAGCCCACAGGGCTGGCACGACCTCTGCATCAAACGCCCTCCCCCCCGCCCCCCAGTGTGCAGGCAGCTGCACCCTGGGGCCCACACAGCTCAAAAAGGCTCTAAGGGAACCCGTCTGCACGGGGCTCCCTCTTCTCTGTGCACTTGAGGGTGGCAACAGGGTGTAGGGGCTTCCCAGGGGGTCCTCACCTCTGCCTCCTGGACCCCGAGAATCCCCCACAGCTCATGGACTGAGCTCCAGGGCAAAGGGTCGGGCACAGACCAACCCTGGCTTCTGTCACAGAGTCCACAGGCCTCTTCTTGGCCCTAGGTTAACACTGCCATCGCGTCCTGTGCGAGAGCACCCCCACCCACATGCCCTGGCGGCCCCAAGCGCTTGTGGACAGTCCGCATGCGCCACTCACAGCTCTGGGGCGACTTGACAGGTATGGAAGATGTGCACAGCCACCGGTGACCTCTGAAAGGAATGGCAGTGCCAGAGGACAGAGCCTAGGTGGGCAGAAGGCCTCAGAGAGCCCCACAGCTGCAGCAGGGAGGAGCGCAGGGGCCTGGCAGTCCCTGAGCTGGGCCAGCAGGATCTGCCACAGTGGAGGCCCTGGGCACTCAGGAGAGCCCCGACCTCTGAGCCTCAGTCTTCACAAGAGGAAGAAGAGGGGCCATGCAGACCACAGTGCCCCCAGTGGGGCGGGGTCAGTACTGGGCGTTCCCTTTATGAGGAACAGCTGATCCCTTAACCATGGAAACCGAAGGGAGGCCAGCAGTCCGGCCCAGCTGCCTGGCTGGTATTACAGGGTTCAGGAAGTGGGTCCCCCAGCCGCAAGAGACAAACAGGCGTGCACTGGAACCAGGTGCTATGGGCAGACACAGCCCCAGGGGGCTGAGCGGGCCCTAGGGATGCTCCCTGTGCTCTTTTGAGAGAAGGGAAAAGATGTCCCCAAACCAGGTCACAGCTACAGCCTGCGAACTGTCCAGGCAATGTGTGGCTGACACCTCTGGGGGCGCTCCTGGCATGAAGGGGTAGAGTCCGGTGTTGCTCAGTACCCAGGACAGCGTTAGCTAGATGAGGACCCTGCCCTGCCCACGCGGGCCTCCCCAAAGACACCACATCCTCTCTGCCTGGGGCTGGGCTGACAGGGCCCAACTCTGGGTGCCTGCCTCCAGACCCACTTCACACTGTGGGACGCTGGGCCCTGCCCAGCACCCTGCCCTGACCCCACTGCAGGCGGTCAGAGGGGGTCCCCCAGGCAAGTGCCAAGACAAGGCACGGGGCCCGTGTGATTGTTCTGTGCCACTGTCACAGGAGTTACACATCCTCTAGCATGTGCCCAGTCACTGGGTACCACCTTCTGCCACCTTCTGACTCAGCAAGAAGGCCTCTGGCCACTGGGGCCTTCTGTCCTGGCCTTGCACCTGCAGAGATGGAGGAAACTAAGCTCTAGTCCCTACATCCACGCTCAGTAATTCTGTCACAGCAACATGGACAGACTGAGAGCCGCACCCCATCCCCCATGCCCAGCCTGCACAAGGCACGCACACTGCCACACCTTCTGCTTTGTGATCTCCCTTTCTCTATGATTCCTTCCTCAGAGACGGCCCAAAGCCCTGTATTAGCAGCCCTGAGTGGGGTGGGCAGTGGGCAGTGTGCCGGGTATGGTACACTCATCCACAAGCTCCTCCCACCCTACAGCACAGCCTGCTGGCTCAGAAACAAGCAGGACCAAGCGGCCTGGGCACTGCAGTGATCCAAGTCAGCCTCTCTGTCCATCTGCAGCACATGAGTGGGGAGTGGGTCCCCCGATGCCTGGGAACATCACCTCAGGTACCACACAGCTGCTCGTCCCTAGAACCTGGTGGCTTCCCTTAAGGTGTCAGGTTAAGAGTCTGCCCCTAGGCCAAGGCAGGTGCCACAGGCTCCCGTCCCATTCATCAGCCTCCACCCATCAGAGGCTCTCCTACTTGCAGCCTGCCCCTTCCAGCCACCCTGCCCCTAGGCTAACTGCAAAGGTGGGGGGAACCACCCCTAAACTCCAGACGCTCCCCACTCCTTCTGCTCTCCCACCAGGCTGCTTGCAGGCTTCTAGGCTCTTCCTTCAAAGACACAAACCCTAAAGAGGGGCTCACTTGCTTGGAGAACGAGCCAGCTCAGCTTCCTGGCAATGACCCTGGCGTCCACAACCTTCCTGGGATGTGTGGCCTGGGACTAAGCCCTGCTCATACTCATGTCTACCCAGACTTTGCTTCCTTCTGGAAGGGAAAGAGTGGTCACTGGCCTTCTGTCTGTGACCACCATGCCCTGGGGGCCTCCGGGTGGGATACTAGGAGTGAGCTAGTTCAAGGTCCCTGGAGGAAGTGTGTGTTGCAAAGACCACCAAGACAATCAAACCTAGTTACAGCCTCCCAGCCACCTACAAATGCAAAGCAGTCTCGATCTGTGGACAAAACACTCTCTGCCACCTCACCACATTCACAAACTGGTCTCCTCACAGGAAACTGCAGGAACCTGTCACCAGAGCTTAACAGGGTCACAAGCACTGCACTGACAATTAGGGCAACTTGCAGAGGATGAGTGGATCTTGGACTTCCATATAACACGGAAAGAAACGTGCATCAAATGGATGTTTGTCGGTGTTTTTTGGCAAGATATCTACTTTCAAAGTAGTAAAAATTTTTCTGGAATATCAAGATATCTACTTACAAAGTAGTAAAAATTTCGGGGGTACCAAAGTAGTAAGAACTTTCCTGGAGTGTATCTCAGCAGTAGAGCACCTCCACCCATTAGCCACTGGTTTCTATCCCTAGCACCACAAAAAGGGGGAAAAAACAGAACTCTGAAACTTGAGCCATTTAGATAGCCATGACAGGTAGAGAGAGGAACTCAGTAGTCACCAAGGCCTTTCCAAGAGCCCAAGTCTCCCCCCAGCTGCAGCAAACCCTCAGACCTGGGTGCCTCTCTGCACAGCTCCCTCTCTGCCAAAACCAGGGACACCAGGGACAAGCTGTCAGGGGACAGGACTCCAGCGGGCCAGCACCCTGAACCCAGGAACGCATCGCTCTCCCCATTCCTTTAAGCTAAGGAAAAGTCTGCGCTCTCCCAGGGAAGGAGGGGGGCACTCATACTCTTGGCAGCAGAAACTGGTTTCCCTGGACACGGGAGCCCAGCACAACAGCCATCAACCCCAGCACCAAGCAGAGGGCTCCTTCTCCCATGCTCCCACCTTGACCCTGAAATGCTGTGACCTGTCACCCACTCAGCACACGATTTGGCCAATGAGTGCCGAGTACAGTGTATGCTGCAACCAGGCTGAGAATAAACACTGTCGTCGGAGATCACTCTGTGATGAGGCCTCATGGCCCTCTCTAGCAGTCTGCATCCACACAGGCAGTGGAGCAGGTCTGCTTCCCCACCAAAACTAAAAGCAGAGGGACAAGTCACAGAAGACAGGAAAGAAACCCAGCCCCTGTTCCACTGTCTTCCTGGAAGAATTTGACAGTCAAAGCACAGGACACTGCAGGAGCAGGCGCAGCTTCTGGCAAGGGCACAAAGACAGCCGTGGCCCCTCACAGAATGAGGTCTCTAGCCCGGTGGGACTCTTCCCTTTGGACTTGGGCTGCTCATGTATTATCAAGATTGCAATTATAGGGAGACTCAGGGCCACAAGGATCTCCTCCAAGCTGCACAAGGGGAGAGCCCTGGGAGGAGGCACACAGCACTCACAGTCACTTGGCAGAAAACTCGAGGCTTCAGCACCAAAACAAATCCCAGGATGTGGGACCCTGCGGGTGGTCGCCCCAGGTGACCCTGGCCCTTTGGGCTTCAGGTACGCGCTTGTCCACGTCCCTAACACTTGGAGGGGTGAGGGGGAGCGGAGAGCTCCGTGGCCCCCAGTGCCAGGCGGGAGAAGCTGAACGGATGTAGAACCCAAATCCACAACTGGCCTCGCCACGTGCACGACCCGCCGAGTTCCGGCGCCGGCTGGGGGCGCCCGGGCTTCGAGAACACCATTCAGGGTCCTCGCGCGCAGAAAAGTCGGCAGGCGGCGGCGACTCTCTCCGCACGGGGTTTCTCAGACTGCCCAACTTCTTTTTAGGGACCCCCACCCCGGACACCTGAGCGACTGTTTGGGGTTCCTCTAACCCCTACACTCTGACTAGGGTTCTCAGACGCCCAGACTCCCATCTGGAGTCCCCGGATTCCCGAGCTCCCGCCTGGGATCCTGCCGACCCCCACGCTCTGATTTGGACTCTCAAGAAGCCCAAAGTCCGGCTTGGCGTCCCCTGAACCCTTGGGCTGCCATCTGGGGTCCCCTCGGTCCTCGCACACCCAGTTGAATCATAAAGACGCCAGGCTGCGGCCAGGGAGCCGCCAGCACCCTGAATGGGCTCCCTCGACTCCCCTCGGTCCAGTCTGGGGTCCCCTCACAGCCCTAGCTCCTATATGGTGGCCACCAGACCCAATATTCCCGCCCGAGGCCCTTTCGAGGCCACCCAGCGCCAGGTCGAGACAGGCCCGCGCCGCGACCGCCCCCCCTCAGGCCGGCGTGACCTTGACGGGGCGGCCCCCCGCCCGGCCCGCCCCGGGGGCGGCGTCTGGGGGCCGGCGGCGGGGCGGGGGCGCGGACCCCGGGCAGCGGTGCAGGCCGGCCCGCCAGTTCGTCCTCACCCGATCTCGTCAGCGCCTGAGTTGTTCATGGCGGCGGCGGCGCTCAGTGTCCCCAGGCCTCCAAACTCGCTCCCGCTTCCAGAAGGTCACCAGCTCCGTCGCCCTACCCGCAGCCGCGGCCTGGATCTGCGCAACGGCGGCGGCGGCGGCGGCGGCGACAGCGGCTGCTGCCTCCTCCCCTCAACGCCAACGGTCACCGCGCGTCCCCGCGCCGCCGCGCCGCCGCCCTGCGCATGCCCTGGCGCGCTCCCGCACGGGGCCTCCGGGGGCGGTGCCAGGGGTGCGCCGCGCGTGCGTGTGTAGGTGAGGTAGGGTTTGCGCCTGCGTATTCTCTGTGGCTGTGAGGCGCGCTTTGCCCCCTCAACCACTCCCGGCGCGCCGCGTGGTACCCTGGGAAATGGAGTTCCCGCGTCGATGCTGGCCCCGCTCCCGGAGCCATGAGGGAAAGAGCGCGCTCAGGCCAACCCACGTGCGTACGTGCGTGTGCGTGCGTGCGTGCGCGCGCGCGGGGCTTGGGCGGCTGGTGCGGTGCACGCAGACGTAGCTGCGCCGTCGTCCTGCTGGGCCTTCCGACATCTCGGGCGCGAGTGCGGCCGCGATAGTGAAGTTCAGCCTCTGCCTACAAGCGGCACAGAGCGCCACCCTTATGTTGAGGTGCGGAGCTGTGGGTCCTCTGTGCTCACTTCCCAGGAGACGTGATTGAGGGTCTCAGCGCCTGAGTTACTTCCCCAAGGTCACTCGGGGATTGGGCAGCATCAAAGCAAAAGTTAAGCAAACTCAAAGCCTGGAAAAAGTAGTGATGGTCCCTAATGACTATTCCTAGGACAGCAAATTCTGTTTTTTTCTCTCTGGTATCCACTAGCAATACTTCTCACTTTTATTTATCTTTTTGAGACAGGGTCTCACTTGCAGTCCAGGCCGGCCTTGAGCTCACTGTGTAGCCCAGACTGATCTCGAACTCACAATGATCCTCCTCCCTCAGCCTCCTAGTGCTGAGATGACAGGCCTGCCCCACCACACCTGCCTTCCGTTAGTAATTCCAAACAGAGATCCCCCCTCCCCCAGAAGTCCAGGACACTCGGCAATGTCTCAAACCGTTGGTGGTGGTCACACCTTGAAGGGGCCACGGCCTCGAGTGGGTCCGGGCCATGGAGGCTGCTGCACACCATCCAGGCACAGTGTGGCCAGGACTGTGCATCGCTGTGCAAGTAGATGGCCTGTGTGCTGTCCCCTTCCGGGCCCACTGATTAATGGATGATTTACTCATCATCTCGGAGTTAACCGACACTTAAATACATGGGGTGGGGAGAAGGCCAGAGATTTAGCTCAGCAGCAATAAGAGCACTGCCTGGCAAGCATGAGGTCCTGAGTTTGATTCCTGGTACAAGGAAAAAAAAAGAAAATCAGGCATAGTGGTGTATACCTGTGAACGCAGTGCTTGAGAGGTTGAGGCAGGAGAATCCCTGTGAACTCAAGGCTAGTTTGGGCCACATAGTGAATTCAGGGCCAACCTGGACTACATAATGAGACCTTGTTCAAAAAAGCAAGCAAACAAAAAACATTTAAAATATATGTCAAGCCAGACTGATGGTGCACTCCTGCAATCCAGCACTTGGGAGGCTGAGACAGGAGGATCATTGGGATTTTGAAACCAGCCTGGGCTTCATAGTTCAAGACCAGCATGAACTATATTACCCCGGACCCTGTTTCAAAAAACAGACAGAAATCATGGCACACGCCTGTAGTCCCAGCACTCTGGGAAGCTGAGGCTGGAGGATTGCTGTAAGTTGGAGGCCAGCCTGTGTAGGTGAATAGGGAGATCCCACTCAAATAAATAAGTAGATAAAATACTGAAAAATAGCTGAGGATGTAGCTCGGGGAGAGAGCCATGGCTTCAACCCCTGGTGACACGCACACACCAATAGAAATAAGTAAATAAACACAAGCATTTACAAAGGGAAAATTACACACAGCCATGGACCTGCCACTGAAACGAACATGTAACTGTACTGTGACATTCACTTCAAGGTCTTTTGTAAAATATGAAATTCAGGTGCCTGTTTTCTCTTTTCCTCCCTCCCCACCCCAGAGCAGATACTGAGAAAGACTCAAGTTTTAGACACTTCTCCTAATTCATTCTCCATGAGAATATATGCCATTCTGATACACTGTGGCTCTACTGTGTATTTATTATTTTGTGTGCATGGTTCTCAGAATGGAACCCAGGGCCTTCACAGTGAGCTACATCCCCACCTTTTTTTGTCTTTTTTTTTTTTTTTGAAAGAAGGCCTCAGTAAGTTGCCCAGATTGGGCTCAAACTTTAAATCGTCCTGCCTCAGCCTCCCAGAGTATTGGGCTGACAGATGAGCACCACAGTACCCAGCTACAATTTTTTTTTTTTTTTTTGGTCTTTTTCGTTTTTATCGGTACCAGGGATCGAACTCAGGACTGCCTGCTTGCAAGGCAGGCGCTTATGCCGCTGAGCTAAATCCCCAGACACCCCCCCCCCCAGCTACAATTTACCATCTTAAAATCTGTGGTGCAGGGGATGTTGAGACAGGGTCTCTCTATGCAGTTCAAGCTGGCCTTGAGCTCACTTGGTAGCCAAGGCTCGTCTTAAATGGCCAAGGATCCTCCTGCCTTAGCCTCCTAAAGTGCTAGGGTTACAGGTGTGCACCCTTCTTCACAGGGACACCCTCAGGAAGCCATTTGCCTTCTCTGAGTCTGTGTCTGTAGGCTGCAAAGTACAGAGGACGACATGCTGGGCTTGCGGGAGCAGGTGTGGTGAGCACTGCAGCTTTCTGGGTTGCACACACTGAGGGGGGCAGGACAGCACCGCCTCTAGAGAAAGCTGAAGCTGAAAGATAAAAGGCCTGGCTGTGTGGCCAAACCAAAGCCCTGAATTTCTGTGGAGCAGGAGGCCCCTTATCTTCAGGAACCCCAAGCCACAGGGAGCTGCCCCTGCCCAACTCCTAGGGCCCCATCTCCTCGGGCCATCATGCTCAGCAGTCCCACCTGGCCCTTGGTGGCCCCACTTGCTGATTTTCATGGCCATGAGGGATGCTGCCAAGACACCTGCCATCTGACCACAGGGCATGACCAGCCACGGAAAGGAGAGGCCACTTCTGTGGTTCCTCTGCCTGCCGATGCCTTAGTTACTTTTTTTGTTGCTGAGACAAAATACCCCCAACACTCACAAGTGAAGGGAAGAAAGGTTTATTTAGCTCACAGTTTGTGGAGGTTTCAATCCTTAACTGGCTATGCCCATGGTGGGGTAAGCATGACTGACAGGTGTCATAGAGGACAGTTTCTTCATTTGTTTTGTTTTTTGTACATGAGGGCCTCCTTATGTAGTGCAGGCTGGCCTTGAATTCACTATGCAACCCTGGCTGTGTGTGTAGTTCACAGTGATCCTCCTGCCTCAGCCTCCAGAGTGCTGGAATCACAGGTGTACACCCAGCTCTTTTTTTTTCTTTTTCCTTTTTTTCTTTTCTTTCTTTTTTCTTTCCTTTTCTTTTTTCTTTTTCTTTCTTTCTTTCTTTCTTTCTTTCTTTCTTTCTTTCTTTCTTTCGAGTCAACCCAGTGCCTGCACACTCCCCAACCCCCATGTTTTAAAATTCTGAGACAAGGTCTTAATAAGTCATTAAATTCCCCAGGCTGGGCTCAAAAAAAATTTCTTTTTTGTACCAGGGATCAAACTCATAACCTTGTACTTGCCAGACAGATGCTTATGCCACTGAGCTAAATCCCTGGCCTGAGCTCAAATTTGACATCATCCTGACCAAGGTTCTCAGGATGTTGAGGATTACAAGTGTGCACCACTGTGCCTGCCTTTTTTCTTTTCTTTTCCTTTTTTGTAATGCTGGGGAGCTCCTGTGTACCAGGTATGTGACCTACCACTGAGTCACCCCCTGCCCTAGAAGTCAGTCGAGGATGGAGGATTCTGCTTCACTTGGCTGTGAGCAGACTTCTGTCCCAGAGACACTGAAATGACAAGCCTGCATTGTTTTTCACTGCTATATTTGGGAGTCATTTGTTACATGGCAACCGCTAACTAATACAATGTGCCTTCTCTCTGGGACTTTCCAGGGTATCTCATGAGCTGATGTCATTGAATAATTACCACTTATTGACTTCTTTCTTATTTATTTTTGGTGCTGGAGATCAAACTCATGACCTCACACTTGCCAGGAAGACATTTATGCCACTCAGCTAAATCCCTGGCCCCCAATCTTTTTCTTTTCTTTTTTTTTTTTTTTTGTCTTGCAATAGTGGGGATAGAACCCCGAGCCTTTACACTGAGCTACATCCCTAGTCTTTCTCATGTATTTGTGGGATTATTTTGGTTTGTTTGTTTTTGTTTTGAGACAGGGTTTTGCTGGGTAGTTCAGATTGGCCTTAAACTCACTATGTAGCCCAGGTTGGCCTTGCACTTGTGGCAATCCTCTTGCCTTAGCCTCCCAAATGCTGACTTTACAGGGATACACCACCACGCCTGGCTTGCGTGTTTTTGAGACAGGATCTTGCTAACCCACTAAATGGCCCAGGCTGGATCTGAATCATCCTTTTTCAACCTCCCAGAGGACTGGGGTTATGGGAATGCACCATGCCCAGCTCCTCAGTATTTATCAAGCACTCTCAGTGTGCCAGGTTCAACAGGTGACCCTGTTAGAGGGACCACAGAACCATGGGGAAATGCTTTCAGGTAGTGGCATGCCCAGAGGAGGCAGAGAGTTTGTGCAAAAGGCTCAGGTGCTACAAGGCTCAGCTATGTGGTACCCAGGCTTGGTGTGAGCAGGGCCGTGACCTCAGCATAGAACCCTCCAGATGCAGGAAGAAGGCAGGCACCCAACTGCCTTTGAGGCTGTTTTCATGCCCTGGCTCTAAGCTTGCAAACTTCAGTCTCCCTTGGCCTCAGTTTCTCCCTGTGTTAAATGGGATTGAAAGCAGGCCCTCCCGGGAAGTAATGCAAAGAAAGCACTCAGCAGAGATGAGGTGCTCAGGGCTGGAGACCTGGCTCCAGGTTCCCATGGGAAAGAGGAAGTTACATTCCACAGCCAGGAGATAGACACCGTGCTGCTGACCCTGAGCAGCTGCCCTGGGCTGGGCCAGAGGCTCAAGACAGCTCATGCCCCTAGGAGAAGGGAACAAGACCCAGGTTCCTGAGTTTCCTTTTTTTTTTTTTTGGTTCCTGAGTTTCTGAAGAAGGACCTTTCTGGGATTGGCCCTGAGCCCCTGTCAAGGTTGTGGGGCTGCTGGGTGCACTGGTGCATATCTGTAATCCCAGAATTCAGGAGGCTGAAGCAGGAGGACCACCACACTCCAGATCCAGTCCAGCCTGGGGTACAAAGTAAGATCCTGTCTCAAAACAAAAAATCAGAACAAAAAATATCCTGAGTCTCAGGTGACCCCAGCAATCAGGGCTGTACCTAATATAATTCTTGTTTGTTTTGTTTTTTGAGGCAGGGTCTTGCTATATGGTGCAGGCTGGCCTTGATATCACTGATGTAACCCAGGCTAGTATTAAATTCATGGTGATTCTCCTCCCTCGACCTCCCAAATGCAGCATTACAGGCATGTACCGCCATGCCTGGCTCATAACACAGCTCTAAAGTGGAGACTGCCCTTTGTTTAACTCAGGAGGAAAGGAGGCCAGTCAGTGCCAAGGTATGGATTAGAGCGGACCGACGCAGGGTGGAGCAGCCAGGAGCGGGGACAGCCACGTACCGGGCAGCCAGGGCTTTCCAGGGAGATCTGGTGAGGACGCGCGCCGGGCTAGCCACGTGTCGCCGCCAGAGGTCACTGTGCCGCCATGCACGGAGCTCCGGCTTCCATCCCCGCCCACATACCGCCCCACCCACTCTAAGGCCCGCCCATCCTCCCCTATCCGAGAAAGGCCAGTCTGATGAGCGAAAGGCCGGGCCTTTCCTCAAGGTCCCGCCCCTTTTATATTTGCCTGTTTAGAAAGCCTCCGCTCGGCCACGCCCCAACAAGAGGTCTCAGCCCGACTCCGCCCCTTTCGGAAGGCCCTGGCCACGCCCCTGTCGCCCCTGCTTCCCACTGGAGGCTCCGGCTGCAGTTTCCGCCCCTCCCTGAGGCCACGCCCCGCCTCCGCCGGGGAGATCCTGCCCCGTGGCCCAGAAGTCCGCGCCGCCGCGAGCCCGTGTTCGCTGGCCAGCGACATGAGTATCCCCGGCGCCAGCCCGCTCTTCGCGCCCGGCGAGGACTGCGCCCCTGCGTGGCGCGCGGCTCCCGCGGTTTACGATGCGACCGACACACACCTGGAAATCCTGGGCAAGCCGGTGATGGAGCGCTGGGAGACGCCCTACATGCACTCGCTGGCGGCCGCCGCCTCCTCCAGAGGTAGTTCCCGCCTGCGCTGGCGCAGGGTAAACTGAGGCTGGGGCGGGCGTTACAACCCCAGCTCCAGCCCACGGACCGCTGTGTGCCTCGGTTTCCTCGCCTGGGTAATGGGCTGCTAGGGGGTAACCAAGGCAGTAAAGGAGAGAGATGCAGGCACGAGCTCCCCGCACACAGTGGGACTCCGAACTTATTCCTCCGGGGAGATGAGGGCCCCTGCCCAGGCTGGGTCCTAGGACGCGCAGCCCCGGGTGGAACTAGGCGTGTGACCCGGCCGGGGAATCTGGGGTGCTGGTCCTGGGTCAGGAGGCTTCCTCCCACCGCCCGGGAAGCCCCGCCCCGTTACATCTAAGAATAGTCCAGGAAAGCAGAGCTGGGGAGACAGCTGTCAGGTGGGGTTGCGCTGCACTGCTCAGGCGATTGAAGCCCAAGAGGTCTCCCAGCTCCAGACAAACCCATCCAGTACACGGACGTGTGGCCCTGGGGCTCTGTAATCCCACCTAGCAAATGGGCACGCACAGAGATTGCGAACCAGGCCATCCCCTCCCAGGTCTCTCAGGTTTCACCTTTGCAAACTGCAGAGAAGAAAGGGGACAGAAAAGCAGCCAACTAGAGTGATAAGAGCCACCAGCACAAATAGTGTGGGCCTGGGCACAAAGTCCAAGGCTCTGGCCTCCCCACCCCCCACCCCGCCCCCTGGGACCTGGGCACAAAACCAGCTATACAAGTCCTCCCTGGCTGGCCACTGGCCAGAGCCCACACCAGCCCTTCTCAGGATGGCAGTGTCCATCTGTCCAGTGGCAAATGTGACCCACAGGCAAGGGTCCTGCGTGTGACACCTGGGCTCCTCTGTCTGCCCAGGGGGCCGGGTGCTGGAGGTGGGCTTTGGGATGGCCATCGCAGCCTCGAAGGTCCAGGAGGCCCCCATCACCGAGCACTGGATCATTGAGTGTAATGATGGTGTCTTTCAGCGGCTGCAGGTCTGGGCCCAGCAGCAGCCCCACAAGGTGCGACCCCCCCCCCAGGGGCCCAGAGATGGAGGGTGGTTGTCACCCTTGGGGGTCCCTTTCTGAAGGTGGCTAGCTCTCAGGGGCCTCCCTGACCTCTGGCCTGTCTCTTCCCCTCACAAGGTTGTCCCTTTGAAAGGCCTGTGGGAGGATGTGGCGCCCACGCTGCCGGACTGTCACTTTGATGGTGAGGGGCTCTGGGGGCCGGCTAGGGAGGGCATGCAGTGGAGCACACCTGGGCGCTCCTGCTCCTCCGTGGCAGCCTTGGGCTGCAGCTGCACCCTGCAGCATACTCACAGGGGCGCTCAGGTGGGCAGGAATATGACAGGCGGGTGCAAAACTGGGGCACCTTCAGCTCAGGCAGACTGGGCTGGGGCTGCTGGAGGGCTGAGCAGCTGGTCCCCCCTGCAGGGATCCTGTATGACACGTACCCGCTGTCAGAGGACACCTGGCACACGCACCAGTTCAACTTCATCAAGGTAGGCCCGGGCACCTGGCCTTCCTGACCTTCTGGGGTGCGGAGGCCCACGGGGAGCCCCCATGCACACCTCAGCTGCTCTCTCGGGGCTGCTGTCCCCACAGAGCCATGCCTTCCGCCTGCTGAGGCCAGGGGGCATCCTCACCTACTGCAACCTCACCTCCTGGGGCGAGCTCATGAAATCCAAGTACTCAGACATCACCACCATGTTCGAGGTGCGCCCTTCCTTCCCCGGAGCTGGCAGTGATGTTGGGACAGCTGGGGTTGCCGTGTCCTGGGGAGGGGCCCTTCCTGCCACAGTGTGTGGCCTTCCATTTGTAAACTGGACAAGGCCGTCGCAGGCCCAAGCACCACCTGTGGCTGCCTGGTGCCCTCGGGATGCAGCCTGAGCCCTCCCACTGTGCCTGTGGTGACCCCTGCCCATGCCCGTGCCCCAGGAGACGCAGGTGCCAGCGCTGCAGGAGGCAGGCTTCCGACGGGAGAACATCCACACCGAGGTGATGGCGCTGGTGCCGCCGGCCAACTGCCGCTACTACACCTTTCCGCAGATGATCACCCCCCTAGTCACCAAGAAGTGAGCCGCCACTGTCCCAGCAGGAGACAGTGGGGGACAGGATGGCCTTCTGGGTGCGGCCATGGGAGCTGGGGTCTCCCTCAGTGTGCAGGGATGAAATAAACATGGGCCCTGGGCTGGGTGTGCAGCTGTGCGTTCCGTCCACCCACCTCTTGTCCCTGCCTGGGCAGCCGTGCCAGGCACCCCAGGCTGTAGCCCCGAGGCGGGGCATCTGGTGGAGTTAAGCTTATGAGCCACTACAGCCTGGCCCGTGTCCCCTAGGGCTATCAGCCTTGCCCCCAGCCAGTTCTGGATTGTTCTAGGTCCGTAGTGTACTTCTCCCTTTGGGGAGCCTCTTGCTAGGGACCCCCCAGTGGACTGTTCCTTCCACCTGGAACACCCTTCCCACTGTCCATGGTTTGGCCCTAGAAGCTGCCCTTGGTCAGGGCTGGGAACCAGCCCCATGTCCCAGGCCCCCATTCTGAGCTGATACAGGGTGACACATGCTGGGGGCCTGGCCACTGCATAGGTGCTGAACCAACGCTGTTAGATAAGGGTGTAGACTGGAGGTTGGGGCGCCATCTGAGGCTGGGGGGTCCCTGGGGGCTCACTGGGACTGTGCCCGTGTCTCCAGGCTAAGGGACACTGGGAAGGGGCCTGGCCCGGCTCTCCTTAGCCCATCCTTGGCCACGTGGGTCAGGGACTGGCCTTAGCCATGCAGCTGGCCAGAGGCCACTGCCCAACCCTGAGGTGGCTCTGTGAGGGTGGGGACAAAGGTAGGCATTGCTCCATGGAGCTGAGAGGGAGACGAGTCAGGGGACACCAACTTCCCGCTTCCCAAAGCCAGACTGTCCAGGCAGGGTCACAGCTGGGCCTCGGTGTTTCTGTCCATCAAAGAGGTGCCGAGGCCGGCCTCCCCACACTGCTGCACGGAGCACCAGCGGCATTGGGGGTGGGGGAGAGATTTATTTACAGTGTCGCTTCCGTCACAGCCTTGGGGCACGGGCACTAGCGGCGGTACCAGATGCGGAGCCTCTTCTCCCGCTTGATCTTGCGCTGCAGCTGCAGGATGCCGTAGAGCAGGGCCTCGGCCGTGGGCGGGCAGCCTGCAGGGAGCGGGCCTCAGTCTCCCCACCGTGCAGCCTCCCACCCTCCTCTGTGCAGGGCCAGCGGGGCGGCCTTGGGCAGAGCCCAGGACCAGAGAATGACCTCTCAGCTCCCAGCGCTGGGCAAACTGATTCTTCCGGGGAACTAACTGCACGCCACACGGGTGTCCCTGCCTTTGGGGAGGTGCCAAGAGCCGGGCCAGGGCCTGCTTCCGGGCTGCCCTTGGGGCCACTGCCGATTGGTGCACCTGTGCGGAGCCGGACGCCCATGGGACTGACCGCCAGTCACCTAAGCCGGTTTCAAACTCTCTGAGACCCTCCTGCCTCTGCTTCCTGAGCGCTGAGATCACAGTGTGTGCCACTGCACGGCTACTTGTGTTTTAAAATTATTATTATTCTGACATTCGAAGATAACTAACTGAGCATCCTGAACTTTTAAAAGAATTCTGAGGCCACAGAGATTAAAACCATGGCCTCACACGGAGCTACGTTCCCAGCTGGCCCCAATGTGGACCAGGGACATGTCCTGTCTGCGGGGAGCTTTTCTCGTCAGTTATGCTAACTAAATTCTTTGGGCTCTCTCTCTCAGAGTGGCACAAGGCTGTAGTAGGAACTGGCAAAGGTCAGCTGTTGCGGGCCCAGGCCGCCACCTGGAGCTTCCCCTCAGGGACACCGTATGACCAAGGGGGTGGCACTGCTCCTCGGGGAGCCCTACCTGCCTCCCCACAACATGGGGAGGTGTAGCCTAGGCGGGGCTGGGGCAGAGTGGCCGGGCTGCCTCACCTGGCACATAGATGTCCACGGGCACGATGCGGTCACAGCCCCTCACGACGGAGTAGGAGTAGTGGTAGTAGCCGCCTCCATTGGCACAGCTGGGGGAAAAGTGCCCTGAGGGGCCACCCTGGCACCTGTGGGCCCTCCCTGCCCCACCTGCCACCAGGCCCCAGGTAAGCACCAGACGCAACGTCACAGACAGGCAACCCAGAGAGCCAGAGCCCCCTGGGAATGTCCTGTAAGGCGGGGCGCACAGATGTGTGCTGGGAAACAGGACGTGTCCCCCCAAAAGATCAGAGCCAGGGCGAGGAGGGCATGGGAGCAGCACTGTCTTCTACCCAGCCCACCTTCGAGGTGCAGGCACCCTGGAGAGACCAGGAAAGCCAGATGCGGAGGACACAGGGACAGGAAGTGACTTCATTGGTGTTGGGAGGGGACAGGTGACCACTCATGGGGATGGATGGGGCTTCCTTTGGGGTGATGGGAGGTTTTGAAACCAGACAGTGACAATAGCCACACATGTCTGTGTAAATACGAGCCGCTGAATGTGCGCTCTCAGGGCTGCACGTACCCAGCATGCACTGGGTGAAAAGCGGGCCACCGGCCTCCTGGCCGGGCCAGCAGCCTGGGAGAGGGCAGTGGGCGCCCATGACAGGTGTCTGCTGGGCTACTGGAGCTCAGGGCCTCGCCTGTGCTACCAGACAGATGCAGGGCAGGGGTGAAGGTCCTCACCTCCCCATGGAAACGACGTAGCGTGGCTCCGGCATCTGGTCGTAGACCTGGGGGGGACGCAGGATCAGCACCCGGGCCCCTCAGACTGGGCCACAGGGGGCAGGGGCCAGGCCTACCTTGCGGAGTGCCGGGGCCATCTTGTTGGTGAGTGTGCCCGCCACAATCATCACGTCAGCCTGGCGCGGGCTGGCACGGAAGACCACGCCGAAGCGGTCCATATCATAGCGGGGCGCAGCCATGTGCATCATTTCCACAGCGCAGCAGGCCAGTCCGAAGGTCATGGGCCACAGCGAGCTCTGGGCAAGGGCCAGGCCAGTTGGTCATCGGCCAGGCAGGTCTCTGCTCTCCCTTTAGAATCAGCAGGGCCAGTAGCCAGGCCCTGGGCCCTGGGGCCGGGAGAGGACTAGAACCAGCACCGTCTTCATCCGACCTGCCTGGGTCCTGACCGACAACCCTGGATGCGTGTGGGGCCCTCCGGGAACCCCTGGTTCCCTTGGTATCCTCCAGCACTTGGGGTCTGGTTTCTCCCCAGCTCCCGGGCCTTCCACCCTGGGTCTGATAATCTAGAAGTGGCCCCTGTGATCATCAATAGATGCGTGGACATGGGTGGTGGCACATGGGGCTGCCGAGTGGGAATCAGGTCACCCTTGGCCTGGCTGGCCAGGGCCTCCTGGCTGGCACCTGCACTAGACAGACCTGGCCATGTCCCTTGCCTTCTGAGATCACAAAGGGCCCAATGGTGGGATGCTCCCTCCTGGCAGCTGTGGGCTCCCCGTGGAGGCTGCCCTGGGCACAGTGCCCGCCACAGGGGAGGGGGAGGGAGAGGAGGTGGCACCAAGAGTGCCATCAATGGGCCATTGTGAGACTCAGAATCACGGGGAGGCCAAGGCCGCCACCGCACCGGGCAGAGCTTCAGGGAGTGGCCAGCGGGTCATGGATGCATGCCGTGGATGCAGCGTGGGAGGGCGGCACAGACTTTACTGAGGACCTGCGATTGGCCAGTGAGGCTTTTTCAGGTTAAAAGTCACTTTCATGTTAGGAGAGAGAAGGCAAGAACTCTGGGCAAACTGAGGCCTTCGGGAGCAGTGGCTGCTCCATGGGCCCAGGGCAAGGAGGCAGGCAGGGAAGAGAGACGGGAAACCTGACACGGAATTAGGGGTGCCTAGGAGGGCCCAGCCTTGTCCCTGGGCTGGTAGGGCTCACCCGGCGAGCCCAGTTGACGAGGTCATCCAGCTTGGCCACCACGTATTCACCACGGCTCCTGGGCAGCATGGGGGACTTGGGGACCACGGCTCCAACCTTGGGCACAGCAGGCTGGGTGCTGGGCAAAGGGACACAGCCGGGGTGGTACCCATCAGGGTGGCTGCCCGGAGGTGGGGGTGAAAGGGCAGTGAAGGAAGGCTCTGGGGTCTGTCCTGAGGCCCAGGCCACAGGGCCTCCGGGGAGGAGGCTTGGGGCAGCCTCACCTGCTGGGGTGCGCAGTGGCTGGGGTCTGGTGGATGCCTCGTGCCTGCATGGCCACGCCCATGACAGAGCTGCAGGAGGTGCAGGGAGCTGGTAAGTGGCTGGGTAAGGGGCGCCCCTCCCTACCTTGGCCACCCACTCCTCTGCCCGGGGAAGGACGATCCTAGAACAGCTGGAGAGGGAAACTGAGCCCAGGCCCTCTGCTGGCCCTCAGGGACCCTGGCAGCTACTCTGCATGGTGGGGTTCACAGGGCTGCCCACATTACTTGGAGGTTGTCCTCCAGCCAGTCTCGCAGAGCACCCCGCTGGACAAACTGAGGCTGCCAGCTCTGCTGCTCTGTGACCGTCCCACAGAGGGCCCTGCTCACCTTTGCTGAGGACGACCCAGCCCCAGCCCACCCCTGAGCACAGGTGATCCCCCAAGGGCCCCCAGGGTGGGGGTGGGGTGAGGGCTGTGACACCCGCAGCCTAACTCCCTGGGTGACGGGCCAGCACTCACCGCAGCCCGAGGATCCGCACGCAGAGCGGGCCGGAAGCTGTGTGGGGAACGGGGTGGGCAGGGATGAGTGTAGTCCCCGTCATGCCCTCACTGTCCCCCTCCGGGCCCTCACAACCCTTGGGAAGCACTTGGGGAGAGAAGGTCTTCCAAAAAGCAACTGTGTCTCCCCGTTGTTAAAGACCCTGCAGCCCCTGGAGGCACAGCGAGACCCCACAGCGAGGCCACCTCACCATGCTCACTGTGGCCTCAGGGTCTTCTCTTGCTGTTCCCTCTGCTTTGAACACCCTGCCACACACACAGGCAGCTCCTTTGCCCGAGGCCTTCGGTCAGGCGCCCACCGGCCACTCTGGGGCTCCCTCTCTTTTGTCTCCCATGACACTGGGCTGCCCTGTCTTGGCCTTCCCAAGATGGCACTTGATAACTGGTGCCCTGGAGGCCAGGCTGGGGGAGCTGGGGTTTGAGGGTCTCAGGTCCTGCCCTGCACCCCAGAACGTGCAGCCTAGAGGATACACAGACTAACCCCAAACTCCTAGGTGGAAGCAATCCTCCTGCCTCAGCCTCCAAGCAGCAGCAGGCCAATGTGCCCAGCTTTGGAACAGGCATTTATAACAAGGATTCCCAAGAAGAGCTGACACGAAAAAAGCTGGGGAGGGACGCCCTGGGTGGAGGCATCCTTGGAGACGCTTTTGGAAAGGAACAGCCAGAAGCAGAGATGGGGGTGGTAGAGATGGGCAGAAATCCTAATGAACAGTGGGGCAGCCAGAGGGGAGGTCAGGGTTGAAGACCATCTGGGGCGGACCTGTGTCCCCCAAATGCACACAGTGAAGCCTTAGTGCTGGCACTTCAGAATGTGACCCTGTTTGGAGACCGGATCTCTACAGAGGTAATCAGGATAACAGATACAGGGCAAAGACCATGAGTGTCCCAGGGAGAGGACAGCAGCGACAAGCCAAGGCGAGACCTCAGGAGCAACCCAGCCTGTGCCACCTTAAGCATGAGACTGCCAGCCTACAGGGCTATGCAAGGTGAATTTCTGTCATTTAAACCACCTGAGCAGATCAATCCAGGGCTGAGGACTGGACTGGCCACCTGCTTGACCCACAAAGCCTCTCCCCCAAACCCCTTTTTGCATCAGCCTCAGCCGCACCCAGGGTGCTATTTTCTGCAGCCCCATGCAGGCTACAAGTCTCTCAAGGACATGATGGTGACCTTCTTGGCACGCCTGAGACTGGGCATAAAGACAGGTTAGCTGCCTCTCCCTGGGCCTTGGTTTACCCACTTAAAAACTTAGGGCCTTGGAAATACAGCAAATCAAACATCCCACTTTTTTTCTTTTTTGAGGTAGGAGTGTCATGATGGTGCCCAGACTAATCTAATCACAAACTCCCAAATGAAGCAATCTTCCTGCCTCAGCTCCAGGAAGCAGCGGGCCAATGCACCTAGCTCTGGAACAGGCATTTATAACAAAGGATTCCTGGTGAGAATTCAGAACTGTGAACCTGCACAGAAAAACCAAAAACCTCTTGACTATCACCAAAGTCTTCCTGAAAAATGAGTTTTTCATTCAGTTCTGAGCCCTGGCAAAGGAACACAGCAGTACTGGCAAAGCTTGTAGCTTTTCATCAGCAAAACCAGAGTCCTAACCGTGTCACAGAAGTAGCAGAAAACTTCAAGAACCAGCCAGTCCCTCTGCTCCATATTGGTCAGCTCTCCTAGCTAGACCTGTGCATTAACAAAACACATAGGTGACCAAGTCACTAATTAGGTTGTCTTTTTTTCTTTTTATGTTATTTTCTTTTTGAGACAGGATCTCACTATGGAGCCCAGGTTGGCCTTGAATTTGCAAGATTCTCCTGCCTCAGCCTCCACCGCAGCCAGCGCCCAATCGGGTTATCTGACAATCTGATAACTAGCTCTCTTGATCCCACGACTTTGTTCCATGTCACTGTTTGTTCAGTCATTCTATCCGAGGAGGGCGTTTACACACTACCCAGATGCCCAAAAGGGCTGTAGAAGAGAAACGGCTGAGCGCTGGGGCTGAAGGGAGCTGGAGGAGAACCCAGTGGGGGTGGGGTGGGGTGACCCCAGTGGCCCGGGCCCACTCTGAACCTCAGTTTGGTTCCTGGCGGCTGAGTGCAAGCCCCGCACCATCCTCGCGGACCTTTCGGGGGCAGTATCTCGCGCTCGGTCCGCGGCGCCCTCCAGAGGCTGGGGCGGGGTATGAGGGGAGCCTGCCTCGGTTTCCCCAACCGGAACTGGGTCTCAGAAACAAAACTCCTCATCACTGGCTGGGCGGGCATGAAGAAGCCGCACACACTGCGACCTTGACACAGGCCCACGACGCCCGCAGACACCCAGGCCCCGTCGGCCTAGGTCGCGGGGACGCCCCACGTTCCCACTCTAGGCCCTGGAACCCGACGCCCGCGCGGCCCCGGCACCCGGGCACCGCACTCACCCGCTAGCGCCGCCATCTTGCCCTCGGCCTTCAAGCAACCTCTACGGTCCGCGCTTTTAGTGCTCCGGGTCTTCAGAGCCGTCACCCAAAGCGGCTCGGGAGGTGTGCGGAAACCGGAACCTGGAGGCGGATTGTTCCGCTTGCTCTCCGTGTTCGTGTTCACGCTGCACGTCCCCAGACCTCTTGCTCCGGAAAACACGACGCTAGGATAAGGGTGCCATGGGAGAAGTCACTGTACACTCTTTCTTTTGATTTCGAGAAGCAAAAAATGCTACTCGTCCCTGGGTGGGCTCGAACCACCAACCTTTCGGTTAACAGCCGAACGCGCTAACCGATTGCGCCACAGAGACGCCGACGAACTTTCATTCCCCATATAGCCCTATGAGGAACATAGAGCGGGCGCGCATAAAGTGTGCCTGCGCGAGATGCTTGATTTTTTTTTTTTTTTTTTTGTCTCACTTTTGGGCGGAGTCTAGGTATGAGCAGGCTCTAAAGGCCGGCCGAAATAGCTCAGTTGGGAGAGCGTTAGACTGAAGATCTAAAGGTCCCTGGTTCGATCCCGGGTTTCGGCAGCGGGTTTGGGCTCGTGAATTTTTTTTTTTTTTTTTTTGTCTTTTTGAGGCAGTGTCTCTCTATGCAGTTTAGGCTGGCCTTGAGCTCACTTTGGAGCCCAGGCTGGTCTCGAACTCACAGTGATCCTCCTGCCTCAGCCTCCTGAGTGCTGGGATTACAAGCATGAGCCCCCACGCCTGGCTCGGTCCCGAGTTTTGATGTTGTCTATTTAACCAAAAATTTAGAATTTGAGTGTCCCACTCAAAGGTTTTATGATTTCAGTGAAAGCATCCTGTCCCTTTTTCTTTGCTTAATATTTCCAAAAAAAAATTTTTTTCAAACATTCCTTTAAGCTGGGGATTTAGCTCAGCGGCCTAAGTACCTGCCTGGCAAGTGTGAGGTCTTGAGTTTGATCCCTAGTGGGAAAAACAAAACAAAACAAAACAAAACAAAAAAATTCTTTAAAAAAATTGTTAATTTGCCCAGTAAGTACGAGATCGTAGTTTGATCCTCGGTACCCCCCCCCCAAAAAAATTACTTTGAGCTGGTGCAGTGGCACACATCTGTAATCCCAGCATTCAGGAGGCTGAGGCAGAAGGCTCACCGTGAGTTCGAGGCCAGCCTGAGTTCCAGGCCAGTCTGAGCTACGTAGCAAAAAAACCCTGTCTCAAAAAGAATAAAACTGAAAATCGTTATTTGTAGGGCTAGAAGTGGTAGGATATTTTTTAAATTGGTAGGTCTATAGCCAGTACTGATTGTCAAATGTAACACTAACTACCCTACTAGGGTTTGTAAAACTACTCCCTACTTGAGTGTTCTTTTCCTCTTCTGGTTCTGGTTTTGAACCTAAGGTTTTTGCACTGAGCCACATTCCTAGCCCGTTTTAAAATTTTTTTGAGACGAGATCTCCCTAAATTATGAAATTACCCAGGCTGAGCTCAAAATCCAGATCCTCCTGCCTCAGCCTCTCAGCGTCCCAGGATGATAGGTTTGGCTCAGGAATTCTAGAGTGATGCAAAACAGGCTCTTTTCACAGTGGGACCCCACCACAGTCCTGCGTGACATCTCCTCACCGGAAGGCTGCCAGGAGACCAGCAAGGCTAGGAACTGAACGGCCCGGTGGCTGCCTCCTGCTTGCATAGGAACCTCAGCTTCCCCGGACGCTGCGTGACTGCCACGGCCGGCTGGGCTGCTTCCTCCGAGGGGAGCCGTGCAGGCTGGTGCTGGGGGTGAGGGGACCCACATCCCCGCTCCCATCCGTGCAGCCTCCAGAGACAGACACCCTGAGCTCCTAACCACCCTCCTCCTGGGCCCTGAGCTACGGAAACCGCGAGGAGCAGCAGTGTTTCCTACAGCGAGGTTTTGGGCAGATTCGGCTCAGAGAAAGAGAGCGTGCTGGACTCCGAGTGGTGCCCGCATGGATGGAGGCGGGGCAGAGTTTGAGACCCTGAGGACCGCGGCTAGAGTGAGGCAGGCGCAGGTAAACGGGAAAGGGTGGAACGGGAGTGCAGGAAAGAACGGCGGGAAGGAGGAGAGAAGGGGGAGGCAGGGGAGGGGGAGGAGGGAGGGGAGGAGGGGGAGCAGGGGGACTGAGGTGCTGAGGGCTCCCAAGCAGGGTGGCTCCTGAGGGTGGCACTAAGGGACACCTAATTCTGGGAAACCCAAGTCCTCCTCTTCCGGGGACACGGAGACGGGTCCCCTGAGGGGTGGCGTTGCCTTGTGGGAGCTCCTGGTACCAACAGCACTTGCAGTACCGGGGATGCCCCGCAGAGAGCGCTCCAACCTCAGTGTGCACATCACTGAGCAGGGGACACGGGCTCAGGGGGACACGGGTCTATGGAGAACCCGGGGTCACCAGCAGGGGTGGTGCAGACACTCCCTGCCAGGAGGCAGCTGTGTGGGAGGATGGGGCGCTGCACCCCTTGTGGATGTGGATGAGCTGGGTCTGGCCCCTCTGTGCCTTGAAAGCAGCCAAGTCCCGCTGGCCACCCCTGGGGGGACCTCAGCTGGGCCTCGGGACAAGCTCTAGAACCTTCCTGAGGGGGTGCTGAATACTGAGGTGAATGCCCCGCGGAAGGGGGAGCAGGAGGGCCGCCCTCCAGCCCCTCCTGCGCTGGTCTGACCTGGCTCTGGTTTCCTTGACAGCTGGGGCTTTCTTGGTGACACTCACGCAGCGTCCCCCCAGTCTAGCCCCTGAGACCCGCCTGTGTCCCAGCCCACCGCTCTCCGTGCAGCACCCAGCTCTCCCCCAGCGAACAGAATGACTTGGGTTAAAGAAAGAAATCTTCTAAGTGCCATTTAATTCTAGCAGCAAGGGCTGGACGACCCCGTCCTCAGGACACGGAGGGGGTGGAACAGAAATACTTCCGGACACAGCTGGGTGCCGCGGTGTGTGTACCCACAGAATCCTAGCACTCTGGGAGGCTGAGGCAAGAAGGTCAGAAGTGCAAGCCCAGCTGAGCCTGTCCTATAAAAAAGATAAAGGGCTGGGGGTGCAGTTCAATGTGAAGGCGGCCCTGGGGTGAATCCTTGTGTGGGGGGGGGACAGACAGACAGACATTGTGACAGCCGTGATCACTCTCAGGGACTCTGCCGTGCCAGCCAGGGCATTATGGGCATTTCTGTGTGGCAGTGGCTACTGGGGCCCCGGCCCAGGTCCCTGAGGCCAAGGGTGTGAGGGAGGGAGGTGTCCCCGGCCCCTGAAGGACAGGGAGAGCTGATCAGAGCCCCTGCCCACATCACCAGACCCGCCAGCTGCGTGTCTGTTTCCTCCTTCTCCTTGGTGATCCCAGCCAAACCGAATACACTGAAATCGGCCAGTGGAACATTCTCAGGCCCCAGGCCAGGGCCCAGCTGTCACGTCCCTGCCCAATCTAGAGGGGGTGGTTGGGGTGTGTCACACTCACTAAGGAACAGTGACAGGGACCATGGCTCGCTCTGCATCCCTGGCACAGGGTGAGGGGACATTGATGCCACCACACAGCCTCTGTGCCCTGGCCTCCCACACCCGATGTCCCTGCGGCACGGGCCTCCAGTGCTGCAGGTCACAGGGATGGCAGGGTGGGACTGTGGACTCGGAAGTGGGGCTGGGGGTGACATGGAGGGGACTGGACACCACTGGACCAAAAGACCACAGATGCTCTGCCGCCACACAGTCACGCCAGACGCTTTCTAAAAAGTCCCATTTAATACTGGATGTGATAAGTGACATAAAACACATGTGCGACTTTTATCAAACTATACAGCCACGATGGACAGTGTACAATCACAGCGTCCAGCTCGAGACACCTGGCGGGAAACACGCATCCGGCAGGACACGAGTGCACAGGGCAGCCTTTGCCAGCCACCATGTGGCCTCCTTGGACTGTGAAGGTGACGGGCTGGGGTCCCCGCATCCCAGGGCAAGCGGCGGTGGCGGTGGCGGTGGGGTGGGGTGGGCATCACCGGTGACGCCGGCTTCTTTCCTCCAGGACCTGGTTATCAAATATTTGCTTTTCCCTGCAGAAGACAGAAGCAGACACGTCACACAAGTGACCGATCATGGGGCTCAGGGGAAAATGGAGCAGAGCACGGTGGCACAGGCGGGTCATCCCAGCACTCAGGAGGCTGAGGCAGGAGGATCGCTGTGCATTCAAGGCCAGCCAGGGCTATAAAGTGAGTTAGAAGGCCAGCCTGAACTGCAGCAGAAATGCTATCTCGAACAGAACAGAACAGAACAGAACGGGTGTGGCAGTGCTCGCCTCTCATCCCAGCACTTGGATCACCAAACTTTTATAGCTAGCACGCCCTACATTGTGAGACCCTGTCACACAAAAAAGAAAAAGATGGTCTGAGAATCTGGGCACAATCGTGCACATCTGAGCCCTGGCACCTGGGAAGCGGAGGCAGAAGCCGGAGTCTGAAGCCAGCCTGGGATATACAGTGAGTTTGAGCCTAGCCCACACCATGCAGCGTCACTCCAACGATTTTCTTTTTACTCCAAGAAAACATTAAGGTAGATGAAATACTGATTTTCTCTCGAGTCTCTTCACATGCTGGTCTTGAACTCCAGTGAACTAGGTGTGGGTCAAAAAGGCGTGGCTGCCTCGGAGCGCATGCGCATTGCACCAAGCAGCCCGGGGGTGGGGTGGGGGCAGGCAGGAGAGCCAGGGCGGGGCAAAGAGGGCGGGGGCAGAGCGGTGGGAGCCGTGGGCGCCCTGATCCGGGGCAATGTGAGGACCCGTATGTAGACCTTCCGGCGAGCTCCCGCGAGATGTGGGCGGCACCAACGGGAGCCGCCGCTGCGGAGAGCCCGCTGTGGTGACTCGGGCTGAACCAGTTACTTTCGGGGTTTTTTGTTTATTTTTTCTCCTTTGTTCGGCACAACTTCGCTGTGTGGGGCTAGTTTCTCCCGCACCTGTTTACCCCACACTTTTAAAATACAATTCCTAGCACCCTTGCTGGCGCGTCCAGATCCACTCTCTGTTCCAGGCAAAGAACCGGGATGCTCTGGCGAGAAGCTCCTTATGGTTAGAGCATGACAGTGAGTCAGGAGGGCCATCAGGGGAGCAAGAAACAAAAGGGCACGAGACCGCCACCGTGGATGGGTGCCGTGATGGTGGGCGGCGGGCAGCCGCCGCGTGACAAGGGGGACCCCATCCCCGCCAGCGTCCGCCTCGTTACGCTTAAGGGAGACACCGGACGGACGGCCCTGCTGTGCGTTCTCACGGGCAGCATGAGCTGCCAAGAGGAAGCCGGGGGGACCGAAAGCCTGGGCTGACACAGCACCCTCCTCCCACGGCTGCCACTGTCACATGTCAAGTGGGTCAGATCAGTGCTGCAAAGAAGCCCTGATAAAAATGCCAAGCATCTGCTTCCAAAGACGTTCCCAGTTGGGACTGAACGCAGGGCACTTCACACTGAGCTACATCCGCAGCTCCTTTTTGCTTTGAGGCAAGGTCTCCCCAGATTACAAGTTTCCCAAGCAGGGCTTGAACTTAGGACCTTCCTGCCTCAGTCTCCCAGAAAGCTGAGATCACAGGCATGTGCCACCACGAGCAGTGGCCCTTCTTGTTCTATTAATTCAGCAGGCAGGGTTGAAACTCCTGTAAATTAAGCTGAATTTAATCTCTTTTGGACCGTTTTGCAGTGACCTTCAGGCACTGAAACTAACGAGCCTGCCAGGGAGAACCCTGGGTTCCCAAGGGCACGGCAAGGCTCACACCAGCCCCTGCAGACAGTATGCCCGGAGGCAGAGGGGCCGGGCATGCAGCCAGGCTGGTGAGCCCTGTGGAGGACCCTGCCCTGCGACTCCTGATCCATCTTGTGCCTGTCACTGCCCTGCGGCCCTGCTGGCTCCCGCCAAGGCCTGGCAGTGTGCCCAGAGGCGGATTAGGGGCTGGGGGCCAGAGATCCGGGCGGCGGGATGTGCGGAAACATCTTGATCACAGCCTTCACTCCTGCCCAGAGCAGAGGCTGCTTCTTAATTTCACTCTTTTCTCCTCCAGCCACGAGGCTGGCGCAGCGGGGAGAAAACCCAGAACGTGCCCACCCCCACGCAGGAGATTAGGGAGCCGCAGTCAGGGATGCCGCCGAGCACGCGACCCGGTTGCCAGGCCGGGGGGACCTGGGGCCAGGGCGGGCTGCTCCCAGGCAAGGGCCTGGCTTGGGTCCAGCTTGCCTCCACAGGCCAGCTCAGAGCTCCTGGCCACTGCCTGCCAAGCCCCCCTAGGATGACGGGGACGTCTGCCACCAGGAACGCCAGCGGCCGGGTTAAAGGCACAGCCTACCGGTAGCCAAGCGATGGGCCCTTTATGTACTTCTCCTCGGCTGTCTTGTAGTCCACAGCGTCCACGGCAGAGATGGCACAGATGATGGCCTGTAAGAGGACATAGAGCACTGGACTGGGGCAGTGGCTCTGGCTGCACACCAGGCAGCTCTGTCTCCACTGAAATTCCCAAGCCGAACCCCAACACTTCCTTTTGGACTGGAGATGAGAGTTTGTGTCATTAATGGCAGGGAGTAAAAAGCACAGCTCGGGCTGGGGATTTAGCTCAGTGGTTAAGTGCCTGCTTTGCAAGTGAGCGATCATGAGTTTGATCCCTGGTACCCGTTAAAAAAAAAAAAACACAGCTCAATCTCACCAGGGCATTTTTGAAAACCTGAGAGCTTACTATTAAAAATAACCCAAAGCGGAATACATACTCATACACAAAAAAAACCCTACAAGATAGAGTAAGGGGCAGCTGAGCACTGCAGTGCGCGCCTGTAATTCTTGGAAGCTGGGACGGAAAGATTTCAAATTTCAGCCCAGCCTAGGTGCCTTAGCAGGACCCTGTACTCAAAAAAAACAATGCCTGTTATTCCCAGAACGAGAGGCTGAGGCAGGAGGACTGCAGCGTCAACCCGGCCTGGGTTACATAACAAGACACTGTCTCAAATAGAGAAAAACTGATGGCAACAAAGACACTGTGTACAGCACAGAGCAGGTGCCCACCCGGGTCCGGCACTGGGGAGCTGGGGCCAGGTCTCCTCTGGGGTGAGCTTCCTGGGCACTGCAGGGGCCAGGCAGCGTTCCTGACTGCACTGCTCCAGGCCAGGAGCTCCCAGAGGTGTGACAGCCATCGGTGTCCCCAAACACAGCCCAGGTCCAGCTTTACAGGACACTTAAGGGTAAAAAGAGTGGGAGGTTTTCCTGCTCCCCTAAAATAATGTGGGACACCAAGCAGAGCTGACTGCGCTAGGTTATTTTTGACCCCGCTGACGGATTCTGGGGTTGAGGATTTAGCTCAGGGGCACAGCACCTGCCTGGCAAGTGCGAGGTCGTGAGTTTGATTCCAGGTACAAAAGAAAAAGGTCCTGCCAACCCCAAGGCCCAGTGACTTTGCCAGTGCTCTCTGCTGATCCTAGTGTGCACCCCACATGCCCTCTCCTGAGCCCTGAGCCTGGCCCAAGGTCACAGCCATGCTCAAGGTCACAGCCAGAGCTGTAAGAACGGGGTAAGAACATTTTCTATGGCTCGAGTGAGGACTGAACCCCTCTACCACTGGGCTCTGCCCCTAAGCCCCGAGCCCAGTCCTTTTGTTACTTATTTGAAACAGGGTTTCCTAAGTGGCCCAGGCTGTGCTCAAACTTGGGATCCTCCTGCCTCCGCCTCCAAGCAGCTGGGATCACAGGTGGTGCCATGTGCCTGCCAGGAACCCTTCCTCCCGGGTGACCTAGCCAGAGCACGGCACTTGCCACACACTTGCCCTGAGGGTCAATGGTGAGGCTGAGACCCAGGAGCCCTGTCCCCTGACCCGCAATGCGGCCGAGCGGCCGAAGGGCAGGCAGGCTCTGGAGCGCCACAGGGCAGTGGGCCTGGCGTCCCCACCCACCCCGCCACTCACCTCGGGCAGCAGCACGTCGAGGATGAAGCGGATGCGGTCGCCCCTGGCGCGGGCCAGCTTGTCGCCATCCATGTCCTGGTAGACGCCCTGCAGGTACTTCACCACGCGCTCCAGCTGCTCCTCGTCCTCCAGGTAGGTCTCCATGCACGTCACATACTGGCCCGAGCTCAGGAACATCTTCAGCCACCTCGACGGCTTGCCGTTCTTCAGGATGGCGTGCAGGTGGCTCTCAGCACCCCGGGTCTTCACGATGTACTCCACCAGCTTCTGGTTGGCGCGGTCCCGGGCAGCCCGCGAGCGGTCAGGCAGTACCTTCTTGCAGGGCCGCTGCCACCCCAGGGGGCTGTTGCCCTCCGGTTCCTCGGGGTCCCCTCTGCTCAGCTGGGGGAACCTGGTACCCTTGGCGTCCTGCTGGATGGACTTCCGGACAGGGTAACCTGGGGGGAAGCGCTCAGCGTTGGATGTTGGCCGCCTGTACCCCACTCCTGAGTAAGCCAGGCTCACAGAGAAGCAGCTGGGCGAGAACCAGCAGAACTGGGGCAGGGGACAGGGACCAGATCGATGGTCGGACTCCTAAAGACCCCTCCTGTGCCGAGCTCGCCGGCACACACCTGTGATCCCTGCTGAGGCAGGAGGACTCAGAGTTCATGACCAGCCTGGGCTACATAGTGATTTCAAAGCCAGGCTGGATTATATATGAAGACCCTGTCTCAAAAACCAACACCAAAAAATAAAATAAAACAAAAAATTTAAAGATTTAAAAAAAAACACCAAACCAAGACCTTTCCCACTGACAGGATCCCTGATCTCTCGCTCCTAACACAGCCCTTTACGTTTACCAAATCAGAGAAATTACATAACAAGCCTGTCTCAAAAAAGATAAATAAATAAAACACGTAAACAAACTAAAAATAACGGGTTGGCTGTGCAAAGCCCTGGTGGACATTCTAGTATGCAGGCAGCACTCCTAAGCTGCCTGACCCCGTGGCCAGCCGTCACAGCAGAAAAACAGGACCCAGGTTTGTGGAGGACCTGGCGGTGGCAGCCCACAGGTCCCAGGCAGGCAAGGGCAGCTCACGGTCAGGGGCACTCGGGGTCACTGGGTTCAACTGGAATGCGGGTGGCACTGAGCCTGGCAAAGCCATCCCACAGCCGCAGCCTCGGAAGACCACAGCCTCTAGAGGGCTGAGAAGCAGCGAAGCCCACTCGGACTTACTGATGTCGGCAGCGAAGTATTCCAGGAAGGAGCCAGCGAAGGAGCCGCAGCCTGCAGAGCGGGGGAGGAGGGGCGACGCTCAGACCCGGGGCTGCAGGGCCTGCACCCGGCTCCCTCCCTCCTCTGCACCCCGTGTTCCCAAATGGCAGATTTAGCACACCTCATCCTCTAACCCGAGGTTATTCCCAGTTCATCTTTTTTGGGGGATACAGGGATCAAACAGGACCCTGAGCTTGCCAGCCAGGCGCTTTGCAGCAGAGCTAAAATCCCGGCCCCACTTCATCTTGGCTTGGGAGAGGTGCCTGCGAGCCGCAGGTCAGCCCCAGGGTTCTCTCTGCCCTCCGGGGGCACCCCACATACCTAACCGCACCCGGTAGTCGGTGATGAGAGACACACAGCAACCGATGGCCTGGTCGAAGTCCTCTCTGGCTTTGTCCTGCAAGCCCCAGATGGCGAGGCATCAGCAGGGGTCGAGCCACAGAGTTCTGGACCTCTGGGGGGCCTTGGGGGGCCCTCAAGTTCCCCAGCCTTGGGGTCCCATTCCTCTGAAGGGCCTGGTGTGGGCCCTAAACTGCTGGTCCACATCCACCCATAACCCTGTCGCTCCGGCAAGCCTCGGGAGAGGTTGATGTTGTCCCCAGACAGACACAGATGTCACAACAGCCATCGGAGGGAGTGATATGCCCATGTGTTGCAGGCTCACATTGCCAGGGACACGGCAAGGTCACCAGGGACGTGCTATCCTTGGAGAATAATGCCCACAACCCCATCCCACTCTGGCAGCTGAAAGGTAGCTCTACAGAGCCGGGTGGCATCATAGGGAACCTCAGGGTGGGATACCTGGCACCGTGACCTGTCTGTCTACAAATACAGTCACAATGGGGACAAGAAGGGTTTACTGCTGGCATTGGAGACCAGAGCAAGCGACTGCAACTCCAGGGGAGCACAGGAGACCAGGGAAGGGCCCCCCAGCCACTGCACAGGGCCCACCTGGTCACCCAGTGGGCTGAAACCCCCAGGCAGTGCCCAGCACCCGGCAGACGAACAGCCTTCCCATAACTGCCCCTCAGAGGCCTCAACCCTGACCACTTCAATATTTTCGGTACTGGGGCTCAAGCCTAAAGCCTCACATGAGTGACACAGAGTGACATGCCAGCCCCACGTGCTGAAGAGAGGACTGAAGTGTTTTCCCCAGGGGAAAGGATGCTAACCAACCGGGCGTGGCACCACCCGAAGGTCACCCCAGCTGCTTGGCAGGAGAACCACAGTTTTTTAGCTCAGCTCCAGCAGGTCAGCAAGACTGCCTTAAAAGAAGCTGTGGGTAACGGTGCACAGCTGTAACCCCAGCATTAAGGAAGCTAAGGCAGGAGGATAGTTGTGAGTTCAAGACCAGCCTGGGCTCCAAAAGTGAGCTCAAGGCCAGCCTGAACTGCATAGCAAGACCCTGTCTCAAAAAGACAAAAAGGCGCCGGGCGTGGTGGCGCACACCAGTAGTCCCAGCTACTCGGGAGGCTGAGGTGGGAGATCGCTTGAGTCCAGGAGTTCTGGGCTGCAGCGCGCTATGCTGATCAGGTGTCCGCACTAAGTTCGGCATCAATATGGTGACCTCCCGGGAGCGGGGGATCACCAGGTTGCCTAAGGAGGGGTGAACCGGCCCAGGTCGGAAACGGAGCAGGTCAAAACTCTGTGCTGAGATCGCGCCTGTGAATAGCCACTGCACTCCAGCCTGGGCAATATAGTGAGACCCTGTCTCTTAAAAAAAAAAAAAAGACAAAAAAGAAAAAAGGGGCTGGGGATTTAGCTCAATGGCATAAACACCTGCCTTGCAAGCAGGCAGTCGTGAGTTTGATCCCCGGTACCGATAAAAAGGAAAGAAGAAAAAAAAAAAAAACAGCAGAGGACATAGCTCAGTGGTAGAGGACCTTTGGGTTCGACCCCAACATCACAAAGAGAAAGCAAACACAAGGTACTGGCCACCAGACACTCTGTGCGTCAGGGTCACCTCACAGGTAAGGCCTGATTTTCTCAGCGCACAGATTTTGGGTGATAAATGTGCTCTGTGTGTGTGAGGTGCGTAAGCCTCAGGGAAGCAGACACTGCCCTCACCTGTGCCCACACCTCCTCCTGCTTTGGGGGCACTGTCCCAGGCCCCCGGAGCAGAACCAACACCTCCAGGATGAGCGCAGGGCCCTCAGGAGCCGCTGCCCCCGCCTCCTTTGTGTGTGGATCTGAAACAAGGGGAGCGCGCCAAAGCCCCGATGCCGCCCGCTGCCAACACCAAGACCAGCCCAGGGCTGCTCGGGGGCTCTGCAGTGGGCTGCGGTTCCAACTCACAGGAAGCAAGCGAAAGAGGGTCAGGCTCGGAACCTCAGGGACAGGCAGACCAGCCAGGGATCAAAGAACTGGAGCTCAGCAAACGGAAATAGGAGCATTACATGGTGACGCTCGCCATCACAAGTTTGAGCCCAGCCTGGGACTGCCGTGACTTACGGAGACCTTGTCACAAAATAAAACGTAAAAAAAAGAAAAAGAAGAAATGGGGAGCTGACTGTGTAGCTAGCGGTGAGCGCACACTTGGCACATAGGAGACCTTGGGGTTCATCCCCAACAAAGAGAGAAAGAAATCCACAGTGGTCACCATAAAGAGCCCCCTGCTCCGCAGGACACACCCGGCACCCACAGGCTCCACATGAAACTTCAGGTCCTCAGAGCAGCAGCCGTAAACCCCGAGGCCAGCACGGCCCTGGCTGAGCCGCCAAAAAGAGATAAAACGAAATGAAATGAATTTTTTTCCATTGCAAAGGAACCCAGGGCTTCCCCACCTCCAGCCGTCTTTTTTTTTTCTTTGATTTTGAGATAGGATCTTGCTGAACTGCCCAGGTAGGTGGGCCTTCAGTTTGCAAACCTCCTGCCTCAGCCTCCTGAGTACCCGGGATGTACAAGTGTGTGCCACGGCCCCTGGCTCAAAGGTATTTTCCCACTGGACAGCTTGACTGTGTCACACAAGCGTCTTCCGGGGGAAAACCTCCCCAGGGGTGCTGTGAGCAGCCAGCTCCACACCGACCCTCAAACCCAGCACAACAGCCTGGAACAGGGACTTGGCTTCCGAGCTCTCAGCTCCAGGGCTCTGTCCACTGAACCCATAAACAGCAGCCCTGCGCCTGGGCTCCCCACCCTGCCTGCCCGGGCCCCACTGTGGTCCCCTCTAAAACACAGAGACAGGGCCAGCAACTGCCCAGCTCGGCCAGGACTGACCACACCTACCAGGAGCGCTTGCTTCTCCTTACAGTCAAAGTGCTTCAGTCTCCGGAGCGACACAGTGATGCTGGGGAATGGACAGAGGGGACATTTAGCTGGCAGGGACTTCATCCTGGGCCCCCCACGTGGACTCTTCTAGTGGCTTGAGGGACTCCGTGGAGCCAGGCCTGGAGCTAATGGTGGCAGTGACTTTAGCAAACAATCACAGGTCCTTGGGGTTGGGGGTGACAGGGGCCCCAGTCCCTCGCCCATACCCCAGTGGCCATCAGAGGAAGCACCAAGAGCCAACAGAATTCAGCTCCACAGTGTCTGGCTGACAGCTGGGGGGGGGGGCGTGGCAGCTCTGGGCTTAGGCAGGGGACCGGAGCCGGCCACTAAGCTTTACTAAGGGGGACCCCGCAGAGACTGTTTAGGCTAGGAAATGGGAAAAAGAGACGGGGCGTCTCCTCCAGCTGCTGGGGGCTGACTGGAGCCCCTCCCCGTCCCACCGGGCTCACAACCCGCACCCAGGTCCCCCCATTACACAAAGGGCAGGGCTTTCTGTACCCGCGTCCTTTGGGGTTCATATCCCGCTCAATGAAGAGCACACTTGCTTTCTTCTCCCGCCGCTTCACACTTTTGACCTGGGGGGGGGGTCATCCCAGAAAACAGCGTCACAAGCACTCGTGGGGCCGGGCTGTGGATTTCAGGCACCCAGCCCCACCCCCACCGCCACATAATCTTGAGAAGGGGCACAGGGGACGTGACCAGGTCGGAGCGCTACATACAGCCTGGGGACCCGGGCTGCTTTGTGCAGTGTCGCACTGAAGCCAAACCCAGGGTTTCTGTTTAAGTCTCTTTTTTGGGGGGTCCTGAGGGTCTCCCCCCAAGGCCGGGCTGGCCTTGAACTCAACATCGAGCGTCCTGCCTCAGCCTTCCTACTGCAGGATGACAGGCATGCGCGACTGTGCCCAGCTCTCAGGCCCTGCGCAGGGCTGGCTCCAGCAGCCTGGCAAGGCACCATATCACAGTCTGTTTTCCACCCTGCTGCTGTTCATGGCGCTGGGGAGCCAACTCAGGGCCCTGTACATGCAAGGAAAGAGCTCGGCCACTGAGCCACATCCCCAACCCATCAGACCCGGGCACCCGAGTGACCACCAGGCCAGCAGGGACCCCAGATCTGGACTCGGCAGAAAGCTGCAGGGAGGCCAGGAGGGGTCATGCACACCGACTCCCTCCAGCCAGGCCGAGGGGCTCCCGGGAGTCCCCGCTCGGCTGCATGCATGGACCGAGCCCTGCCTTTTCTGTCACCTCAGCGGCCCGTGTGGGGGCGCCTTGGTGGTGTGGCTCAGGTCAGGGCCGGTAACACAGCATGAGCGTCACCTGCTGACCGCAGAACAAAAAAAACCTCCCGGACAGAAACGTCATGGCTTCTTGATGAAAAAAAATTATAAACAGCCCGGCCTGGGGGTCTGCTGAGCCAATAGCAGGTCCTGGGTGCATCCCCAGAACTGCAAAAAATAAAAAAGTTAAATTTAAAAGCAAAAAAAAAAAATTTAAATTAAAACTTCAATCACTGGGCCTGGAAATTAGTGCTGCAGCAGAGCGCCTGCCTGGCAAGGAAAAAGTGGTGAGTCTGATCACCAGTACCAAAAAAAGAAAAAGAAAAAGAAAAGATCCTTCAACAACTGCACCTCAAACAGTCAGAAAGGGAACATGAGGGGAAAAATATGAAAGAGGAAAAAAAGGGTCCTAGATGCAAAGGAAAAAAAAAAGGTCCTTAGAAAAAAAAAGGACCCAACACCCTTGGTCCCCCCAAAATAACCAGCACACAGACACATGGACAGAGCAAAGCTGAGCTGAGCCTTGCCTGGGCTCACTGAACCCACAAGCAAACTCCTACTTACCTGCAAGCACCTCTTCCTACAAGCCACAAAACCGGCCACCCGGGTGTGGCCACCTGGCCACAAAACCTACATTGGTCAGCTTTACTGGGGGGAAAAAGTTTTGAATTGCACAATATTTAACATGAGCAAAAGCTGACATTGTTTGACTTTTAGTGGTACTGAGGACTGGACCCCAGGGCTTATCCCTGACCTACACCCCGAGCCTTTGTCCGACAGGGTCTTGCCAAATTAAATTAGTAAGTTGCCTGGGCTAGGCTGGAACCTGGTGATCCCCCTGCCTCAGCTTCCACAAAGTGCTGGGATGCCAAGTACGTACCACTGTGCCCAGCATACTACGCTGTTTTTAAGGAGGTTTTCCTAGGTCCACCTGCTATGAATTTGGCCTGTGCACCTCACACTAAACTGCTCCCGAGTGTTCGAGCCCCTGTGTCAGGGAATTGGGTCCCTGGTCTTGCGTCCCGCCACTCCGCCAAGGTTCCCAGCAATCGCAAAAGCTGGACACCCACCCGCCCAGGGCAGAGGATGGGGGAGCCCTGGACACAGAGACCAGCTGCTGAGAGGGGACAGAGGTGACTCTTACCACTGCTGGCCAGAACGGGTATTTTTGGTATTTAAGCCACACCAGCATTCCTACTTCAAATGAACGTGGTTCTAGAATGAATGAATGAAAGAAAGAAAGAAAGAAAGAAAGAAAGAAAGAAAGAAAGACAAAAACAAAAAGAAAAAAGAGACAAGGCAAACCCTTATCAGGGAGTAAGCATAGCAACTTGAGAAAAAACCCAGTCCTCCGGACACTACCAACCCCGGTCTGAACACAAGTCACCCCCGAGGTCGCCAGCCTCTCTGAGGCAGCACCGTCACCCGTGTCCCCGGGGGCACTGCCAGTTGGGAGACCCCACGGCACACGACAGTGGCTCTGTGTGGTGCAATGCAGGTGCCCTGGCGGCGACCACAGGGCCGGGGTGGCGGGAGACGTCCAGAGCGGTAGAAGGGGCCCCGGCTCCTGTATTTGCAACTTCTGTAAACCTCAAACAAATGCGCAACAATACTCCGAAACACAACTTTTGTGTGTTTCACAGCTCCAAAAGCTGTGAAATGAAAGAGCGCAGGAGGACAGAGAAACTGGCTCTCGGCAACCGGTGAGCGCCAGGCCCAGGAGCGCCTTTGGAACATGCGTGCCTGAGAAAGGAGGTCTTCAGACGGGAGGGAAATCATTCAAGTCACAAAGGAATCAAAAATTTGTTTTACAAACAAAAACTTTCTCTCTACACACAATCCCACCGCCAGGCATCCCAGGAGGCTGAGGCAGGGCAGCTCCGCCTCACAAAACCAAAAAGAGTAACTGAAGAAATAAAAAAAAAAGACAAGAAACAAAAAGAAAAAGAAAATCCCCAGGATAAGTGAATTATCTAAAAATTTAAAACCCCCCAACAGGAAAACCACTAGAAAGCTGCAGCCATTCCTGAATCTATGGGGTCACGGCCATCTGACCGGGGAGCAGGGGAGGAAGCCAAGTATTTGGCTGTGAAGTAAAAACAGTAAAAATAAAAGCCGCACGGAAAGGGATGCCAGGCAGGAAAGGCTGTGACTCCAGCAGGGGATGTCCCCTTGCAAAGATGCCCCTTTGCAGAGACACTGGGCTTCCTCAAGCCCCAGGGGCTGGCACACACCCCAGCTGGGCTCAGGGCTCAGGGCCAGGCTCGCCCAGCGGGTGACATCCAAGACCCCCTGGGAACGGAGCCCGGATCTGGCACTAGTAGGAGAAACCATGGCAGTGCTGTGGGTGTGAGGCTGACCCGGGTCACCCCGACCCCGGCTGGTGGTAGCGGACGTCCTAGGGTCCTCCCAAGGCGATCACAGCCACGGGAGAATGGATCCGGGAGGCGACTCTCCAGAAGGCCACCGCAGGGGGACAGAAGCAGCCACCACTGTGGGAGGGGAGGGGACAGGCTGCTGAGGGAAGGCTGGGTACAGGGTGACCTGGCGACAAACAGGGAACCGGTCACCACTACAGACAACCGGACCATAGGGAAATGCAAAAAAAAAAGTCTGAGTCCGTGGTTCGTAAAGAACAAAAAAAAAACAAAGAAAACCAGAGAAAAAAAAGAGCTGCACGGGTGTTCCTGTGGAGGACGACACGCACCCAGCAGCTGAACAAAGGGCCAGCCACGAAGCAAACCCGGGCCCACGCGCACGCGCACTTGGGCTGCAGCCCTGCGGGTGCCCCCGGTGTAGAACACTGGCGATGGGTCCCCGGACACCCCGTACAGGCTTGGAACCTGTTGTTCTCGCCAGATGAGCGGCCACCGTCGCCCCAGGTAAAGCCAGATGCACCCACTGAGGCGCTCCGTTCCACCCTGGCTTCCCTGTCTGCCACTGAGCCTCTGCACCCCGATGGCCCTGTGGCAACATGGCTTTGGGGTGGGGGGTATAGGACAGCTAGCTGTCCCTGCACCGAGGCCACCATGGCCAGCTGCGGTGAGGCAGTGTACGGCCACGCCCAAAGGGGGGCAGGCCACAGAGCCCCTCTCTTCCTTGGCATCCTCTTCCCTAGAAAGGGGCACAGGAGGACCCGGGCTTCAGAGCTGCCGGCCAGCGCAGGGCGCTCTCTCTGGGAACCCCCTTTTCTTCTCTTTGTGTAGGACGAGAACACGGCCCCGCTCATCGACCCCCATGCCAGGGTAGCACACAGACACACTAGATGGTAGGGACCCCTCTGGGAGGCGCAGGTACGATCTTGGGGACAGCAGCCCATTTTCCCTGTATGCTAACTGTCCCCATCCACACTGCTGGCCCAGCCTGAGGCCCAGCCCCGTCCTCTCCTACCGTGATACAAGAGGATTCTCGGAGGCTCCTCCTCCTCCTCTTCCTCCACGGTGGGGTTGCTGGAATTAAACTCTGGGTGCTCCTGGGAAGCTTGAAGGTCTGCCAGAACAGGAGGGGACACTGTCACCGTGAGGCACTGTCCCCGGAGAGGCACCTGGGCTGTATCAACCTAACAGGAAAAGCCCCATACTCCCCCATCTGCACAGGGCACCCCGGATGGAGTACAGTGCCCGATTCTCTCCTCGGTGCTGTGAGTGGGACTCCGGTCCTTGTGCATAGAGGGCATTTTTGAGAAAAATAAGACATGGCCTAAACAGACAGGGACAGGGCCAACCTTTCATGTCCTAAGAGACAGAGGTCACCGTGGGGCAGCAGCCCTGGGTGGGGTTTCCTCCTTTCCTTCACAGCACAAAGCACTGAGGGGAACACAAGAGGGGGTCCCAGGGTCCCAGAGCTAACTGCAAAGGGGACAGGTCAAGTTGCTTCCCTGGCAAGGGAGAGGACAGGCTCCCTGCAGCTGTTGCAGGCACAGGGACACTGTCTCAAGCAAGAGGTCAGCAGACGCTGAGATCCCGTCCTGTGTCTGCCGCAGCCGCGGCCGAGGCCGGAGCAGCCAGACAGCAGGCTGGATGTCAGCATTAGCATTTCAAGGGAGCCACGGACACCGGTGAGGTTAAGCCAGGAAAAGCCAGCGTGCACGGGGCCGCCCGTGGGGGAGCTCCTGGAATTGGGCCTTTGCCACCCCTTTGGCCCACCCTGCCTCTCAGAGGGGACAGCATTCATGCCAAGCATGGTTTCAAAGAATAAACGGCAGCTCCTCGGGGCCTGGGACACAGTGCTCCCCCAGCCCCCCACTTCCTCAGCATCACCAGAGCAGCCTGCGCTGGGCTCCCCCACCCTCTAGTCCGAAACAAAAATTAAAACAAATATTTGGGAGAAGTTGGAAGGAATTATAGCTCAGCGGGGAGACAAACACAAAGGAATGAGAAATCTCTGCCCACGATCTATTCTGGTGATGGTTTCACTACAATCCGGTTAAAAATACCCCAGTGCCCGCCTGCCAGGCTGTGGAGCCCGGCTCCAGCTTCCCTTCCCGGGCTGGCAGATAGGGACGGTCACCCTGTGCCTGTTACCTTCCTCCAGCCTGTCGCTGCTGCCACCATCCTGGAGGCAAGGGGGCTGCGTGTCCTCTACCGCGGTGTCTGGGGAACAAGGGCCAGTGGCAGTGCTTCGCAGGGTCATGTTCGCCCTGGGCCGCAGCCCAAGGGACAGCTCCCGCTCCAGTGGGGTGACAGGTGGCCTCAGGCGCGGCCTCTTTGCAGGGGGCTCTGCAGCCCTCTCTGGAGCTGGGACCACCGTGAGGCTGCCGGATGGCAAACCGGGGTCGTGTCCTTCAGCTCGGGCGCATGGATCATCCTCCCGGGCTCGGGGCGGCGAGGTCTGGCCTGTGCCTGGCTCCTCACTCGGTGGCCCACAAAGGGCAGATGCCTCCTCCTGGCACCGACCCGATCTCTGGGCCAAATTCCTCCCTCTCCTCTTGGCAAGAGTGTGACCCGTGCGGTGGCCCCACTCGCTGCCATCCCGAGGGCTGGCTCCAGCTGGAGCCGCGGACAGGGTCCCTGGGGCCTCGCTTTTCCCCAGCCCTTTCTTGGGGTCCACTTTGAACTCAGGGTCTTTTTCCGCAGTGGACGGACGGGAACCGGCGGAGGCATCTTCCCGGAAGAAAGAGGGAGAGTTTCGGAGGGAGGAGGCGGCCTCGGTGGGCTGCTTCTCCCGGCGACATTCGTTGGACCCGCTTCTCCTCGCGGGGCTTTGCCGGCTCCAGCTGCTGTCCTCGTTCAGGACATCCAGGGCCACCCGCAGCGAGCGTCGGTAGGTCAGCTCCTCCAGGGGTGCGGCGGGGACCTCATGCTGCGAGGCTGCGGTGACAGGAAGGACAGGGCACCCAGTTAGGGCCAGGGACGCACGCGGACAACCGTCACAGCCTGGCCTCCAACGCTCCGCGCTGTGCAACTGTCACCACCAGCCCACGTCCGCGAGGGAGTGAAGGGCAGGCCTGACATCCCTCGCTCTCCCCTGAAAAGGGAACAAAGCTGCAGAACAGCCATTCATCCAGGGCTGGCGACCTTTTTTTTTTTTAAGTTTTTTTTTTTTTTTTAGATGTACTGACCTTAACCTGATTGGCTGAAAAGATAAATTCCTCCAAGTTACAAAACACCACTGTGAACAAAATGTATTCAAATGTTTTGCAAATCCTCTCTCTGCCTTACAATTTCAAATTCAATCAGGGTCAATAAAAACCAATGCCAACTAAATACAGGACGCTGCTGCCAGGGTATTGGGGGAGGGGGCGGCGGCAGGGGAAGGCTCCACCGGTCAGAAAAGACTCATTGTGGGCCGGGTGTTTCCTTCACTGCCCTGCAAGGGCGTTTCAAAGCCAGCAAAGCCCGCGCCGGGCCGCTGGCAGGGCCCATCCTCCCGCCGCAAGTTTTATTTATTCATTCCGACACACAGACACGGCGCTACTTATTTGAACAAGATGATGGATGTAATATCACAACTCAGCGGGCATAATGCCTCAATCCAAACAGTATTTTGCCCCTGTTTAATATTAAAAGCGCCAACGAGTCACCAGCCGGCCCCCTGCCCCCGCCCAGTCGGAACCCACGACAAGGACGCCATCGGGGACGTGGTCAGCGCCACCTGCGGCAGGCGGCGATGGAACTGGCTCCCAACAATGGCAATTTTTCCTGGGGACCCAGGGAACTGGGTCTAGCTTTATGAATGTCGTGGGAAAGAAGTCGGGTCTACCTTTTCACAAAACCCAACAGTTCCTGGCCGGCAGAACAGACCTGGTCACTATGAGAGAGACACAATTCTTCTGCATTTGGGTCTGTTGGGCCGAGACCCGAGCTGTGTGTGTGTGTGTGTGTGTGTGCATGCGTGTGTGCGTGCTGGTGTGACACAGCTCATGCAAAATCACTTCTCAGCTGTGAAATGCAAGAGTGAAGATGCTCGATTGCACACCATGGAGGAAGAAATGAAGAGCCGCTCCCCACTCGCCCAGCGTGGCGGCCCACGCCGCAGGCGCCCACCATGGCGCCAACACAGCCGCAGGCGATGCCAGCCACCCCCTGGGCACAGGGCCAACTGTCCTTGCTCCCCTGGGCTCCCCTCTGGAAGGTCAAACACAGCCTCAAAGTACAGGTGGGGAACAGACCAGCCAGGGGGCGACAGGGTCACCTTACCATCCCACTGTGGGTGGGCAGAGGGAAAGGAAGACCCTGCTCACAGGGGCGCTTCTGCAAGTCCTGTGAGCACAGCTGGCCACAGGGACAGAGATGGCCTTGAACTTGTATCAAATAGGACTAATGGCCAGGCACCAGGGTGCGTGCCCATCATCCTTCGTATTTGGGAAACTGAGGCAGGAGGCTCACAGGTGCAAGGGCAACCCGGGTAACTCAGCAAGACTTGTCTCAAAACAAAAATAAAAAGGGCTGGGGACGTAGCTCAGTGGTAAAGCGTTTGCTTGGCACAGGCCAGGCTTTGGGTTCCATCCCCAGCACTGCGAAAGAAAAAGCCACATGTGGTGATGTACACCTGTCATCCCAGCACCCAAGAGGCTGAGGCAGGAGGATCACCAGGAGTTCAAGGCCGGCCTGGACAACATAGTATGATTCTGTCTCAGGAAGAAAAAAAAAAACCCATCCACACAAAAAGAGTAAGACTGGTTCTCAGGCCACGTTTCAGAAATGCCTCTGGAAACAGATTCGTTTTCTTCACTCTCCTACAGGAACGGGCACCGGGCAATCTCTTACCTCCAGCGCTGAGTCCTCAAATTTTCACCCCCTCCCTCTCATCGCACTAGACCTAAGGGCCCCGGAAACAGGCTCTCACCCAGGCACGAGGCAATTTTCTCAATCTGAGACTTCTTCAGGGTCTCCACTTCTGTGCTTTTCACCTTAATTCTGCAGAGACAGAAAATGACCGTGACATACCACTAGCCAAGGCTGCCAAAGACATTTTCAAACATGTTTTTCTTTAGACAACAAAAGAATTAAATTCATTTTCCTCCTCAACCTTGCACTTACACCAAAAGTCCCAGCCAACTAGGAATTCGCCTGCCTGAGGTTAGAGACAACTAGGACCCTGATGGATGTGGGGGGAAGTTGGGGTTTTTTTTTCTTCTTCTCCTTTTTCTTTTTTTCCTCTTTTAAAACAGAAAAGGTTGGCTGGCGTTAAGAGTAAAAATGAATTCAAATTGTGACTTTTATGAGGCAAATCCGACTTTCAACTACACAAATAACTCCTTTGTTGGGTTTTCAGAGTAGCTGATAATGTCACTAAAAGCTGTTTACAGCCCAGCAGGCGTGTTTTAGTTTAAAAGGATGCGTTTTCCTTTTAAACTCAAGTATTCAATTACCTTCCCAGCCGCGGGGAGAAGCAAGCTGGGGCCAGGCGGGCTCAGGAGACGGGAGGAGTGAGCAGGGGAACCTCCAGACACAGAGGAAGGCGACAGAGACAGGGCCAGAGGCAGCCGGGGACAGCTCTTTCAGAAGTGGCCAATCTGACACTCGATGTGCCAAAGCCACAGTCCCATATCACTTGGGCACACTAACTGCCACCCGTCCAGATGGCCTGCAACTTCCCACTGCCAGGTAACGAAGGGCACAACTGATGTCAAAAGCCACCACATCCATGGGCTGGAAATTTTTGTTTATTGGGGCAAAAGCCTCGAACCCCAAATGTGTCAAAAATCACTGGGCCTGCCAGAGGGGTTTCGGAAACAAGCCACACTCATGAAAGAAATGTCCCCGTGTGGGCCCTGCATGTAATTTCTATCCACTCAAGTCTCGTACCCATGTCTCTGCCTGGGAAGCCGTGTTTCCATCTTTAGCCTCCAAACTAGCATAAAATAATGCCAGCACTGGCTTCATGTGGGTATCAAAGCGATACCACAAATGAGGGGCACTAACTGAAGAGCTAATAAGCTTTTAAAACAGGACTTCATGTGAGGGTGGGGCGGCATCAGAAAAAAAAATAGTACTTAAAAAAAACACAACACTTAACTTTTCATCTAGCGAGAGTATCTGCACATCTAGAAAGGTCTCCTTTTCTCCCTTATCGTTTGTTGAAGTCTTAGGTCCATCCAAAACCTACTTTTAAAACACAAACCAAAACAAATCCTTGTTACAAAGACAAAATGACTGACAAAAGAAACAGAGGCAACTCATGAATAAAAGTACAGCAAGTATTTCTTGGGGCAGACAACCACAGAATTTCAGGGACACCTTGTCGAATCTTCTTTAATTCTGATGGGGAAATCGAGGCATGGGGTGGGGAAAGGGCCAGCGATGATCCCTGTGCAGGACCTGGCCTTTCTCGATGTCCGGCCCAGCATTTCCTGTTGAATTGCTGGGAGGCGTCCCCAAAACACCACAGTTATTTACTATCTCAGAGGCTTCCTGCCAGAAATTCCCTTGAGTCACAGCCTTCCCGTGCCTTTTTATAGCTGACTGTTATTTTTTTCCTCCATCTTTTTTAGTGTGGCAAAGAAAAAAAAAAGATACTTCCAGAAGTAGACCTCATAAGCACCAGACCAAAACCCCATTAAGTGGGGGACACGATTCGGTGCCAACAGATCCCGAAGCCAACCGTTCAGGTTCAATTATTCCATCCAAGCCACTCCTAAGATTTCAGAGCCTGATAGAGATTTTACTTGTCACCTGAAAGTCATTTCTAATTCCCGAAATTACAGAATAATGGCTGTCACCTTTGCAGGCCATGATCGCTCTTCCCATCTGCAGAGGACGTACTTGGCATCCGTCATGATTTATACTCATGTGGCAAGTGGTAATGATTTGGCACAAACAAAGTGCTTCAAGGTCTGCCGCTGATGTGCCCTGCAACGAAATGCGAGCAGCGGTTTAGGAACTCTTTGCTGGGATTTCAGCGCCGCGGCTTCCCTCAAGGGCAAAGGTGAGCTTGGCTGCTTCTACTTCAGCTCAAGGTACACGTGTGCAAGCCCCCAAACAGACTGACAAATGCCCGGCCTCGATACCTGAGGAAGTGCTTGCATTTTTTGTTTTGTTTCTGAAGTAAAGCTGATTCCCTCCCCACGGTTCTTTCCAGATTAGTTTTAAAGGGCTCCTGAATAAATCATCTCCGTGCTAAAGGCCTGCCTGCCCCCAACCTGGGCACTGGGGGCATTTTAAACAATCGGAACTTACAACCTCCTCTCCTGGAGGGGTTCACAGTGACCATAGCCCGCAAAACCCAGAGAGGTCCACAACGGGGCTTCTGGCTGTCATGTCCCTTAAAGGATGGGGACAGCTGCAGACTGTGTACCACGTTCAGAGGAGACTCCCTTGGCTATGCGCAGAAATGGAAAGGGGTGTGTGTGGGTGTGGTGGGGTTCACAGCAGCAGCAAGAGGCGGATCGAGGTGCAGAAGCGGGGTTCACAGCAGCAAGGAAAAAGGGATGCGAAGCAGCAGGAGGGCGCTCCAAAGAGCCAGTTCAGGCAACGGTGGAGACTGAGGCAGCAGCAGTTGGAGGGCTCAGGCTGCAGCGATAGTGTTTGTGCAGCAAGCATGGGGATTCGGGCCAAGGAGATGGAGGTTCAGGGCGCAGGGGCGGGGCACTTGGGGGCTTGCAAAGACGGGAATCGAGGGGTGCAAGGATGCGGATCAGGCCGCAAGGACAGGGAACGGGCCGCAAAGAGAGGATCGGGCCGCAGGGACGGAATCCGGGCTACAAGTACCGGGGACTCGGGCCGCAGAAACGGGGTTTGCGCAGAGGCAGGGTTAGGGTCAGGAGGCACCAGGCGCCCGCCGGGAAGATTCTGTGGCAGGAGCCGCCCCTCCCCCAGGCCCGCCGGCCCGCGCGGCCTCCAAACCGCCCGGCGGAACCAAGAGGCGATCCGGGCCGGGCTCACCGGCGCCCAGGCAAACCCTAAGAGGCGCCCAAGTCTAGGCTGCAAGGCCGCGGCGGCCCCAACGGCGCCCGACAACCGCCGCCGCCCGCCCCCGCGCTCACCGCCTCCGCCGCCGCGCCGCTCCCCGCGGGCCGGGGGCGGAGCCTGCCTCGCGGCGGCGCCAAAGCCCACCTCTACCGTCACCCAATGAGACGCGTGCGCCGTCGCCCCGCCCTTGACCACGCCCCCGTACGTACGATGTCCCGCCCCCGTCGAACGCCGGTTACGCCCCTTCCACCATGTTCACCTTCCCGCACATGCGCAAGAAGCAGGCTTTTAAAGCCCTGCCGGACTAGGGCGTCCACCTTCCCACGCCTCCCCTCTTAGTCATCCGTTCACACGCCCGAGCTGGTCTCTCTTATCTCTGTGGGAAGAAGACAGACGCACATGCCTGACCCCGCAAAACCAGATTCCAACCTCAAAATGAGGGCGACTCCTCCCTGTGCACCGCAGGGGGTATCACCCCCCAAACCAGTCTGGGACCTGAACCCAGGGGCTTTGCCCTGCGCTACATCCCGACCCCTTTTTTAAATTTTTACTTTGAGACAAGTTCTCACTAAATTGCACAGGCTGGGCTGGGCCTAGAGATACTCCTACCTCAGCCTCCCAGGACTGTAGCTTCACGGTATTCAGTGAAAGAGAGGAATTAGGACCAGAGATGACAATCAGGGGTACGAAGCGGGCTTCCCGGGGGCTTCCAGGTCTCCACAGAGTCCCCCCGAGTCCTGGGCTAATGTGGCGGCAGGGAGAGAAGGAGAAGCATCCAGGGCCCCAGGAAAGTGGGAGAGACAGTGTGGCGCTTTGAGGAGGAGGTTACCATGGACCTGTAAAGCAAGGGACTGTCACAGGGTCACAGATCAGGAGGTCACATAACTGGTACCGGTGATGCCCCTTTTTTTTTTTTTTTAATTGTACCAAGAATTGAACTTAGGACCTTGTGCTTGCCAAGCAGGTGCTTATGCTGCTGAGCTATATCTCTGGCCTTTTTGTTCCTCTTCCTCTTTGAGACAGGGTTTCACTATGCAGTTCAGGCTGGTCTCCAGCTGACTTGGTAGCCCAGGCTGGTCTCAGACTTAGAATGATCCTCCTGACTCAGCATCCCAGGTTTTTTCTTTCTTTCTAAACAGGGTCTCCTAATCCCAGCCCTCAGGAGGCTGAGGCAGGAGAATGGTTGCGAGTTCGAGACCAGCCTGGGCTACAAAGTGAGCACAAGGCCAGCCTGAACTGCATAGCACAAGACTCTGTCTCAAAAAAGACAAAAAAAAAACCAAACAAATCAGGCTGGGGATTTAGGTCAGTGGTTGTGAGTTCGATTATGGTACCAAAAAAAAAAAAAAAAATACACCAGGGTCTCCCTGCAGTTCAGGCTGGTCTTGACCTCACTGTGCAACGCAATCCAGCCTCAAACTCACAGTGATCTTCCTGCCTCATCTTCCAGAGTACCCAGCAATGTCCCTGTCCTTCCCAGGTGAGGCAGACGAGGTGGTGACTAGGGCCAGAGCTTCAGAGCATGCCACAAGCCAGCTCTGGGCTCTGATTGGCCCCTAGCTCATAGCTCTGCTGGGTGGACACAAAGGAGCAGCCTTCCCCTCCTGTGCATGCCTCCCCAGTCAGGGCTGGTGACCTGCACAGAGCCATCGTTGACCATCTATGGAACTCGAGTGGGGACATAACCCACACATGCATTGTTAATAAGGTCAGGTGACACCCAGGTTCACGCCCCGTGGTCCCCTTATGACCTAACTAGGTCCTTGGATGGACAGGAGTTTCTCCCCTTTCTGAGGCGATTCTGATGCCCAGCTCAGCTGCTTTGGAAAACACAGACGCATTACTGCTCACCAGGCACATTGCTTGTAGGTGTTAATCTTTGATTTGGTTCATGGTTGAGTACCACGCTTAATACATTTCCTCCGCTCATCACGTTAACAGAAATGAGAGAAATCACCCCGATTGGCCCCCATGCAGGGAGCGCAGGGAATCATGGGGTTTCTGCATCCTCACAGTGCATGGGCCGTGTGCAAACCCTCTGAGCTAGCCATATCCCCATCCGAGCACTCGCCCCAAAGGATGTCCTCAGACAGGCAGGATACTTTTTGCATCATTACTATGGTGGAGGTTTTGTTGCCTACTGTTTTGTTTGTTTGTTTGAGACAGGGTCTCACTATGTAATCCAGCCTGGTCTCCAACTTGTGATCCTCCTGCCTCAGCCTCCTGAGTGCTGAGATTGCAGGTGTGCACCAACGTCACCATGCCCAGGTGTTATTATTATTATTACCATTATTGACCACAGAGGAGAGAGGACCCAAGACCCCTGCAATGAGCCACAGTACTCAGCCCTTTAAATGTTTATTTTTTGAAGACAGGGCCTCCGTAAGTTGCTAAGTTGCCTAATTGCTCAGGCCCGACTCAGACGTTCTGTCCTCCTGCCTCAGCCTCCCAAGTGTGAGGCATCAGGCCTGGCCATGACAGGCCACACTTTTTACATTATCATGTTCTTACTGGCTTGTCACAGTCTGTGTCACTTGTCACGTATTATAAATGATAGGAGAGAGAGAAAATTAATACACCAGCTGGCATCGGAATTCATTGTAGAGACTCACCGAGGCTTGTTTAGGAAAATACCTTAATTAGTCCTAGGGGTTGTGCAGCCGCCCCGAGGACATCCGATGAAAAGGACCCACAAAGACACCGCCAGCCTCCACTGCAGGAGAAAATAGCTTCAGTCTGCAGGGCAGAGCAGGAGGAGCTTCCGAGCAGTGGGGACATGTAGAGATCAAGAGACAGAGCTGCAGGGCGGGGAGACAAAGGCAGAACAGAACAGATGGGATATTGGGTGACTGCGAGTGTCACCTTCCGGACCCCTGGGATTGATGTGGAGACAGGGAGACCTTCTCCTCACCGAACCTGCTCAGCTAAAACAGAACAAAAGCCAAGAGTGGTGGCGCACACCTATGATCCCGGCACGAGGGAGGCCGAGGCAGGAGGGTTGCGGCAAGTTTGAAGCCCACCGGGGCTACATAGTGAATTCAGTGGCAGCCTGAACGGTGAGAGACCCTGTCTCAAAAACCATAAAAAATGAAATAAAAAATAAGGCCAAGGATATAGCTCCAAGGTATAAGCACCTATCTGGCAAGCACAAAGCCCTGAGTTTGATTTCTGGTAGCAATAAAATACAAATAAATAAAAAACAAAAATAAAACATAAGACAGGCACAGAAACAGGCAGGTCTCGCATTCCAGGCATATACCTGTGGCCGCTCAGCACGCACTTAATAACAACACTCTGGGAGGCTGAGGCAGGGGCATCTCACATTCCTGTCCACTTGGGCAGTTTAGAAACACTAAGACCCTGTTTCAAAAGATTTAAAATAAGAAAGGCTGGGGATGTGGCTCAGTGCAAAGGCCTGAGGGTCAGTCCTAAATACTGAAAAGAAAAAAAACGTAATGTTATAGTATGCACACCGATAAACCCTGGGGAGGCTGAGGCAGGGGATCACTGCTGATGGTTCCAGGCCAGGCTAGACTACAGTGAACTTAAAGTCATCCTGAACCCCAATAGCAGCAGGTTGTGGGTAGGGGCGCCCCAGGAGGCTGGGGTGGGAGGGGCTCTTTTCCATCATGCACCCAGTGTTTTACAGATTACCTTGGGGCTGTACTGCCTCTGTGTGTGTGTGTGTGTGTGTGTGTGTGTGTGTGTGTGTGTGAATTATTTTGTTTGCCTGTGGGTTTTGGGGGTGGTTTTTTGGTATCAGGGATCAAACTCGTGACCTCACACTTGCCAGGCAGGTGCTTATGCCACTGAGCTAAATCCCCTCCCCTGCTTGTGTTATTGTAAAAAAAAAAACATTTAAAATGAAGATAAAGCTATCTCTAAGCCTGGTGTGGTGATGCATGTCTGTCATTCCAGCACTCGGGAGGCTGAGGCAGGAGAATCGCTGTGAGGTCAAGCCAGCCTGGCCTACATGGTGAGTTGAAGTCCAGCCTGAACTGCATAGTGAGGCCTTGTCTAAAAGAATAAAAAGTTAAAAAATTATTGTTTCAAAGAAGAGTCAGTTTTACTGGAAATGAGATAACTTTATTTAAGATGGTTTTGAGTGGGGCTGAGGATTTAGCTCAGCGGCCTAAGCGCCTGCCTTGCAAGCAGGCAGTTGTGAGTTGTGAGATCGATCCCTGGTACCGATAAAAAGGAAAAAGACAAAAAAAAAAAAAAAAAAAAAGAGGGTTTTGAGCATCCTGACACACTTTTGAGATTCTAAAGCTGTCTCTATTGTGTGTGCCAGGAGCATCCCCAGTGTGACAGCCACAGAAGTCCTCAGACTCCAGCTAAGGTCTCACCTGGTCGGAAACTCCCGGGTTAAGGGTTCCCCTTGGCCCAGAGAAGCTCTTTCCCATGATCCTCCGCCCTGGCAAGACTGCAGGATGGGCCCACACTAACATCCAAACTCTCATCACTGCTGAGGGTTCCCAGGGGCAAAAGCGCCCCAGGTAATAATCAAGTTATGGACTAATTGCATCCCCAGCCACAGAGGTTCCTGGGAGTAGCAGGTCCCTGCGGGCTCCAAGTGACAAACACCTGGTACCTAAGCCCAACATGTGACCAATCACATGTGCGAGCACATGTGATTAATGGCAAGTGCCTGTTATCCTTGTGCGCTGGGAGGCGGAGGCAGGAGAATCTCAACTTTGAGCCCAGCCTGGACAACTTAGGAAAACCCTGTCTCAATTAAAAAAAAAAAAATGGGAGGTATAGATCCGTGCAAAGGCCCTGTGGTTCAATCCCCAGACCCAGAGAGACTCTGTCTCAAAAAACAAAACAGAACAGAACTGTGGAATGGGGAGTTGATGGCTGAGCAGGCCCCGGGAAGCTCCACACCTGGACCCCTGACCCTTATTTGCTGTCCCCTCCTTTATGCCAATGAGTCTCTTTCCTATTGTCACCACCCCCAGAAAAGCCTTGAGGAATAAGAAGTTCTAGAGGAGAATCCACCTGCAGGAAGGACTGTTTGGGGGAGGTTTGGTTTCCTTGCTTTTTGAGATGGGGTCTCACTCTGTAGCCCTGGCTGGCCTCAAACTCATGGTGATCTTCCTGCCTCAGTCTCCCAGATCCTGGAATGATAACTGAGCTGACACTGTCTTCTGTATTAGTCAGTGTCCCACTGGTGGCACAAGGAGAAAAGCTTTAGTATGGCTCAGGGTTTCAGAGGGTCTGGTCCATGGCTGGCTGACTGGCTCCCAGGCGGAAACACAGTGGCAGAAAAACACTGCTCCATTCAGGGCTTCTGGGAAGCAGACAGCAGACCAGAGAGGAGGAGCTGGGAGCCCGATCCAGCCCACACGAAGGCCCTTCGCTCAGTGCCCAACCCCAGGAAGCAAAAACTTAACAAACAGCCGGGCCCAGCTTTGCACGCCTGCAACCCCAGCTTCTCTAGAGGCTGAGGCAGGAGGATCCTCACCCTCAAGCCAGCGTGGGCAACTCAGCAAGATGTTGTTTCCAAATAAATAAAAAGGGCTGAAGTGTAGCACAGTGATAGAGCACCTGTGCGTTCAAAGCCCAGTGTTGGTTTTCAAAAATTATATCTAATATAAATATTGTTTTGTGCTAAAAAACACAACAAAACTAGTGAGTGCCCTAGCTCTTTCCTGGCTACCTCTCAGGACCGCTCCTTAGAGCTGTCTCCACTCTCACTTGTTTCCCCTGATACTCTTTGGAAACTCTGTGGGAGGCTGAGGCAGGAGGATCCCTGTGACTTTGAGGCCAGCCTGGGCTACACAGTGAGTTCAAGGCCAGTGTGAACTGCAAAGCGAGACCCTGTCTCAAAACAAAAACCAAGGGCCTGGGGATTTAGCTCAGCAGCATAAGTGCCTGCCTTGCAAGTGTATGGTCGTGAGTTCAATCCCCGGTATCGATAAAAAATGAAAAAGACACACACACACACATACACACACACAAAAAAAAGTGTACACTTCCTTGGATTTCAGCCTTGTCTCAAAATTGTAGAACTTATTCTTACAGATATAATTTTAGAACATTTTTGAGGCCAGGGATATAGCTCAGCAGCACGGTGCCTGCCTCACAAGCATGAGGTCTTGAGTTCGATTCCAGGGTCAAAAACTTATTACCCGCAAAAGAATCTCTGTCGGGCTGGGGACTTAGTCCTGGAGGGAGCATTTATCTAGCATCACGGGCCTCGGTTCTGTCCCCAGCAAAGGAGAAAATGAAAGAGGAGAAGCAGGGGAGCGGGGAGTGGAAGAAGAAGAAAGCAGCCCCTCCACGGCTTAGAACTGTCACCCCCAGCCCCAGCCCGCACAAGCCCACTTCCTGTCCCTGGAGTCACCTGTCCTGCTGTTCCCTATCCATGAAGGCCATGCTGTGAGTCCTCTGTGGCTGACATCTCTCACTGAGCCCAGTGTCCTCAAGGTCAGGCCATGCTGAGGCAAGTGGCACAACCATGTTCCTTTTCCTGGCTGAGTAATACTCCATTGTATAGCACCACACGATGAGTGACAGCCCCCCAGTCCACACCCTGATCCCTGGAACTGGTGAATGATACTTATTTTGCAGTACTGGGGTTTGAACCCAGCACCACATCCCCAGCCCTCATCTTTTTTATTTTGAGGCTAGGTCTTGTTAAATCACTGAGTTGTTCAGGCTGGGTTTCAACTTGTGATCCTCCTAGCTCGGCCTCCTAGAGGTGCTGAGATTGCAGGTGTTCCACTCTGTCCGTTCATCAATATTATGTATCAACATCATCATCATGATTATTGCACAGATTATCACAAATGCACTTTGAACTTGCTTTGAACATGTGGCAATCCTGGCCGGGCATGGTGGTCCACCCCTCTTGGGAGGGGTCCACCAGCACTTGGGAGGCTGAGGCAGGAGGATCTCTGTGAGTTGGAGACCAGCCTGGGCTACAGAGTGAGCTCAAGGCCAGCATGAACTGCACAGGGAGACCCTGTCTAAACACACACACACACAAAAAAAAAACCATGAGGACCCTCCTTCCTCAGCCCTCTGACGCTGGGACAACAGGCATGCACCGCCAAGCAGGGCCTCGTGAGTGTGAATGTTATTGTACAGGGTACAAACAGTAAATGGAAGGGGGAGAAGTTTGGGACCGAGACACACAGAAGACTTTGGGAGCCTTCGGAGGGAGCAGCCCGTCCACACACAGCCCCACAGGGGCCCCAGCCTCCTGTGTCCAGCCCCAGAACCTGAGGACGCACTGCGGTCCCTCCCGTCAGCCGCCCGGAGGACACCGCCTGGTCCTTGGGGGCCACAGCCGCCAGTCCTGGCCTCACCCGGCAGCCTGCGCCTTCTCCCCACCTGTCCTAGGGTCCCTGTCTCAAGGTCGTCCCCCCCAGCCTGCAAGGAGGACAAGATAAGCCGGGGACACTGTGGGCTTCTTGTCTCGGGGCCCTGAACCCTCCGAACCTACGTGGAGGCCGAAGAATTCATGTGGCATCAGAGCGACAGAGCAGGTGGCCCTGAGCATGGACAGGAACCACCCCAAGGCCACGGCCAGAGGAGGAACCAGGCCCAGTGTCTAGGAGCAGGGACCAGGCCACAGTGTCAGGTGCAGGCGCACCAGGGCTGGAGGACATTTGGGCAAAAATGGGGAACTGAGGGGCCCATGCAGGGCTCTGGGGGGCGGTTGGGCACCCCCATGGGGCTCATAGAGGGGATCGGGGACCAAGAGATCCGTGCAAAAAATAAGCTTAACCTTAAGAAGGATGCCTATTTCTAGTTTGGGTTTTGCAAGATATAAAGTTCTGGTCACATTGTGACACTGTCGAACCATACGCTTCAAACTGAGAAAGATGACACTAAAATTTTAGGTTCTGTATCTTTTACCACAATTTTCAAAAAACATGCCACCCAGTAATATAACACCAGGCCCACCCCTGCCATGCTGGGACTCTGGGAGGCTGAGGCAGGAAGACTGCAGGTTCCAGGCAGCCTGGGCAACTTGGGACTTAAACAGACCTTTCTCCCAGTGAGAAATAATAAAGGGCTGAGTGGGACTCAGGGTGAAGGCCCTGGGCCAAATAAACCAAAACCAAACCCAAAAAGACACACGTGCACCCCAAAACGCAACTGTGTGTGGGCCCAGGGCTCTCAGCTGCTCAGGAGGCTGAAGCAGGAAGACTAAAAGTTTAAGCCACCCTGGGAAACTTAGGGAGCGCTTTTGTCAAATGAAAAATAAAAAGGGCCTGGGAAGTAGCTCAGGGGTAAGTGCTTGTCTTGTATTTTGTGCAAGGCCCTGGGCCCCTCCCCAACCCTGACTCAGCAAAGCAAAGCTTGTGTCTGGACCAGACTTAACTGGACTTGAAGTTTTTGGTTTGTTTGTTTGTTTTGTTTGGTTTTTAAAGACAAGGTTTCACTGTGCAGGGAAGCTGGAATTGAACTCACTATGTCGCGCCTTGAACTCCCAGCGATCTTCCTGCCTCAGCCTCCCAAGGGCTGGGATGACAGGCACGGGCCACCACCCCAGCGCTGGCCTTGAAGATCTGAGGGGCTCAACAGCCAAGGCACCTCCAGAGAGTGCAAAAATGGTGGGAGACAAATTCTTCTTGGGAGCCTAGGAGGCCACCCAACCCCGCCCACACCTAGTTCTCAACCCAGGAGGAGGCCCAGGTTTGTTGCCTGATCTTCAGAATAATAAATGTGGGATAGTAAATAATGTATTGTCTTAAGCCATTCAAAAACATAATTATAGAGCTGGGGGTGGTGGTGCACCCTGTCATCCAGCACTCTGGGAGGCTGAGGCAGGAGGGTCTCAACTTTCTCTAGCCCAGCCTGGGCAATTTCGCCAGACCCTATCTCAAGATAGCATTTAAATAATTACACACGTGAACAAGGGAAGGAGAAGACAGCCAGCGTGCGCAGCCTGTGACCCGGCCATGTGGACCCACCCCCTCCCCTCCCCCTCCCCCGCCCCTCCCCCACACCCCTCCCCCGGCCTGAACTGAAGGGCGGCGTGAGACGCGAGCTTGCACAACCCGTGGCCGCGAGCCCAGCCTTTCTCCCGGCGTGGGCTGTCTCCTCACGCTCCGTGCCGCTGGCTGCGAGGATCAGAGGGGGACAGAGGGCTTGGGACGGGACGCGGGTTCCCAAAGTGACCCGGCGGTGCGCCCCGCTTTGAGCCCGCTGCGCCCCTGTGATCGCCGCGCACCCCAGTCCCCGTCCCCGGCCGGCGCGGCCGCCGCAGTCTCCTCCACAAAGAGTCAAGGATTAGGCCCCGTTGAGCTCCAGCCTGTCCGCCTTTGATTTGTTAAAAAAGCCTTTCATTCTCACCATTAGGCAGCGCGGGGCCGGCGGTGCAGCGCCATCTGCATATCAAAAGGCTCGGCCCGGGTTTGTTTTCGTTTCCCTGGGCTTCGCCGCTCCCCCAGACGTGGGTAACGACGACCGTCTTCCATTTGTTTTCCTCAAGGTCCCCTCTCCTAGCGTCTCGCATTGTCGCCGGGCTCCAACTTCCGTCTTTGTCTGAAACGCGAGCTCCTCCAGCCCCCCTCTGCCTCCCTCCCCGCTTCCCCGGAATCCTGAAGGCCTTCACTGCCTGCCGAACCCCGGTTCTCAGGCTCACCCCAACTCTTCTACACCTAGATGCATTGCCCTCTGACAAGGGTTTTGCTTTTTTTCTTTCTTTCTTTTTTGGTGACACTGAACCCAGGGCCTTTGCACTGAGCTACATCCTCAGCCGTTTGCTTTCTCTCTCTCTCTTTTTTTTTTAATTTTGAGACAGGATCTTGCTTAGCTGCTGGGTTGCTAAGTTGCCCACGCCCGGCTGGAACTTGCCATCCTCCCGCCTCAGCCTCCGAGAATGCTGGCATGACAGGCGTGTGCCACTCCACACCCCGTTTACTTTTCTGAAATTATTGTTATTAATTGCCAGAGTGGAACCCAGCATGCATGCTGGCGAAGGATTATCCCTGAGCTCTTTTCTAGCTCAGCTTAGACTTTAGGTTTCAGGCCTGGGGTTCAACTCAGTGGTATGAGCACCTGCCGGGCAAGCCTGAGGTTCTGAGATCGATTCCCAGTATCTCCCCACAAAAGATTTAGGTTTTCAGGAAAGGACAGAGATTGCCCACCTCACCCCTCATGGTATCACACCGTCCTAGCCGCAGTCCGATTCGCTGGGACAAAGTACCCAACACTTGAAACTTGAAGGAAGAGAGGTTTATGTTAGCTTGTTTATTTGGCTTCTTTCACTCCATAATCAGCCAGCGCAGCAGAGTTGTGCATGGTGATGCAGACCTGTAATCTAGGCACCCCCGGAGGCTGAGGCAGGAGGATCAAGAGTTTAAACCTAGCTTGGGAAACCTGATAGTGTACTAAGGCCCTGTCTCAAAATAAAAGTAAGTAACTGAAGTATGGCGGTACGCTCCTGTAATCCCAGCACTCCAGAGGCTGAAGCAGGAGTATCGCTGTGAGTTCGAGGCCAGCTTGGGCTACATAGGAGGTTCAAGGTCAGCGTGAATCACAAAATGTGTTAAAAATCAATCAATCAATCGGAGGTCCAGAATTCAATTTCCAGTATTGAAAAAAACAAACAAAAAATGCCTGGTGTAGAGTTGCATGCTGGTCATCCCAGCACTCAGGAGGCTGAGGCAGGAAGATCACTGTGAGTTCAAGGCCAGCCTGGACCATATAATGAAACCCTGTCTCAAACAAAAAAGAAGAAAGAGGAGGAGAAGGGGGAGGGAGAGGGGAAAAGAAGCGGGGGAGGACGAGGAAGAAGGAAGGCAAAGAAAAAGCTGTTCACACTACGGTGGCGGGAAGCAAAGAGAAGAGAAAGACAGCAAGGGGGCGAAACCTTTCGAAGCCACGCCCACCACGACCTCCATCATCCAGTCACCTTCCACCAGCCCACCGGAGCGCACGCGCCTTGTGGGAGCCATCCAGCTGGCAGCCCAAAGGCCCACCACTGTACCAACGCCCCAGGGGACAGGGAGGGCCCCGGGCTGTGACACGCTGGCCACCCTGCCCACCGGTGATAGTGGGGTGGCCTCGATCTTGAAGGTTCTATGGGTTTGACGGATCTATTGTATCAAGCATCCGGTCACTGCCCTAAGGTTTGGGGTACCAGCCACTCACCCCTCCCTCCCAACCCTGTTGGCATCGATTGTTTTGTTTTTTGTTTTTTTGGTACCAGAGATTGAACTCACAGCCTTGCGCTTGCCAGGCAAGCGCTTATGCTGCTGAGCTAAATCTCCGGCCCACTGATGTTGTTTTCTTGAGTTTTATTTGTGTGTGTGTGTGTGTGTGTGTGTGTGTGTGTGTGTTGCCAGGGGTGGAACACCGGGCTTGACCACTGAGCTCCATTCCCAGCCCCTCCGTATTTTTCATTTTGCGTCAGGCTCCTGCTAAATCACTAAGTTGCCCGGGCCGGGCTTGAATGTGGGATCCTCCTGCCTCAGCCTCCCAAGTGCTGGAACCGTGGTCTCCGCACCTGACCATAACAGGGGCAGCTTTCCAGCCTGGGTTCTGCTCTCTATGTTGATGGTACCCTGTGCTAGGGGTCTGTGATCTGGACAGCACAGTTAGTTCCCCCCGTATGGACAGAGTTAAGACAGGAAAGCCCCAAGCCCTTCCTGCCGGGACTCCTGTTTGCTGTGCTGTGGCTGTGGGGACGAGGTGACAGTGCCACTGGTGCGTTCAGGCTCTGCCCGCTTCCCCGGCTCTAGCCGGTTATCATCCCAGCCTTCCTGGAACATCGGACTAGGACACATGGGAAGCAAGGATTTCTCTTCCTATCTGGAATTGCATTCTGTGACTGTGAAACTGATAAGAAAAAGGCAGAAACAAACCCTTGGGGTGACGGCTGAAGGAGCAGGCAGGTCTCTGCGCCTGGAGGGGGGAGTCTGCCCAGCACCCCCTCCCAAGCCGTCGTTGTGATGTGTTTGTTGAGCGCCCCGCGCCCCTCATTAGGGACGGGTCCTCCTTGTGGCGTTTAGCACATCAAAGCGCCAGGGAGGCTTTTGATAGCGCGCACACTGTAAATGTTTTGGTAAACACTCTTGTTTTTTCCTTGGTTGTATGAAAATCCTCGACTCTGACACTGGTTTCAAATAGCATCAGACTGGAGCGAGGTGAGGGACACAGAAGAGAAAAAATAATAACGATCCACTTTGCTTTGTGGGCTTGGTTCCTTTGTGTCTCGTATCTCAGACTTGGGGACCGGCTGACAATGGTTTCCCTTGGGTGAGTGGCTCTCTTGGGGCCCCGGAGAACTCCACAGAGAAAGCATCATGGGGACCCCAGGAGGAGGCCAGATGGGCCCCACAGTGGTGCTGTGCAAGGTTGCACGCTGTGCAAGCCCCAGGCTGTGCAAGGTTGCAAGGCCCTTTTGTCTCCATGCATGTGACAGGACTGTGGGTGACATAGACAAAGACTCCAGCGGAGAAAAAGCTTTGGGTACTGTCCGGTCAGCTCCCCAATTTTTTTTATGTTTTTTTTTTTTCTTTTTGTGACAGGGTGTCCCTATGCAGTTCAGGCTGGCCTTGAGCTCACTTTGTAGCCCAGGCTGGTTTTCAAATTCTGTAGTGATCCTCTTGCCTCAGCCTTCCGACTGCTGGGATGAAAGGCATCTGCCTCCACACCTGTTTCTATGGGACTTCTTGGGTTTTGGGGTGTGTGTGTGTGCTGGAAATGAAACCCAGGTCTTTGTGGATGCTAAACACACACTCTGACCTTTAAGCCACACGTCAGTCCTCCTTAACTCAAGTATTTAATCACTTTGTGTTACGGTTTGGGTCTGGATGTCCCCCCACGGCCTCGAGTGGCCGTGGAGCCAGGCTTCTGGTTTGTGACTGACTCCTGGTCCAAGGCTGGGATTATGGCTGTGAGTGCTACGCTCGCCCTAGGGCAGGCGGCCTAATAAGATATAAGGGAAAGAGAAAGGCCTGCTCCTCCCTGCTGCACCGCCATGAGCTGTTTCTCCTCTGCTGTGAGCCACCTGCCTTGGAGCCGGCTGTGTATGCACTGAAACCTCCACAAACTGCGAGCTAAATAAACCTTCTCTTCCTTCATTTTGGGCCTTGGTATTTTGTCTCGGCAATGAGAGGAAAGCACCTAGGGCTCCATGGAATCTAATCAGAACAGGATCCAGTCAGTCCAGTAACCGGGTACTCGGTACTCCAGGACCTTCCGCGTCCTATGCTTACCTAGTATCTTTTCTTTGGGGGGGGGGTACTGGGGATCGAACTTAGGACCTTGTGCTTGCCAGGCGGGTGCTTGTGCCGCTGAGCTAAGTCACCAGCCCTTCTTCCAGAATCTGATTGCTCTAGTACCACGTTAAGTTCTATATTTAATTACTCTGACATGTAGTTGACCCAGTGCCTGCCTCTCCCCTCTCCTGCTTCTTCCGTGGGTCCTCCAGGACCATCTACCTGCGACCCCAGACCCTGGCGTCTGGGATGGCCCCAGGGTCCCCAGGTTGTGCTAGCATCACCTGGTTGCCCCAGGGCTAGGTACTGACCGCACAGTTGCTCTCGGGTCCGCATACTCTAGTCCAGTCACTGCTCTCCAGTCCTCCTGCTGGAGATGCTCACTGTTCAGAATGTAGTTACCTGAACATTCAGGGACCCGCTGTCCTGTTCCTTCCTTATATAAGACGCTACTGTACGTTTCTCTGTACCTTTCTGTGATTCTATAATTACTTCAAATAAAAAGTTTTAAAATACATTTTAAAAAATACAGCCAAGCTTGGTGGCACCCACACTGGTAATTTCAGTACTCAGGAGGATCGTTGTGAGTTCGAGACCAGCCTGGGCTACAAGTGAGCCCAAGGCCAGCCTGGACTGCATAGCGAGACCCTGTCTCAAAAAGACAAAAAATATATATATGTATCTGTGTAAAATATGAGACTAAGGATTGTTGGGAGGGGGAGGGATGTCAAAGAATTCAGCCGTGTTGTGTACCGTGCACCAACTCCCCTGGAGGACTGCAAACGGGTACTAAAATACAAAGGGTTAAAAAAAAGAAAGCAAGCCAGAGAAACCCCAGAAAAATAAGGGAAGGACGGGAACTCTCTGCTGCTTATGTGAAATTCAAATTTGGCCAGGACCAGAAGCGCCTCCTCTTATCGGCAGCCCTGTGGCCAGATGTGGCAGTGGCTGCTGTGGGTGGGTCACCCGGCCTCCAGGTGTTCTCCACAGAGAAGCAGATAGAGGGCTCCCAGCCGGAGCAGAGGCGGCCTCTGTGGCCACAGGAGCACACGTGTGTGGCCCCGTCCGAGAAACGGGGAGTGAAAGACACTGAAATTTGAATTTCATATCATGTCCACCTGCCACAAAATAGTGCTTTGCTTTTTTTCTCTCTCTTTCTTCAGGGCTGGGGTAGGTAGGACCCAGGCTTCCCGTGTGCCAGGCAATGAGCCAGTGCTTATTTTTTGTCTTAAAACATTTCTCCCTGGGGCTGGGGATTTAGCTCAGCAGCATAAGCGCCTGCCTTGCAAGCAGGCAGTCGTGAGTTCGATCCCCGGTACCAATAAAAAG